TGAACTTTGTCCGGGACATAACTCTAAAAGTATAAGAGGTATCAAACATGAAACTTTGTAGGTAGATAGATCTCATTGAGAAGGTGTGCAGTGCACAAGAACCGACCGTAACTCTGCCTTGCCTAATTTTTGAATTATCCCCTTTGTTTATTTTACACTTTGAACTTTGTCCGGGACATAACTCTAAAAGTATATAGGTATCAACATGAAACTTTGTAGGTAGATAGATCTCATTGAGTAGGTGTGGCAGTGCACAAGAACAGTAACTCTGCCTTTCCTAAGTTTTTAATTATCTCCCTTTGTTTATTTTACACTTTGAACTTTGTCCGGGACATAACTCTAAAACTATAATAGGTATCAACATGAAACTTTGTAGGTAGATAGATCTCATTGAGTAGGTGTGCAGTTATTAAGAACCGTAACTCTGCCTTGCCTAATTTTTGAATTATCCCCCTTTGTTTATTTTTACACTTTGAACTTTGTCCGGGACATAACTCTAAATGTATAAGAGGTATCAACATGAAACTTTGTAGGTAGGTAGATCTCATTGAGAAGGTGTGCAGTGCACAAAAAACCGTAACTCTGCCTTGCCTAATTTTTGAATTATCCCCCTTTGTTTATTTTACACTTTGAACTTTGTCTGGGACATAACTCTAAAAGTATAAGTGGTATCAACATGAAATTTTGTAGGTGGAAATATGTCATTGAGTAGGTGTGCAGTGCACAAGGACCGTAACTCTGCCTTGCCTAATTTTTGAATTATTCCCCTTTGTTTATTTTTACACTTTGAACATTGTCCAGGACATAACTGTAAAACTATAAGAGATATCAACATGAAACTTTGTAGGTAGATAGATTTCATTGAGTAGGTGTGCAGTGCACAAGAACCATAACTCTGCCTTGCCTAATTTTTTAATTATCTCCCTTTGTTTATTTTTAAACTTTGAACTTTGTCCAGGACATAACTCTAAAACTATAAAACGTGAAACTTTGTAGGTAGATAGATCTCATTAAGTAGGTTTGCAGTGCACAAGAACTGTAACACTGTCTTGCCTACTTTTGGAGTTATTGCCCTTTGTTCATTTTGACACTTTGAACTTTGTCCGGGACATTACTCTAAAATTATAAGAGATATCTGAACATGAAACTTTGTAGATAGATAGGTCTCATTGGATGGAAGTGCAGTGCTTAAGAATCATTACTCTGCCTTGCCTTATTTTGAAGTTATTGCCCTTTGTTTATTTTTAATTTTTGACTTTTGTCCGGGACATAACTTTAAAACTATTAGAGATATCAACATGAAACTTTGTAGGTAGCTAGATATAATCGGATAGAACTGCAATGCTTAAAGAACCTAAACAAAGCCTGGTCTAATTTTGGAGTTATTGCCCTTTGTTCATTTTTACACTTTGAATTTTACCAGGGACATAAATCTGATATCATCAGGAAACTTTATAGATAGATAGATCTCATTAAATAGAAGTGCAGTTCAAAAAAACATAACTCCTCCTTGCCTAATTTTGGAGTTTTTGCCCTTTGTTCATTTTTTTATACTTTCCTGTGTCCAGAACCTTCTCGGGGAGCATCACCCGGTTCAACCGGTTCTTGTTTAATATATTTTTTAACTTTATTTCTGTAATAAAATATAATACTAGTTATGTTTTTAATGTGCAGTATAGTCATATCTTTAATTTCAGGACATTACTTGACAATGAGCCTGAATGGCTTCCTACGAATGGAGTGAGTTGTCAATTTTCAAGCAAACCTAATTTCCATTTTTTTTCTATAGTCTTTCGCCCATACTGTATACTTAAGTAAAAAGATAATAGGCTATTTTTAAATATATAAAGGTAAAACATGTATTTGAAATTAAATGAACTCAGTTAGAAATAAAATTAATTGTCAACTAAAAAGAGCAAAGAGATATGCAAAAACAAATGCATTGTTTTATTCCCGATTTATATTATATACTAGTCTTGGTGAACGTTACACTTAAGGTTTATGATTGATGGGAGCACCGAGAATGAGTACACGATAAACCTGCGACTCAAAGTGTGCATGGAAAGTGCATTTGAATGTAACCGTGACATTGAAATACTGCGAAACCACGTTGTGAGACGAAAATGTGAATTTAAACCATCCTTTCAAATACCAGGTAATACATGTATATCAACGAAAAGATATTCACAAGGTTAATATGGATAGTAACTGTAAAAATTCTAAACAATTGCAAGCATTGTTTTCAAGTTTTACACAAATTTTGCCAAGCCAGTTAACAGAGGGTATTTACTCATTCCTTTAAAAGGTTTTCTCTCCTCACGGTATATGAATGCTTTTAAGTTACTCTATTCTTGTCGGCATGTGTTAAAAGTCCCGATCAAAATAGACATAATTTTTATAATTTATTCTTCTAAAAAAAAAAATCTTTGCAAATTTAGCTTTCTTTTTCAGTCCTTCGAGCTTGACAAAATTGTTATTCTGACGACATACTATCTAGCTGTTATACAATGAGCATTTAATTGGTCTTATAAAAACTTGAAAAAAAATATTTTTATGTATTTGCACTTACCAGAATTAAAAATAAATTGGAAGTTTCCGAATATTGTGATAGACTTTTATGTCAATATCACCTTTCATGCGGTCATTTTCAAATGATTTTTGCAGGCTTCACATTAGAGGGTTGGAAATCTAACAATTCATTACCACCTGATGCTATACTGACAGACAAACAAAAAGATGATCTGATGCAACAAATGGGCTTGAATCTTTTTCTTCTGAAGGATCCATGTGAAATAAGAGCTAATTTAACAGAAGGTATTCTTATTCACAATTTTAGCTATATTCTAATTCACAATTTTAGCTATATAGATTATTTATAAGCTCTATTTTGCAGTGTAAGTGTTCTGTATATAGTGTTATAATTGTACAGGAATCTAAATGATGTTTAATACTTATCGTGTTCGGTTACATGATGCCACTGAGTCCATCAACAAAATTTTATATGTTAAAATTGTTGGTACAAAACTCATTCAATTTGAATAAAACACATATAGATCTATGTGATTGATTTGTCAAACTGTTCATTAATTACGTTTATCCTACAATCAATATTTAATATCACTTTCCAGATGGCCTTGAGGTCGTTCACTATGAGCCGAACGCTTCATGTATAGCTACAAAAGATAATACAAGTTACGATTGTTGTATTGAGTCAAAAGTTTTTGGAAAAAATCTGTGGATGAACTTTACTCTAGACCCATGCAATTATAGAATGGTGATGAATCTGGAAAATATTCAACAAAAATACTCTTTGCTTGGCTATGAATGGGGTATAAAAAGAGAAGATAATCCATTCTGATATTTCATCGCATAAAAATAATTATAAAATACCATGAAAAATCGAATTAAATATTTATGGAAAAGAAAAAAGCGTAAACATTTAACAGTAATCCATTAAATATTTTTTTCTCTCTATGATTTCTAAATTGAAAAAACTAATGTTTCCATGTAAATTTCCTGAAAAGCTTATGGCGCATGCACAGAATCATAATAAAACACAAGGTACTTTGGTTGGTTTTGAAATTTCTGTATTTTCTGTATATTTTGCCATTTCTATGTTTACACCTAAGTATTAAATGATTCCATTTTTCTCTTTCCATTGCATGCAAACAACAGACATTCAGGTGATATATCTTATATAAAATGTTACATTTAACATTTTCTTTTGCAGGAACTTTACATTCATTGTCAACAAAAGGCATCTGGCGTACAGAGTACGTATATCATTTTGGAATTTCATATGTTATTGAATTCATAAGAAATTTTGATTGTTTTATCATACGATTAAATTTATGAAAGATTTTCTATATAGGAATTGATTGCAGATGTTAAAGTTATGTCATTTGATACATTGTATATGTATAAACTAAATTATATAGTAATATTTGTTTGTTTGTGTGTAAGATGAGTTTTTATTACATGAGTGATCTTAAAACCAGTATTCCCGTGAGTGGTGTAGCCACGAGTTAAAACACTGTTTTTAAAGATCACGAGATGAATAAATTTACATCTTACACAACAAACAATTTTCTTTTTATTTTAAGCATAAAAATAGGTTTAAACGATATTTTTCAATATCAACTTGAATATTAAAATCTGTTTTCCCACTTGTAGTCTCAATTTTAAACGAATTTCGCCATAAATACGAGAAGTCTTGAGCTGGTGACTGTCTTTGCTGTTACACACAGCAATACAGCTATTGCTTGGAGTATACTTGAGTATGTCCATATGTCATCAAGAGCAGTTTTGTATGTGGAAGGAAGCCCTAGGTTTGAGCATATAGTGGCCGCTTTGTCCGTCCGTCCGTCCTTTTTTATTGACCAGGAAATAACTCTGAAACAACCATAACTCTTCCTTGCATAATTTTGAAGTTATTGTCCTTTGTTCGTTTTAGCACTTTGAATAGCTCTGAAACCATTAGAGGTATCAACAAGAAACTTTGTAGTTAGATAGATCTAATTAAGTAAAAGTGCATTGCAAAAGAACCGTTACTCTGACTTGCTTAAAATTGGAGTAATTGCCCTTTGTTCATTTTAACACTTTAAAAAGTGTCTAGGACAGAGCTCTGAAAGTGTAAGACATATGAATAAGACACTTTAGTAGATGGATAGATCTCCTTGGATTAATGTGCAGTGCAAAAGAACCATAACTCTGTCTTGCCTAATTTTGGAATAATTGCACTTTGAACTGTGTCCGGGACATAACTTTGAAATTACAAAAGGTATACTTTTCTGTGTCCAAAACTATTCGGGGAGCATCACCCGGTTCAACTGGATCTTGTTTACATTGTTACTATGAAATAAAAAAAGACGATGTTTGGTGAATATTAGATAAATTGGATAGAATTAAGTTTTATCTTCTTATCATGTTGGCAATTTAGTTTTTTATCAATTTCAGCACAGTTTTTCTTTAAAAAGCTCTGACAATGTCTAAATTTAAAGCTCAAATATAATTGAGATACCACAAGGGGAAAATCTTTAAAAAGTAGTCTCATCATTTAAAGGTGTGAAATTATATTTTGATTATTTTCACTGTAAAATGACGAAATATATTTTCATATATAAATAAGCAATCCACTTAAAACCATAAAATAAAAGTGTTTGCCTGCTTTTGAAGCAAGCAAGACTCCTGCTATTAACAATGATTGTAAGTACATCTATTTATTGCAAATTATTATTGGTTTGTTTTATAATTAATTTATTATTTTGATATAGATATTCTGTAAAAAATTATTTAATAATAACCCTAGACCTGCTGAAGCAGAAAGTGTTTAGTCTGAGACACCAGAAATAGGCTCTATACTGTAAGAAGATACTTTTCTGGTTTTTTATATATTTTTTTTATTATTTTTTTTTCAAACTCTGAAAGAACTATACAAATTCAAAGCAGTGCAACTTTTTATGCAATGTGGAAATTAAGGTGTTAACAAACACTGAAATAGCGTGATAGAATATTCCCTTATTACCTTCCAAATTACTAAAGTAACAACCAATGATTTTATTTAATTTAACCGCAGGTATATGGTGACAAACGTGCAGTCGCAGCACGGGTTTGACCTAGATATATCGCTTCAACAATGTTATGAGCCAACGTGTAAACAGTCACCGCTCATCGTTGCTAGAGACATCCATATCCCTTATCCAACGTGCGAAAACGTCACCAAAAATGATACACGTCAACCATATTACGGTATAAAGTTTCACGATTTCTACATTCATGTTCTATAAATGCACAACGATGTCCATAATTAACCTGACGAGTTGTTTTGTATTTTGATAGCTTCCGAGAATCTTAGGTTATGGATGAGGTATATGTAATAGTGGTGAATTTTCCGTCATTTTGCACCAACATTTGTCTTCTCTGAAACTAATGGCCAGATTTACGTCATATGTTGTGTACAGCACTATTGTGACAGTAGCACTGCAACCTGTTAATTGTACCAATTGAACCACTTAAGAGGTCATCTAAAGTCAAAATACAAAGACCTTCTAATATCTTCTCTCGCACTGAACAAATATCTGGATTATCACTACTTTTTATGTAGCATTTTTATGTTTACTGAAACAAAAATTATAATTTAAGTGGCGTTTTGATTTTGAAGGACATGCTCCCCTTTAAAAATAAAAATATTTTTAAACGTCTTCTTTTTATAAACAAATGGATGCATCACTTAATCTGCTGCTTACTGTATGTTGTATTATATTTGCTCAAATGAATATAGCATCCCGTTGAAGGGCCGAAATCTCGTCAGTATTTTCTTTATCAAATTATACAAAACAAATTTTGTCAGGAATGTTAGGAGAATCTAGAGCTCAAACAGAGAAAAAATAAATGAGAGAGAATGAATTCTACAAGATATAACGTCCTTTTGGGATATAGATTGCAGAAAACTGTGAATTTTTTCTTGTAAAAGGTGTTTTCACAATAATGAGACCATGTGTCATAAAATTATGCAACAGCCAGACTTCTACCTGAATGTCAATGTCACATTTGAGTGCCAAAGCTTAACATGGTCTGTTCTAGGATATATTTTGTGTGCGGTAATACCTATTTCATCATTCAAGAATTTTTTGTAAGTTATATGACATGTAATGCGCAACACTTAGACCGTAGGGGTCAAAGGTCAAGGTCACACTCGCAGATCAAAGCCTAAAATAGTCTGTCACAGGGTTTGTTGGCAAGTCAGGCCAATGCAAATAAATTGTCATTGGTGAATTGCCCACATACCTTGGTTGATGACTGGGCACGTAATATATCCAATAACAGACCATATCCTGTAATGATTTTGTATTTGTCACATTCTGAAGATTTGAAATAGTGATAACAATTATACAAATGTATTTCCGTTGACACATACACAGGAGTTATTTCATTACATTCCTTAAATGAAAATCCTTTAATGAATTTATTATTACTTGCATGTGCAGATCTAACATTGATTAAATCTTTGCACTGAATGTCCAGCTCCATACCTCAACCTTTTGAATAGCGTTTTAAATAACTTTGTGTTTCAAGTTAAATTCCCTCAGACGGGGGACGTTTGTAACTCTGTTACAAGTTCTTGTTATTAAAGCAACTACATGTACTTGTGAATTATATGGTATAGAGCATTAATACAGAAATTCAAAGAATGATTGTTGTCAGAAAAAAACAATACGATTTAACATAAATTGTGTAAATATTTACATTTTAAAGTGATAATTTTTGTACCCATCTTTACACTATTCAGACACACACTTTTACATTACAGGAATAACATACGATTTTTGGAGGCAACCGATATGCACTACTGAAAACTTAAACGCATCAGCAAGTGGTATGCATGACCAATTGTTTATCATTTTACTTTATAAATGAATAAATAAAGTAAGCTCCTCTTAAAAGAGAAAAAGATTGTTCGTTAAACGCCTGTTGAATCTAATATTCATACGTTTTCAAATGATTATCGTAATATTAGGAGGATAGAATATCCCACTCATATGTTTAGACATGGGGTAATGTCTTTTTGATGAAACACGTTTAAATATAGATGAGAGTTATAAAATATGAATCATCATAATGTTATTAATGAGCTAGAGGCTATCCGTAATGCAGGTATTATGCCAGTATACCCAATCTTCTTTTTATTTACGATTTAAAGGGAATAATCATTGGGTTATTCCTAATAAAGACCAATTTTGCCCTAAAAATCTTTTAGTTTTAGTTTTTATTTTATGTACTTTCATAGTGTCCAAAAAGATACTCATTGGCCAATTTCTTAATTGTTGTGCCTCTGTTGCCATTTAGTAATTAAATAAATTACAGTAATTTAATATGGAAGTCAAAATTCTACTTTTATTACAAATAATTTCATATTTAGCGGTTCTTTCTTCACAACAAGCATCAAACAGGCTCTTAAAGTTATATAACTCATTTTTGACCTGTTTTAAAACCTTAAGGGTTTTGTAAGCAAAGAGAATGCAATGTTTCTTTCAGCATGTGATACATTACCAGACGAGCTTCAGAACAGTTGTGCTTGGTTGCCTGATTGCTCAGGAATCCAGTGTTGTACGGAATTTCATTTCAGTGAGGGCAAACGAAATGTATTGTTAGAATTTCACCGTGATTGTGCAAATAGCAAGTTCCAATATGGAATTGAAAACAAGAAATGGAATAGACCAGTTTCAGAACTTAGCAGTAGGTGTTTACTTATACCAAAAAATAATACCTTGAACTATTATTATAGATATAAAAATTATACTTTTAATGATTATTTTGAAATGAAATATAAATGACACATGAAATGTTTACTTTAGAGGGAAGCATATTGTTTTAATCTTTAACTGTTCTACCACATATAATTTGTATATTTTGTATAGGACCTATACACGAGGCTATAGCTGATGCGATCTTTATTGATATGAATGTAACTAATACAGCATCAACAACATATGATGTATCAGTAACCGTGATAGTATGCACAGGCACCCAGAATTCGTATGATTGTCAACTTAATTTCCGAATGTCACAATCATTAAAATGTTCGTCTCGCAAGAGACGGCGACGAAGACAGGCTGTTGAAGATGTGGTTACGTGAGTATTACATTCATTATAGGGAATTTCAAATATGTACAGGTGATAAATTAGATGTAAAATAGGCGCATACATACATGTATTACTTCTCCGTGTGATTTTAAGTTAAGCTACACAAGATACTTTCAACAAAAAAGACATTATATTTTTAACATATTTATTACATCGGACAGACTTGGGATGGACATAAAAGAAGGGATGACAACTTTGTATAACCGAGGAACATCGGAAGAAGCTCTACAGCAGTACTATTATGATGCTATTGATCACCAGGTATAAACAAAAAACAACATGTGTTTAGCTTTATCTGATGTACATGTCCTATAGTCTTCAAATAGGTCCTACATGTGTAGTTATTGAGATAAATTGATATTTTATTCTTATATTTATATATGAGGAAGAAAGTTAAAATGTCATGTCAGATAATTTTTTAGTTGGGATATAGATATCAAGTTTAAGTGTATTGTTGTAATATGATGCACGGTTCAAGTTCAAATGCGCAAGAAGATAAACATGAAGGCCAAAAAGGCCTAGTGATAAATTACAGAAAAAAATATGAGTATTTTAATATAATGGCAGAAAAGTTATTATCTATATTTTAACATGCTCATTAAAGAGAATTTATAAAAGTATGCTGAACTACATTAAGAATAAAAATTGTTTTCCTAAGTCATTTGGTATATTGTCGTCATATGGCGTGTAAGCTTTCTTCTTTATGCTTTGTATATATCGTGTAATAATGTACTTGATTAAAATGTGTTAAATTTTTTAGTTTTACCCTGTTTAACATGAAAACACAAAGGAAAATGATCCAAGTGAAATGCTTCTAAATATTTTTTTTCTGTTTTATTGTTAAATATGTTTTTGTTTTCACTTATATGGAGCAGAGAAATACATATTTATTTAATAAAACATAATTCGTTTTCTTAAAGGATGGTTTGAAAGCTCATGTGTGGGAAGGCGAACAATTGAGTGATTCAGATTCTAGTACTGGTTATGCAGCTACCGTAAAGGCATTAGGAGAGCACAACCCTCAAACAATAAAACACAGAACATCAGAAGGCTATGTTAAAGAAGATATTAAGGGTGGTAAGATAACTGTTATCTACTTCTTCTGACATTCATCATAATTTTAATAGTCATATATGAGTAAATATGTACACAGAATATCACTAACATCAAGTCAGCTTATTTCCTAAAAGTACATGTAGAAATAACGATTAAAAACTGCAGTTTAATTGTATGAACATATTTTCTGATTTATATAGTTGCAAGTTAAACTTGTTATATTGTTAATATGAAGGTATGTTCTTATTTATCAAATGCAAAATAGGTGGGGTTATGTCAGGCACACATAATTACACTACTATCAACGATCAGATGTGGAAGCTATTATTTGAACCGTCTTTATATTTCAGTTACATGTAATATAGAAATAAGGTTCGGTTTAAGGTTAAATGTATCATGTATTATACAATGTTTATGGGGTGTAACAATTTATACTCTTATTCACATAAGTAATACGTGTTTGTTTTTGTTTTTGTTTTTTTTCAAAAAACAGCCGATAAAATCGTAGATATGATTGGTGAAGTAAATGACATTGTTACTCGAACGGAACAGGTGTTTGTGGTTGGAATGGGACTGTCAAAGAAAGGAACGGAGTTACTCGGTGCAGATCTTGCAAATATGACTATTGGTGATTTGGAAGCAATGCTGGAAACTAATAAAGTCGACCCAACCGTGATTGTGAAAGTTGTTAATGATTTTATAGATCTAGCTAAAGCATTGGTAAGATAAAAATAAACACCCTTTTAACATACGTTTCGTTAAAATATTTTCTCTATTTCCATTCAGAAGCAATGTATAATTTCTCCTTTGTTCGTGTCGTTAGTTGAATTATACATATACTGCTAAAGTTGATTGAGTGTTTTTAAATGTACTATTAAATCACAGTGAAAACATAGTTTATACCATGATGATTTTACAGACTTAACTAAAAATATTAAATATTTTATGTTAGCAATGCAATTTTACTTTTAGTATTCTGAAGTTATTGAAAAAATATTCAACGGAGGCCTTGGCAACCCATTTAAATCCTTCGACATCTCATTGACTGGAACATTTATGATACCGAGGACACACATCTTATTCTTTGAATTCAATAAAGAATTTAACATCGGTGGTTTCATTTCATTGACATTTTGTAAGCATGTTTTTGCTTAGATATATATGTATAAGAACGTAATTATCACACTTAAGACGGTATTGTTTTATAACATTAGCTCATTAATATAAAACTTAAAAGAAAACTAAAAAAAACACTTCTAGAAAGGAATGATAAGAAACTACGGCCTTTGTTTTAAGTCAGTATTTTTGTTTGTTGTTCAAAAACTTGCCACGAATGCTATGCTTTTACTTTATAAGTGATAAATATTTTAACTGTAAGTTGTGTAAATAATATAATGAAATTTGAATTAATTGCCATGCTATTGATAAATTGAAGCATTTGGGGCTGGAGGTTATTATGGTTTAAATCTTGGATGGGAAGGAAAACTTATTGCTATGACAGCCGGAGCAACGGTCGTACCTTACGGAGGCTTGACTTGTTGGGGAGAAGTGGGAATAGGTTATGTTTTATATGGCAAGCTCCGACTTGAAGGTGATATCATGGATCTAAGGTTTCCTACACGTGCTGAAATTGGATTTTCGAAATTCCCATTAGATGTAACGTGAGTAATGATGATTTGAATTTCCTTTATGTCATCGGTTTCGTTGAATTTACGAAACTAAATGTGTATTCTTATCAATTGCGGGATACTTTCAATTAATACATAGACAGTATAAGGTTTAATTCCAATGCGCAGAACGCTTTGTCTAAAAATGCAATTTAACTAAAAAGAAATGATCATTTAAGATTTTTTTACAATAAAAAAAACTCTGAAAAAAGCAAATGCAATAATGTACCAAAATCATTTTGCTCTTGTAAAATGTCACCGTTTCAAATTAAATATAATAAAAAAAGATCTCTTCATGTAAAGAGAATATAGTTGTTTTTAAATAATAATAATCTGAATGTTTTGTAGATTGAAAATGGATATGGAACTAACTCCAGTCCGCCTGCGTTTAAGTGCATTGGTTACGCTTGAAGTGGAGCTTGCATTTATCTCATTTAAGAAGATCCTTTTCAGCAGCAACATTTGGGAATATTCAACGCCAACTATAAGAAAGAATATGATCGACGTTTCAACGAAGGAACAAGACGAATCACCACCGCAGTTCGCGCCCGTAGTTAACAAGAAAGGCGTATGCATTTGTGAACTTTGTGTAGAATTGAAGACTTTAGACGTCAATTAATTGGCAATATAAATTTAATAGTGTGATTTCATTTCTGATTCACGGCAATTTTGACGTTTTCTTGAATATTTGATTTTAAGTTGCACCGACTTGTCAAGGTCATACAGTAACATACTTTATTTGCCATTGAATGATATTAAGAGAATTGTTGATTTCATATAAAGTAATATAAATACATTAATTACTTTTTTTATTGAACGCAAGTTTTTAAAGCGCTTACTGAAAAAAAGCAATATTCTATATTTTCATTTTTAATTATTTTTATTCACCTAGGGTCGCATGAAAAGGTCAGCCTCTACGTGTGATATAAGTCAAATTAAGAATAGAGATTATACCGAACCAGCATTTGAAATATCTGTAGCAGCAACAGACGACAAAAGTAACGTTAAGTTTTTCCTCGACGTTGGCACTTTCCCAGCCGGAAGTAACGTTGTTAATAACCGTCAGCTTGGTGGATCATCAACTGTCTTAGCAACAGTAAGATTTCCAATTTTTGTATAACTCAATAATCATCATGAAATTAGAGCACGTAATTTATGATCACATTTCACAGTGAAACGCCAATTAACGGTAATTATCGTAAATAATTAGTTATAATCCTTACTGGCGTATTGTGTGATACCTTATGCCTGACCTTCACTGCGATGAATATTAATATGGGCTAGAATTATTGTTCATATATGTTTTCTTTTATTTAGATGCAGTCTTTGTGAACTGTTTGACTTCTAGTGAAATTTATAAGAAAGAACTAAATATAAGTTGAATTTTAATAAGTCAATTTAAAATTATAAACTGAAATCTTGAAATCTCATTGGCCATTCTAAATCTATTAAATTTGTATAAAGGTTTCTTCTGAAACGCATACACGTGTAAACTTCTAACTCTAATAAACAATTTTTGAGGAAAAAACGTTCTGTGAATTTTCTCAGATAATTGGAATCTGTGAACTGTACTGATATCATCCCATATAAACATTTTACAAAATTTTCAAATTGCTCTTAAGATTTTATTGACTCTTTTGTGAATATCTTAATAAAGATAGGAATTAACTTTGTTATAAATATCATTCTATAAGGTTTGCAAATTATAACGAGACTACTAATATTCCATTAAGACTATTAAAATTCCCGGAAATACGTGTGCATGAAAAAAACTGAAAGAAACCGAATACACATTGAACTTATCTGGTACTCATTGAAGCAAATATAGATGTGTGTATTTAAACGTCAGTGTAGGTATACTAATGAACCGAAACATGACATTTGAAATTAGAATCTAAAATTGCTGTGTGTTTCTTTTGTAATATTTAAATGCTTTGACTTAAGCAGTTTTAACTCGCCCCAGATACTTCTTATTCTAACATTATAATAGAACCTCAGAAAGGAGACAGGTGTTTAATTCCTACCCCAAATGTACGTATATTGTTTATATTGGTACATGTATCAGTTAATTAAAAAATGCTACATTTACTAATAGCTGAATAAAACATGATATCTGATATATTAAAGATCTAATAAAACCAAAAACGTTCTGTAAAATTCTTTTCTTTGTTATTTTGTAACCAATGTACTTCTTAAAAAATTGCAAAGTTTGAAGTAAGCCTCACACTATTTATTAGATTTTAATTATATTTTGAACAAGGTCTCCATGAATGAAATGGTCGAATCAATGTTTAAAATGGATTGGGTAGAATAACATTTTTATGTATATTTAAAATATTTTACAACGTGAGTAAAAACTACCGTTGTGTATGTGTGTTTTGTAAAGAATAATAACATTGAATTTGATTCTTACTTTTCCTGTCTTGCTCTGAACAGACCATTAAATAGTTAAACAGCAGTGATCTGTCAACAATGTGATTTAACTCCGTCGGATTTTTGTCCCAGAGATCGCTGAAAAATTCAGAATTGAGCATTTTACAGGAATCAGTAACAAGATAACTGAGAATTGTTTTAAATGAAGTACATGTAAGACGATTAACTTCTTCTTGTTTAAAACATTATGTTATAGCAAATCTGCCAGCAAATGTGTTAGCCATAAACATTTACATGTGTATAAGATTAACAATAGGACATTGTATGGAAAATTGTGACGTACTTTTTATCTTTTTATCTTTTCCAGTGCACAATATTTTGTAGCGATAAATAGTTTAATTAATTGTCGTACAAACCTTTAATAATAAATTTTGTTCAGGCATGGCAAGTTCGAATCAAGGCCCCTAGCCGCTGGTCCTTGTTGCTGGGTCATGTGAAGATGGTTCATTGAAAGCCACCTTTCCTTGTTGATCTTCTTGACCATACGTTTTGGAAATGTCATTGTTATATAGATAAATTTCGCAGGGTAATAAAATAAATTTAAGTGATGGCAGTATACTATTTGCGTGTACAAGTCGGCTGATTTAGGATTTTTTTCTTTATATATTTCAATATCCTATAGGGAAACCAGACTGCTAAAATCATTAGATAAGTACGATGATTACAATTCTTTGTTTATTTGTCGCTTTACAAAACATGCAAATATGAGAAGACTGATTTAAAGATTTTTTCTGTTATCATAGAAAATATTATTTGTTACCATTGTAATGTTAATAGCAAAAGCGATGAATCCATAAGGAGGCGATTGAATTATTCTGGTTTAAATTTAAGTAGCCTAACTAGACCCGGACTAGGTTTAAGCTGGGATGAATTGCAATAAAGCAATTTCCCAGCTGGGTCAATAATACTCTTTGCCACAAGCATAAAGCAAGGCCAGCTTGCACTGACAAGGCTCTATATTAATGGTAGCTCATAACTCAAAACGTAGTAAAGGTATCAGTTTGACGTTTTATAGATTGATTGCAGAGTGCAGGAACCATAATTCGCATGGGTAGTGTTATATGGCTTTTCTTTTACCTTTATCATTTCGTTTCGTATTTGTTTATCGGAACCATTTCAGTGATAGCAACTACTTTTTTTACCTTTGTTTGACCTTGCTAATTGTGTAGGCTTTGTATCAGCTCCTAAAACAAAATGTTCAAAAAGTTATTTGTACAGAATAAATCACTTTAACGAATTTGCTTTTTTCATTACAGTCGATAGATGAATATCCGTCCGGAGAGCCATTGTATTTCACGGTTTATGCTGAAAATAGTGCTGGCACTAGAGCAAGTGTAACATGCATGCTTTCAACTTACGATACTACAGAGCCTACCGCCAGAATTTCTCCAGCATTCCTGTCAACGAGCAATCCGAATGTCATTAAAGCATCGGTGTTAGTTCACGACGACTCCCTAATCACTGAAGCCTACATAGGTGTTGGATACGGAAAAGGGAGTTATGGGGATCAATTGATTCCGTGGACACTGCAAAAAATATATGAGAGATCACATGTTCTTTCGGGTGCGTGCTGTAACCGGTTTTCATAGGAATACTAATTGTTAGCATTCAGAATTCCCAATTTGTTCATTTTCTATGTAATCTCTGCAAAAATTGCTGTATTTGAAATTAATATTTTCATTTTAAACGTAATGGAAGTTTTAATGTTTATATTTATAGGTGGTGATCCTTTAAAACAGTTTTCCGACTTAGAAGATGGAAAATTCGTATCGCCTCCTATCTCAACTAAACATAAAGTATCGACAGTAACTGCCTGTGCACAATCTTGTCTAGCACTTGAACATTGCGTTAGTTTCAATTACGATTATGGCCTTAGTGGAACATGTGAATTGCTTCGGTCAGTCAGACAATTTGATGACACTCTTGCAAAGGTAAAATATAAAGGGTTGATTTGCATATGCAATGCACATTTGTAATCAAACACTCGTATAAAATGCTTTTATTGCTAATGGCAAAAGCCGATATAGATGAATGGTTAATATTCAAAATAATGATAACAAAGTATCATTGGCATCAATACTAAGATTTTGATAAATCATCAGTAAGTGTACCAGATTAAATGATATGTTTTGATATCTTTTTAGAAAGGAGTTTCTAAAGTGTGTTCAAGTGTTTGTTAAATTTTGTTTCAGTCCGGCCTCTTCTGTCATTTTGAACGGCTGTCAAGTGGCCACTCTGTCGATGTCAACAGTTTTAACCTTGACCTGCGACACAACCGTCTTCATTATGTTAATATTGACCTCAAGAATGTTCTAGGCTACAGGTCAATTATTCCAAGTGCTGGAATATTAACGGACTTTACATGTCCAGAACCTGGTATTATCTATTTCTTTAGAAAATACACCTTACTTTAACACCCCTCCCCCGGATATAGTTTTTTTATTTCAATATTGATTGATAACGTTGCAAATACCAAGCAAATACAAAGTTAGATAGTAAGAAAAATGCTGTTTTACTTCGCACGCATGTCTTTTATATTTTTTGTTTCAATAGTTATGCTTCACGAAGTGAGAGCATATAGTCGCCGCTTTGTCCGTCAGGATGACCGTCCATCCATCCGTCCGTCCGTTCACATTTTGTGTCGCTTGTAGCTCAAAACATATATGACTTAGAGTCATGAAACTTTACAGGAATTTTGCTCAGCATGTGTAGTTCTGCACCTGGAGTTCCCTTCTGGATTTATTCTGTTTTCTAACACTTATTGCCCTGAGTGAAAATTTGCAATTTTCAATTTGTGTTGTGCATAGCTCAAAAAGTTTTTAATCTAGTCATGAAACTAAACAGAAATGTTTGTCAGCACGTGTAGCTGTGCATGGGGTTTCGCTTGTGGATTTATCAAGTGTTTCTAAAGTTATTGTCGTTACACTTTTAACTTTGTCAAGGACATAACTCTGAAACTACACGAGGAATCAACTAGAACCTTTGTATATAAATAGATCTCATTAAGTAAAAGTGCAATGCACACGAACTGTAACTGTACCTTGCCTTAGTTATTGCATCTTTTTCATTTTTACACTGTGGAAATCAAGAAGAAGTAGTTAATCTGTGTTTAAAACCTGTTCGAGAAGAATCACGTGGTTCAACCGGCTCTTGTTTATATTTGTCTATTAATATGCAAAATACGTATGTATTCAATCTTCTGTTTATTTGACTTTATAGGACCTATCGTCAATTCCTCGAAAGATGCTTTGACAACAGATGATTGCCTTTCACTGATACCTCCAGACCGACCGGAACTTAATAGATACTGTATCGGTATATATTCCAAGAGGCTAAATCACAGGTATTATATATTGATATTCAATGATTTATGATCAGAATGTCAATCTTTCATTGATGCGGTAAAAATTAATGTATTTAATGATTTGAATAGTTAAAAATTGAAATATGATTTACTTAATACTTTGTTTTGACCACGGACATGATATGCTTATCATTAAAAGATGTCCTGAATGACAGCAACAATTTCCTAATTTTTTAAGATTGATTATTGACGGCGAGGGGTCCAGAACGGTGTTCAATGGTGACAAACCTGTATTCGATCTAAAATACACCAGGAGTAATAATTACATCGCTGGTAAGTATTTTATAGATTAGTAATAAAACATTTAAGAAAGGAAGAAAACAAATTAAAGTAAAAAAATATAATCCCCTAGAAACGTCCAAAGCGGCATAACTGAAAATGTTGCTGCCTCGGTTTGAATGGGACTGTTTATGGAAGGCACTAACAAATGCAAATCTGTTTAATATGTTAAAGTTCCACATTTTACATGATCCATCGCAACAATTTAACAATGACATGTATTTCCTATGTCATTTTACGGTAATATGTTCAGGGTTGGAGTTAAGCAGTATTTTTGCATGTGCTCACGTAGCCAGCCAGATATACTCATTTTTGTAATATGTTCGTGTGTCTCAAACGCGTAGAGAGAAAACTGAAACAATATTTAACCAAGATATTTATTATGCAACTAAACACATCAAAGGCATATGGCAACTGCCAAACAATCAATAACAAAACAATCAAATAGAATAACTCTGAAACTGATAAATGTAACAACAATGCATTATTCTATTGATTTAAATATTTATCGTTTACAAAATAATTTAGAAGGATAATCTAACTAACCTGAAACAAGTGAAATCCAGGATATATATTTATTATGCAAATAAAGAAAGTTGTGGCAGCTGCATCGATGCATACATCAGTTACGAGTAACAGTAGTATGATTGCGTTATTAGTAAATAGATACAGTAATGAATATTGGATAACTGAAATTGAGATCATGGAGCAACATGGAATAAGTAGAATTTAACATTTAAACACGAAAATGGTCAAATTTTGAATTTAAAAACATTCGTAGATGTATTCATACGGCGGTTATCATGGAACCTTCAATGTGACACAGTAGTGCCGTTCCATAAAAACGGCGTATGGTCCCCAAATAAAAGAATGTGTGTGTCCTAAACAAGAAAACAATTGGCAGAACGAATAAAATGGAATTTTGAAAGGGGATCTGAGGTTATGAAGACTGCATATCACAGACAAGACGTCAAAAGCCAATTTAAAAACAGGCAACATATCCTAATGGTGAATAAACAGTATTCAAGTAGGAATACTATAACCAGCCAAGTTTAAAAAGGCCAAATACAATATACTAAAAATACCACATACATTGTAACATGTAAACACAACAATTATGTGGTGCTGAACGATCTTCAATGATCGAAAAATAAAACACCTTTGATCAAATGTACGAGAAGAGACTTTTAACAGCCGCCATACTGCACAAATAACACTGATTTGACCATAAAAAAAAGAGAAAAACAGAACCCTTAAGGAAAGCCCAACACAGCAAAATTGAAAAATGTTGCAGGATCTGTTTGATTGAGCATGTATGTTTCTTTCTAACAACAAGTAAATTGTGCGAAAAAGAATTCAAACTTTTAATCTTATTTCAATTTTGTCTTTAAATATCCTGTATGTTTTAATTGATGTTCTATACCAGACTTAAGTGAAATTATATATATGTATATAATTATGCCTATAAAAAAATTTCAAACATCGAAAAATATGTAACATATGTACTGCAAATATTTGTACATATCGTTAAATAATCGTTAAATATCTGCATTCATTTCTTCTTTAAGTTCGGTAATATCTTTAAAGATAATGCTTTTTGGAACTTACAAAATTGATAAATCTTAATTTGAGCATCATATTTTAGATATTAAACCATTTATATAAAACAAAAAAAAATGTGTTACAGGATCTTAAAGCATCTTGATGTATCAATTTTTTGTTATAGGTAACTGGGACGGTATAACCGATGGTGAAACTGGTATACGTGCATATGCACTTGCAGTCGGAAGACACATTTGTGAAGACTCTATCCATCCTCATCATGACCCACATAAACATTTAATGCACGAATCACAATGGACAAACATGGCGATAATTACGGCAACCGCCGATTATAATCCATTCCCACTTCCTTGTATGTGTATTATATATCAAATGATTTAATATAAGATAGATAGATATTTTATTCATATAAGACGTGTACAAAATGCACATGATCACAAAATACATAATTTCAAATATAAATAAACATCACGTAATCATCAAACTTTACATTATTTAGTAGCAAAGTGTCATACAATGATACAAATACATCTTTGGATTGTATTAGCAAACATGGAGAATGAAAGAAAAAAAATAATATTACTAACAAGATAACATTTTTATACATGTAATTATGTCTGAAAATCCTGTTGATTTAATTCCCTGCGTTTAAATGCTTGTGCTATGAAATTTCCCAAATTTAACAAGACTTTTTCTTTTCAGAACTTAGTAAATCAATAAATTTGTACATGCTCGGATTTTTAACATAATATTTTGGTATGGGTCAGAATACTTTTTTGCATATGACTATAAAATGATAAGTTATGACGAAAGTAAGAATAATGTGTAATATTGTTATGGTGAAATACGGGTATACACAACGATACTCTGTACCATTATATAGAGTGCATACTTACCGAAAATACCAGCGTCGCCTATATTAGAAAGTTTTTAAGACTCTTTCTTGTATTTCAATTAAGATATGAATAGTTGATAATGACTGAAAATACTGGTCGTAATTATTTGACAAACAAACTACATCTTAAAAAAGAATCGCGAAATTTTCATTTCGGCGTAAAACAGTCAGTTCACAATTCCTATTTAAAGTACTGTTTGTTTTCTTCAGCTGGAAAGTACTACATGACTGTAAGGGCGATTAATAAGGTTGAATACGGTGGACCACTTGCAACAACAGTCTGTCATACTGTACCGTATATAATTGATATAACAAATCCATTTGTTCACGAAGTTTTCGACATTAAGTATGACGAATTGCAATATGTTGTATCAGCAGAACATAACTCAACGTAAGTCTGCTTGCATGTTGTTTTTAATCCAACGGAAAACTAACACAACATAAACCTACGTGTTAAAAGAAGTAATAGATTTAATTTTTCTCACTTTATTTAAATATATTTCACTGCATTAAAAGAGGAAATACAAAACAAAAATAATTAAATCGTTACTTGATTTATAACTGATAGATGACCGAATGATTAAGAAAAGAAATTGGGATTTAGTCTAATTTACATGGTCTCCTGGCTTTATGCTATCAAATGAAAATTTGGCTTTGCATTCCTTGTTATTTTAAAAGGACTTACATTAACCCCTTTCGATATTTATTTCATTTCAACTCCGACTCGCTTTGTAACAACTTGCTAGGCTCGTTGTTTACTTATGTGAGATCTAAGTACATACTGCGCAAGCAAATATACTTCTTACAAGGGAGTTATGCTGATGAATTTGATATAATTATAAAACTTTATCATTAAAACTCTACTTATTTATACATTACCGTATGTACTGCAGGGACTTTGAATCTGGTATAGACACAGTCGAGTTCTGTATTGGAGACAATCCACGAAATTGTAAGCTGTTGAAATGGACAAGAAGACCAAAGTCGCAGTACATTAATTATACACATCAAATACCTGACGGTATACCTGCTTGGATTCGTTTACGTGTTACAAATAATGGTATGCTTTATTATTCAATTGAAACAGCCACTCTCTGCGTTTACATTGTACCATCTTACAGTCTGACTTTTATATCAGATGGGATTTTTTATTGTCAATAGTGCTTGAATAACTCCTCTTATACCCTGTTCCATGTAAAACCTTGTAAAACAAATTGCGCGCTTTAAATGTCGCTTTTCCAGTGCGCCTGTCATAAATGAATAGCATGCATATGATAAGGAAGTTTCATATATTGCGATTTGCAAAACGTTTGCTACCAATACAGTTTTCATTAGTTATGATAATAACTATCTGTTTTAAAACCTAAGCGTCGATTTGATATTTTTTGTATAAAAAGTAATTTTGTTCGCCAGTATTCGAATTTCTCATAGTTACGTTAATTAGACATGTCAACTCACTAATTAATTTAATTTTCACTTTTGCTATTTTCAAAAAATAGATAAGCATAATTAATAATAAATACCGACTCAATGGACTATGATGGACCATAAGTTACCTTCTTTTCTGTTGATCTGATTTCGTATTCTTGATAACTAAATTAAATGTTCAAAAGTATTTTTATTATTCTTGACAGAAATTTATATTTTTCACTTATCATTAAAGTAAAGTAAATGTCAGTTTTGCAAAACTGGAGAGGATAGAAACATTTTTTCTGGTAAGTAAAACAATTAAATTTATAGTTTTTTTAATTTTTAATTATTTAAACTTATATCACAACAAACGCAGATAGTTCTCGATACAGACGGCTATGAAATAATGACATGCATATTTTCAATAAATATATTTCGTTTCAGTTGAGTTACATGCTGTCGGAAGAGCTGATCAAGCTATCATTGTCGACGCTAGTCCGCCAATAAATGGAACTGTTTTCGATGGCCCATTGTTTAAAGAAGATTTACAATATACCAAATTTTCAAAAAAAGTGAGTTCAATTATAAGGGAAGATATCATTTTTAATAAAATATAGACCTTTTTACGACGCGATCCGTTGCTATGAAAAATCGATCGGAAGTAGTATTTTCTCGCGCATGCGCAATCTGCGTAGGGCAAAAAGAGAATTGCTCTACATAGAAATATAATAGCAGTTCATAGACAATTCCGTTTTAGTTTAAGGTAAAAAGAATAAAACTATATGAAATATCTTTTAACAAAAACATAAAAGATGCCTTTATAGCTTTGTGACCAAGTTTGCCATAAAAATGCATGGAAAAGGCAATTGCTTAAGATTTCTCTCTTACGATCACGAACCTGACATTAACATTTTTTTTAATGTAGAAATATATCCATTAGCAAATAAAGATGTCAACTTCACTGTTGATGAATAGTTAATATGAAAACTAAAGAAAATTTAATAATATATGAAATTGAGGTTAATTACCATTCTGAAAAATGTCAGAACACGTGATAATGCATTTTAAGTTTTCAGTTTACCTGATTTTATCTTTTATCCGATTGATGCCAAGTACAAAATCTTTTAAGTCACATAAATATATTTACATATTTTTTTCAAAATTTTGAAAAATTAAGCGGGGTAGTGAAGTAACACACTTTCTATCATCCGATTTCTCATAACGTATGTAAATGCACGTCACACTGTTTGTCACTTCACAAAATCAATAAACATTGATAAGATTGGTACATGTAAATGTTACTTAAATTACGATTTTCATAATTTTATATGATTAACTATGTCATGGTACTAAAACGTTCCGATTGAATGATTTGTAAACTAGCTGGTAATAACAACCCATCAGGAGTCAATTTGTTTGACACTTACCGCCTTGCCGATGGAAGTGTACATACAAATTGTGTAATATTATATAATACAAGGGTAATTAAATTTAATCTTTAACAACCTGCTGTTTCAATTAATATTTCTGATGGAAAAGTTGTCTAATAATATCTTAAAAAGATGACTTTTGTACATGCGCTGTTTCATTGAATTATTAGTCGCTCATAGTTTCGTATATCTGTTATAGATACAATTCACGTTTAAGTACTATATGCTTCAAGTCATCCCAAAATTACTGTTTTCTGGGTACATAACTTGAAATCTCGTCTATTTAAGCTTTAAAATATGATAAATTGTATACATCGTTATTGCGTTTTTACCCTACGCAGAATGCGCATGCGCGAAATGGAACATTCGTTACTATAGAAAACCCGTAATGTAAAAAGGTCTATAGGGATTGAATTCATTTAAAAAAAGTATCAGTAAATATTTCACTTACAATGCCATTTTCATTTCCCTTCTGTATGTATAATTTCGTTAAATATATTATTCAATAAAAAAAAAACTTTGATTTCAATTTTAGATCTGTTTGAATTGGTATGGGTTTTACGACCCCCAGTCAGGAATTCACTCCTATGAAATTGGAGTCGGTACATCACCAGGATTGACCGATGTAGCACAGTTGAAAACTCTAAAACATAACGACCACTCTTATTGTGTGGACTTGGATGAGAATTCTACACTGATACATGACCATGTTTATTATCCAATTGTATGGGCGAATAATGGAGCCATTAACCAAAAGAACATTTCAGGAATATCAAATGGAGGTACATTGCAGCTAATCCGGTTTCTTGGGCATAGAATGTTTTTATGTTCATGTTGATTAAAAAAGCATATAAAATGCATTTTTCTTTTTAAATACTATAAAAATATTGAAGTGAAATGTTTCTTAATAACAAATGTTTATCACACACCCGTGCCGATTTTGCGACTCCGTAAATATGGTATTGCACGGCCGTGCATATATTTTGACGTGACGTCATTAGCGTTATACAAACATAGTGTAAAGACGCGCTAAATGTTAGCGTTATACTATAGGCGTGTCAATGAAATATGACTCTTATTTCACATTAAACGGTCTTTATTTTTGGCATGTGATAAATAGAATATTAAATTCGTGTAAGTTCATAACTGAATTTATTGCACTCGTTGAATAAAATAATATTATGCTCGCCAGAGGCTCGCATAATATAATTTTATTCAACTCGTGCAATAAATTCAGTATTGAACTTACACTCATTCAGTATCCTCTATGTATGTAAAATTCAAACTGAATGTGGAGCATTTTTCACATGAACATCAACGATACAAACCAATAAACTATTATGGGCAAGTCAACGACCAAACATAACACATAATCTTTTTTAATTTACACCTCGGAATACATATGAACCCATTTAATAGTTTTGTAGATTTGACGCTGATTGATACAGTAATAGAATTAAGTTTTTATACACGATTTTTTTTCAAAGAAATAACAAATCAGAAAGTACATATTAAGGTAAATTATAGTATATAAGAGAACAAACATGTGCAATTCTGTTCGCTCGTGATTTCAATAAAACAAATGTTATTATTTTATAACGTTATCATTTCTTCCCTTATCTTTTCCGCCATTTTTAGAAGGCAGATACAATTCAAACAGTTTAGAAAATGGGTTAACTTTATTTTAGTTCGTGTTGACTTGACGAAGCCTATTGCTGGAACAGCTGTTGATGGAACAGTCAAAAATTTAACAGATTTAGCGTTTAGCTCGTCAAAGTCGACCGTTCAAGTACAGTGGGATTATTTTTATGACAGAGAATCAGGTATTCGAGAGTACGACATACTGGTTGCGAGAAAAGGGTAAGATGTAGAAGCAACAAAAAGTTTGTAACTTAATTCTTTTCTATGTAATTTATGTACTTTATTTAGAAGAGAATCTGCGCAAGTCTGCACCAAAATTTTAAAAACAGCAAATTTCCATCCAGAAATCGTTTTACATTGTAAAATGATATCCCCTAAGCGAACGAGAACATTTTCAAATATATACATGTATATGTACAACGTTAACATTAAGTCAGATCACCCCAACGTGATACGCCCCTGTAAACACTCTTTCAAAATTATTTTTATATCTAAACACGAATGGGACAACTATTACAACAATAAAACTTGTTTTCAAACAATATTTACAATTTAGAAAATAAATATTTTTGTTTTAAATTTTATCATACATGTGCATGCATTTTTACTTATCAATTTTGTCGTTCAAAGAACTTCCAATATTACAAAGAGTATATGTTTCCAATAACCAGGCATGGTAGTGACTGGACTATAATCAAAGACTGGTCGAAGTTTGCAAATACATCAAAAACAGCTGAGTGGAGAAACTTTCATCTGAACCACAAAGACGAAATAAAAACTACTGTCAAAGCAACAAATGGTGCTTTAAATGACGTCGAGATAGTAACCGACGGATTTATTGTAGACCTGACTCCGCCTTTACTAGAGCATTTTAACGACGGGTTAATCAATGGAAAAGATTTGGAATTTCAGGTTGTACACAATGTTATTCAAGATTTAAAATACCGACTTTGAATTGATGATATTTTGACTTTGATTATTTATGAAGATAGTTATTTATATTATTCAATGAATTATATTTTGTAAAGGTTGACGCTACCGAAGCTCATGTGAATTACCAGTTTAAAGACCCTGAATCTGGAATAAAAGAGTTAAGATACCAGCTGCATGAACAGAAGCATGGAACGATGAGGCAGATATATCCAGGTAAGTTATGATGTAGCTAACACTAGTTACATTTATGCTGTTAATAACTCAAATGTTTTATGTTTTACATATTTTTTATTATTGATAGTCACATCTGTATCTCACACTTTCTGAAAAAGGAAACAATCATATTATCAATAATTCATGGATAGCGTTTTACATTTCATAAAATATGACGATAAAGATACTGAAATCGTACGAAAAATACAGAAACCTTTAATAATGAGTGTTTAGTGATATGCATGAAGTAATTTACCCTATAATTTATAGGACTAAAAGGATTGTGGATCGAGATAAGGGATACAAATGCTACAAAACATACTGAGTCAGGATTGACACTTTCTGTTGGACATAAATATATATCAAGACTTGTTGCAATAAACGGTGCTGGTCTTATCTCAACATATGAAACAAATGGCTTCATTATAGAGAACACTCCACCAAAGGTTTGTTTGAAGAACCTTAATATCATCATCAAAATAAATTTTGAATCAAATAACCAGCGGAAATATTATCATGATTAACAAAAACGTTGACTAATAATAAGAGCATTTTTAAAATATGGCATGTGATGGTATTTTGTGTAAAATCTTTATAAACAGCTGTTTATTTACCAATTTGTATGAAACAGAATCATTTAAGGCGTGGCATTGAATCGAAGATATAAGTATGCAGAATAAGAATGATGATTTATTATTTTTAAACTATATAACCTTTTTTTACAGATTAGATGGATTCGTGTTGGTGTACTGAGCGGATTGGAGCATTTACTAGACGGTTATGTTTATCAATCTGACCATGAAGGCATTAAAGTTTACTGGTCGGCAAGTGACCCAGAAAGCGGAATAACTGCAATCCAGTACTCGGTTGGAACAACTAAAGGTTTGAATAAATAAACAAAACAAAAAAACATCAATGATGTATATGATAACAAAAAGTATGATGTTTCTTCAAGCTTAAAGATATTGATAAAGTACCGGGTTTATAAATTTCTGAAGAAATATATATTTAGTTTTAGAGTACAATAAACTATATTTATATTATATGCAAGGACCATTTAATGATAGTCTTACTTTTTTGTTTTAAATTCTCACAGGTTCAGACGATATTATGCCGTGGACAGAGACAGAGACAACGTCTAGCAGTGCATATCTACCATGCTCGTTGAACGATACAGATACAGACAATTCTAACAAACCAGTTTATTATGTGTCACTGAAAGCTAAAAATGGAGCAGGTCTTTGGAGCAATGTGAAGAATTCTTCTCCTATTATTGTCGTTTCAGAAGATGTTACAGGTTCATTTAGTTTAAATATATTTATATAAGCTCGACTGCAAAACAAGTTTATGACAACTTATGTTATCACTTTCGAGTCCCACTTTCTGGAAGCAACCACTACTAGTGTCATATGAAGAAATGTGGTCGTGACCTAAGTAGGACTCGAACCCATGATCCCTGACATGGGTTGATAGACAAACACTTTATTTACCAAGTGTTTTTGTCAAATACCCTTATCTTTTGCAATTTTAAAAACTATACATAAATATAAATTTGTAGGAAGTAGTGTCTCTACATTTTATGCTTGCTCAATTTTTAAAGCAAATATATTATTGAACCTAGAACATATTATGAAAACCCTTTTGACAAGACCCTTTTATACAGTCATACAATTCACAGTACACACGGAGATTTTTATTCCTTTTTATCGTTTTATCGAGCTTTTACTTAATTCTCAAACTCTATTGTCATTTAAATATTCCAAAAGTTTCAAAATATTTTAACCAGGTTAAAAAAGCCACAGCATTGCACAAACACCAATAAAAGGAAGTGTATGACAATAAACATTATCATTTGTGTATTAAATGTAGTCACCTATCATTATAGTAAAAGTGTCTTCAAACATAACACCTGTAGTACACTGTTGATAGATTTGTTACAGAGAAGCTGTATTTTCATATTTAACAGGCATTGTCCATGATGGACCGTTTGAAGATTGGACAGACGATTTAGATTACCAGGCTGATGCACACGCAGTGACAATGAGATTCTCTGGCTTTGAAAGCAGTTTACATGGTATAATGTCATTTGACTGGGCCATTGGCACGTCGCCTGGTGCGGAAGATGTACAGCCCTTCCTTGAACACGGAATTATCCACAATGAGGAGGAAGATGTGATTGGAAACGGTATTGTTCTATTTTTAATTCTACTAACCGTTTTGATGTAGATCTATTAAAATTTTGATCATATATTTTGTAAGAAAAAGTAAGTATAATCATACAATTTATGCTATTAAATGAGCATTCCAGTAAATCATTATTTTTCATGCTCAGGGATTAAGAAATAAAATGATGAGTTAGTGTTTTTAGTTGTTACAATGATCATTATTATTATTATAATTATTAGGTTTAACAAGTTCAGGGTTTGCACAAATAGTTGTTAATCTTGATCATGGTGGAACATATTTTACCACACTTAGAGCTAAAACAAACAAGGGTGACATTTTACAAGCTATAACAAATGGGTTTATAGTTGATACAACCAGGCCAGAAGTTAAGTTTAACAAGTAAGCTTTTCGAGTGCTTTCATATGTCTGGACAATATCTTTTTCATGTTTTTAAGAATAAAAACTTACCTGTGTTGTAAAATTGCGTTTTTGATTTATTCAAAAAAATAGTTTAAATTGTATCTCTTCAAACAGAAAAAAGTTGTTACGTTGTCTTTTTTTCTCGATCGTAAACATGTTAAAAGTTCCAACTACAATCAGTAACCTGTATACACTATTTAAATAACAAATTTAATGGAGTTTAAATCATATATATTAGATTTGTTTGTTATCATTTAAAGCTGTAAAGATTGCTATGTAAGAACTTTAGATAGCATTGAAATGTATTTTGTTTATTTAAGATTGTCAGAATTAACAACAATACATCAACATGCCGTTTTTTATCAAAAAGATGAGTCAGTTCTCAGTGCAGTATGGAATTTCTCGGACCCTGAATATATAGAAAGAGATAGCATAAACAATATAGATTTAACGTGGTTTTCAGTTGGAGCAATTCCTAACATAGACAATATCTATAACATGACTTACCAAAATATTTCATCGGAGACAGAGGTTTCTCTTCCCGTAGCAGATGTAAGGCCAGCACTTCAAGGTAAGGTTGCTCTTATTTTGTTAAATAAGTTTCTGATCAGATAAAGTATACCAGTTCTAAGTTTTAAGTAACTGATAAAATATTAGTAGTATAAAATCAATCATTATATATAGGGTTGCTTTGTAAAAAAACACCAGTATGCCTTTCAATAGATTTTATAAATAATATTAATTTTAAAAACAAAAATAAAAGTAAACTTTTAGATTTTACTAGTAAAAAAACTCAAGATTTGATAATAAAAACCTAATTTATTCATTCAAAGTTTCTTTTGAATTTTACAAATCTAAATATAAGGTGTACTTATCTAAGCTGTACATTGATTACATTAGATAAAACGTTGTAACATATACCGTACATCTTTAAAATACATAAATTAAATAATTAAATGTGAAAATTAATGTGGCTGTTTTTGCACTCAATTATAAAATATTATTTTCTTCTGAACCACTTAAACAGGTACACCAAATGTGATTAATGTTGGAGTAAGAAACAAAGCTCGTCTAGAAAAGTCAATCACTTCGCCACCGATCATTCAGGATAACACTGCTCCACTTGCCGGAACTGTTGAATGCCCAGACTTTGTTCAGGTAGTACATCTAGGACTTATATCATAAATATAATATTCCCTCAAAAAATTTGACATAAAAATGTAGTACGACTTTTGTTATTGTTGTTAATGTTATTTTACCTTTTATGTTTTTTAAAAATCAAGCTTCCTTAACAAGAACGGGATCTAAATGTCTGCATATGAAAAAATAATGTTATATTATTGTAGAGTCATTCAGCTATAGAATGCTCCTGGACTGGTTTTGTTGATAAGGAAAGCGAGATTGCAAAATATTACATCACTTTTGGCTCTAAGTCAGGATTCGATGACTTGGGGCTAGCTGAAGAAATTCCGGGAGATATAAAACTATTTTCTGCAAAAGGTATGTTGTCCCTCACAAACAAACGTTGTTGATAGTTCACATGTTAAATGAAACGCGCAAATACATGTAAAAGTGTCCATATTATTGTTGAATTTAGCGTGACTTATTTTAACGAATGATATTTAGTAAAATTCATTGCTGATTTTCAGATGTTGTAAAGGATCATAATGATAAGATATATGCGACCGTTGCGGCTGAGAACAGAGTAGGACTAACAGTAAGGGCGTACTCTAAAGTTATTGTTGTCGATGATACTCCGCCAACTGCTGGTGTTGTTGTCGAGTTATCAAGTGTAGCACGAATTGATCCAAACAATGTCGACAAAACTGTTCAAATGAATAGGAAAGCATGTACAACGAAACAAGGTATTAGATAAATTAAATTTGTGTTAAAAATTCCTTCAAAACCGGTATGATTGGAATCATTCGTCTTCAATGAATTGAACATTTTAGGAAATGTATAATGTATGTGGATGTTTGAAATAACTTTTGTTATTCCTCTTGTATATAAGTACATACATTGGTGTTTATTGTTTTTTATTAACTTAAATGTTGATATTGTTCTGTAAATTATTTTAATACTGTGTCTGTTATAATAATCAAAAATGTTTTTTTTGCATCTTTAATGTATTATTGAAGAAACCTTTATACTTTTAAGTCATTTATCATTTTAGAATGCCAGAAAATTGATGCAGTTTGTACTGAGGCATTCACACACCTGTCTGCTGCTTGGACTCACTTCAGTGACGATGAATCAGAAATTATTAAGTAAGCTTTCCATTCATATAAGGTTTCTCTGCACACATATAGATCTTTTTCGTCTTGGACACAAAAGTTTTTGAGTATTGAGCAAACATTATTCGAAAACGTATTTGAAATGAAAAAATCATTTGCGGTGCTATATTTTATTTGTTATCACAGTTTTGACAGTAAATAATCTTACATATTTGCATACTTTTACTCATGCTTGAATTTTCACCTAGCATGTTGGTGCTAGATGAGTCTCGAGCTCCAAAATGTTGTCATTTTTTAGGCATTTTAGAATGAAAATGCATTCTAAGGATGACATCATTTCACCCTTATGAATGAAGTTGTAACTTGATACGCTAAATTCAGAAAAGAGTAACAGAAGAAGTGACATTAATTTCCATCACAAATTATTGCATCGATGCAAATAATTTTAGATATGTCAGAATATTCAAGAAACAATGTCATGTGTTTGCGATTTGGATGGCATATCCCTCATTTTAGATGGGTATCCCCGGAGCGGATATTCTACCGAAGTTAAGTTTCCACCTTTGGACGGATGTCCCGATCCGAACTGCGAACAGATATTATCAATATAAATTATTTCTTTAATTTGTATGGTGCATGTCAAAATGACAGAATGATTATTTTCAAGCAAAATATTACTGTAACGAATGCATACGAGTTTTTATAAATATCGATTTGTTTAAACTGTAGTGAGTGTGTTCCAAACAAACAAGCAAATTGAAATATTTCATTATATGGACTTAAATAAACTGTAATTTAATAATTCGGACGGCATGAAAATGATAAACATATATAAGAAACTGTACTCGTATGTTGATATTTTATTTTTGGATGAAAAAGTCAGTTTTTTATATGATGGGGTGGGTGTTGGTGTTTTGTGGATTCAAGAATTACTTACGTTAAGGCATCATTAGTTTAGTTATAAATGAATAATTGAAACTATTTAAATTCATTTTACAGTATACGAAAGTGATTATGAAATTTTTTAACTTGCACTATTAACAAGCAATTTTGTACTTGCATAACTCCCAAAAGTAACTGTATTGCCCGCCAGGTATTTATCCCTGCAGATGAATATCATATATAGCAAGAATAATTCCCATTAACTTTCGGCTTCAGATACCAGCTGGCTATTGGAACTTATCCTGGGGGAGCAGATATATCACCTTTTATATCTTTATCACCAGAATTGAATCACTATACAGTGAAGAATATAGATCTTAAAGGACAAAGACAGGTCTGTTATCAGAAACATTTTATTAATAAAATTTGTATTTTACTATCATCATTTAACTCATTTTAAATCTGTTAAACATATAGTTGAGTTAATCATTATTCTTACCTATTATAAGACATTTTTATACGCCCGAAATAGTTTATGTAGTTTATTTCACAATGCATGAATTTTTACCATTTAACTAGCAGCGTTTTCACAATGTGATCTTCCAAAATAAATCTATGTAATTCAACTTTGTTTAATTTTCCCGGGCAAAACATTCCATATCAGAACACTATGGAACTTCAAGTTGCCTCAATTTCAGTTTCCAACTAGTCCAAAAATTCATATCATCGTACTCAGTGTAAGAATTACAAAACTTTGTGTGAAATTTAGATGTCGTGATATATCTTTGAGTTCAACAATGATTCTTCAGTATTCGTTTTCAGAATTCAGAAATGACGCTTTTGCACGCCAATATAAATTTGTGATATTATGAGGTTTTCTTGCATATCAGACAGGATTATCTAAGATTTACACTAGTGCTAGAAAAAACTGTCTTACACCCACATGTAAGACAAAATTCTTGAAACAAAGTGATCCCTCGGAAGCATTAATCACAACAAAATTACATGAAAATTGCAAACTCGGTTTGAGTCTGTACATGGGGGATAATGAATATGTGCAACATCCCTCACGCCCCTGCATCATTTAAATGATGTCATTGCTTTTGCGATTTATGAAAAATTGCGTTCTTAGGATAACGTTATTTTACTGTTATGAATGAAGTTGTAAGTTCATACGCTACTATAAGAAAAATATGCATAATGAAATATCAGTTTTCCTTGTTTCTTTTCTGCAAATAATTGATATGTAATATGCAAGAAAAAATAATTAAACATGGGCTGATTACATCATTTCAGTAAAAAATATGTCTATTCTTTTACATTTTTTCGTAATCTTCTCCATGAAAATTAAACTTTCATTTGAACAATTGGTATGTAATTGTCTAAACTATATATTAATTTTAACTAGTTTATGTGTTTCATGTTTCCAAATAGGTCATTTGTCATTTTAAATATTCGCGTTGAATATATTTTTAACCGAAGAAAATTACCAACAAACAATTTACATAAATAGGTGTTTGCGACAGTCAAGGCATCCAATTTTGCAGGACATACAACCAGTGCTTATTCAAATGGAGTTTATTTATCGTATCTAAGTCAAGGTTTACCGCCCCTTAAACACGTCGGTATATATGATTCGTCCCAACATTCGGTCGGAGATGTGTAAGTATTTAAAGTTTATTAAAGTCGTTCAACATTTTTTTTTTGCCTTTTGCACTTCCTTTTGCCTTAATAAATACACTTGTAAAATAAAAATAAAGTAATAATACCGTACGATTCTTGCAAATAAAAGTTATTAACATGTATTAAGAGAAGTTATTTTAATTACTTTTTCATAGCCGATCTCAGTTTTATTTGCTGTCTCACTTATCAAGAAATAAGACAAATGTAGCATTTTTGTATTTTTGTAATTAAATAATAAACAATTTATTTTTGTACCACTTTAATAAGCATACTCGTGACTGTTTTAAGTTATATTTATCATTTGGTGAAAAGTTTTAAAAACTAGGTATATGTATATAAGCTTTTTAAATGTTTTTTGTTGTTGTTAAAACAGAGAATTTCAGTCTGACACTAACACGATTGAAGCAAAGTGGGACGTATCTGGTGACCCATGTCCTGTGGTTAAGTACGAATGGTCTGTCAAGGAAACGGATGGAACCGTTATACAAGATTATATTGACATGTTTAGTAAGTAAATAATGCGCTAAGACAATACGCATATTAATGTACCTAAATACATTGCTCACTTTGCCAATGCCTTTTTTAACACTCTGAACATAAATGATGTTCTTGAGCACCTGGAACAGGCCATTCCGTCCAGCTAGCAACAATCATAAATTTATTGCTAGAAATGAAAAATTCAAAGACAATTTTTAGCTTACCTGACCACGTAGTGGTCAAGGTGAGGTATAGTGATGAGGCTATGTCTGGCGTTAACAATTGGGGTGTTAATACTCTAACTAGCAGTCATAGTTTTTATTGGATCATTATCAAACTTTGTAAGAATGTTTGTCTCAATAAGATACAGGCCAAGTTCGAATATTGGTCATCTCGGGTCAAAAACTAGGTCACAGGAGCTAAAAATAGAAAAAGCTTATTAACAATCTAGTGGCTGCAGTTTTGACCCAAATATCCTGGAAATTAATCAGGAAGGTTGTTTTTTATGATTTCTGAGTCAAGTTTTAATATTGATCATTTCCGCTCAACAACTACATGAAGGTCACAGGAGCTAGAAATAGAATAAACTTGTTTACACTCAATTGGTTACAGTTTTGATCAAAATATCCTGGAAATTGGTAAGGAAGGTTATTTTAAGATTTCTAGGTCAAGTTCAAATATGGGTCAATTCCGGTCAAAAACTAGGTCACAGGAGCTAAAAATGGAAAAATCTTGTTAACACTAGTGGCTGTAGTTTTGATCCAAATATTCTGTAAATTTGTCAGGAAGGGTGTTTTAATGACTTTTAGGTCAAGATCTAATATGGGTCGTCTCAGGTCAAAAACTAGGTAACAATAGCTAAAAATAGAAAAATCTTTATAAAACTCCAATGGCTACTGTTTTGATCCAAATATCCTGGAAATTGGTCTGAAATTTGTTTTGATGATTTCTTGGTCAAGTTTGAATATGGTTCACCTGGGATCAAAAACAAGGTCACACTGCCCAAATATAGAAAAACCTTGCAAATACTCTAATGGTAAATTTTTGTCTCAATTGTCATCAAACTTAATCATGATGCTTATTTAGTTCATTGCTTGGAGGAGTTCAAACATGGGTCATCGCTGATGTAAAACTAGGTCACAGGAGCTCAAAATAGAAAAATCTTGTGAGCTCTCTAATGGCTACTGTTGTTATCCAAATATCCTGGAAATCGGTCTACAAGTTTGTTTTGATAATTTCTAGGTCAAGTTTGAATATGGGTCACCTTGGGTCAAACTGCCTATAAATATAGATAGAAATAGATATAGATCTATCGATAGAAATATAGATAAACCTTGTTAACACTTTTTTACTCAATTTTCAACAAACTTGGTCAGAACGCTTATCTAAGACATTGCTCCGATTAGGTCGATGGGTCAGGGGAGCGGTCTAGGGCCATCTTGGTCCTCTTTTTAATTTGTGTGTCCAACAAAAAATAACGAAATGCAAGAATCATTAGGCTCAAATTTCAGCTGGTTCCTCTGAGCCTTAGGATAAATATCGCATAACCCGATATGGTGGTATGCTTTAAAATCAGTCGAAAATTCTGATTTTTTTCAACAGTCTGGCTAACTTCTCTAACATGATTTTATTTTACTTCTAGCCACTACAAGTGGAAGCACTGATCAGTTAGATTTAAAAGAAGGACGACGATACTACAGTCTTTTAAGAGTTCAGAACATATTAGGGTTTGTATATACATTGCGGTCAAATGGAGTAACGATAAGTTCTAACCCGTTGCTGCCTGGAATGGTATATGATGGAGATGTAACAGGATATGACCTAAAGGTATTATCTTCACGTGCAATGGTATCGGCAAACTGGGAAGGCTTTGGAGAATTACGACAACCTAAAGGTGTTAGTGAGATCTTAACAGGTAATTAATTGACATCTTTATAATATTAAAAATGAAAAACAGTGAACTGTTGTGTTTTATAAAACCAAGTGTTGCAAGTTCTGTGGGCCTTCATGTACAAGCTAATATGAATGGGAACTCCGCCACAATGATTTTTATAAATTTACTGCATTTCAACCTTTTTTTAGGAAATAAAGGTGTTGATGCAGGGGACGAAGTTGATCCGGATCAACAAGTTGCTTTCTATGAAGTGGCTCTAGGAACAGATAGAAGGTTTAATAAAACAAGGGACAATGTTGTACCATTCACGAACGTTGGTTTGAATACTTCTGTGACTTTCAAAGATTTGAACCTTGAGCCAGGATTTGCTGTGTACTACTTTACAGTGCGGGCATTTAGTGCATCCTCTTCTTCAGCAACAATAACTTCGAATGGATTCTTTGTTAGTTTTGACGGCGGTGTTTCTGGTAAGTGTTAAATTTTAATTTTGTAAATTTATTCTTTCAAGATATTTTTGTTATGTCATAAAATGAAAAAGAGATAAGAAACATTGTACCGATTTATCTTATTTTTAGTTATTTGTATAAAAGACTGACTACAATGTATATTCCTTTTATAGTTTGCGTCAACTATTTTCTATTTTCTCTCATCGTCATTTATTATTAGAGTATCAATTACATCATTTCACTCTTATTAAATCGGTCTCATGTTTCTAACGTAAATTAATAGAAAGTCGACATAATACGTAACATAATTTTGTTATGCCTATGTGTTTTATGTTCTAATAGCCGGATCAATTACAATGCCGGACTACATAAACTCGGACAAAACCATAAGTGTACAATGGAATGACTACACCTCTAACGTTGGCATTATGTTATACTACATTGCAATTTCTGATCACCAAAATACTACATCAGGGGACTGTAGAAGATATGTAAGCATGAACTATACATCTTTTAATCATGCTATATGAAAAAATAAGTTTTCTTTGAATAAATAGTTTATATTTCTCACATTATTAAGGTTGGTGGTTTTATTGTTGTGCCCGCTTGTGCCTGAAATAGTGCACTGATCACCCGAGGTCCCCTCTTCCAGTAAAACTGGAAAATCCCAATATGATCTTGACAGTGTCGATGTTATTTTAAGCCCAACCAACCGACCTGTTATCTGTGCAAAAGAATTTGTCTTTAAAGATGAAGCCATATCTAGATATTTAAAAATGCCAAACTTTTTTTAATATGCTTTATTAGTAGGAATTAGGATTTTAAATAGAATACATAACAATGTTTTATTCCTTGGAAGAAATTATATATAACATGTTTTCTTTATTTTTCGATTGTTAGGTCGATGGTGGTAAAGCAACTGATAAAGAAAAAGAAGATTTGTTCAATGTTTATAATGTAACTACTGTGGGAGTCAGTACATACGTAAACATTGACAAGCTAACGTTGACGCAAAACTCAACATATTTTCTATATATATTAGGTAAAATTTTTTACACCAATAGTATGTCAGGATTGTTTTTGTATGTTTCGTACCGTAGAGTTTGCTTTTTTGCTAGTGAAATGATATATATTAGACTATATATTAATATTTTTGCTTTCTTTTAATTTGTAGGGCTAGATAAAGCTGGCGAGTGTAACATGACATACAAGAGATTTACGGTTGATGTAACACAACCAGAAAACGGCAAAATAACCGCTGGACCATATTTTGACATGGTAGTCATAACTTTAGTTTTCCTTGTTCTGTAGCAAAAGAAATTATAAAAAAAACTTACACAATTTAGACCCTAATCAAAGGTTTTCATATGTTTAACATTCTTGATGTGTCAATTTGTTTTGTGATTATTATTGATGTAATACAGCTGATAGCTGATGATATCCTTATCTTTATCTTAGCTTAAAACAAGAAAAATCTGTAAATGTGATGAATCCAAAAGCCTTTTTACTACCTATTACTTTTAAACGAAACTACAGTGTATTTTTGTATATTTAAGCGTTCAGTCAAACAATGTAAGGTTTGTGTTATATATCTCGAAGGATTTACATATTTGACAATTGCACTTTTCAGGCTTTAGCATATACTAGATCTAAAACAGAAATTAAAACGAAATGGGAAGGGTTCAATGATGGAGAATCTGGAATCGATACATTTAGACTGACGCTATGGCACGCTGGACTTTGCTCGGCTGAAACAACAAAGACATTAATGGAAACTATTATGGTGTTTGGAAACTACACTGAATACAGATTCACTAATCTAAGCATTGAAGTCAGTTTTTTATATATGTTGTTACTTAGTAGAAAACTTGATAGTAACAGAAATTCTTTAAAGTGCGAATAATGATACAGTCAGTTTTTATTATTGTTCTTCTATAATAGGATATAAAATATTTAATGAATAGAAATACAAGAAATAAATTTTTCGGGTATATGTTTGTAATTGCAATGTCATGCAAATTATTATGCTTCACACGTAACTTCCTTTTGCAGTTAAATACAGTTTACCAGGTGAAAATAGAAGCAATAAATCGCGCAGGATTAATAACATCAGCTGAAACTTCGCCTATATTATTTGATAATTCTATGCCAACAGCGGGTCATGTCAGTGAAGGGTCTGACTTCACAGAAGACCTGGTATGGTGGGGATTTACAGACCATATGAAAGGTATGTATAATCTTAGAATATGTATGTAGCTCTATATACTTTTTGATGGTTTATCAATTTTGCCGCTTTGAACTTCTTTAAAGACGCCGTTTTCTCTACTTCATTGTCATATTCAACTTTCTTTGTGCCGTGTGCATTTTTGCCGCTTTCGGCATTCTTTACGAACTTAGTTTTTCTCTGATGCTGTATTACTTAAGGTGTTATTAATATTAACGATTTTAATAGTTCATGAAAAGAGACACGTGTGGTAATTTTAAATTGGTTTATATTTCTTTTCATTACTTATAGGAACATTGTTACATAGCGCTATTTATGTCAGTGATCCATGTCCGTCGAGAAACATTGCAATGACAGACAACGCATGGAAACCTGTTGAAATAAAACACTTAAATGACCCAGATGAAATAGACTGGAAAATTCAACACCGAGCGGTAAATATTCGTTACGATGCATATGACGACTCAGTGAACATTAAGATTGCCAGGGATTCAAAGGCAGAGCGAATTTATTCAGCAGCATATATGCGTAAAGCAGACATGAAAGATGATGGAATGTACGATGTAAGTTTGCTGAACTTCTAGATTGAAACCATAACTTCATTTACACATAAACTATATCAAATAGATTTATTGATAAAATAATTATTGTACATAGCATATGAATTTCTATATTTATTGTGCATAACGGTTAAAAATTGGAATTGACATGTAGGAACATTCGTTATCGACTTGTTAGGGCTTCCTACTTTAAATCACTTGCCACACAGCGCTGTAAATTCGTACGATTCTCCCAAGTAAGAAAGGCATCCAGCTTGCTTACGGAAGGCCGATAGTTTACTCTATGCCAGCCCGTGTCTTAAAATAATTCACGACGACACCAGTACAGTTTTAATGTCGATAATTTACCTTTACAAAGATAGTGACCTATATTCCAACAAAACAAACACACATCATTGAAATGTGTCTAAATCAGACTGTTATAGCTTTTTTAAATAGATTTCCGTTTAGCTTATTTTCGGAATGTATATGTGTTGTGTATAATGAATAATAAATGTGACAATGCAAGTTCAATATATTCAACAAAACTGATTTTATAAAGAAGCGTCCATTTACTTATTTCTTACAAAACTTATTAATTGTAGTTATCAATTCGGGCTGCTGATGGAGACGGTATGGCGGTTACAGGCGTCACATTCTGGGATGGTGATGATAATGACTTACATATATTTAATCATCAAATTAAAGCTTGGACTGACCTTGGTTCATGTAGCTGCTGCCTTGAATCTAAAACTGTAAGATAATACATGAATAATGTACTCTTAAATGTGTTTTTTTTTAATTTATCATTTGGTATCTATGACATTGTATTTCAAGTAATATTAAATCATTGAAAATACATATATATTATATATACACATATATATGACATATATATTAAAATACTTATAAAGAAGTGAAATTTGAAATATGAAAATTAACTGTTCCAGACTGGTTGTGATTGTAATTGCGATGAGTACATTGGGAATTTGAATATGTATAATGGGACAGTTAATGAAAATACAACCGGTCAAAACAAGTCATTTGATATAGATGGGCCTTCTGTCATTGTTTCACAGCAATCATGTGGTTTTCAAATATATGCAGGTAATATAAAACTTATTCATCAGATGGGTAAATATAACTTTTTTTCAGTGCAATCATGCGCTTTTCAGATTTATAAGGGTAATGAATATCAAGTAATTTATTGTCTATTTATTAATATGAGTCAGACAAACATCACTCTTTTTAAACAGTTTGATATCAAATCAAAGCCAATAATCTGATTCATGAAATCCTAGTTTTGAGTTATTACTGAAAGTTTATAAAAAATCTAATTCAAAAGTAGCTGGTAAAAATCGTGCATAGCATAATAATAGCATGTTTATCTTAATTGACAATAAATGTTCATAGCAATATAAGATGCATTCCTTTCTTTGTTTCATTATCAGGACAAGAACCATATGTAGTGACGTGGTGTAAATTTTTCAACAACACTGATAAAAGTATGTCTGTAAGATCAGAAATTGATTTTAACCCATCGACGGACTTTCACCATTACAGAATTGCTTTCTTTATAGTAAAAGAAGATATCTCGGTAATTGCTCACATATTTACTCTCATTCAGTTTGTAGTGACTAGACATAACATCGGTATGACTTGTAATGATAGTTTTTAGCTTGACGTTTTCGAAGAAAAAAAGAGCTGTTGTTACAGTAATTTTGTCGTTGACGTTTTAAAAGTTTTTCTAAATTTTTTACTTCTCAATGGATTGTCTTTATACTTGAACACAACAAACACAACAAACTTGACCAGCCTGAATTGACATTGTCTGATAAATGACATTGACGTTCAAGGTCAAATGTTTGATTTTTTCTGAAAATTGATTATGACCTCCTCTCATCTTGAAGTTTGAATATATAATTTTGCTCGACTTTGCTATACTTTGCTATTTATAAATGGATTATATTCATACTTGGACTGAACACTACTTTGAACATCATCTTCAAGTAAACCAAATTGATTATGACCTTCACACATCTATGCATCTATGACCTTGACCTTGTAGGTCACAGTATTGAATTTTGCTTGACTTTTTCTATTAGTGTCTATGACTTTGTTATTTATTAATTGATTGTCTTCATAACAGATTTTACGAGTTTTAAAACATGACTGAAAGAACCACTTTGACAAAACCGACATGTTGGATAATTTTAGATGACCTTGACCTTTATTTGATCTGACATATTGGTCAACACTATTGAAAATATCTTAAATTAACATAATTGTGTTCATTATTTACTGATTTGATTCATACTTGGTCAAAAGAACACATATGACAAAACCAACATGTTATATTCTGATATGACATTGACCTTTAATTGACCATCAAGGTCAAATATTAAAGTTTTCTTAAATTGTCATACGTTTTTTTCTTATTATACTTGGACAAAAGAACATTAAAATGACAAAACCTACATGTTAAATTATTCTGATATGACCTTGACCTTTAATTAGCATTGACTTTATTGAAATTTGCTTCATTTGTCATAACTTTGTTATTTATTCACAGATTTGATTATTGCTTTGACAGAAGTACACATAAGACAAAGCTAACTTGTTTAATTGTTTCAGTATATACTTTTACATGACATTTACATGATCAAATTATTGAAATTAAATTAGATTAGATTTTTATATTTTTGTTTTGGATTTGATTCATTCCAGGACAAAAGAATACATATGACAAAACTGATTAATTTCAATGTAACCTTGACATTTGAATGACCTTGACCATCAATTTGAAATTTGAATTATATTTTGTTTAGGAAAATTATGTTTTCTAGGAGTATTCATTACTACAGTATTCTTCTTCCCGATGTGTTTACTAAGTAAGAGGGGCATCCGTGGCTGAGTGGTTAAGGTTGTTGGCTTCAAACCACTTGCCCCTCACCGCTGTGGGTTCGAATCCTCACAGGGTTTTTGAATTCTTTCATGTGATGAAGCTATCCAGATAGCTTATTGGACATCGGTCGTTCAACTCAGGTAGCCGTTCGTGCCTGAAATAGTGCACGAAGGCATATAAGGTCTTCATCTACCAGTTTATTTGGAACATCGCCATATGACCTATACTGTGCCGGTGTGATGTAAATCTCAATCAATCAAACAAACAAAGTAAGAAAACTTTGAGCGTGACCACCGCTTGGCGGTGGCTTATGTTTTATTACCTATCATTTTCAAGATAGTCAAGAAGTAACATTTGTTTAACATAGTTTCAAATGGTAACTTTTTAAATGTGGATTTACGAAATCTTACATGAGAAGAGTATAATATGGAAATTAAATATCAATCTGAGTTATATTAAATGTATTTCTCTTCAAGGCAACTACTTGTATAAACGTGTTTGCGGATGGGATACAAATATCAGAGATGTGCGGATTGCCTCCGCTAAGTATTCACACAAAATTAATTTTACACGTCTGGAATAAAGACAACATAGTTCCAGCTTTAGATGTTTTTAATCTCTGGCAAGCCACTGCTGCTTTCAAAGACCTTGTCATGCCACCAGATGTAAACGCATTATGTCGATATGGTTACCCATTCCAAGGAGGAACAAATGCGATTGTAAAGTATGAGGCAGGTATTGGAAAATCACCAGGGGCGGTTGATATGGTACCATTCCAGGAGGTAAGATATAAAACGTTTAAGTTAAAGAAGATATTTAAGGTATTGATATAGATATTTCACCTGACTTTGTGACATGTACAAATGAGAAAGTATAAATATTATGTTTTGAAATCTTCAATTATTTTTAATTACTATGCTCATATATCGTGAAAATAACATTGTTAATAAAAAAACGTATTTTATGTGTTTGCATTTTCAGGTTATTAAACCTTGTTTACCTTGTATAAATGCATGTTCAAAATATGATTGTTCAATCGACTGTAAATCGGATGGCTACAACTTAACAGACTTTACTATCAAAGATATTGAACTGGACGCTTCCTTTAACAATACACTGTACATTACAGGTAATTGGTAATATTACACAAGTTTTATGAGGCGTTTTTTTACACGCAAGCTACTGGGCCGACGATGAGCCTGGGGCGGTACCTATTTAGGTCGGTGTCGTTTTTGGACAGTATTTTAATTAACAACAAATTTATTATGTCCAAAGTATCGCATAAGAATGATGCATGCATTATCACAAATGTTGTAAACATATAATAATTTTAACACAAAAGTTTATAATGCATATCAGTTAATACATAATGATAATGTTATGTTAGGTTATATCATTTTAACAGATTGGTACTTATTTAAAATAATACAAGGCAAAATGGGGAATTAAGCTTTGCATATGAGAGGTACCATTTATATGAAAAGTACTATAGATTAACACAAAAATAGATTTATATAGTTTCTTAAGTTAATTAAAACATTTCTTTTAATATTTACTTGAACAATTCAGCAAAGAGAGTCTTTGTTTTTAATATTAAATAGATTTGCTCTAAGCTTTCCTATTTTATTATTTACAAAGAAGCTCACATTATAACATTTAAAACAAGTAAATATTTTATGGAATGAGACTTACAACAATTCTGTTATAAACAAGTTTACAAAAATCAAAATAGAGTACAATTTAACAAAAAAAGTAGGAAAAAGACGTATTTCCTACATAATGTATCGCATAAGAATGATACTTTGATTCCGAAATGTCCTATTTTACAACTTGTCTTCGTTTCTGGTACACCATACTTTTGGTTCTTTGTGAACCTGGTTCCAGAAATCAAGAATTTCACAAAGTTGAAGAGTGGGAGGTGCCATCTTGACTAAGAAATCTCTCAGCTTTGGTGTCTTTGTAGTAAATTATGTTAATACTTATCAAGGTGATAACATATCAGGTTATTAAAAGTCAACAAGTTTTCACATTGACAAACATCCTTTACAGAACAAAAGGTGCTAATGGAAGCCATTTGCCAAAAATAACAATTTCAAATGTTTAGAATTCTAAAGCTTATTTTAAGAAAATTTATAATTAAAATCAACCAAATAAAATTTTTTGGAACAAAGTTAAAAATAGAAAAATTAAACTGTAATATTTGAAATCTATGTTTAAAGACAAAAAATCATATTAATTTTAACTATTTAGGTTAAGAATTTAACAAAATGAATTTTTAAAACATTTAACCTTTTTACTTTATATGATTATAAATTATGATGTATTACATAATTTTATATAAGAAAAAATGTGCATCATAATACAAGTTTGTAAACGTATATAATGTATGTAAACTAATGAATTAAAACTACCATTTTTTTCGTATTATTTTAACATGATAGTTAACATAATCAAATTCATTGTTAATCTAGCTCATGAACATGTTTTGAAAACAAACCCTCTATTTTGTTGACATAGAATAAATGGCGCTTCTGCATTGATATACTCGAAATAGCTTAGCCTTACAATTTGTCCGATTGTGTATATGTGACATAGCTATATCTGAAATGTGTCTGAAGGCAATACTCTTACTGTATTTATTTAATTTACGAAAATGTATATTAAAGCAAAGGTTTAATGTTAATGCAAAAAAAAAAAAATATTGATATCAGATAATATACATGCGTTTAAAGGGGAAATACTAGATAAAATATACTAAATGATTTATATTGAAATTGTTATATTTTTATGATTGAAAATAGTAAAAGCTGTCCTTGGATCAGGCGGTGAAGTAATTGCATCCTCAAATGGGTTTTACATTGACATTACTCCGCCGTTATTTGACGAACAAGTGATGATGTATATAGATGTACGGCAAGGAGAGTTTACGCCATCTGACTTCCAAGGATCAAACAATACAATAAAAGCATTATGGCTGTGCAATGATGACAAGAGCGAAATAGAGGTAAAATAGTTAATTACAATGATTATTACCGTAGACATTTTACTATCTGTTAACACCTTTAATGCTACAACTTACAGAATGAATCTTGGCTTAAATTTGGAAAGGAAGCATTTTCTAAATAAGATATCTGTGTGTGTTATACTCTTGGGTATAATTATGACATGATTATAATCATAGAGAAACTTTTCAAACATTACAGGAGTATAAATGGGCTATTGGAACAGACGTCGGCTTTGAAGATTTGCAGCCATATACATCAACTGGAACTGTTTCAACGGCAATAAACGACCAATTAGAAGGACAACTTGAACATAATACAACATATTTTGTTAGTGTAGCATGCACGAACGCGGCAGGTTTAACAACTGTTTGGGAAGACAAGAAAGGCAAGAATTTATCTTATCCATCATTTTAATTACTTACAACTAAGTTTACTTTTACAATTTTATTTGCAATCATACAATAACTTATTTTAAATGTGTCCAGGTGTTACCGTGCTTCTAGAAGCTCCAGACCCGGACACTGTCAAGGCAGACGCAGTTGGTGCTGAGAAATTTACCAAAGAAGTTGTTCCAGCTACAGCCGTTAAATCGGAAGACCCAACTTCTTGCGGGGAATCTTGGACTGTTAGCACAGATCCAAACATAAGACGTTACGGTAATGTTCAAGATTAGTTTAACGATACGCCGATAATACCGTCATTTTGATTTAATTTTGTTCAATATGAAAATTACTTTCATAATCTATGATATAAAGTTTTAAAATGAATTTACTGCTGCTTTGTCATTTCAGATTTCTGCGTTGGAACTTCCATGGATAAAATAGATGATATAATACCATGTGTTTGGGTTGGATATAACATGTCTGGAGTTGTTGAAATTAAAAACGGGTTCCTTTTAATCGACGGCATCAAATATCACAAAATATCTGAGCTCCGTGCTTTGAGCGAGGGCGTTTATGATTACAGTACAGTCAATGACGACGATAATACTTTCCTAATGGAGAGTGGCAGAACCTTGTTCTTATTCATGAGATTGTGCAACAAAGCTGAGATTTGCATCAACAAGTTTGTAAACTCTTTACTGATTACTGATGATAATTCTGAACTTCTAAGTAGTGATTCTGGAAAGGGCGAACGATTTCAGTTGAAGACGTCTCAAGATGGTAGAGTAAAACGTAGCGCCGCTCTAGGATTAAGTTTAGAAATGCCAGAAGGTATACATAACTGTTATCATTTGATTCTATGCAGCAGAAGATAACTTTGCATAGATTAATCTATTTCAAAATGAATATAGGATCTAAGTTACAGAGTTACAGAAGCAACAGCTTTATTTGTAATAAATAAATAATGTTTGATAATAAATAAATTATAATGATTGAAATGAATAAGTTAATTTTACGATAGTTTGCTTACAATATTTACTTTGATTACAGGAATGGAAAAGGGGCAGAGTATTTTATACAATGAGCTATCAGAGGAAAACATGACGATGCGCTATGACTCGGCTGCCTCAACAATATTTAAATCATACATTGTTAACCCAGATGATACGTCCAACCAAACGGAAAGACTTCTTTATAGAAGGTATAATTCACTTTCCTATTTCTGTTATATGTACTGACTATCATAATGTAATTTTATTAACTGCTGAAAGTATTTTTTGGATAACACTGTTTAAACTTTTATTATACCAAGTTATGATTTAAAATCTTAACTTTAAGCATTGTTTTGTATTGCGATGTATTATTACACATTTGATTTTATTTTACAATAAGTTCAACTTCTTAAATATTTAAATAAAAAGAAACAGTTTAATAATTGTAAGTATTTATAATTGACACTCGATCGTCGCTCCACCAATTTCGTATCAATGGATGTTAAATTATTTTGAGATCATCACTTTTTCCCATATTTCAGAATACATGCAATAGATATGTCGTTTACTCTAAGTCCTGTTGGTCAAAAGTCACTACCTGGACCTCTAAAACTTTTATATCCTCATGATAACTCGACTGACGATGAAACAATTACTTTGGTTATTCATTGGAATCCAGGTATATTTATAACAACCTCTAATGCTAAAAATATTTTAAAATAAATATGTATGGGGATAAATGTTTTCCTTTGAATTCAGTAACAAAATCATTTTTGAATTCTTTTCAGCTGGTAAATCACTTTTGATTTAGTTGATTGTTTCTGTCTGTCATAAATATTCTTAAAGTGTATGTGTAAAATTGATAAGCATTATCCTTGTTTCAATCACAGACGTACAGCAATGGCAAATTACTAACAACACATGCATGTTCGATAATGAAACAATCGCCAACAACATTGAAGACTTATCATCTATTCTGGTATGTATATAATTTTGTACTCGCTTCAACAGTATTGTTCATCAAGGTACATTTATAAGATACTTTGAACATTTACTAAGAGCTGCATGAAAACAACTCATTTTGATGAACATGTATTTTTAAAAATTAGATGTTTATTGTACTTACATTGTTGTATAAAGAAGTGCAAAAATATAATAACGAAAGCCAGAGGCCTGATTGATAAATTTCAACCCAGTCGTACAATGCATCGTGCTCTATTATGCAAAAAAATGTTAATTACATTGAAAATTGACAGTTTTTTTTCAATGGCTTTTTGCGGAAAAGTAATAAAACTAAATACTATTTTGTTTCCTAACGTCATATAATTATGACTTTATTCGAGGTGCCAGTATTCATTATTATTATTATTGAACACTACTGTGCATGTATTGTATATTTACATAATCTAGATAAAAAGCAATATTTAGTAAGGAACGTCTGGGAATGATCATTCCTATTCATTCGTGTGTCAACTTTTTGTTAATGAATAATGTTAATCAAATTCCCTTTGAACGTTAAATCACGTGACATAGAAAGTATTTTTCATTAAACACTTTCGCTTTTATATACATTCATATATAATATCATTTGTTATAAATTTTGATGCAGATTTGTGACACCCGTCTGTCTTCTGACAATATGACAGGAAATCAAACATATTTTTCTAAAGAGACCCAGTTTGCACTAGCCGCAGTTTCATCTAAGATATTCAACAATCCACCAACATTTATACATACTACAATCACAATTGATGAAGATTCAGGTATATATATTGTTTATAGTAATCTAAGTGTACTATTCAGTTTCTCAATTGCACTTAACTATTGTTTAACAGTTAAAATAGAATACATTGTAGTAAGTGTGCAATTACAATTGATGAAGTTTCAGGTACTATGAATTTACTTAATTTCATGAGCATGAAATTTCGTGATTTTGTCACAAAGAACATTTTAGTGGGTTATTAGATTCGTGTAATGTTTATTTTTACAAATAATTACATTTCGTTAGATCTTAAATTTGTGGATTGACCTAGATTTACATGTTTACACGAAAACCACGAAAATAAGTTCCTCAAGAAAATAATGATGTTGCAGTATAAATATTGTTTATGGTTATCTAAGGGTATTATTCATTTTCTCAATTGCACTAAAATATTTTTATAAACAGATAGAATAGAATACTGAGCGTGCCAGACTTTACAGACACATGACAGATGCTCATTATTACGTCAGTGCAAACTGTTTATTGAAGAAAACTATGTTTTGATTCGCAATTTTACTTGAAGTATGAACATAATGGTACACCTGTATGTACCTTTCGCAAAGACTGAATCCTGGTCTGAAATCTTCATACTTTTCATTGATATAACAAAGTTATGATTATTGCATATATAAGTACATTCTACTTGTAAAAATAGAACATGAAGTTTTAGTTACAAAGTGAAGTCTTAGATACCTGTTAAAGGATTGTTGTATCTTCTATGATACAGTGTTGATGATCTATTGCATTCCAGCTGGCTTCTCTATTAAAGTCTTATTGAAAGGAATATTTTAATATTATTTCATTATAAAGAAACCACACAGTTCCAACTCATAGCAAATGATGCTGAAAAAGACCCTTTTATATACAGCCTTGTAGCCGAGAACAATGCCTATTCATTTGGAAACATTTCGTTGATCTCTGATGGACTGTAAGGATAAACACTTTATTTGTATATAGTGATATTTATTCTTCAAGTTTTTTGTGTCGCCTTGAAAAAGGCGACATATAGGGGTTACTTTTGTCGGCGGCGGCGTCGGCATCGGCGTCTCCTTAAGCTTGTCCTGAGCATAAGTCAGTCATTATAAGTTGGATTGACTTCAAACTTGGTATGCGTGCTTCTTATAATAACCAAATGTGCAGTGCACAAGAATCGGTACTCTGCATTTCTTTATATTTGAGTTATTGCCCTTTGTTAATTTTTATACTTTATTTTTGTCCGGGCTATTTCTCCTAATGTATAAAAAGCTATGGACTTGAAACTTCATAGGATGATAGATCTCATTAAGAAAAAGTGCAGTGCACAAGAATCGGTACTCTGCATTTCTTTATATTTGAGTTATTGCCCATTGTTAATTCTTATACTTTATTTTTGTCCAGGCCATTTCTCCTAAAGTATATAAGCTATGGACATGAAACTTCATAGGATGATAGATCTCATTAAGAAAAAGTGCAGTGGATAAGAACCGGTACTATGCATTTCTTATTTTTTGAGTTATTGCCCTTTTTTTTAATTTTCATACTTTATTTTTGTCCTGGCCATTTCTCCTTAATTATAAAAGCTATGGACATGAAACTTCATACGATGATAGATCTCATAAAAAAGTGCAGTGTACAAGAACCAGTACTCTGTACTTCTTATTTTTTTAGATATTACCTTTTATTAATTTTCATACTTTATTTCTGTCCAGGCTATTTCTCATAAATTATAAAAGCTATAGACTATAGGATGATATTTCTTATTGATGAGAAATGCAGTACATAGAAACTGCTGCTCTGCACTTCTTATTTTTGAGTTATTGCCCTTTGTTAATTTTCATATTTCATTTTGTCCTGGCCATTTCTCCTAAACTATTTGTTCACAAGGCGACACATCCGACTCGCGGAGTTCTGGTGTTTCAAAGAAATATTAAATTCCATACAGTTTTAAAGTTAAAATTAAAATAAATATTTATTTACCAATAAAAAAATATACATTTCTTTGAAAGATTTAATATTTGATATATAATCACACTTAAAGTAGGATGATATATATATATATATATATATCATACATCTTACAGATTAACTGTCTCACTGTGTCTAAATTGTTTTGGGACATCTACGGTAAATTTTACACTTGAAGACCAGCCGTTATGGGAGGATATAATGCCTTCTAGCGCAAACTATTCAATAGACATTAATGTTCTGCCTGTAAATGACCCACCTGTTATCAGTGCATTTTCTGAAGATGGGACTTTTATTTTACATGACGACCCCACTGAACCTATTATGGTAAGTGTACAAAGTAATTAGATTCATAAAACGTTCACATTGCAACTTATATCATTACCTATTATTGCAAATAAAAACAGAATCATACCCTAAAGCGATTTTACTTGTGAAAGTACTATTTCATCATAAATTCGTTTTTATCATTGAAAACAAATGTATGCAAGATTTCCATTTAACTTGAATATTCACAAAATATGAATTATTACGATTTAAACCCTAAAATCATTTATCTGTTGAGAAACCCAGGTAAACTGTAATCATTGTATTTATTAATGAAAGAAAGAAAACAGCAAGTATGGTCATTGATTAAATGTGCTTCCCATTTCAGTCCATACCATGTGGTATTTGTTTTAGATAGAATAACTACAATTGCCTTAGAAACTAACAATATGGGTATTAATTCAATTGTAGATATACAGAGAACAAGTTGGTGAAATTATATCTAAAGTGGCGGCGATAATAATCGCTTATGACGTTGATGGACCACAGAATTTGCAAATGAAACAATATACAAACAATGATTCCGACTCTTACAATACCAAAGATGTATCCTTGATGGAAATGCAAACCTACATGGCGTGCTCACATGGGAAGGTATTAAAACGTTTAGCTGAATAAAAGATTTACATAATTGTGTCAGGTTTGGTATGAACTTCAATATATAAAAACCATGTTTAAAAATGTTATTTAACAAGATTGCATGGAAAACTAGTTAGATTATTTTGCGACTTATTATTTTAATCGGTTTTCCTATCTTTCTTATTTCAGTGTAGCTTTGATACTTTGCCAAATCCTTCAAGTGCAGCATGGAAAGGCGTCTCTGTCATATATACACAAGACAACACATCATTTGTTGGTATAGAAACCATAAAACTTGTTGCACAGGATGAGAATGGAACATTCTCTGACGTCGTGAATGTCCAGCTTGTAATTATGGAAAATAAATGTCAACATGGAAAATGCTTGAGTAAGTACAGAAATAACAGTTTTTTTAAAAAAAAACAGGGTAAGTGAAACTTAAAGTGAATAGGTCTATAATAAAATGTCTGTAATACCGTAAATAACTATGTTCACAGTATTGGGTATACAAGATAAATCATGAAAGAATTGTATATGGATGTTGTTGATAAGTGTGGGATAAATGATATAGTACGACACATCTTTATATAGCAGATAATAAATTGTTCCAGAACAAAATATTATTATTAATCATTATTATTAAATAAATGTTCATACTAAACCAGTTAGAACACTATCAACATGTTTGTTTGTTTCTTTTCTTCTTTTTTTTCTTCAAAAAATATATTATAAGAATATTTAAAATGAGACATTTTTATTGTTTTCATCAATATTTGAGATATTTATGGGAAACATGCTCATAATGTAGACTAATTCACTTAAATACTTAACAATGTTTTAATATTTTACACAAATATGCTGTGTGCAATGCAATAATAATAATAATAATAATAGATTATCAAATAAGCAATTTTATTACTTCAATTTATGCTGAATGAAGTCTATTGAATATTTTTCGCCTCGTTACATAAGTGTTTTTGTTGACTTCACAGGTTTAAACCCGCGTCAGTACACTTGTAATGACACAAGGAGAGCTAATAACTTCGACAAATACTACACGTGTGAATGTCCAACCTCTTGGGAAGGACCTTATTGTGAACAAGACGTTGACGAGTGCGCACGAGGTTTCTGCGAAGCTTGGAAAGTTTGTGATAATAAAATTGGAAGTTACGACTGCTACTGTAAGGCAACGGACATAATCTGTAAACTGTCTCTGGAGGTTTGGGAATTTGCTGTTATTGTAATTGCAATTGGTGTTGTACTCCTGTTTGTAGCTGGCCTCTTAATATATAGGAAAATGAAGTAAGTTTCTTGAAAGTTAATATTTGTTGGTTTAAACAAATACTAAATTTAATGTTACGTTTAAAGTTATTGTTTATCGCCCTTTCGCGTTTCCAATTAAGAGTTTTTTATATATTCTATATCCGTAAGCGTGAAATGTCTTTTAACATGTTTTTATGTATAAACAGAAATAAGTAATGATGCGTTTTATTTTGACGCCAAAAGACGTAAAATCACGTCAGTTACTATAGTAATAAAGGTGTCTGTTATATATTTACCATTTTCATTTAAGACCATCAAATATTTAGAGCTAGAAGAGCAGGCCCGCAGTGCCTGCTTCTAAAACGGATTTTTCAGTAATGCAAGTAACTTCAAAAGAAAATTGGCCAAGAAGTACAGAATATAATGTGGGTAATAATAATGTCTCGGTCATTGCCTTATTGTTTGGAACACGCAACTATTAGTCCATTGAATGCGAAATCTTGGCGCGTTTACAATTGTTGGATAAAGTATCATTTTGAATTAATCTATTGTACGTAAAATTTGACTGAATAAAATAGTGAAAATATGGAATTTTATTTCATCAATTTGACTGAGTATTTCATTTATAAGTATATAATAAGGTGAAAATAACCACCTTTGTAAAATAGTTATTCATAAAATACGAAATAAATAGAAATAGACGTAGAATCAATATCAACTTCCGGTAGATTCCCGTTTCACGATTATGGAAAAATGCTCATTTTCCCGAAATTAGATTCTACGTAAGTTGATGACGGTGAAGGCATTCAATTAAGTTATGAAAAACGGGTTGTATCATAGTTTCCTCCCTAGTGGGTAGACGGGCGGCGTCCATTTTTTGTCTGGAGCATATCAGTCCTACACACACAGAGGAATTTTAATAAATATATGAAAATGTGTATTCGGACCATTTAGACATCATTATTGAGGGATTGAAACACAAATTGTCATTATAAAGACTACTGGTATAAACCATGTGATTTAGGTTTATAAATGCAATGTTAAGGTCACTAAAGACGATAGTCAAGGTCATCAGAGGTGATAAAATATAGAGATTTTGTCCAAACTATATCTCCTACACATATGGAGGGATTCCAATCAAACTTCATACAAATATTTACCACTATGAAAAAACAGTGTCATTCGCATGAACTATGTCTCTAGGACAAATATCAAGGTCACACTTGGAGGTTATTGAAAACACTTCTCCAGAGCAAAACTGTACATGCATAAAGGAATTTCAATATAACTTGGCACAAATGTTCACCATTGTAAAGCGGATGTCGCGTGCAATATTTAGGGCCCTGCAGCCAAAGTCAATGTCACACTTAGGGGTCAAAGTTCAGATAATAATAAGAAAATGTGTATTCGCACCATTTATTAATCATTTATTTAGGGATTGAAACAAAAATAGTCATTATTATAACCACCAGTATTATCATAATCATCGGTTTGAAACATGTAATTTCGGTTAATATATGCAAGGTCAAGGTCATAAAGATGAAAAATTATAGAAATTTTGTCCAGAGCATATCTCCTCCACGCATGTTCAGATTTTAATGAAACTTCATAGAAATGTTCACCACTACGAGTGCCTGAACCATGTATCTAGGTTAAAGGTTGAGGTCACACTTAGAAGTCATTGAAAAATGCTTGTTATGAGTTGAACTTCGACATTGGGGGGATTTTAATGTAACCTAACACAAATGTTCATTATTGTGAGGCTTATTGCGCACTAAATCCAGGTCCCTGCTACCAAAGTCAAGGTCACATAGAGAGGTCAAAGTTTGTGTACGGGGATCATTTTTTTTTTATCATTTATTGATGGTTTGTAGAAAAAATGATAACTATCATGACTACAAGTGTGACACATGTAATTTAGGTTAATATTTGCAAGGTCAAGGTCACTAGAGATGATAAAATATCGAGATATTTTCAAGATATTGCCTTGAATATAATTCTTATATGCATATCTATAATGCCCAAATATCTATCAAAAGCTTTTGTGATGGGCATTGGGTGAATTTGGCGATAATGTTGACCTTGTTATTTTTGTTGTTGTTAGTGATCTATTATTGTCATTGACTTTTTGTAGTTTTTTGTGTTGTTATTGTTGTTGTTGTTTTTGTTTTCTTAAATAATTCAACATTGCAAAAGAATACTTGTCAATTAAATCCTTGTCAATTAAGTTCCCAGTCATTTTTTGTGTGACAATTCTATGTATTAAAATCAAATGATTTGTTGTTAATTTAGGTTAAAGAAAGAAGCTGTAGATAACAAAAAGGTAAGTACATACTACTTCTTTTATAAAATGTTTCCTTTACAAAGTAAATGCATTTATACATTGCAATGGTTTTAATATAAGATTTTTGAAACTGATTTCAAAGTGAAAAAGGAACAATGTAAATAAAAAGCTCAAATAATTAAACAAGAATATAAGAGGACTTTGGAAGATTTTGTAAAACGAAATCATCGAACGAGTTGTATTAAAATTATGTTATGTAATTTAAGCCTTTAGCAAGCATTTCATTCAACAAGTTAAATATTTTAGTAATGAAAGTACACGAATATGATATTTCTATTTATCACATATCCAAAAGACAGAAAAAGAGTCATTTCCTATTGATGTTTTAAAACTGAAACGGTAACACTAGCATGACCATACGGTATGATTGTTTAATGCATACTACATTACGTCACAATATATGCAAGGTCAAACCATACCATTTGTCGGATTCGGCAATGCGGCACAGCAATGTGATAAAGAAATACAATGCATTACCAATATCCATCGTATCATTTGCGATATATAAAATGGGTAGTTCCAGATTAATCAGTTGGTCTTTCTGGTGCGTACTATCCGTGCTTGATAGGACGGATGGACCGTCACTGAGCGCAGAAGAATGACATAAGTAGGTCAGAAAAACTGAAAAAAAGGACATTTAAATGAAAGCTTCAAATTTTTAACCAGGTTTTCCGAAGGAAAAAACTGGTTATTAGACTGAGGTATGTCGGCGGGCGGATGGGCGGACGGGCGGGCGGGCGTAAACAATTTCTTCTGTGCGCAACTCCTCCTACATTTTTCAACGGATTTTGACCAAACTTTCACAGAAGCTTTGTCATCAAGTGACCTGGCGCATATTGTCGGGGTTTTGTGATTGGATAATATTTGACCTAATTATGGCCCTTTGTTTTTCTTCCTTATATAGAATATATAGTGAATAAATTCTTCTGTGCCCAACTGTTCCTACATTTCTCAATGGATTTTGACCAAACTTTCACAGAGGCTTTGTCATCAAGTGCCCTGGCGCATATTATCGGGGTTTTGTGATTGGATAATATTTGACCTAATTATGGCCCTTTGTTTTTTTCCCCAATATATGATATATAGTGAACAATTTTCTGTGCGCAACTCCTCATACATTTCTCAGCGGAATTAGACCAAACTTTCACAGAGGCTTTGTCATCAAGTGCCTTAGGGCATATTGTCAGGGTGTGGTGATTGTATAATATTTGACCTAATTATGGCCCTTTGTTTTTTTTCCTTATACAGATTATATAGTGAACAATTTTTAACATGCGCAACTTATCCTACATTTCTCAACAGATTTTGACCAAACTTTCACAGAAGCTTTGTTATCAAGTGCCCTGGCGCAAATTATTGGGGTTTTGTGATTGGATAATATTTGACCTAATTATGGCCCTTCGTTATTTTTTCTTATATAGAATATATAGTGAAAAAATTCTTCTATGCTGAACTCCTACATTTCTCAACGGATTTTGTTCAAACTTTCACAGTAGCTTTGTCATCCAGTGCCCTGGCGCATATTGTCGGGGTTTCGTGATTGAATATTTTTTTTTATTTTATTATGGCCCTTTGTTTTTTTCCTTATACAGAATATAATTATAGTGAACACTTCCTCTGTGGCAATTCCTCCTACATTATTCATGTTTTACATTGCACATAGTAACATTGTTTGTTGCTTGTATTTGTATTTCAAATAAAACATATTTATCTACAATGGTGATACATGTAATTGAAAACCTGGTTTCATGGCATTGCCATGTTTCTTGTTTCTCATCAAATTACAAAGCCTAGAGTTTAGATATTTTTATGAACCTAAATCATGCCCGAAGGGTGAAATTCACACCGTCCCTGGAATTATCCAGCTTATATGGACTTAAATAGCAAAATACATTAAAGTCTTTAGTGAAACTGCAATGTCAAGGGCTTAGATAGTTTACATGTACAATTGGAACTTAAAGGTTGTATAAATCTTGTCCCATGGATAAGAATGGTCCTGTCCTTGAGAGTCACTTAGTTATTTAGACTTTTAGTTCCGCCCATTGTTTTCTCGTTTAGGGCACACGCGTTTTATTACTTGGGACCATACGCCGCTTTTCATGGAATGGCACGGAAGTGTCACATTGAAGGTTCCATGATTATTGATAACCGCCGTATGAACACATCTGCGGATGTTTCTAAATTCAAAATTTTACTAATTCATGTTTAAATGTTGAATTCTGCTTAAGCCGGTGCTTTCCAGTACCGTCCATGAACAGGCTCAATCAAACCGAGCCTGCAACATTTCAATTTTGCCGTGTTGGGCTTTCTTTAGGGATTCTGTATTTATCTATTTTATGATCACATCCGTGTTATTCGTGCCGTGTGGCGGCTGTAAAAAGTATCCCCGTACATTTAATCAATGATGTTATATTTTCGATCCTTGAAGATCGTTCAGCTCGAACTTATTGTTGTGCTTGTGGAATTTTTAGTTTCAACTTTTCGGCATTTTCTAGTTGGGTGGTTCCAATATTCCTACTTGAATAATGTTGAATCACCCACAGGATATGTTGCCTGCTTTTTAATTTTGTCTTTTGACGTCTTATAATTAATTATCTGTGATACGCAGGCTTCATAACCTCTGATCCTCTTTCAAAATTCCATTTTATTTAGTTCCGCCCATTGTTTTCTCGTTTAGAGCACACGCTTTTTATTACTTGGGGACCATACGCCGCTTTTCATGGAATGGCACGGAAGTGTCACATTGAAGGTTCCATGATAACCGCCGTATGAACACATCTGCGGATGTTTCTAAATTCAATATTTTACTAATTCATGTTTAAATGTTGAATTCTGCTTAAGCCGGTGCTAGGGGGCGTGGACGGTAACTTGCACTTTCCAGTACCGTCCATGAACAGGCTCAATCAAACCGAGCCTGCAACATTTTCAATTTTGCCGTGTTGAGCTTTCTTTAGAGATTCTGTATTTATCTATTTTATAAAGTAAACGTGTCTTAAAAACCTCTCCCCGAGACTACAATACCCAGAGTTAAGATTTTCATCATGTAGCATAACATGGTTGTTTTCTACAAAAGTTATAAATATCTTGGTCCTGGGGTTAATATTGACCCCTTCCCAGTGTCCCAACTTAGTTGTCACTTAGTTAATATTTGTATAGGAAAACTCATTATTATTAGGTTTTGGCTATTGGTTATTATATCAGCTGTTATTGATAACCGCCGTATAAACACATATGCGGGTGTTTCTTAATTCAGAATGTCATTGTTTCCATTTTAAATTATTCTTAAGTCGGTGCTAAGGGGGCTGTTCTTTAGAGATTCTGTTTTTCTAAATTTTTGAACTGCTATGCCTAGAGCTCAGATTTTTTGCATGCAGTCTTTTGGATATCTGTAAAAATCAGATCATAACCCCAGGGTCAAAACTGGCATCATCCTTGCGGTCATGTAGTTTATATGGACTTATAAAGAATAACACATTTAAGAGTCTTCTTATGTGGAATTCCAATGACCAAAGCATTGATATTTGCCATGTAGCATTTTCTAGCGGACCACAGTTATTTAATAAATCATTTAGCAGGGGTAAAAATGCATCACCATATCTGACTTATTTACTTATGTTTGAATTGATGTAGTGTGGCCTTTTTAGCAAAGTATATCATGTGAGCAATCTAGGGCCATCATGACCCTTTTGTTAAATTACTGTTTTTCATAATAGACATAATAATTCAATGTTATTTGAACTGTAGATTTCAGAGCCAAATATATTTGCGGAACACATCTCTGGAAAAGAAGGGGTAATGATATTTTGATATATCTTCCATTTATAAACAGAAATATCTTATAAAATAGTTCACCTACTAGCATAGCTTCTGAAACTTAAATTTATTCTAGTCTAAGAAAAATGGCTAGCTCTTTACAAAATTAGCTTCTTAGGAGTTTTTGTTTAACAAAAGTTATTCCAAACTCTTTCATTAAAGCATCTATTTATGAATTATTTCATTTTTGCAGATTCTGGGTCCGTCAATTCGACGATTCGCAAAGGTTTCACCGATGTATTGGGTAAATGTTATCTAATATATTCTACATAATATTGTCATAGACCTGCTGAGCTTATTGATTAAACATAATATCCAATTCTAAAAGATATATCATTTGTGTAAATTAATTAAAATTTGAATGTTTGACAAGTGTATAAGAACATCTTGTGAAATGATATCATTAAGTTGAACCTGTGCGAGATTATTCTTTATATGACAAAGTAATGCCACTTGATGAGGTTAAACGTTACATATACACTGTTAAAGCACGATACTTAAATCACCACGACAATTCCCTTGACTCCCCACCCCACACCGTTCCAACTCCTTTCCTACCTTCTCACACAGTTTCCCTGAAGTTTACATTTTATATTTCAGGGTGAAGATGATGCAGATCATATTTCCAATGCTCCTCCAATGTCAGCATTTATTTCACATACCTTACGTGCTGATGTACACAGAGTAAGTTGAAAAATAACTTTAATGGAAAAATATATCTGAATGTGTAAAAATGTGTTAAAACGTAATTTTTCGGTTTTGAAAATTAATATTGAATGAATTAATCTAAAAATGTATCATTTTAATGTTTTTGTACGCGATTATGTATACATATATGTTGACTAAACAAGTATATTCCATGATTAATGCATAAAAAGTAAATAAAGAAACATTTCGAAATCAAACGATATGTTAAAGATAATCTTTTTGATAATGTTGAAGATACAAGTAACTAATGCAAGTTATTTTATGGTAAACATACATGTACTCAGCAAATGTTTATATATTGTGTAGATATATATGACAGTTGAAATTGATAAACATGATTGACAAAGTTGTTAGATGGTGTTAATACTTGTGGCTTTTAGAAGTTGGTAAATGACATGTAATTGGGAAAAAACAAGTTTAATGTAGATACAATTAAACAAAAAGAATCTGTTTTGCACACTGTCAATTTAGAATGGAATACATTGTCAAAAAGTGTAAACAGTTGTGAATTGAACAAACCATTCACCATAGATTTTGATTATGTCTCCCCTCAACATACGAACATATTATGTTCTTTTCTAAGGTAAACAATGACGAAACTGAAACTGATAGTGACTCGACGTCGGAGGATACTTCTGTACAAGAAGAAGACTTGTATATCCGGGGAACGCTGACACAGCCGATATCAGAGGAAGATACTGCTGGGACGTCAATACAACCTGTGTCCCCAAAAGACTTGGCAATTGCTGAATCATCAAAAGAACCCGAGTCTCCGGATGACTTGGATTTTGAAGGGATGTCAAAACAACCTGTATGTATGGAAGACTTGGACATTGAGAGAACATCATTACCATCGATATCAGAAGACGTAAGTAACTATGACTGTAAATATCGTTTGAACTGCTTATAGTTAATAATTGAGTTCAGGGCCAGAATTTTATTGACATCTACATGACTTTTTCCCTTAAGTAAAATGTAAGTCCGAAAATATTTGAAAAATGTGTTTCTTTTGAAACTTATATAGTTTTAAGAAGATTTGCTTCAGTTTTCAAAAAAGAGATATGGAAAATGCAGAAAACATCATTATTCTGAGAAAAGACTTTTTGTTATTTATGTTTTTCATTTTATTTTTCTTCATAATACAAACTTGAATGGACTTGCATTATTAATTTTTGCTCCATTTGTATAGTTTTAGTAGATGTTTTAAAACGGTCCGTTGTATGCCAATTTTTGACGTTTTGAACAGTCACTCTAAAGGAAATCAAGTACATAAAAGGCAGAAAAATGTGGGCCTTGCTTATCATGATTCTTGATTATCTCCCTTTTAAATAAACAAAGAATAAAATCTAAGAGAGATTACTCCAAAATTAAAATGTCAGCCTCATTTTGTTGCTATAAATAATTGTGTTCTCATATTCTAAGATCATGCAAGTTTAAAAAACTTCTATGATTTTATGTTTCATTCCATCCATATTTCTATATAATGACTGACGCGAACGTCTTTAAATTTATTTTGGAGTTATATTTTGAAATGTAATAATTTTGAAATGCAATAATCATTTTTTATTCGCTTGCATGTACATGTTTTTCAAGAGTTTGTGGTTTTATTTGCACATCTGCTAGCTGACAATCATTGTATTTTAACAAGCAAAACAATGACCTATGTCGCGGCGCAGATTCCAAGCAGGATTATTCAATGATCATTATATAAATAGTACTACTAGTTATTAACAGACAATGACCCTATCATAGGTTATATCTTTAGGGATGGATGGAAAATCTGGGGTCCGTCTGAATGTTAAATATAGTAGGGAATATTTTCAATGTGTCAACAGTAGTGATATTTTAGTGAAGTAGGACTGTATAATCCAACATCGTGTCCATAGCTACGCGTAAACATCCATATGTTGTTGTTTTTTTTTTGTTTTTTTTTTTTTTTTTTTGGCCTTACAAATTGCAAATGTTTTGATGTCTGATATTTACATAATATTTATGCATACAAATCTCTTAAATTATAGGCTGCCCCAGAACAACAAAGTAATGTACCTTTTGTACATCCAAAACCAGAGTTCAACTTTTTTGAACTTGCAGAGGAACTGAAGCGAAAGAGGGAGGAATTTGAGGTAAAACCAGAAATAAACTAACAACATTATGTCTAAGAAATTAGAAAATCAGAGAGTAAGGATCATATATAAACAACTTCACGACATTTTACAAACTTAATACAAGCCAACTTTAAAGTTTATCAAAATCAAATAAATATATAATCTCCTAAACATGTTTTTTCTTCTTCCATACATATATTAATTACAATTCAAGTTGTGCAAAATGCAATCAATTTTAGATATGTCCTTGTTTGGGTGCGGTATACAAAAAGGTAATGATAATGATAATAATCATCATGAATTATTGTGATTTTAAGGCAAATCCAAAGAGAAAGAAGGAAGTAATGGAACATCCTCCTCCAGAATTAAATCCAACTCATGCAACGTCGAAATTTCAAAAACGAAAAGCAGGACCAAAGGTAGATTTTTTTTAAAAAAATTGTTTTTGCAAAAATATATGTATTACTGTTGTATTTATTTTGCTAAAGATGTATGTGTATAAATAACCATATATCGAAAATATAACACTGTACCAAAAAAAACACGATTATATAATGTTGTTTGCTTTGAACGTGTAGAAAAGATGTATAACATACACTTATGTTTTCCTAGTTTGGTATTAGAAAAGACTGCCAACCTACCTACCTATATACCTAGCATTTAATTCAGTAACAATCTACGTTGTCCGCCAGTTTAGCTAAATAGGGAGAGCATCTGAATAGTAAACCAGTGGTGGTTAAATTGGTTCAATCCTCGGGCGAGGCGTAATTTCTCCCTGACAATTGATCTCGAACATTGAGTCTAATATTCATTTTTCCCTCGCGGCTGTTTCAGAATTTATATTGTATAAGATCTAGTAGTCGGGCAGCTTCGGAGGAATTTGTAATTACTGGTTAATTATCCAGGAAACTCTTTTAGTTAGATCAACCGCTGGGATTTGATCATAAACGAATGTAAAACCGGGGCGCAAACCAAAAACCTGGGTGCAAACCAAAAAAGAGATGCAAAATAGTTGACCACTAATCGCATATGATCATAAATATGTGTAAATTCGGCGTGCAAACCAAACAAAAATAAATAAGCAAATAGTGGAAGTTAAATTAATATATATACAGACTTTAAGTTAAATTGCTATCTACATAAATATCAAAATGTTTAATATCATTGAGTAGGGTTTTTACGCAAAATATGTTTGATAACAATTGAGCCGATTAAACGCCAACTTTAATCCTCATATTGTTCCGTTTGAAAATTTAAGGTATTTGTCATATTCGAACTTCTTTCATAAATATATTTCTAATCACAATGTTTACTTTAAAATAGGCTTATTATTCTATTCAGTTTCAACTAATTCTATTTTCAGTCAAAACCAAGCTTTGCTAAAACGAAGAAGGCAAAAACAAAAAAACAAAAACAGCTTGGGCATACGAATGCAGGACAGGATGCTGATCATGACACAGGTTATAATCTCATTCAATAAGTTAACTTTTTAATACATAACTTGCAAATTATACTCGTATAATATGACTGGTTTATTATTTGATATATCTATATTATATTTTGATTGAATGGCAACGTGTAAAATCTTATAACTACATGATGGCCTTGCTCTTAAATAATGACCTTATTATATATACTTAATACTACTTGTATGTAATTAAAGTGTTTACGAGCATTCTTGTATACTTTAGCAAATATTTAAGATGACCGATTATCGTTTACTTCAATTAAGCTATTATACATGTATATACGTTTTCTTAGTTTATGTTTTGTGTTGATGGCACATTTATCTCATCATTTACATTGATAAATCACCAGGTTATCAAATATAAGTATAAACAAAAGCGATGCATACAAAAATATTTCATATATCAATGTATCTTTTCATTCTAGGTGGTGAAGGGAGAGAAACTCTTCTGTGAAACATACACACTAAATGATTGACTTCAATTTATAAAAACAATTTGCAGTGCTATATAATACTCATGTGCAGTGTCTATAATGAATTTCAATTACATTACATATTATATCATGGACAAAAAAAACAGATAGGAAATTGCCTGTGTTTCGTCTTTTCATTAAAATTCTTATGAAGTTTCTTCGAGTGTTATCTTACAAGTTCAACAGTGTGTCGCTTTGTATTTTGCAAACAATTTAAACTATTGATAGCTTTTTGCTGGTATGATATAGTTTAATTAGATTTGAAAGTATAAATTCACTCAGTATAGGGATATATGTATTCTTATAATTTTATGAAATTGTGCATACAATCTATAGCTATGAAAATTCCTTTTGTACATAATTTTCTTTTTTACTTTCATATACCTATTTGTCTTATTTTATTGGTGGTAGGCTAATGTTTGAAGTGTTGATAATGATTTTCTATTACATATCATAGTATGGACCAGAAACAGATAGGAAATCGCATGTGCTTTGTTCTTTTATTAAATTCTTATCGAGGTTTCTTGGAGTGTTATGTTACAAGTTCAAAAGTTTGTAGCTTTGTATTTTGCAAACAATTTAAACTATTGATAGCTTTTTGCTGGTATGATATAGTTTAATTAGATTTGCAAGTATAAATTCACTCAGTATAGGGATATATGTATTGTTATAATTTTATGAAATTGTGCATACAATCTATAGCTATGAAATTTTCTTTTGTACATTATTTTCTTTTTTTACTTTCATATATCTACTCGTCTTATTTTATTGGTGGAAGTTTAATGTTTGTTATGTAATGACGATGTATTCTATAGTTGAAGTTTTTATTTAATTTGATCCGTGTTGTTTTGTGTATACATTTTTGTAACTTTTGATAGACATTCATCTACTGATTTTTTAATGTACGAATGAAAAAAGTGCAACAGGTTTTCTTTTATTAATGAAAAGTCATGTATTTTTTTATTTAACTTGTTTTTTTGGGGGGTTTTTTATTTGCATTACTCTAGATTTCATTTTCTTCTCCTGATGTCTGTCCCTGCTTTTTTACTTTCTTATAAAAATAAATACTTGTAAAAGCAAATGTCCATGTGTTGTACTTTATTCCAGTGGAGCGGAGGTCTGTGATCGAGTTACTGACCTGGAATCACTTTCCCGTGTGTACTCGAATCTAGCGAGAGAACACAAAAGCAATGAAAGGATATTGAAGCTGTATATAATTTCTTTTCCGAAAACACTTTACCAAACCTGATACTTTGACCAGGGGGGGAATTATATTTTTACACTGAAAGCAACTCTGTGACAAATGGTCATAACAATGGCAATAACAGTGAATGTGGGACATTTATAAAGTACTTCAGACAGTTAAAAATGTGTTCAAAGTTGATAACAAACACAGGGCCATCCGTCATGCCTTTATATCTCAACAGAAGTGTAAACCTTTGCTTGTTGTAAATCTGAAGGCTTTTGTTTACAAATTACTCAATGTTATAACTTTATGAGGTTGAGAAGACACATTTAATTAAATTCAACATTGGCTTTGGGGGCTATCGACATTTTAATAACTGCATTTTTTTAATGATACAAACACCGTCATTTATCCAGACCTATTTACCTTACTATCTTTTTCTTAAAAAACTTGTAGTCTTTTTTTTTAAATGAAAAACACAATGAAAGCGGTACACAAACCTTTATTAGACACTTTCACATAGTTTGAAATAAGCTCAACGTAACATTTATTTTGCTTTGTTATGTGTTCTAATGAGTTCATTATAAAGAAATAAAGTATTTTCTTATTTATATGTGCACATTTACTTATAAGATCATTTTTATCCTTCATTCTTAAGATAAAAAGGATAACCATACACGTTAGAATATTAATGAAAATTAATTATTAACTTGAATGATGGAACAATGATCTTGCATTAATAAAAGTTTAATCTGTTATGAATAGTGTTCCTTTCACTTTAGTAGTTAATCATGCCCACTATCTTCACAGAAATGTATTGACGAGTAAACTGTCATGTCGCAAAGCATACAATCCTGAGTATGATACAGCTCTTACAGTAATATCTACTGAAAATACTTTGTTGAGAACATCATCTGGTTCTATGTGAATATCTGTGAATGTTTCAATCGTTTCCTGCCATTGGATTATATCACCTTGACCATTTTCAGCATAATTGACCGTCACCTCATAGAACATTGGATGTTGTGATTCGAATACGTTTCCCCATGATGCTCTAGCCTTAGAACTACTTTTTATCCAAGTGGTATTCATTGGTTCACCTTTGAATGAAAACGATCAATAACTGTGTATTTAAAGTGATACAAACTGCAGATATTCACAGACTAAAAAGTAAGACATCAGATACTAAGCAGAGCAATACAAAAGTAAATTGCTCTAATTTTTATACATATAATTTTGGATGGGTTTTTGGACACTCTTGATACTTTCAATGTCATATGGCGAATTTTGCGCTTTCCTTCTGGAAGTAGACTTCAGGTGCCCATTCATACATTATTTCAGACACAAGCGCGACAACTTTTATTAGAAGAATACCGAACACCCCTAAGCTGGCTGTGTAGCTTACACCTGCTGAGTTTATGTAACAGACTGACCCGCCTTGAACTGACCGGTAATAAATCAAAGGATTTCAGCATCAAAACACTAAGAATAAGCAGCAAACAGCTAGGTTACAGCAGTCTGGTCAGATAGCAATAATGGCATTGGTCTCTTATTATTGCTTATTTTTTCATTACTGCTTCAGCTATTCTACATTTACAAACACAACCCTAAACAAGAGCTGTCACAGGAGACAGCCAAGCTCGACTAATAAAATACTGGACGCAGTAAGGAGGACAAAACTATGAAAAAAAATCAATTATGTATAATTATGTATTAAGTTATAGTAAAAAATAACATTTGTTAACATAAATTCCAAGATCAAGGGGAATAATTCTAGAAATAGTCACGTTAGAGTTATGAACCTTGTCACACAACATGTGTGAAATGATAAGAAATATATATTTGAAGTTTGAAGAAGATACCTTAAAAAGTAAAGAAGTTATAATATTTCTTAAAGAAAATCTTAAGTTCAAAGAGAGATAAATCTGTAAAATTTAATATTGCTTCAAGAAGTATGAATATTGTCACTTAAAATGTAATTGATGATAAGGAATAAGTATTTGAAGTTTGAGTTAGATACCTTTAAAACTAAAAAAGTTATAGTAAAAAATAACATTTTTCCAGTATAAAAATCTAAGTTTATGGGAAGATAATTCTTGCCAATATATTGGTTTCTGAAGATGTAAAGAAGTTACAGTAAAAAAATAGTATTTTTTAAGGAAAATTCTAAGTTCAAGGGGAGATAAATCTGAAAATATTGGTGCTAGAGTTATGAACCTGTCACATAAGATGTGGTTGATGATAAGGAACATATATTTGAAGTTTGAAGTTGATACCTTAAGAAATGACAAAGTTATAGTGAAAAATATTTTACTGCACCAAAACTTTAATCTGAAATCTGGACGCCGACGCCGGGGCGAGTAGGACAGCTCTCCATATACTTCGTATAGTCGAGCTAAAAATCAAATGCAGTGCAGTTATCTTTTTTTCAAGTCTGATCTGCTTTTGTTTGACCAAATGTTGAAAAAAATAATAATATCAAAATGTATATATAACCTGTAAGTTTTGGTGTCTCTGTTAACAAGTAAAATGCCTCTGATATTCGTTCACTCTGCATACGGATTTCATTTATTGCTGTAACTGAAACATTGTATTCACCATCATCTAAATTCAGACCTGTAAAACTGGCATAATTGTATCCGGATGAAGTTGATGGAACGATTTCAGACATCTCTACATTATTCCCCGTAAGGTGAACCTGTTCACATAAAACAGTAGAAAATGTTAAAATGTTTTATATCAATGTTATTTTCTTTTTATGTACTAAACACAAATAACAAGCATTAACGTAAAAGGGGAAAAGATATTTATGATAAATAAAATCATAAATTTTGATTATATGCAGATTATTTCTGCATAATCACTGTAGAATTCTTCAATACGATAACAATTTTCGAAATTTTTGGGCAATGTTGGGTAACCTTCATCAATGGAAAAAGGAACCGAAGTCTTTCTAATGAGACCTCTATGACTAAGAACATAAGATTGCTTCCTTTTTACCACCTGGTTCTTAACCGCTTCAAATCATAAAAATTCAAATTCAGTTAAAGATCTTAGATTCTTAAATGTGAAAAAGATACAAAGATACAAATGCACCTTACGGTACGTCAATTGTTCAACTAAACTCATAAAACACTTAGTGCTAGCTATGTTACAAAGTTGAAATGTAACAACTTTTCACATTATTTCATGGAAATACATTATTTTGAAATGCCTCTTACTCTAACTATCGTCAGAACAATAACATTAATATCCTTGTACACTAGCTTATTGTAGGTCTCTTATTCTATTAAGGAGCCAGCTTATGCTTGAAATAGTGCACAAAATTGTCGGAATGTCCCAAATATGATCTGAAAGAGTGTTTGTGCAACTGAAAACATTTAAAAAAATTAGCATAATCTAAATATACCTCAAAACTATCTACACTGTCATGTGAAGCAAAGCCTGTCCAACGAAATTTAATCTCGGAGCTGTTTCCATGGTAATATCCTCGAGGTAAAAACTGTGTCAACGACGTAGTCATCAACTGAAGGATGACGCTGTCGACAGACGGTGGATACTGTAATATTCTTATTCCATCAGAAGACATTGTTTTTGTTAATCCTGCACCATTTTCACATCTGACCGTGGCAAAGACTGTTTTATTCGGTGATTGTTCGAAAACTTTTTTTGCACTGTTCAAACTGATGTCTACAGCTGTAAAATTTTGCAGAGATGTGTCACCTGGTGCTATACCTGAAAGGAATTGCGTTTTAAATAAGGACCGCAGTCAAGAAGTAATAATTCTTACTAATCGTAGCAGTTCTCATTTTCATGATACATTCAAAATTAGTCCTGTTGGCAAAACGTGACATCCATATAATTTGTGTCTTATCATAACTTGCAAATTGTACTCAAACCAGTGATCATCATTGCAATAACTGTACAATAATTTGATGCATTTATGCACTTTTATACCACAAGGATTAATGCTTCCGAGGGATCACTTTGTTTCTAGATTTTCAGATTGAAAATCCTTACTTTTAAACATTATATCACTTACTTTTCTATAAGCATATCCCCTTATAGATTTTCAATACAGTGCTAAGTAATACTTTCATTACTGTAACAGTTATGTATTTGAAATGGTCTGAAATACCTATTCCCCAACTGCAGCCAATGACACCAGACTCTGAGTCATAGACATCCCAATGTGTTGTCAACGTTAAATCTGACTGAAAGTCTATGTCTTCATCTGAAATTTATGAAGTATGTAAGAATAAGCCTCTACCTGAAAAAAGCATCATTTATACATTCTTTCCAACTATTTGGCTGCCTTTTTGTAGCAAAATCATTGTCAAAAAGCTAATGGTACAGAAATAGAAACTCAAACTTTGACAATTTTGATATAATGATTCCCTGACAGCATAAAAACAAATGGCTGAAAATCACTGACTTTGTTTTATTGTGTCTATCCATGAGATAATAAAAAGTGTAATATCTCTCAAGCAGACAAATTGGTTATGTATGCACAATTACATAGGACTGTGTCTCTATATATGTCCTCATGAAAAATATACCTGGTACTTGGCCATCTGTTATAAACCGAAATACTGGTGGTGTAAGATCAATCTGTATTGGATTGGAATAACTAACTGTTTGAAGTTCTGCTTCATTAATTGCAACAACAGTTACAAACACCTCCGTATTGTGCTCCAGGTGTAAAGCCTCCGCTTTGCCATAAGAACGCCTCCCAACACTTTTAAATGTTTTAATTTGCGTTCCACCTTCAACCGTGCCTAACAAAAACAAAATTGTATCTTTTTATGCTTCATAATTTAATTATAATATATTGATAAATGACATGAAGATCAACATTTATTTTTTGGTTGGGGTTTAATTCAAAGTCATATTTTTAATGTCACATGGTAATTTTCCAGCTTGAAAGTTGAAGGAACACATCGGGTGTCACTCTTTTAATCATTTCAGACACAGCTACGTACCTGATTTCATCAATTAACCTTCCAAACGAATAGGCTAATTAAAATAGCTCAAGCTCATATCAGAATATCAAATAGAGAGAAATAGAATCCCTAATGAAAGTCCAAAACGGCAAAATTAAAAATGTTGCAGGCTCGGTTTGATTGAGCCTGTTCATGGACGAATCTCAGGAGGAATTTAAACAAACAATGGCTACAGCCAAATCAGTTGATGATAATGTTTTTAACCGTTTGGAAAGAGACAAATAACCTGCTAAATTAAAACTGACAAATCATAAATCATGAAAAAAATCTTCCATTTTATTGTTCTAAAAATCAATACCCGAAAGCATTTTCTAAAATACTGTTTTAAAATATGTTCTACTAGGTAAAACGATCAAACAAACATACCTATTGCCCAGATATATTCTGTTATATCTGATTCCAGATCACTAAATACCCAATCAGCATGCAGTGAGGACCAATCATGAACAAAGACTGTATGTGCGTTTACAACTCCCTTCATGTTTGAAGAAGAAGTTGATAAATATCCGCAAAACTCTAGTGTAACATCATCTAATGCAAAGGCTGATTTTTCTTTAAGTGTTCCGATAGACACCAAAACATTATTGTCGTTTACATCAAAGAAAAACGAATGCTTCTGCCAAGTATATGAATCAGAACTATGTTTTTCGTATAAAGAAAATAAATGTTTTTCACCATTTACACTGACGAAACCGTCAACTGACGATAATCTCAAACCAGTCGATGCTACAGTTGAAGTGTACAATGTTAAGCGATATCTTCCTGTGTATTCAACCGTAGCCGTCTGATCGACAGCTGTATATATAATAGCAAATGCATTACCACTATGTGCCATACTAGATGATTCTACTTGTACACATTTATCACCAGAAATAAACCAACTACCACCATCCATTTCATCACATATGAATCCGGAGGCATCTTCAAAAGAGTAATCTATTAAGACATTGTTTAAGCAGTCTCCAACTCCCATTATTATGGGTGGACTTGTATCTATTTTCAGTCCGTTTGATGATACAACTTCAGAGACGTGACCCACAGCATCATGAGCTCTCACATTACTGTACATTAAATAACCTGAAAAGGAAAAATAACAGAGAAAGTTCTAAAAATGAATTATCATTATCTATGTTAAATATTACATTGCTCTGCAAAAAAAGAAACGTCATTATTCTGTATATCTAAATCACGGATTTATATTACATAAATCCGTGTAATATAAATCTGTGATCTAAATGTAAGATGCAATAACTTATATTTCTCTGTTAACAATTATTAACTATATATACATGAAGATACCACAAAACTAAACTGTTAAAGGGTAGGTAAAAATACAGAACATAAATTAAACTTTTTCATTATAATTGAACTTTTAGATTACTTAAGAATGCACGTACACAATTTGTTTAGTTTGATTATGTCACATTTTGAACAGTATTTCTATCTTATTCGTAAAGAAGCGTCCTTGGATACTGTAAGATTGCTTTCCTTTTTTCTAAAAGCTGCTGCGAACATAACAATATATGAATCATTTGGTAACAGTGACAAAAGGAAAAATGGCACAGAACTGTTACAGATATTGATGTCAAACCAAATGTATCAGAAAACATGTGCTGCCAATAAGATAAAAGTAACAAACATCTTTAACAGTCACGTGACATCTAAATAATTCAAAAGAATTATGTATTGAATATGTTTATTTTATCTAATGTATGTTGGTAAATTCATATTTAATCGTCATAGAACATGGAAAATGCCAATTTTCTTTGAATACTCGTCAACTGATCATGAAATAAGAAGTTTTTTTCTTAAAACTTAAAAATGAAAGTACCTTCTTCAAACGGTGATGCTGAATGATATATCTTGCTTAAAGAGATACCAGCAGTTGTCATTGGCAATATGTCACAGTTACTGGTGTAGGAAGAAGACGAAATGCAGAAATCATATGATACAATTCCAGACTGCAAGTCAGAGAATCCGTACCAAAATGTTGACAGAGTGTACGAGTCATTAGATACATCAATATCCACAAGAGCTGGAAAACAATAAAGAATGATAGTAAATTTTTGTTGCAATTTGCAAAAAAAAAACAATGTATTTTTGTTGCAATTTGCAAAAAAAAACAATGTTAACATATAACCTTTTTGTTTCAAATATAGTATTATAACACTTTTTTTCAAGTTCCATATTCAAAGAATTTAATGTCTGTAATAAACTGGTTTCCATAAAATATATACACTACACAAATAAACATATATCAACTATTTCTAGTGAAATGTATTCTTTTCTTTCAATCATATAATAATATTAAAGCAGATTTAACTAATTTTCTTGATCAAAATAATATAAACCAGTTTAAAGTATGTTATTTTCTTTTTGTTTTAAGGGTGAGACAAAGAAATTAGTGGAGTACAGTTAAGATTGAAGTCAAACCGTAACTGTTAAAGTCTAACTTTTAATACTAGATGAAAACAGTATATATCTCCTTATTTGTTTGCTGCATTTAACATTCTTGGTCATATCTCCGGCTCTTCTGAATGACTAACTAGTAATTACCGATTTATTAGCAGGTGATTGACTACTTATCCCACATGATTGCTGAATCAGCGGTGAAAGACAAATGGTCATAGATTTAATGTCATAGATCAAATGTCAAGGAGAAATTTAGCCTCGCCTAAGGATGGAACCAGCCACCCCCAGCTTACAAAATAAATGCTCTCCCTTTTGAGGTAATCGAACAAACTATCACGTCAGGTACATGCACATCCAAAATTTTATATTGACACCTAGCATTTTCATATGAAGGAAAAAAGTACCACAGGAGTCAAACCTATGATAGTGAGAGGAAAGTGATGTGAAGAAAATACCTGTAACTATTGATGTATATGTTCAGAATTTACAAAATTGATAAATAAACACAGGTATAAATTGCTTTCTTACTTTTCCCATCCAAAACAATTCCTGTCAGTGGAGGATGCAAATCTAACATAAACCCATCAGAAACTGCAGTAGAATGCAGTCCGGCTTTATTATATGCTTGGACAACAGTGTAATATTTTGTATCCTCTTCCAGATTCAATCCAGTGATGTTATAGCTTGTCATCTCAGGTGCTATATTTGTTGATAGCGTGTAAACATCATGACCTATTTTTGATGATTAAAATATAAATACCATTGTAAAACAGTAGGTTGCATTTAACAGTTGTTATAACAAACATAAAGCAAGATATTTTTAATGAATGGCTGATCATACAGAATGATATCCCTAGTTGATGCCAGCAATGCCATAATTTTATCACTATTAATGCCATGCCATGTGAATTACTTTAAAAATGTATTTGCCATTGCAGAACATAAAATCATAAATAAACTTTAATTTTTGGTAGAAAATGCAAGTACATATAATCTACAAAAAAAAAATTATTTTTCATAAAATCCTAATTTTATGTTTAATGTGTAGCAGTTATGTAGTCATGTCTGCTATCATAGTAAATAAAAGTAACAGTTTTATTTATAACAAAATAAAACATTTACCTCCAGGAGTTGTGCTGATATACAAATGATACCGCGAAATACTGTTTCCACTGTTTTTAAATTTTCCTGTCCAGTCAGCTTTCACGAGCGTTTTTAATGCCACAAAATCTGTATCCTTAGTTTCCCCTTGAATTATTTCTTGCACATTTCTGCCAAGAATTACTGACAGTTCTGGTGGTGTTGAATAAATTGTGACACCAGGACTTTGAAATATTGCAAAGGTATTTTGATCATACCATACTCGAACAAACACGGAGTACTTTTCTCCTTCAACTAAACTTTTCCCTAAAAAGAAATATAAGTAATTAACAGAGAAGAAGCGTGCTTTTAAATAGCATAAATAGAACAAAAATTTGCACATCATCTCACAAAAGAGTTTTCAGTGTGTGGATCTTGGAATCATTAGGTTCAAAATCCAAACACAGTGCTCATCTTCCTGAGACAATTACGTGTCATGTGTTCAGCACTAACACCATTCCTCTGTTGTTTCAAAGGATAAACAGGAGGAAATTGGCAGCAAGTTGAATCACAAAAAAAACTTATAAGATGCAAATTTGCTGTACAAGTAAACAGAGCAGATTAAAACTGTTACGTTAAAAAAAAATCAGTAAGAGATTGATAAATTTAATGATATTTTGTCTTTATTTTTTGTATTGTACGTAATTATGTCTAGCCTGTCTATAATTGACGCACCCACCTTTTTTAAATGTGAATACATATTGATTATTTTGTCCAGCATCATGCCAAACCCTATCCTCTGTTTCATGGAAAACACCTTGTGGTGAACTGTATAAGCTTTCTCCAACACTGCATTCATACCTTTAAAAACATTTTCATATTTTTCAGAATTAACAAATATAGAAAAAGCTTTGTCCTATTTTGGCATCTATAGGTTTACAAACATTATCTAACTGCTATCACTTCAAAAACAAAGTAGCATATCATTCACAGTACAGTAAACTTTTTCTCAAAACAGTATGTAGTAATATTTTCTTGAAACGTCCCTTAAAAGCATTTAGTTTAGTTTATACAAATTTATTTTAGTTCGATTGTGTTGATAAAACAATCATTATTCTGATAACAGAAGTTGATAAGCTGACAAACATAATACATTATCAATGAAAATAAACTACAGTCATAAAGATTAAGTTGAAAGATTGGTGATTGGTGAAATACACATATGCCTAACCAGACAAATGTAACAAACCCTTTGCATTTTTCTCACTAGAAGACAATATCATATTTAACATCTGTGATATTCTTCAGAAATTTTGAAGATCAGCTTAAATTATATGAAAAGTAATTAGGGTAAATATATAACAATATTAGAACATCTTTTGAGCATGTTTGCTGCAACTTGTAGTCCCTTACACATGTTTTTATCAAAGACCAATTTTATTGAAGAGTTGTCTTATGTAACAACAATCAATACCATTTTGGTGTCATTCCCTGTGTTGTTTTTATTGACCATTTAGCAGCAAGCATTGTATTGACTGGTGATCTTGAGATTATCTGATCATCACTGGGAAATGTGACATCTACCACATCTTTAACTTCAATCAATGTGTTAGCATTGCCTATAATTGAAAGAATTAGTTAATTATAGACATAATTAAATACAATTTTATATTGTGATATAACATATCAAGCATTATATATAAAGCAAAGGAATGCCTTTGAAACTAATGACCTACTATGTCTATTACACTTTTTAACTCTTTTTATTCCGGCATAAACTGAACAACATAATGGAAATGCCTTGGTTGTGGAGATAAACACCATTAGACTGTAAATTAATAAGGAGGAAATGGTTTTGAGCACTCGTATGTTGGCAATAGGCTTTAAGTACAATTCTATTGTATATTTTCATGTAGGAGTAAAACTACAAAATACTGAGAAAACAAATTACAATGTAACAATCCAGAATAAATAAATATATTAAGCTGATAAATTAATACAAAGATTTCACTTCCTTATTATTCATGCAAGACTTGAGCATAATACCTATAAAAGCATTATCAAATAAAATACATTATTATTATATATATGTTTAATAAATGCATTATCAAATAAAATGCATTATTGTTATATATATGTTTAATACATGCTAAAGAAAGCTGCAACATTTATATTATTTTCAGTTATTATAAATCATAAGTACATAATGCAAACATTATTCTACTTTTATTAACCAGTTTGCTGTTTTCAGTAATGACTCAAAACAAACAGTTGAAACACCAATAGAAACAAGCTTCAAACATACCATCACCACTGCTGTCAACACAAGAATTATCATCTGCTAAACATAGTTGTCCTTCAGCTGCGCAGACACAATGTCCGTAGCATGTATGACGTTCACATCTACGCACCATTTCTAATACACCTCCAAATAGTAAATTGAACTCAGCATGTAGAATTTCACTTAATAGACCGACCTGTAGTTATCAATGATGATAAACGTTCAAATATTTCCTTCCTTCCTATTCCATATTTTTCATTATGCATATTCATAAAATTTTTATGAGAATGATGAAGAAGTGTATCATTAAAACATATTTTATAAGACTTTTATTTATAAAATTGTACAAATAGAAAACAAGAGGGCCATGATGGCCCTGAAGTCGCTCACCTGTATATAGGCCCCTGAAGCGGGGCCAGTTTAAACCCCAGGGCTTTTATTTGAACAAACTTGGTAGACACCCATTAGAAGATGTTTCATGCTAAACATCTAAGGTCTAGCTGGTCAAGTTATTTCTTTACACATTTAGTTAAAAACAGTGACACACCTGGGGGGGGGGGCCAGTTTTGACCCCAGGGCTTTTATTTGAACAATCTTTGTAGACACTTACTAGAAAATGTTTCCTGCTTATTATCTAAACTCTAGCTATTCGGGTTTTTTCAAAGAATTTTTAAGTTTTTGCTATACAGTAACACATATAAGGAAAATCAATTTACCCCGGGGCGGGCCCAATTTTAACCCCAGGGCTTTTATTTGAACAAACTTGGTAGACACTCACTAGAAGATGCTTCATGCTTAATATCTAAACTCTAGCTATTTGAGTTTCTTCAAAGAAGATTTTTTAAGTTTTTGTTATACACAAATAAGGAAAATGAATGTCCCCCGGGCCGGGGCCAATTTTGACCCCAGGGCTTTTTTTTTAACAAACTTGGTAGAGACTCACTAGAAGATGTTTCATGCTTAGTATCTAAACTCTAGCTATTTGTTTTTTTTCAAAGAAGATTCTTTAAGTTTTTGCTTTACACATATAAGAGAAATCAATGACCCCCGGGGCGGGGCCAATTTTGACCCCAGGGCTTTTATTTGAACAAACTTGGTAGACACCCATCAGAAAATGTTTCATGCTAAATATCTAAGCTCTAGCTCTATGGGTTCTTTAAAAGAAGATTTTATTAAGTTTTTACTATATGCATATAGGGAAAATCTATGACACCCTGGGGCGGGGCCAATTTTGACCCCATGGCTTTTATTTGAACAAACTTGATAGACACTTATTTGAAGATGTTTCATGCTAAATATCTTAGCTCTAGCTCTTTGGGTTCTTTAAAAGAAGATTTTATAAGTTTTTACTATTTATGCATATAGGGAAAATCAATGACCCCCTGGGGCGTGGCCAATTTTGACCCTAGGGCTTTTATTTGAACAAACTTGGTAGACACCCATTAGAAGATGTTTCATGCTAAATATCTTAGCTCTAGCTCTTTGGGTTCTTTAAAAGAAGATTTTATAAGTTTTTACTATATGCATATAGGGAAAATCAATGACCCCCTGGGGCGGGGCCAATTTTGAACCCAGGGCTTTTATTTGAACAAACTTGATAGACACTCACTAGAAGATGTTTCATGCCAAATATCTAAGCTCTACCTCTTTGGGTTTTTTAAAAGAAGATATTTTAAGTTTTTTCTATCGGTTGCCATGGCAACCAGAGTTCTGCATGGAATTAAATTCTTTGAACAATTTTTAAAGGTGACCACCAAAGGAACATTCCTGTGAAGTTTGGATGAAATTGGCTCAGTGGTTTATGAGGAGATGTCATTTAAAGAAAAAGTTTACGGACGACGGACGGACGCTGGACGGACGCCGGACGAAAAGCGATCACAAAAGCTCACCCTGTCACTTTGTGACAGGTGAGCTAAAAATCAGTCTGGTGATAACATTTAGAAAAATCTATGACTAAACACAAGTATTTCGTTAAAAGTTTACCTGGAATACTTTAAGAATACAAATAGACAAATATATTTTCTATTATAAACATATTTCTCTTCATTTTTTTTCATCTAATTATACATGTATAACTTGATTGAAATACGTACAGAATTCCTTGCAGAAATACTGATAAACACAGAGCTGTATTTGGAAAGAGGTTTTGTACTCAGTTCATAAGTTTGTACAAAACCATCTTCATGGAAAGAGGCACTACTGCTATGACTTATCACATAGGGTTCTCCTTCTATCTGTAAATACATTTTCATTGGAAATCAAATTGAAATACCTAACTGACCTGTCCCATTAAAGTTTATAAAGATATCTAGGTAATAAACAGTGTAAATGACAAGACAAAATATTATGTATAATAAGATATAGCATCTTGAAAAAGTGTAATAATTACAAAAAAACGCTGTGTGTCTACTGTTACTTTTTCTAATGCCATTCTGTTATCTATGCATGCAAAAAATCAGAGGAATTAATAAAATAGGCCTCTGCTCAGGAAGTTGTAAATTGTTACCTTATAAAAAAATTTTAAAATCATTATATACCGTGTTCAAATCATTGCCCATATACTGGCTCCCTATGTTGATAAGATATGACTCTATTCCAGAATGTGCATCTTCAAATCCTAGCCAGGCCAGACTGATAGATATAGGCGTCCATGTCATCCACAAATCTGGCTGACAGTTTAACCTTGCTGCATGGTCAGTGTTGATGGCAAATGTACCTTAAATAAAATTAATAAAATAGTCATTGAAAACCTGGGTTCAAGAAAATTGATGAATTCACTTTAATACAAATTCCAGTAATGTTGCAATTTTAGTAAACTGCAATTTACTTTGAAAATTTAAAGTTGAAAATTAAGCCTGTATTGTAATCTGTTTTACACTGTAACATGAATTCCGATTTGTCAGTAAAAGTATAATGCCTTTTTGTTTTAGACACAGATATAACCAAGTGACTCATCAAAATGTTGCTTGTTAACTTTTGGCAATCAGACATTTAAACTAAAGTCTGAAATTGTGACCACTCTTTTATTATTGTTTCCATATTACTTGGTTTTGATGGAATTCTGCTTGAAGGTGATGATTTGAATTAGCCAAAGATTAATTTATACAAAGTTTTTGCTACATTAATCTGTTCATGCTTGAATAATAAATCGCAGAAAACAACATTTAGTAACTGAAAGTGTAAGTCTTCGTTTTTGATATTTAATATTGAAGAAAATTGGTCAAGCTTTTCAATAGTTAGCGAAGTATACCTTTTGTGGGAGGCGAACTGTCCACAAGAACATCTTGGAGGATAGAATCTGTACATAATTTGGCACCATTGCAAGATGTAAGTTTGATATCATAATAACTGCCATCATGAAGATCAAGATTTGTAAATGTGTAATCTCTCACAATACCCTCTACCTAAATATATAATAATAATTATTATTATTAACAAAATGTCAAAATATTACTTTAAACAAGAAAATTCATAGCATAGAACACTACACGTAGAAATTGAGAACCTAGTCTTTTTTTTTATTTAGTTCAAATTCAGCCTAACAGAAACAAAATCTTAAACATGAGAAAATATTCAAATCAAACTGTTATAAAAACAGATTCCAATTATAAGTTGATAATTCACCACAGAATTATCATTTTTGAATTGAAACAAAACTTTAAAAAAAAATTGACGATATCATACAATTTTAACCCATGCTGCAATAAATTGTATGAACTTTCTATATTGGCTGTTAAGAATCTGCTTCAGCGACTTTTCATTGCTTCTTTTTTCTTTGTTGGTTTGGTCAACATATTTAAAGTAATAATGCCTCTTACATGTCAATAAAACAGCTCTGATACTTTACTTCTGAGTAGAATGAACAACTTTTTCCATGATAACTGGACAGCATCAATCCATAAAGGAATTTAGTGTCATACAATAACTCATAAAATTACGAATAAACTAAATAAAATTAACATATTATTCATTCAACTGACAATATCACTTATTCATTTTCTTATTTAGACTTACTTTTACTGATGAAATATTATAATCTCCTCCTATATGAGATGATATAGATAAATGCTGACTTTCTATGTATGATTCCTGGTCATTTACTGCCCAATTTACTTGAACCAATGATCTAAGAATACTTGTGCCGTCTTTCATACTTCCAATATGAGAAAGAGCCAATTCTTGTTCAAAAACTGGTGGTGTTCCATCAACCAAAAATCCATTTGAGGAAGATTCAACATATTTGCCTATTAAAAAATAAAATGTACTTGATTACAACAAAGCTTTTTGATGAAATAAGAATGCTATCTTCAGTGTATTATGCTGATATATTTTTTACTTCTTGACTGCTCAAATGCAGCATTTATGAACTTTTAAATTTATACATTCTATTTTAGAATTTCAAAAATAAAAATAAAACATTGTCCATATTATATACATAACTAATTTGTAAACAGTCACATGCATCTTTGATATTCATCTAAAACAATCAAAGGCATTTCTAAATATTTTTTAAGGATGTAATAGAGATAACTTCACAACTATAAGTCATACATGAATCATTGGTGTGCATGATTTTTATTTCAAATTCACATCAATACAGTTAGATTGTAGGAATTTTATTCTAAAATTCATTCCACATTTGCTGTTATGTAGAACTTTTTATTTTCCAATATCATGCCAAATTTGTTAAAGCATGAATTTCTCATTTTACATATGTAATACACCAAAACCTCTTCAAGCATGTTACTATTTATATGGCATTATGTAAATTATGATGCTACATATATTTGTTAAGATTTCTTCAAAATATTTTTTTTTTTTAAATTGGAGCCTTATATTGATTAATATCTTACCTGCATTATTGTATGCTCTAACTGTACAATATATCCTAACATTTAGTGGCAGAATGTATGGCAGATCATAAACAAAAGCTTCCTGTAAATGATGGCAGTCTGTTGCTGTAATAATGTCGTCTGCTCCTTTTGTGGTTCCCGCTCTCCATACATATTTACTTATCCCTGACTGTGGATCATTGAAACCATACCATTTACAACCAATGTAAGTTCTAGTATGAAAAATTTTAACATTATCCAAAATCATTTGTCAAACAGAATGGTATCCCTTTTCATAAAAATATAAGAACTACAGAAATATCATTCAAATAGGTAACTAAATTACCCCACATGTTATTTAACATGAAGATGCACAACATAACATGTATTTGCTTTTTAATATCTGAAACAGGCAGATAAATCTGTCCAGACTCGTCTAAAATTTACATGGCATTTCATAATTTAAATGAATCATCATATCATAATAAAATGATGTACAATTCAAAGATTTATTCATATAAATAAGTTTATTAACCTTGCAGCCTGGTATTGTATATCCCGGGCTAGAGTGCCGTCTATAACATATCCTATATTTGGTGGTGTTGTATCCACAATAAAGCCATCAGATGAAGCAGACGAACACAAATCAGCTGTGTTACATGCTGTTATAGTTATAAAATATTTCATACCTTCAGCCAGATGTAAGTATTTCACTTCTGTATCTGAAAATAAAAGGAAATAAAGATATTGTAAAAAGGAATATCAATAATATGATTATTTCTGTAATGACAAGTTATTAAGTTAAGAAGTCTTGAGTTAAAGACATATGCCTAATGTGAAAATCTTATCAATAAGTAATTTTAGTTGGAAGTCTTATGAAATTTGCATGCAATTATCAATATTATCCAACAAATTCATCTATTAGTATGTATATTGAAAGCAAATTCAACAACTAGTTTTATAATATTCATAAACTTAAATTTTATTCAATACACTAGTGGCAATTTAAGAAATAAACAAATGATCAATCTAATTACATTCTTGAAGTCCATTTGGCTGTTTTCCTTTAACATCCTCGCATCCCTGGCATGACCCAACACTGACAAAATACTCTTTTATAGGAGTATGTGGATCATGGAAACCTTTCCATCTTACATGAACACTAGATGCTGTATCTATGTAATCTAGGTCAACATAGTCTGTGTCTGTTGTCTTGGAACCGTCAAAGACGTCACCTGTTTCTGGTTCAGATGAGTCAACTATAAACGCCCAGGATGAGGCGACAGCAAATAACCCCGCATTGTTATATGCCTGGTTTAATGAGATTTACATAAATGTAATGAAAATAAGGTCATAGGAAAAGCTTTTAAGAATTACTATTTGAATGAAGTATTTTTTTCTTACCATAAACGCTCCATGAGCCAGCTAGATTATAGATTCCTCACATGAAAGTCTTTTGCAGGATTAAAACCCGCAGCGGTGAGGAGCAGGCAGTTAAAAATCAATGACGCTAAACTCACAGCAAAAGAAGATAATACCAGATGCTACTCTGGGTATTATTTTGGGCACCAGTGGACTTCTGGGTTTACCGACCATCTTTCAAAACAAGTTTAGTCTTCTGATACTGCAAGTATTTTGAGCAGGGCCTTACATGTAAGCCTTGACAAATATTGCACATGCAAAATTGAATGCATTTAGACACTTAGTGACAGGTTAATGAGTTAAAGTAAAGAATAATAATACTATAATAGTTTTGAATTATATGTTACTACACATACAATATTGTAATAAAGCCTTATTTTTATAATCTTGTCAAAAAAAAGAAAGTATATGACAAACCTTAACATTAATGATATATGCATGTCCCTCTTTTAGTGACAGCTGGTTGTCTTCTGGTGTGCCTGAACATTCATTTTCTGTATCAGTATATGCCATTATATTATCAAAACCACTCTGAGTACCAATGGACCAGCTATAGTGAGAAATTCCACTTTCAAGATCACTGAAAAGTCCTGTCCAACTAAGAAAATAAAAATTTATTTCAATAAATTTCCGCTCAGAGACATTTAAAATAAAAATGTCCAGTGTTAAAATACAAATAAATTTATTATTTCATATGTCAAAATATACTTTTTATTTTATCAAATGAATATAATTAATTATACATGTAGTCTCTACCCAGGTATATAGAGGATATTTGTTTGTTTCAGTGTAAGATCGAAAAATATTTCACCGAGTGAACACCAGATGCAATATTTTCCACGAGTGGCGTAGCCACGAGTGAAAATATAATAGCTGGGGTTCACGAGTGAAATATTATTTGATCTCACATGTAAAACAAACAAATTTTCTGTTTATTTCATGATTTTTTAACGATTTTTACACCATTTTACTAATTTTTGCCGCGTAACGTCATCAAATAGTGACGTCACAATGTTGAAGCAAAATATAATTCCATGATTATTTTTAGATTTTAGATGTTTTTCAGCACAACGTTCGTAAATATTTACGAACTACAGTTATCACGTACATTTTTTATTATGATTGACTACATTTCCGCTGAAAATCATTCATTAATGATAAATATTTTATTTTTACGCCAACTATAGTTCGGCTACTGTGAAATTATATTTGGTAATCATTACTGTGAAATTATCAGAATATAATTAACCGTTATAATTCAGTAATCTACTGCAAAACATGTAATAAATTTGTATAATGGACTTGCCCATATTTAACTCATATTAGGAACTTTCCATTGTATATTTAAGGGGTTATCAATTATCTAAAGCTTATGCTGGGCAGCAAACAGTAAAGAATTGTGTCAGAATACATCTGTTCTGACTGTATCTTGGTTGTATCATAAAGTCACCTAAGTATCCAGGTTTCACTAAAAGGAAGCCTTAAAGCTTTATATGTTTATTGTCGTTTTTGTCCATTTTTTTTTTAAATTTTAGTAAAATTCAACATTCTTCAGATGAGCTGCAAGAAGAGCCTATACTTTACCAGGCCTCCACATATTCTGTACTTGTAATGTGTCGATTTCGTACCGTAATTCGACTGTCTGAAATAACAGGGGGTGAAGTATCGATGGTCACACCTTCCGAATAACTGACAGATGACTGTCCAGTGAAATCATACCCTAAATAATATTCATAAAAGCTGATGATTAAAACATTAGATTAACCTTGTACATGTTTTACCATTCTAAATATATTACATTGATGTGTCTAATTTTCAATCTTGTCAAAAGTGTATATGATTTATAAGGAAAATGTTCTAAATATAAACTTACTGAATAGAAAATAGTGCAGAAGATAATCAAAATATACAAATAAGCAAATAATATGCGGTGCCTATGTATAGGAACTGATGACATGGGTAGAATCAGTTGCAACTAGCAGGCTATGCATTAAGTAAAGTACAGAAAAACATTTCTCTGTAAGTTTTCAAAATTATCATTTTAGTATAGTACATCATTTTTCTATTTACATATGTCATGCATTTTTGCTCTATAATTTTAGAATGGCTTAAGAAATATATTTATACAAAAAGTTTTCTTATGTTATGGTCAAATATTTTGGGATTTTTTCATGTTCTGGATAAGACATATCATTTGAGGCAGGATAATCCATACTATAAGATAATTCTTAACTGGACATATCATAAGTCTACATATATCATTTCTTAGTGTTGTTCTACAAAAGAAATTCAGATCTTCACATTAAATTCTTACCTCTCACTGTTGCAAAATATGTGTGACCATTTATCATTTCTAAGTCATGAAACATTTTATGGTTAGTTAAACCAACAATTGTTGGGGGCATCACATCTACCCCTCCTTGTGTTGTTCCTGTCCAATACATTAAACATATCAAAAATTGTAATGAAATTAATAATTTGACAAAAAATCTTTGAAAAATATTACTTGGTAGATACTTAATCAATATAAAGTATTTTAACTTGAGGGTATTATGTCAAAATACATATTGTAACTTTTCATAATGTTCATAGAAGATCCTGATATTCCATATTTTACATAATTTTCATTTCATTTATTTTCAGTTGGACAACTTCCTAATTTAAAAAATCATTAACAATCCTTTTTATCATCAGACTGTAACAAATCAAGTGATAAGTGAATAAATCATTGACTCAGTGCAAACAAAATATAGTGAGACAAACAATATACCTGTATTTACAATCTATTTGCTGGATATGTTTTCCCAATATTTAAAATTTTTGAGATCCATAAAATTTCAAAAAGAAAGGGTCACAAATCACTGAAAATTACCCAATATTAAAATTGATGTAAAAACTGTTTTAGGGATCATATGGAATAAAAGCTTAATAATACTTTGTGGCATAAACAGCTAAAACTTCTTGTTCATTATGTCCAAAAGTAAGACAAAACTTCCTAATATTCTTCATATAAGAGATACATGTATGTTATGTTATATAGAACAGGTACTTACCAATGGTTAGCTCATATCCTGTGATTCCACTTGTATGTACAGCATAACCTTTCTCCTCTATATCTATAAATGATACCCAGTTAATACTTAACTCTGATGTTGATGTCTGAAATGACAAAAATATAAAGATGTCTCTGAAATAACGATATATAGAGATGTCTGAAAACTAAAAGCAAAATACAAAGATTCTGAAATAACATGATATATAGATGTATGATATAACATATCTGCAAGTGCCCTAAGTTTGCCTCCATCCTAGTTTATGTCACAAAGTAAAGTCTCATTAAATGTTCATTAAGAAATAAAACAACGAGATATTTCTAAATATTAAGATAAAGTTTCAGTCTTTGGATACTGATTTTACAGTGTGTTTATAATTTACAAATTAAAGTAAAATTGTTAATACATAATGTCAATTACTTATATCACTTTCTGTACATGTTCTGTAGTTTGACATATTATGTCTCGCCTGATCCATTATCAAGTTCATGTATAAAAATAACAAATTATTCTGGCTTCAAATTAAATTTATTCATCAGAATATACATCATGTACATGTATATCTCACATTACCTGATAACGTACATCCTTCCTATTCCCAATCCATACATCTCCAGCCTGAGGCGGAGTTAAGTCAACTGTAACACCATCACTGCAAACATTAACTTCTGGAAGTTCTTGAGTCCAGCGCTCATGATGAAGAGAAGTTTCATCCGCATGGACACATACCACATAACGATAGCCATGTTTTAATTCTGTTTCCTTGAAGTAAACATTGATGTAATTCAAATCTGCAATAGCAAGAAACAAAATTTAATGCTTTTTGAAAGAAATGTTCTTGTAGGCATTCTTATGAAAACATGCATGCAAAATTTTAAGACAGCAATGACCCAGTGACAATAGTTTCTGCATCTCAGCATATCAACAAACATGGGTATCATGAATGTAAGTCTAAATCATGATTTGAGCCGTGTCTTGACAAAACCAACGTAGTGCGTTTGCGATCAGCATGGATCGAGACCAGCCTGCGCATCTGCGCAGTCTGATCAGGATCCATGCTGTTCACTTACCAACCCTTTTACAAGTAGAGAAACTGATAGCGAACAGCATGGATCCTGATCAGACTGTGCGGATGCGCAGGCTGGTCTGGATCCATGCTGGTCGCAAACCCATTATGTTGGTTTTCTCATGACACGGCTCATTTGTTAAATATTATACTTATGCAATTACCTTCAGTGCACAGACTCATAACAAGAACACCAAAAAGTCTACAGCTTTCTCTAACAAACATGCAAAAATAATTAATGTTATTAAACAAAGTACATTATGTGAAATAAGAAGTTATAGCTCAATCGTTCATGGAATCAACTTGTTTTTTACCTGTATCTCCACATTTGATTGAATCTGGATGAGAACATGGGTCTTGTAAGTCTATTTCAGATGGATTGTTATAAAATATAGTAACATCATCATCTCTCACAGTCAGAATTGTCCAGGTGTATGCTTTTTGACTGTTGGAAAGAAGTGTGAAAGAGCACATATTTTATTCAAAATACTTTATGATTTACATAATTATGCTTGTTTTATGCTGTTGTTTTTTTATGTATCTTTTTCGAATGAATGGGATTCAAAATTCTACTTCATACAAGTAAACTGAAATATATTTTGCTACATGGCAAAATCATGTAGCAATTGCAAAATTACAAATATATCCAAAACATCAATGTGGTAACACTTACTGACCCAAATTGGCTCAAAAGTGATTCACCTTTTCCACCATAATAAAGCAAGGCCAGCTTGCATATCCATGCAGTCTGAACAGGCTCTATACTAAATTTCAAATTTTCATCTTGATATACCAAAGGTTGATAATGCATAATGTCAAAAACACAAGCTAAAATAAGCCATCATAGACATTCAGCATGGTTTGAGTTAAAAATAAAATCATAGTTTAGTTTAAACATATCTAACTGCGGCACATACATGTAAAATATTACACAAAAGATAAATTATATAACAACAAGCAATTATCATAGTATTGCAAGCAATCCATAAGTCCCCTACCGGTTAGAACCCCAGCAACATTCTGATGGGCCATTGGCCATTCAATTTTACAAGTGAATGAATGACATGAGTGAACTTAAATCTTTTGAGTTCTAAGTTTGTATATATCACAGTAATGTGTTAAGTTTCCCTGCCTAGTAAGGAAATTATGTTTATACAATCTTGTCATATTATTACGATGTGGGATTTTAAAGTAAATCCTATAAGGAATGAAGAAGTTGGAGTAAAAAATACCAATTTCTCGAAAAATATCTAAGTTCAAGGGGGACATAATTCTGTAAATAGTCTTGCTAGAGTATTTAACCTTCTCAAAAATGTTGAGTGATAATAAGAAACATATATATGAAGTTTGAAGTAGATACATTAGGAAATAAAGAAGTTATTTAAAAAAGAAAACATTTTTTTTCCATAAAAATTCTAAGTTCAAGGGAGGTAATACTGATAATTTTTGTGCTAGAGTTGTAAACCTTGTCACATATGATGTGGTTGATGACCAGAAACTTATATTTAAAGTTTGAAGTAAACACGTTAAGAAATAAAGAATTTATAGTGAAAAAGCTGAAAAGTTTAAATCAGAAATCTTGAAATTCAGACTATTTGTTGCCACAGCAACCAGAATTTTCAACATAGAAAGAAAAGAAAAAGATGTGCATAATCTCCAGACTGCCATCTACCCATATTTCAAGTTTCATAAAAATATTTTCAGTACTTTTTGAGTTATCACTGGATCCAGTTTATGTGTTAAATTTGGCATATTTTCAGACTATTTGTTGCCATAGCAACCAGAATTTTGAACATAGGAACAAAAGAAAAAGACGTGCATAATCTCCATACTGCCATCTATCCATATATCATGTTTCATAAAAATATTTTTAGTACTTTTTGCGTTATCGCGGGATCCAGTTTTGTGGACGGACGGCCGGACAGACAGACGGACAGACGGACGGACATACTAAAATTTGATGTTTATGAGGCAAATGAGCTCATAAACACCACCTGGACCAACGTCCATAAGCGAAATAAGCTCATAAAACCAAAAAAATAGCTCTTAATTTGAATTTTATGAGTTTATGTTCTTTATTTAAATACGAATGAAGCTCATAATAATCAAATGTTGGCTCGGACAGACGGACGGAGGGTAAACCTAAAGTCCCCTCCTGTTAAACCAGTAGGGGACTAAAAAGCCAATGAGTTGGACAACAAGTTCTAGCAACATAATAGATTAAGCCCTTCCCAGAAAATTAGATATACTAGTATATAATTGGAAAAAACTAATTCATAACCAATAAACTACCGTAATGTTGGCCAGACTGCAGATAGAATGTTACTGTAAGGAGTATAATCTACATCAGTGTGTGGCCATAACGCATTTTCTTCCAGATAGATTGGTTTACCATTATGCTCATCAACTATAAGAAAATGAAAAAGTGATATTGGAATTGTTTGTGTTTGTAACCCACTATTGAGGGATCAAAACCAACTAGAATTGGTCAGGGTTGTTTTTAAGCTTTATTTTTTCCTTTATTTACAAAAATTGTCTTACTTTATTACAGCTTTGATGTAATAATTTTTTCAACTCGGGTTACTGATATTGTTACACATGCCATATAACTACTAAGTACTAATTTAAAGAGCCATTATCACTTTCAATAAAAAACATAACACTTCAAGTACCACATACATAAATAAATCATGGAACAAGAACATATGACTTGTATATACTTCTAAAAAATATCACTAAACAGATACATGTAGGTATGAACATATAAATTTCATCAACATTTGACATAAACATTCAAATCTATATTAATATACAATTATATCAATTATTTTTGCATAAAAATTAAATATAACATATTAATTGATAAAATAAAGCAGGGACACTGCTGTTGTATGGTTTTCAATTATAGGTGACTCAGGGAGACAAGTAAAGAAAAGTACTGTAACGATTTTCATTCGCTTAAAATTCAAAACATTATTGTCAAATTATAATTTTATTGTAAAAAGCCTAAAAAATCAGTTTTATAGAAAAAAAACATTTTTTTCTTTGTTTGGTAAGTTGGGTTTCTAATGGCAACAATACTGTAAATGTCATATGGTGACTTTCCAGCTTTACTGGTGGAGGAAGACCTCATGTATCATTTCAGACATGAGCAGGCAACTTAGTAGATGCACCAATGTTCCGTAAGTTTCCATGAAAGAAGGCCAGATTTGAACACACACCAGTTAGGGACAAATTAGTCCTTAAAGGGCACTGAGGTTTTTTGACATGACGGGACTGGAAATAATTTTTTTAGATTATTACTCCATTTGATGTAGATCTATATTTATAACTAATATGTGCAAAATTTCAGATCATTAGCTCGCTCCGCTTTTCCAGAATAATTATTATAATAGTGAAAAATGACCCGAAATTGAAAAGCGTTTAAACGCTTTTACGCTTTTCAATCAAATCGGACTAAGAATAGCACAAACATACGATTTTCAATGTATTTCTTGCACATTTCTTAGTTATATTTAATTTATATTTCTGTTTAAAGTGCTCATGTTTATTTACGTAAAAATTAAAATGTTATGTTTTTAGGCTTATAAACATCAGTGGAGTTCCTTTAACCACTTGGCAAGAAAAAATGAATCATGGAATTTAAATGAAGTCCCCCTAATCCCTGAAGACTCATGCTTTAAATGTGTCCTCATGCTTTTGAGTAATTTAATGCAAAAATGGTGCATTAACATTTTCATAGTTACCTGTACTTTCTCCAATGGCATCTATGACAATGCTGGGTCTAACTTCTGTAATGTTACTGCAGTTTTTGATGTTTGAAGATATGATAGCCGAATGGCCAACTTTATTATAACCCCTTACTGAAACTGCCCAGCATTTTGTAAATATTATGTCTCCTTCTAAATCAATTGTGAATGTTACCTTTAAAACAAATAAGAATAGGCTAAGTTAAAATTATAAAATTGTTTCATTAAATGTAAAATGAGTTTATATAATAATGTTCTGGTAATTATTTCTAAACACTAGCACATTAAAACAATTCTTTATGCATCATGCAATTTTCAAAGCTTAAAACTTACAAGTTTAAAACATATGAAAAAATCCTGTAATAGCTTGCTTTTATATAATAACTGTCTTAAAGGAACTTTTATCCACAGTGATGAATAAACATTTATGTACAAAGGGCAAACCTGCTTTATACAAAAATGTATAATGTTTTAACAAAAGCACCGCAAAGGTGGGTTAATATACATCCAAATATAATGTTATAAAAGTCTTATGTAGGACTTACAAACTCCAAATTAGTTTTTTTTCGCTGGCCATGGGCCTCCGGGCCAGTGCTGAATTCGATAAATGCATGATATAAGGACAAATGGACAAGGGCAAAGCTATAAGCTTCCTCTCAAGTGGGGACATAGTTTTAAAAAAAGGTTAGCTATTTATAGCAAATAATAATCCAAAATCTTTCTTCAAGACTATACCTTGTCTATCAAACTGTTAATATTTTCAGCTCTCTTCCATTTGGTCAATAATTTTGTATCCACAGAATTGTCAGCAATTGCCCATTCATAATGGTCCATAACAGCCACAGCCTCCTCCAATGATTCTATATCAGGATCTTTAAAATGTCCTATATTGACAATTATCTGAAAGTAATGAAATAACAAAATACTGGGATTTACAGACATACAAAATATTGCAATTCAATACTTTATAAAAACTTTGATAAGCAGATAAACAAAATAAGGCTAACAAATTAACAAAATATTGTAATTGATAGATATACAAAATACTGCTATTTATGACACTGATAAACCAAATACTGTAATTAACTTATTAACAAAAGATATAAACAAAACTGTGGTTTACCATACTGATGCACAAAATACTTTGATTTACATATAAATTTAATTCTAAATGGAATACTATGATTTGAAAGACACACAGAATACTGCAATTTACAGATAAACACAATACATGTCCTATGTTTAACATACTGAAGGTTACATACCTGTTTTTGAAGTGTTACATATTGCACCTTGATAAAATCTGGTACTGGAGGGTAAGGTATTATTGTTACACCTGAACTTTTCACAGGTTTAAAGCAAAATGGACCAGCACAAAACTTCAGTACAACCCTGTATCTTCTTGCAGGAGTCAGTGTTAAAACACTGTCTTCAAAAGAGTAGACTTTTGTTCTCAGATGTTGAAACTCCTTATACAATATCCAAAATTCTGAAATAATGAACCATTATAATAGTATTGTATAAAATTCATTAATCTTTACTCCTTTATCTTCATTTCTTGTACACTGTCAAAATCATTATCCAAAAAATATTTCTAACAAAAATTGTCAATTTCACAAACAAAAGAAAACAAAAAGTTAAATGGAAACAACAAGTTACTAAATCTAGCATTAACATACATGTGAACTCTCCCACTTTAGGTGGGAGACTCCCAATTTTTTCAGCCATATTTTCAAAGATTTTTCTTAAAATAAGGGGTATTTTCACAAATTAAAGAAATCGTCAGAACTTCCTTCTTTGTTTATTGCAAATTCTAAAATCTCCCTCTTTTTGAAGAAAAATCTCCCACTTGATCATTGAAAAAAGTTCACACATATGCATTAATAATTTCTTTACTCTTTTCGCAAGAACTCAGACCATTTAAATTTGGAAAAAATTTAACAATCTTTTGAAACAATCCTTTTAAAAATGATATTAATAAACATACATTTGTATGTGAAGAAATAAATCTTTATATTTTCTATGTTAATTTTAGAGTTGAATTGGGAATTTTCAACAGTTTTGTCAACTACAAAATGAACTATGCACTGACATGATAAGAACTTTCATCTATTTCTTTTCACAAGAAGAAACATTTCATCTGATGCAAAAGACTGTGCTTTTTATTACAAAGGGAGTTAACAATAAAATGATAAGGACAATTACCAGCAACAGGTGCTCTTTCTTCAATAGCCCAGTAAACATCTGAGATTATGTGAGCTTTGTCACTTTGAATAGACCAGTAAGCTTGTAAACGGTTGGTTGATGACTGAAATTCTAAGTCTTCTGTACACTTAACTCTTTTGTCCTAATACAAAAAGATAAATAATTTAGTTTAACAGTACACATTGCCCGTCTGCTATTGAATATGATCCTTTATTCAGACAGCAACACACAAATGACTTCTCATTGACCTCCCTCCTTTTATAAAGGTAACAAAATATACTACACGTAATATATTATACGGTAATGCAAAAAAAAAATTTGTCATGTGATGTTAAAAACCTGATATCCAACTTCCTAGTTAATAAACTGGTATTTTAAACCTAACAAGGAAAATAAACATTATTATTTTCTTTTTCTTAAAATACCTTGATTAAAGAATCATGGCATTTTCTCTTGGGAGTAACTTCAGTGCTTCACGTTCAAAAGATTCAGATGAAGTTCAAGAAATGTTTTGTGAACATTGTAATAAACATGACAAGCAATATGTTCCTGCTGAGGGATTTTGTGAAGAGTGTTTTGAGTACTTGTGTGGGACATGCCTCAAGTTTCATAGAAGATACAACGTCTCTCATACAATCAAGGATAAGGATAACATGCCAAAGGATTTCTGTCTAGAGGAATGTTCTGTTCATCAAGATGAACTGGTCAAGTTTTATTGTAAAGTTTGTAAGAAATTTGCCTGTACTGAATGCAAGACTCAAGACCATGGAAACTGTGGTATGGTCAGCTATTTGCCAACTCTTGTTCAAGGGATTGAACACAGCCAAGAAATCAAAGAACTCACTGAAAATCTTGAAATGTTAATGAAAGATTTGGAAAATACACAAAAGCATGTGAATAAAAATAAGGATAATATTGCTTCACAAGAAACAAAGATATTAGACACAGTCATGAAAAAGAAGGAAGAAATATTGTCAACAATTGAAAAAGATAAAAAAGAAAGAATTCAAGATTTTGATAAGATAATGGAAGAGACCATACAAACACTGAGACAAGAGAAAATTGAAAAATTACAAGAGAATAAAACAAGATTAGAAGAGTTATTAGATAATGAGGAAACTGATATAAAGAAAGAAATCAATAAAGATGATGACGAGAAAGTTTTGCGTGATATTACAGCTGAAATCTCAAAAATGAAAACAAATCTACATAAAATATCAAAAAAGCTTGTTTATCACAAAAACACTGATCAAAGGTGCGAAATGTTTGCTGTTATGAAAGAGGGGCAAGAAATCATTGAACAATTGAAACCAGAGGCAGATAAACAATGGAAAAACAATTCAATTCATCATTACAAAGTAGAATGCAAACTGTCAGATCAAAATATAACCACAATTCAAGACTGTAAAAAGTTTTTCACTTTGCAAGAAATACACAAGTCTGAAGTAGAAAGGACAGCAACTTATATAGGTAATAAGACAGACATTAAATTTAATTGTAGCTTGTTTTCATCTTTCTGTTTATTGTCAGAAAACTGTCTCCTTATCACTAACTATGGATCTGAAAAGCTTATTATATTCAAGGATTTGTCAGTCAGAAATTCACCATATGATAGAATAGACCTGCCCCAATATCCTTGGGCAGTTGCAAAAGTTGACAATAAAAAAGTTGCTGTAACACATCCTCAACTTGGAATAATCAGACTGATAACATTCTCTAAGTCTATGACAGTGACCAACACTGAAGATGTAGCAGTAGGAGTAGATTGTTTAGGTGTTGCCTACAGTAACAGCAAGCTTATAGTATCTTACAAAACCAGACCAGCAACAGTGAAGATACTTGACATGTTTGGTAAAGTACTGAAAACATATGATGAAGATCACCATGGGAATCCTCTGTTTGGTAAACCATATTTCTTAACAATCAGTGAAGACAACACAGTCATATATGTATCTGACTATAGGAAGAGTTGTGTTTTAGGGTTAACCTTTGACAAAAATGTCAAGGCCATTTACAAGGATGACCAGTTGAAATGGCCATGTCAACTGACTGTAGACAGGTCTGGAGCAGTGTTTGTATGTGGACTTCAGTCAGGCAATATACATCAACTGTCATCTGACCTGACCAAGGTGAAAATTCTGCTGGATAAAGAACAGAGAGTTATTCATCCATTGTGTGTGGCGTACTGCCAATACAAAAACAGATTGTATTTGGGTCAGATTGAAAATGACATAAAAGTGTATGATTTATCAATGAAATAAAACAATACATATTGTTTCAAACATAAAAAGCATGTGCAAAAACAAGATAAAGTCAAAAATATTTCCAAATAAAATCTTTACTTTTCACTTCCTTCTTCCTTTAAAATAAAACTGAATAAAAACTGAATTAGTTCTATCCTCAGGCAAGGAGTTATTATTCCTTAACAAATGATCTTGGATATTGAGTCCAATGGTCTTTTGTGTGTCACCGCTGACTCAGAAATTATGTTGGATTAGTAGTCCCTCATCTGTGGAGAAACTGATAAATAAATTACTTTTTAGTTATTCCAGAGAAGCCAAAAAGGTGCATCAACTGCCAAGATATGACCAAAAGCATGTGTCAAAATTGGTGTCAAAACCAGAAAAAAATATTACCTACAGATTTCTGTTGTTTTCAACAAATATTCATTTTGAACTTTAAACATTGACTTAAAGGATTTAATGTTATTTTTAAGAACTAAAAAGAAAATGCTATTTTTATTGTAATTGCTGATTTCATACTGCCTTTGTATTTGAGGAAAAAACATTGTTTTTAATTCTATATGACATTATTATATAACTTTAAAACTCTACATTTATCACGTCAATAGCTTTTGGGGAGGTGTGACTACCCAATTGTAGAAGCATTTATCAAGCAGACAAAAAAAAATAGTACCACGATTTTATAAACAGGCAAATCAACAATCCTTGAAATTCTGAAATTGAAACAAGTTTTTATTTAAAAACATTATATTTTCCTTTGTAAAATGTTAAAATCTCCAAGGAAATGCTTGGTTTTCTAAATTTTCATATCAACACTCTGCACTAGTGGCTCAAATTTTTGACAGCAGTTTTTTTTGTCCATGATATTATTTAGAAAAATTCTGACAAATTTTATTAGGCACTATTAAAATTATAGTTTTCAGTGTGTGAACATGGTTTTTCTTTGATTTGACTTGATGACCTAGTTTTTGACCAGAGAATGCCAATTTTGATCCCTGTTTAAGATATTATTAAGTAAAAGAATTAGATAAAGTAAAATGATAAGCCAGTCAAAAATTTGGAATGTAGATTGTTAATAGTTGCTTTAGTTTTGACCTAGTGACATAGCTTTTAAATTTAGATAACCTTTGACTAAATGCGTTTGAATTTATTTGAGATATTCATTTAGACAGAATATAAAGATAATCCAATCAATTATATGGCCTCAAGACTCTTAACAAAAGTTTTTCTTTAATATCGTGACCTAGTTCTCAACCCCAGACCTAAAATTGTCCAAAATATTATTCAGATTTAAAAGGAACACTGACAAAGTCTGAAGGACATCAAAGACTGTGACCTTTATAGTTAAAAACTATTTTTTTTCCTTTTAAGTCCTATTTCTTAAGCAGATAAACAATTCAATGTGAGCTTGTCCAAGGTGTCATTTAGAAAAACATTCTGAAAATTATGTTCCGACAGAAAGTATCATCTTTAAACAAGATTTTTCCTTCATTTGGCCAGGTGACTTTTATTTCAACACAAGATGACCTAGGTTCATACTCATACATTCATACATAATACAATACATATGTGATCCCAGTATAGACAATTCAGTTATTTTTTAAATAGTAACTTTGTATTTGAGAATAATAACTGTATAAAGTAGTAATTGTATCAATATAACTTTTGCAAAAAGTTTTTTTTTTTAAATTAAAAGAGAATAAGAATGGAAACAGAAGCAAGCCTATGAGCTTCATATGAAATGACTATGGATACTTTTACCAATTATGCTAACAAAATCAATAATAACAACAACATATATATATATAATAGTTACCTCAGAATGATGTGACATCTCTGTACTAAAGTCTGAAATATACAAATGGTATATAAGTTGTAATGTATAAAATGTAACATACAAACTCTGTTAATGACATTTTTTTAACAAAGCTCATAAAATGTTTTATGTTTAATATACATGTATCATCCCTAATTATATTTCATGTGATGTTGTTATTAATGCCATTTCTGAAAATTACAAATAATAAATTCATTAGACAAGCATTAAAGAATATGAAGAAAAAGAGAATTGTGTTCCTACAAGTAAAACAAAAGAAGAAAAGTGACATTCAGTGTAACCTCCCCCAACAGTCACCTCTCAACAAACAACCACCTCGTTACAACAGCCAGTTTCAATTTCCCCCCTCTCCTGGATAGTAATTACTATAATAATTTAGCTCTTATCAATGGCCACCTCTCAACTCCGGCCAACAGCCACTTATTTTCCCTTTCAAATAAAAAAATACCCCTCAAACAGCTGGAAAAATTGTTGGCTGGTTGTGCTATTTTTATTGTATGTGATCTTGCCTACTTTATCTATATGATTTAACCAATATATGTACATCATACATGGAAAGCTAATCTTCCTTCTGTCTGTGAAGAATATAAACCTTCTGACATGGAAACATGTTATATTGTTGAATTAATGTTAAATGAAAGATGAATGCACAGAGTAAACATTGTAGTCCTGTATATGTTTTGTGTTTGCTAAATTAAACAATTATGAATTTAATACATTTTGATTTCCTCCCAGGTAACATAAGGTTGGTTCCGGTAGCATTATCAAACTGAAGGACTTAATGTCCTAAGTTATCTACAAATACAAAATGGATACTGAACAGGAAATTTCAAGCCAGCCCCTATGAATATAAAAGTAATGAAGGTTTTTATGATCAAACTATGTTCGTCTATCAGTATCAACAATCTTTAAGTAATGAATATGATCTATATAAAGATGATATTAAGGGTCCTGTATTCTCAATTTGTTATGTGTTTACAACCCTACACATTTCAATAGCAACCTCATACAACAGCCAATTTTAGACTGATTGGCTGCTGGCTAGTGTAGGGAGGTTGCACTGTATATACAAATACACGCGCGTAACTGATATATATCTATAAACAAGAATGACAATAAATTGAATAAAGAAAAGCATTGTAAAACACAAACAATGTGGGTCAGGTTTCAGTGTATTTGTTAATGAGCTGCATTTTGGCTATCCAACACCCTTTGTCACTGGTTACAAATATATCTCCATTGATTACAAAGGTGTAGTTGTGACGGCTCTTTTGTCACATAATCAAATATATTTTTAGAACAAGAACGTGTTTGTTAAACACATGTTTGTCAGTAACAATATTTAAAATAAAGGCTGTATGAGCAAAAGTGTAAAAAATCTATTTTTAGCACTGGTGACCTTGACCCAACTGACCCCTACCTCCATCCAAAGGAAGAATATCATGCAACTTATTTTCCTACCAAATATGAAATAAATCTGTCAATATATAAAGGCTGTATGGTCAAAAGTGTAAAAATCTATTTTTAGCACTGTTGCCCTTGACCAAACTGACCCCTAACTCCATCCAAAGGAAGAATACCATGTAAGTTATCTTCCTACCAATTATAATACAAATCTGTCAATAAATAAAGGCTGTATGAGCAAAAGTGTAAAAATCTATTTTTAGCACTTGTGACCTTGACCCAACAGACCCCTACCTCCATCCAAATGAGAATACTTCAATTTTATGTTCCTACAAAATATACAATACATCTGTCGATAGAATAAGGTTAATACACCTGTAAAAGTGTAAAAAAATCTATTTTTGACATTCGTGACCTTGACCCAAATAACCCCTTACTAAAGGAAAAGGAAGAGGACCTCCTTTGGTTTGACTTTTATAAACATGAAAGACATAAACTTAAACATAAAGGCTGTATGATCAGAAATGTTTAGAATTATTTTTTTTACACAAGTGACCTTGACCTAGAGATGCCTAACGCCACAAAAAGTTAGAGGATTGTAAAAGGTATCCACCTACCAAATATGAAAGATATCATTAAATAAATTAAGTAATTAGGTGAAATATTTTGATAAATCCAACTTGGCAGAATAGGTTAACCATACAAGGCCCTATTTTCAAAGTTATAAAAAGTGAAATTACTGGGAAAATGGATGGCACATTTATATAACTTGGCAATATCATGTACATTGTATTGATAAGTAAGTGTGAAAATTATTAAGCCATTAGTTCAGATAGAACATAAGATATTTCCAACTTGCCAGTTTAGGTTAACCATTATTCATTTTCTAAGTGCTGAAAAGGGCCATAATTTGGTGCAAATGAAAGCCATAGTTATGTAACTTGCCCAGATCATATACTTTGTATGGATTAGTAAGTGTGTAAATTATGAAGCTATTGGTACAGGTAGAACTTAAGAAAAATCCAACTTGCCATTCTAGGTTAACCTCATACGGACAGACGGACGGACGCACAGACGGACCGACGGTTCAATTACTATATGCCTGCGGGCATAAAAAAATGTTTAGTAAGTTCTTTACTCATTAGCAATTTATATGTGTTTAAAGATCAATAAATATATTTAAAAGATATGTTAGATTCACTGTTTATGTTATTATTTAATATGCCTCATTATGCTATGTTTGTTGGACACAAATGACATCAAGTTTAAATACATGTATATGCACGGCCATGCAAAACATACATGCACGGCCATGCAAAACCATTTTAACAGAGTTGTAAAAGCTGAACAGGTATGTAATAAAAGTTATATATTTAGATTTTTACAAATGAATTTTCATAGCTTTTGTACAGATGAGTGTTGAATGAATGACAATTGTTAATACCATCAGCATAGTTGACATCACAAGGGAGACCATCATGTATTGAAACTCCATCCAATGTATCATCATCAACTACTATTGTAACACCATTTGACAATGCTGAGACATTTCCTCCGCTGGTTACAGCAGTGACTATCACGCTATATGTCTGAAATACATGTACACTGAATATGAATGCCCATCAATCAAAATATGTTTCTTTAGACAGAGTTAAATTATTCACACTGTACCTCTTTTGTTTTTGAATTTTTTTAATCCGTTTTTTTTTAATTTTGCTTTTTTAAATTCTTTTTTTTGATTGGGTTTTAAGTCATACCGACAACTTTCCAGTTTTACATGGTGAAGAAACACATTTCAGACATGTGTGGGCACCCAAGTAGAACCACCAATGTTCCATGAGCTAAATGAATAGCTAGCTAAATCCTATCATAAAAGAATCAAATGTTCCTGATGAAATTTGAACCCACAGTGAATCAATCTATACCAACTGTTAAAAGCATGTACATGAACATACAATGTAAATACATAGAAACTATAACTTTGAAAAGCCCAATTTGAAAATATCAAAGTCGATGCCTTTTTTATATAATAAGGGCATAAAACAACTTGCAATCAATGGCTTATACATGCAAAAATAACTGTCCAATCTTTTTATTTAAAAACATAATTTTTTTAAAGGATGTGCCCAAATTCAGAAAAAGATAACAGAATTCAAATTTTTTTGTTTATTTACCATTTTATAGAAAATATGCCTCAGTTTAAATTTAAAATTCAATGTATAAAAATATCAATATCAATTTTTTTTTTAGCAAATATCTTCAGCAAACAATCATTTCTATTTGCACCGCCATCAGTAGTAGAATTATAATCACAAGTGTAGTTGACTTTAATAGAACCATGTGACAACTTTGACCTTTCATACATTAAAAACTATAAAAAAGTTAGTTTATACCTGATATATTTCTAGAGACAATCCATTAAATGTGTGTGTTTTCACATTGTCCGCAACCTCACATATCACTCTTTCATCTGGCATAGACAGTTTTACAATACAAACATGAAACTGTATTTCTTCATAAGGGTGTTCAAATCCAAACCATCTTGTAGACAGCCTGGTTGTCTCTACTTGGTAGTCAATATCATCAATGTCCACCAGCTAATGTAACAGAAAAGTAATATTTTATACATGTCATTAATTGTGTTATGACAGAATATCTAAATCAAACTTATATGTTACATGTATTTATTTAAATGTACGAACAGTGGTTAATTTTACTTTAAATTGTACATATCCAAACTTTTCTTGAAAAGAGGCTTGTTAGACAGAAAAAAATTGTCCTTTGGTCAGGGATTACACTTGGCCACTACAACTGTTTCACATGACTAGAAAATGCATTTCCTTCACTTTACTTATCATTTTCTTAATAAATTGTTATAAAAACCCAAAAAATGTCATTAAAAATCAAACAATTAAAAAAAAATTTGTAAAGGGTTAAGAGGTAAAAATTTTATTCAGAAAAGGGGGAAAAAAACAAAATTTTATTCAAGGGAAAATTTTAAAAATACTAAAAAATTCCCGCCCTCCCTCCCCAAATTTTTTTTTGCCCCACCCAAAAAAAAACCCAATTTTTTTTTCCCCTTTTTGGGTTTTTTTGGGTTTTAAATTTTTTTACCTTTTTGTTTTGGGGAAAACCCCCCCCAAAAAATTTTTTGGCAACAAAAATCTTAAAAATTTAAAAAATTATAAAATTTGGAAAAGGGAAAATCTTTCAAATTATTAAAAAAAAAAAAAAAATTTTTAGTTTTTTAAATTAATCTAAAACAATTATTAGTTTAAAAAAATTCCCTTGATAATTATAAGTTATGCCCAACAACTAATTTTTTTTCAACTTATTAAAAACTAAAAAAGAAACATTTTTTGTTCAAAATTTTTTGATAAATTTTTTATCATTAAATTACCCTCAATAAAAAAAAGTAACAAGTTTGCAAAATTTTCTATTTTTTTGAAAACTATTTGAAAAAAAAAATAATTGTAAAAAAAACCCTCCCCCACTACAAGTTTTGTGTTAACTAAATATGTTTTTAATTTTCCATGATTTTTGAATATTTATATATCTATCTTTTTTATAAAAAATTCCTTATATGACACATTTATGAATTATAAATTTTTCATGACCAAACCTATGAATTTATAAATTTTATCATGAAAAACCTATGAATTGTATAAATTTTTTTAACAATCTTTTTTGTATAAAAAACCCAAAAATAAAAAAAATTGAATTATTTTTTAATTTGTTAATAAAAAGTATACCCGTACAGAGAAAAAGAACAAATTAAAAAATTTATTTCGAACATGTTTTACTTTAAAATTAAAACCCCGTAAGCTCTTTTTAAATCATAAAAACTATTTAATCAGAAGTTATTAAAATGTTTACTTCTGTTTTCAGAAATCTTTAATAAGCTTTTTTCTTAACATATAGTTTAAATATACCTATTGCAATTTCATATTTCAAAGGATGTGGGTCACCATGGTCTATAAAAGCATCTTCCTCCCAACTTGCTATTATATAGGACTGACTTCCCTCACTTTCAACAGATAAACTTATTCTGCCTTGAAACTCTGGTTTTGATCCATCCAACAAAAATGGCCCTATGTTCTATACAAAATACAAGGAAAACAAATCAAATCTTCATAAAAATATTAAGATAAAGAAGTTGTTCATATGAAAGGTTACGAAAGGAACTATTATTTCAAGGAATATAAATCTATAACTGAAAGACATTCTATTCTAAAAAATCAAAATCTGTACAATCACATACTTTACAGGCTCTCATGGCCATATCTGAAGAAACAAAGAGAGTTTTAGAGCAAAAATTGTCTCTTTTAAATGTAAGGCACATGAATTGTATTATACATAAGTAAACAGAATTAAATGTTCACTAAGTTAAGACCTTTATAAAAAAAGGGGAAATTTTTATTTAAAAAACTGCTAAATTTTATGGGCATGGGAATGACCATTTCAAAATGTGTTTAAGTTTAACCAATCCCCTTTAGTAGCTTTGGGGGTACCAAGAGCATGCCAAAAACCCAACCCCCAAAGTTTCACTGATGTTGAAATAAGTACAATAGCTTTTTCCCTTTATTCTTGGGAAAAAGTCAAAAATTTAAAAATTTTTAAAAAAGTTTTTTAAAATTAAAATTAAACAAATTATCTAGGGAGAAAAAATAAAAAATGAAAACCTTTAAAATCAGAGACAGAAAGATTTTTTTTGAAATTTTTAAAGGGGACCTTTTAAAAAAAAATCGTTCTCCATTGAAAAAAAATTCTGGGTTTGATAATTTAATCTTATTTTTGATAACCATGGGGCCCGTCTAAAATTTGCCAAAACCCAAAAAAAGGAAATATTTGACTCTTCTGAAGAAAATTCCAACCCTCCATACCCAATTTTTTTTCCAGCAAAAACCAAACCCGGGAACTTTCCCCATAAAAAACCCAGCTAGGGTAAAAAATAAAAAAATTGTTGAAAAAAAGGTTAAAAATAAAAAATGTTTTTGATCAATTTTACAACATTTTTGTAAATTTAAATGAATAAGGGGATATGGATGAGTGGCAAGTTCAATACTGACTTTTATTAAAACAAGTTAAAAAAAATTATATTATTTTTAAACCCCCCTTTCCCTTGGGCAAGCAAAAATATCTTTTTATTCAACAATTTTCAATAAATTAAAAATAATTAACCTATACGAATATAATATTGTATTTATCTCATATCCAAAATAAAGACTGCTCAAAGTGCAAAAAAATCATTTTTCATAGAAACGCCTATAGTGAAGCGCTAACATTTAGCGCGTCTTTAAACTTAGTTTGTATAGTGTAAATGATGTCACGTCAATATATATGCTTGGCCTTGCAATACCATTTTTACAGAGTCGCAAAAGCCGCACAGATAAAACAGTTGATCACATACATGTATATTGATATCTTGAAAATATTAACACCCTTAGACATTGTATCAAAAAATTACTATCAGTGATTTAACTTCCAATAAAGTACAGTATGTTTCCTAAATCCCCCCATCTCCCCATCCTCCATCTTAATCCAAAACTATTATACGACTATTTTAAATGTCAAGTTTTCCACATATAATTATATATCATTTCTGTACAGCATTTAAATACAAGTTTTAGTTCATTAAAATGCATAATGGTTTTTCAAAGCAATCATTCACCATTGGGATAATAATAGAATATTTCACAAAATAAGTAAAAGTAAATCATACATGTGATGATGATGTAATAAAAGACAGCAAGTTGTTGTTCAAGTCCGGGTACATAGAACAGTCCTGCAAGCTAATCGTTCTTTCCATCCCATTAATATTTCTCTTATGTGGCATCAAAAGTATTTTCTCTGTTGACACAGAAAAAGCTTTGTCTCTAAAAGAAAAAAGATATTTCTTTTGTAAAATTCAAGCCAAAAATGTTCTGTCAAGAAATATTATGACTTTCAAAATCAAACACAGGATTTAAAAGGCTATTTCTTCTGACTGATCTCTTGGAAATTGTGTTCAGTAACTTGCCAAACATTTGTCTATAATTGACATTTTTCTACAGACTTTAAACACATAACATCTTTGTTTTCATTTATAGCTTTTTCTTATAACAACAAATAATCAAATATTACAATATGTACAGGACTTAAAAGCCAAAACTGGCATACAGCTACTTAGCATTTACATAAACAATACATACATTAATATTTCCAAAACATAATTTCAAACTTTAGTGTTTGAATGTAACTTTGAATACTTCATACTAATACTTCAGATAGTCATCAATAAGAAAAAAATCTTAAAATCTCTAAAAAAAATTATATGAATTATGAATAATGTATGAGAATAATATGTGCAGCATTTTATAAAATCACAAAATTTATAAACTTCACCTTTTCTAACACATAGTCAGTACAACAATGAGGGGCAATAAATGATGCAAGAGTTAAACAAGGCACAGGCTCTTGAAAGAATAATTGTTAGTGACATATACATGAGTGCAAGTTAAAACATAACAGAAAACTTGAAAATCCTGAATGTAGTATCATTCCAATTAGTTTTATATAGAAAAAAGGAGCTTTCAAAGGTAGGAAAAAAGAACTTTAGGCAAATGCCTGAAAGCCTTAAAACTTGTACAAATGCATATTTAAAACAAAATTCCCTGTCATTTAATCATTAATACACAATATCAATAGTTCATGATACAACTTACATGCAGTCCTGTGAAGGATCTATGACTTGCTTCAGCTCCCTATTTCTGTTGACTACAAATATCTCACCACTTGTTTCCTCTTTTATTACACCCTCTACAGTCACAGCATCCTTCACAACAACTTCCGATACTGTAGCAGGTGTAGTATCTATAGTAACACCATCCGTGCAGACCGGTTGACTTACACCGAGGGCGTGGTTTACTGCAACTACAGTGATAAAGTACTGTCCGGTACTATGTGCAGTAAATGATGCTGACTTTTCATAGGTTTTTGTGATCTGCGAATAAATTGATTTAAAATATTTAGCTGCATGTTTAATGGTTGTTTACTTGATTTTCCACACAGGTGTTCTCTTTAACCTTAGTACAACCTATCTAATACTCTAGTAACTGTAATTAAAAATGGCTTGCAACCTAATAAAAATTTTAAGATAAATGATAATTCTAGAATCAGGGGACTATCAACACAAATCCGGAAAAAAAAGGTATAATAAAAATAATTTACAGTCTTAAGATATACTTGCATAGAACTTTTAATTCATTACTAAAACCATATGTAATACAAAAATGCTCCCATTACTTATTATATACACTATTTTGTTTGATATATACACTATATTGTTTGATATATATACACTATATTGTTTGATATATACGAGGGTTGTCCCAATATTCTGTGACAAGATTGATTAAAAGCTAAATAAAACAGGTACGAATTTGATATTTTAATATGTTATAAACCCATATAATTTAAATATTTTCACAAATTTTCATAGATAAATATCAACAAACAACAAAAATATGCCATGAACACCATGGCAACTAACTGAATCACGGCGCACGTCCAACGTCAAAGATGGCGTTAAATCTATATAAGGCGCCTTTCTCAAATACTCTCAATGACTTTCAACGCAATAATGGTACCATAAATCGTCAATTTCTGACTTAAAAATCATGTGGTTGTTAATGTCTGTTGAATGTTTGGATGGCATACATTAACTTTTGCTATACGCGAAGCTTTTCCGGTCCTCGTTACTTCCTTTTTTTAGCTGTAAGGAAATAGGCGACGAAGATCGGTCCCCTCCTTCTATCCGTGATTTTCCTTATTTTCGCTTTTTGTAGCGCACAAAACTCTGGTTCCGTTCATGCCTTTTGTACACAAATGCTCAGAATATGTTGCTAAACTGTTATATTTGGTATAGTTTTGTTGAAAATCGTTACATGTGTCATCTCGAAATAGTACATGAAACCTGAGTGACATGTTCACTGCGCCGCAAATTCTTCGAACGTCGCCAAATTTTTAACTTTCCTATTTTACATGAGGTATTTTCATTTATTCGTATCTTTTTCGTTTTTTTTAAGTTATTTAACTAAAAAATTTCCAGAGATGATTTAAACATAGCAGCAGAGGAAGTCAACGTGACATTGTGCAGACACATCATCAGATATTTGAAATATACGTAATTAATTTCAGCCTATTCTAACAAAATGTAAAATTAATTTGACGTGCGCCGGCAACTCAAACCAATGTCGTTAATACTGAAAATTTCTAAGTAACTAGGGTAAATTTTTTGTAAATGATTGTTGTTATGTTTAAATAATAACTTAACGGTTATATGTGTGTGAATTCTATTTTCTATTGGCGTTTAAAAATGAACCGGCTATAAAATTTTTTTTTCACGGGAAAACATTTTTTTGGGACAACCCTCGTATATATCAGTATAGTTGTTGATATATATACACCAGTATTGTTTGATATATACACCATATTGTTTGATATATACACCATATTGTTTGATATATACACTATATTGTTTGATATATACACTACATTGTTTGATATATACACTTTATTGTTTGATATATACACTATATTGTTTGATATAAACACCATATTGTTTGATATATATATATATACACTATATTGTTTGATATATACACCATATTGTTTGATATATATACACTATATTGTTTGATATATACACCATATTGTTTGATATATACACTATATTGTTTGATATATATACACTATATTGTTCGATATATACACTATTTTGTTTGATATATACACTATATTGTTTGATATATACACCATATTGTTTGATATATATACACCATATTGTTTGATATATACACCATATTGTTTGATATATATATACACTATATTGTTTGATATATACACTATATTGTTTGATACATACACTATATTGTTTGATATATACACCATATTGTTTGATATATACACCATATTGTTTGATATATACACTATATTGTTTATACAATCAACATATAATCATGTCCATCTTTTTCCAATATTAACTTATAACAATCAGATATTATTACATAAAGTACCTTATCATTTTGTTCATGAACATCAAAATCTTCCGCAAGTAGGCATTCTGTATCAAAACCATACAAATAAAACCAAACACTACTCTCTCGATCAAAGAAATCATCCCAGTGTGCGTGTAACTCTAACGATTGCTGGAAATCCACCTCCGGTTGTCCTAATATACCATCTTGAACGGTTCCTTCATGTGGCGGCGAAATATCAATAGTAAACTGAAAAGGTCTTTTACGATTAAAGCAGGAAGAAAAAATATTGTACTAACTTTACAAAGGAAATATGTGCAACTATCACTGATTGGGGGGAAAATGTGTAAGAACTGACAAGTAGCCCAGTCAGCACTGGTACAGACTTTCAAGACTCTGAACATGACAAATGGGATGTTATATAGCTTAGTCAATTGGAATCGTTCTCTTTACCCATTATTTTAGAGCTGTTGAGGCTGCACATTCTTCTTGCCCTGTGACATACTTAAAGAAACATGTCATATGTATGAACATCCAGTAGTTTAGAATTTTATGTATTTTGAACAATGATAAGTTGAGAGACGGGTTGAAACAAAATTTTACTATTTCCTTCTTTAACCTTCTCTTAATACAGCAATGGTCACAGGTATCTTATTTAAGCAGTGGGCAAAACAATAATTAAAAGTACAACTTTATAACAATGTCCCAGTAATATTCTGTCAATGTTACAAGAAAAAGTTCCCATTACCAGCATTGATGAGAATGTAAAATATCACTAAAGATTATCCAAAAGAAACCACTTTTACATCATAAATGTTTCACAATAAACATAATTATATACCTTGTGTGTTGTCACTGTTTTCAGTCTAGCATTATTTATTGCTGTGACTTCTATAAAGTAGTCGTAATCATGTACACCGATGTCCTTGCCAGAATGTATACCGTCGGTGCCGGTATCAGTAACCTGTGGATTTATCTGGAAGTTTCCATGGTAACAGCCATTAAATGGGGAACAGTAGCAGTTATGACCTCGAGGTGTATCTACATAATTCTCCTGACATTGTTGTAACGTCTGCTGCAAAATGGGGTAAGTACAGTAAATATCTTAGGGGTAAAATAATTCAAAAATATCTTTCTTATAGATATTGCAAAACAGCTCCTTTTTTTCTTCTTTTTTTAGGTTTAATTTTTTACTGATACTATTAAAGTTGATTTTCCAGCTAGAATGGTTGAGGAAGACTGATATGCAATTTTCATCTGCAAGTCCACATCAAATTTAAACACACTTTCCTTCCAAAATTTAGCTTGACAGCTTCCTTGCACATTACAGAAGCCAAGTTGGAATACAGACTAACAGCAGTGTAAAAAGCAAGTGATATTGAATTAAACAACCTTAACCACTTGAACATGGATTTTACTTCACACAAACACTGTAAAAGCCATATGGCATATTGCCAGCTTTACTCATGGTGGAAGACCGTAGTTGCCCCTCTGTGCAGTTTTCAGGTGCACAAACTAACACCTCATAGAACAACCAACATTCCTTAATATCAAATAACACAAAGCACAGAATAGACAGCAAAGAGTTACAATAAACCAAGGAAAATTAAATGAACACCTTAATTTTTGTAATCATTCCTTATTACATTTTCTTATATTTTGAAATACATACTGATTCTCCTCCTTGCAAACTTTCAAATGAATGCCCATGTTGTATATCAGTGTTTGTAAAGTTGTCAAAGATTCTCCACTCTAGCTCATACAGTCCACTATGCTCATCATAAACCTCCCACTCAAACCTGTAATATATTTGTATAATTATCATTTGCATCTATACTTCAATCAGTATCACATATTTTTTTCATAAATTAAAGTAAAAATAGGCTAATCAAAATGTGTTCAATTTTCTTTCTAAAAGAAAGCCATGTTTTTAAACATGGTTAATCCCCTTGCCGATACGAAGTTATTTGAAGGCTCTTTTCTTGTACATTTTACTTGGTGAGGAAATCCTTAAAAAGCCATATAGTTAGGGTCATGCTGAGTACAGTTTTCAAGTAAGTGGAAATAGATAAGGCAATGAAAAGAAGGTTTGCAAAATCACTTTACTGTTCATTATCAGTGCAAAAACTAAATGTAATAATGTGTGTATGCAGTTTGAAGAAAATCCCTAAAAAAATCGGCTAGGTTCAGTTATTTTTTTGTGTAATGCACTTCCTATGTCAGTGAATTAAATTTGAAAAAAAAAAATCTCTGTAGTATTTTTGGAGTTATGCATTTTTTTTTTCAAGTAAATCTGATAATGGGGAAAATAGGCAATGTAGTTTTTCTTGCACGAAGCACATACTACTAATGTGCTATGTCAGTGTATTAAGTTTGAAGAAAATCCCTTAACCCTTTCCCCCATGAGCATATTGTGAAAAATGGCCATTTTCACTGAAAAGCCTCCTCTTACAAGTTCAAACTGCTATGAAACTATGAAAAATGCTTCAATACTAATCAAACTTGGCACAAATGTTGACTGGACCATTGCCTTTGTAACGACATGCTCAGTCTTAAATTTCCTGTTACCATGGCAACGAGGGGACATCTAAAAATTGACAAAAATCACTATTTTGCCTCGATTTTTCCCATCAAAATTTATTTCAAAGTGCTGCAACTTCTCAAGGGATTGAGATAGAGTCAAAGGCTTTGCAGTGTTGGTTACACGTTACCTTATGATCGACCTGGGGTCATTTTAAGCCTCTCACAAGTCCAAAATTTTCTTGGCGATGAGGGGGACTCCGCCCCCCTTCAAAACCCCCAAACAGAAGGGGGCACATCCCCCTTCTGGCAACCCCCTGATGTATCTTTTAGATGGGGGACGGCGCCGAAAAAGTGCTCACTTTTTTTAGCAACATTTCTCAAACGAAAACATGTGTTTTGGACCCAAATAGGACATTTTTTCACTATTCCAGGCCTAAAAAAGGGGGGGGGGGTCGAAAGTGCGTTGTTTCGCGTATATATGAGGTAAAGGGTTAACAAAAATGATGAAAATCTTTGGAATCACCCAAAATCTAGTTTTTCCATGTTAACATGTGGTCTTTTACCTAATTTTGGTGAAAAATTGTTGTTTTGTAACATTTATAATTTTTTTAGTTAACCCTTTCCCCCATGAGCATATTGTGAAAAATGGCCATTTTCACTGAAAAGCCTCCTCTTACAAGTTCAAACTGCTATGAAACTATGAAAAATGCTTCAATACTAATCAAACTTGGCACAAATGTTGACTGGACCATTGCCTTTGTAACGACATGCTCAGTCTTAAATTTCCTGTTACCATGGCAACAAGGGGACATCTCAAAATTGACAAAAATCACTATTTTGCCTCGATTTTTCCCATCAAAATTTATTTCAAAGTGCTGCAACTTCTCAAGGGATTGAGATAGAGTCAAAGGCTTTTCAGCGTTGGTTACACGTTACCTTATGATCGACCTGGGGTCATTTTAAGCCTCTCACAAGTCCAAAATTTTCTTGGCGATGAGGGGGACTCCGCCCCCCTTCAAAACCCCCAAACAGAAGGGGGCACATCCCCCTTCTGGCAACCCCCTGATGTATCTTTTGGATAGGGGACGGCGCCAAAAAAGTGCTCACTTTTTTTAGCAACATTTCTCAAACGAAAACATGTGTTTGGGACCCAAATAGGACATTTTTTCAGGGGGGGGGTCGAAAGTGCGTTGTTTCGCGTATATATGAGGTAAAGGGTTAAGTACTTTTGGAGTTAATAATTAGAAGTTTGAAGAAAATGGCCCAAGTAATTTGAAGTTATGCTCCATACAAAATTGGGACGGATGCAAGGACACACAAATGCACAGAGGAAGACCATTTCTAATATCTCCTTTGCTTTTGGTAAGGGGATAAAAAAGCATTACTACAAACATTTTTGCTTTATATAAATAAAGTTATTGTTCTGTAAGTACATGCTTGATTTCCTTTCAAGATTCTTTGATTTTTCTAGTTAATCCACTTACATAGAAATCTTATAATCTTTTTATTTTGATGTATCTTCACAAAAAAATTTGCAATGAAAAATGTTAACAGGATGTTGCATGCCAGCTACGACTTAACTTCCAGTGATCAATGTTTAATAAAAAAAATTGAGCATTTAATTTACTTACGTTATATCATTCAACTCCAGTACATTATGTATGCTGAGGTTCACAAAATCGCCTTTCGTTAACCAAAGGTTTTGAATGACAGGTGGAGACAGGTCGATAGTCACTGTAACATTATCTTCCGCGTAATGATCTAGAGTATCATAACCACGAATAGTAAATGTTATACGTTTACCATCTGTTAGGTCTATATCATTGTAAATGATTTTTTGAAGGTCGAAAAACTCTTTTGGAACCTGCGCAAAGTCGACAAATGATGTCTGTTCATCTAATATGATTGTATATCCAATTTCAAAATGCACAATGCCTGAAATATTAACATAAACAAATGACCCATGTTTGACAATTGCATTTTAAACTAATTATAAAACAGTCTCAGACAAATAAAATTAAGCTCATGATTCAAATACTTATGTAATTTAAAGAACAACATTAATGAAAAATTTTGTTTCAGATATCACAGATTTATATTTCAAGATAATAATTAAGATCCAAGCAGAGATCAAGCATTTCAATATAATATATTTCAGTTAATATTATTTAACTATGTATATTAAATTTGGTAGATGAAACTTTACAACCACAAAAAAAAACATAGACCAGATTATTACATTTTAGAAGAAAAAACATATTTTTGCTAAATAAATTTATTAAAATGGTGAATCAGATGCTTGAAATAGGCTAATTTGCACATAAAATCCAATCAAATATAATATAATTGAAATTACAATATATAAATATTGAATCATATAGAATACTAAATGTAGCCACAATTATACCTAAAATATTGTAGAGGACGTCAACTCCTCGTAACGATCGGCTACTGGTATCATCAAGGTCTGGACTAACCTCTGGATTATCTTTTACCTCATTTAACCAACCATGTGTATAATGTTGCACGTTTATATACCTCCCTTCCCAGCTAACCTCAACTGATGAAGAATCTACATTAATCCAGAAGAACTCATTAGCTTGAACAACTATTGGTATCGGATCCATCTTTTCCACAACAGAAATATCGTCATATAAAACTATTCGTCTTGATGTCTTGTGATTGTTAGCCTTGTCAAATGCAGTGATTTCAACTGAATATGGCCCTGGATCGGCAAATGTTACAGTTGTAGATACCTGTAATATATTTGTAAAAAAATGTATAAAATGTCAAAATATTTGTTATAATCTTCTTTTACATTTCTTTAATATAACATAAATATCAATATATAACACCAGGTGAAATACATTAAAACATTTGACAATACGTTACAGACAATAAGTGAAGTAAACTTTGTCAAGTTCAATGTTTAAGGTATCAATTTTAACTACATGTATTTGAAAATGATGGTTTTCTGTTTTATCATTTTTCAATAAATAAAAGACCTCAAAATGCTTATAAAAATTGTAATCATTTTCCCATCACAATTTAAAAGAGTAAAATTTACCATTTACCATAATAGATGAATATATCAGAGACATAGATAACGTTATCTATATCTCTGAATATATCAAGAGGAGTATATGTCATTTTAAACAAATTTATCAACACGTGTACATTTCTGCAACAATTCTTATAACTGATAATCATTTTAGATTTTACATCCTAGAATTAAGTAGTTCTGGTGTCATATGAGATAACATGGCAGAGACTAAAGTAGACCTCAAACCTACATTCCTTATGTCAAGAGGCAGACAGCACACCTGAACCACTAGGCCACTGCACCTTTTATATTGAGAATATATTGTAGGACTTGATGAACAACAACCAAGTAATGCTTCTGTTTTCAAAAGCATTTAACAAAAGTGTAAAATAACACCTCAAATAATGTTTGAAGATAACAAAGATATTGGTTAATTTAAAAGCATGTATTCGGTTTACACATAATAAAAAATATTCACAGGCTTACTTGGTCAAAGTTCAGTTCTGTTTCTGAAACCACGTTCATCTCCTCCAATATTGGGTTGCTCTGATCTTTTACAGCTAGATATTTCAATGTAACCACATACTTGTCTAGTCCAGCATCATTGTCTGTCCATCCATCCCAGGTAACATCCACTTCAGACTGTAAAGTATAGGCAATTAAAAAGAAAAAGAAAGAAAATACAGTACAACATGTACAGAGTAACTCCCTATGGGAGACAACGATTTTGATTGCTGCAGAGAGGACTTTCAACTATTGTTCTACAGAGGTAAATTTCATTGTTGATATTTACTTTGAGATGATAAAAATATTTGTTTCAATTTAAAGAGGTCATTATTCCACAGCTCTGTAGAGGTTATAATTTTCAATTCTTGCAACAAAAAATGTTCGAACTGAAAAAAATATCTATAGAAACTTTAAAATGAAAAGCCTCTTTTCATTCAATTGGAATGTTTTGACATTTGGGTGATTAGTTTAGTTGTGATTGGTCATGGCTCTGGCATGTACACACATTATCAGATTCTAACGAAAATGACAGCAACTACTACTGGTAAACTGCTTGACAGCCTGTCCAGGATCAATGTGGTGGCTGAACAGTGCTACGATAAATTCAATGTGGCTTACTGCCATGATCCGGAGGTTATACTACCATCACCACCACCATATTATATATAAACTAACAAATACAAACACTTACAAATTCATTAAAGTCTTGCACAGTTAGAGAGTCTTGAGTGCAGGTGTGACTTGTCTCAAAACAATGGACAGGGGGATAGAAATCAAATCCTATTTCAAGGGTATTTGTAACAGTAACTCCATTGAGGTTGTACTGGTTCTCTGCCGCAGCTTCACGATCAATGTATTTGATGAGTCCACCATTTGTTGTTGACATCGTAAAAGTAATTCTTTTAAAAATATTCAGTTTGCATTAACAACACAAGAAAGATGTCTTAAGAAGCATTAAAATAAAGACTATTGTAAAACACCAGATTTCCATTTTACAGTACTCAAATAAAACTTAAACTTTACGCCCAAAGGTGATGATTCTGTGAAAGTTTGCTTAACCCATTACTTCATGAGCATTTTGTGAAAAATGGCTGTTTTCATTGAAAAGTCTCCCGTTACAAGTTCAAATTGCTATAATACTATAAAAACTGCTTCAACACTAATCAAACTTGGCACAAATGTTGACTGGACCATTGCCCTTGCAACAACATGCTCAGGCTTAAATTTTCTGTTACCATGGCAACGAGGGGACATCTCAAAATTGCCAAAAATCACTATTTTGTGTTGATTTTTTCCATCAAAATTGATTTCAAAGTGCTGCAACTTCTCAATGGATTGAGATAGAGTCAAATGCTTTTCAGCCTTGGTTACACGTTACCTTATGATCAATCTGGGGTCATTTACAGCCTCTCACAAGTCCAAAATTTTCTTGGCGATGAGGGGGACTCTGCCCCCCTTCAAACCCCCCCAAACAGAAGGGGGCACAACCCCCTTCTGGCAACCCCCTGATGTATCTTTTGGCTGGGGGGCCGCGCCGAAAAAGAGGTCATTTTTTTAAACAACATTTCTCAAACAAAAACAAGTGTTTGGGGCCTAAATAAGGCATTTTTTCATGCATTTGAGACAACAAAAAGGGGGGGGGGGTTGAAAAAGGCGCTAAAAGGCGTCTATATGAAGTAATGGCCCTTGCAACAACATGCTCAGGCTTTAATTTTCTGTTACCATGGCAACGAGGGGACATCTCAAAATTGCCAAAAACACTATTTTGCGTTAAGTTGATTTTTTCCATCAAAATTGATTTCAAAGTGCTGCAACTTCTCAATGGATTGAGATAGAGTCAAATGCTTTTCAGCGTTGGTTACACGTTACCTTATGATCAATCTGGGGTCATTTACAGCCTCTCACAAGTCCAAAATTTTTCTTGGCGATTCAGGGGGACTCCGCCCCCCTTCAACCCCCCAAACAGAAGGGGGCACATCCCCCTTCTGGCAACCCCCTGATGTATCTTTTGGCTGGGGGGCCGCGCCGAAAAAGAGGTCACTTTTTTTAACAACATTTCTCAAACAAAAACAAGTGTTTGGGGCCTAAATAAGGCATTTTTTCATCATTTGAGACAACAAAAAGGGGGGGGGGGGGAAAAAGGGGTTAAAAGGCGTGTATATGAAGCAATGGGTTCAAATAGAAGTTGTGCATAGATGAAACTTTTTTTGACAATCAATCTACATACTAACATTAGTTCCTGATTGTTTAAATATTTACCTCCCTTGTCAAATGTGGCAGCTGTTTTTGGGTTTATATTCTATATACATGTAATACCAGTATATTAGCATTAATTGACGAAGTATGACAAAAAAATCAATATAAACAGCTGATGAAGTGAATTGTCAAATTGTTTGAAGCATTTGCAGCAAAATATTATTAAAACACCAATTTGTGAGTTTTTTTCAGTTTTCATGAAGATGATAGAATTATAAGAGATTTTAATTGTATAATAAGCATATGATATATTGAAAATGACTCTCTAAATGGTTGCCAGGTGAGATTGTTTTTATTATTTTAGGCACAAACGGACACTTGAGTAGAACAAACAACGTTCCATAAACTAGCTGGATAGCTTCCTTTCATGAAAGAATCCAAAGTCCTTGTCGGGATTCTTGTCACCCAAAGTGGTTAGAGGCCAGTCATGCCAGGGGAGGTAATAATTGCTATGTGAAAAATATCCTTGTTGGAACAGATATAGACCACTTTTATCTGAGATGCAATCAGAAATAAAAAGTCTCTTACTATTGTTTATAAATAATTGCCAAAAAAACTAAGGGAATAATAAGCATTCATTTTAATCGATCAAATTGAAAATTTATTTCTGAATCACTGCTGCATAACAACTATGACAGTACAGAGATATATCAAGTAAAATATTTCTTTCATTTCCATTTGTGAAAAAAAACAGTTACTCTACAGAAGTCATCTTAAATATTCTTTAATTCAACCAAAAGCTAGTTTTAAATAAAAATCATAGTTTTTGAAACATTTTTGCATTACCTTTTGAAGCTAAGAAATGAATTAAAATTGTAGACAATTTCAAGCAAGTCAATTTCATGATATATTTTCACTATCAAAATACTACATACGTATCCATATGTCTGAAAGGCGAGGGAAATCCACCCTGTAAGATGGTATTCCATGGAGTTTGTTTCAGATCTGTGTTAATTGTTGTTTCACATCTCTCTTCATATCTACAGTCTCCATTATGTATCCACTTTGATTGGTCTCCACCTTTAATTGTATAGATGTTTTGAATTTTAAGTCACACCAGCACTTGGAATTTATTGAATATAAAACCATAAAAACATAGTTACAACAGGGTTAACGTAAAAAAGAGAATTATTAAATGAAACCCAAGTACTGTAAAAGAAACCCTGCCAGAGATAAAATTATTCCTTCTAAACAAAGACTACTGGTAAATAATACTTACTTCTAGGCATGACAGCTATTAGGGTAATATCCTTAAAATAATATCAAAACTAAAGGAAGAGAAACAAAAGCACAGTAGTACTTACCTCTGGTCAATGTGGCAGTTAGTGTAATTTCCTCAATACCAACACTATAAGAAGAAATATAGCTAGGGACGTTCTGTGTATCTATAGTAGGTTTGTAAGAAGATGACGCATCTAACTCCACTGATGACCACTGCGCTTCATTTGACCAGAATTTACCGTTTGCTAATGGAATATCAGCTATCAGTTTGTTCACATCTCCATCTCCTTCAAGGATAAGTATCTGGGTGAGAATAGCTGGTGGGTGGTCTTCTTTTACTGAAAAAAAATAAAAACAACAAGAGGGCCATGATGGCCCTGAAATCGCTCACCTGTATATAGGCCCCTGGGCCAATGCCAATTTTTTTATGAGAAGATTTTTTTAAGTTTTTACTATATACATAGGAAAAAACAATGACACCCCCCCCCCCCCCCCGGGAGGAGCCAATTTTGACCCCAGGGTTTTTAATAAAAAAAAATATTTCATGCTTAGTATCTAAACTCTAGCTCTTTTGGTTTTTTAAAAGAAGATTTTTTAAGTTTTTACTCTCTACAAAATAATGAGAATCAATGACCCCCTGGGGCAGGGCCAATTTTTACCCCAGGGCTTTTATTTGAACAAACTTGGTAGAAATTCACTAGAAGATGTTTCATGCTTAATATCTAAGCTCTAGCTATTTGGGGTTTTTAAAAGAAGATTTTTAAAGTTTTTACTATATAAAAATAAGGAAAATCAATGACCCCCACCCCCCCCCCCCCCCAGGGCGAGGCCAATTTTGACCCCATGACATTAATTTGAACAAAGTTGGTGAACACCCACTAGAAGATGTTTCATGCCAAATATTTAAGCTCCAGCTCTTGCGGTTTTCTAAAATAAAATATTTTAAGTTTTTACTATATACAAATAAGGAAAATCTATGACCTCCCGGGCCAGGCCAATTTTAACCCCAGGGGATTTATTTGAACAAACTTGGTAGGCACCCACTAGAAAATGTTTCATGCTTAATATTTAAGCTCTAGCTATTTGGGGTTTTAAAAAGAATTTTTTTAAAGTTTTTACTATATACAAATAAGGAAAATCAATGACCCCTCAGGGCGGGGCCAATTTTGACCCAAGGGCATTTATTTAAACAAACTTGGTAGACACTGACTAGTTGATGTTTCATGCCAAATATTTAAGCTCTAGCTCTTGCGGTTTTCTTAAAGAAGATATTTCAAGTTTTTATTTTGGTTGCCATGGCAACCTGAGAGTTCTGCTTGGAATTAAATTCTTTGAACAATTTTTAAATTTGAATACCAAAGGAACATTCCTGTGAAGTTTGAATGAAATTGGCCTAGTGGTTTATGAGGAGATGTCGTTTAAAGTAAAAGTTTACGGACGGACGTCGGACGAAAAGTGATCACAAAAGCTCACCATGTCACTTTGTGACAGGTTAGCTAAAAATTCGATATATCTTAGAAGTACATAAAATACATGTATTGTAAATTTTTAGATCACACTTTTACATGGTTTGATTACTAACTATTATTATATCTTAAGCAAAAATACATTATCAAAAATTGCATACTGTTTTTACAGTCTGCATTGATAAAAGTACAAATGAATTGTTTTTACTGCTTTATCTACTGTATCAGTAAAAGATATCTAAATGGCAATCTCTGATATATCATGTTTTACCAAGATTTGAAGAAGATGTTCATGTTATTATTAAGTTTTCACATATCATTGCTTGCTATGAAAATATGGAAATTACCTGTTGCACAGTTTTTACCAGTGAAGCCTGGAGCACATGTACAATCATTCGGATGCAGCATGTTTCCTCCGCATGTCCCAGGAAAACAGCGGTATCCATCTTGCCATGAACATGCCCCTATAACAACAGATATTTAGTTTATCAAAGAGGAAAGATTTGTACATTACCAGCAAACATTTCTTTACTATACATGTTACTTGTATCTTAACAAGAGCACCGCTAGGCGGAGCATTATATGCCCGAAAGTGATTTTTTAGCAAGGACGAAGCTTTTGTAAGACGCCCTTACCAAAATGACTTTAAGTGACTTATATGTTGCTTATATGCAACTTATACTTGACCTATAAGAGAACTATAAGTTACATATAAGTCACTTATAAATCACCTAAAAACCTGTCTAAGTCAGTTATAGGTATATGCTACATATAAGTCACTTTTGGCCATTTTTTCCCCAACATATAAGTCACCTATAAGTGCCTTATACTGGTGAAGTTTGGAGATAACCAGTTTCTATGTTATAGATAATAAGTGAAAACTTAGAACTTTTGGGCAAAGACTTTTTATTACTGAGCAAAGCTGAAAAAATTACTAAGTACAAAAACATGAGAAAAATTGATAAAATTTATTGAAGTTGATTTGTAATTCTTTGCTTTAACACAATGGGTATCAAAATACTCAGAATTTTTTAAAATACTATAATCTTAGACCCTTAATCACAAACAATTAAGATTTTTTTTGAAATGTTGCTTATTAATTTTTGAACACAGCTGGGGGTTTTTAAATAATATAATAGGAAAAATGATTATCAATTAAGTATATTACCTGTAAAAAATTTTGGTACATATTATGAGCGGAATTGGGACAGAAATGGCATTCAGTCAGTGATTTCTAGGCTACCATTGGACAGAAATGAAATTCCATGTCATTTCTTCTCACAAGGAAAATATTTCACATAAAAGTCACCCAAGGCATAATAATTATTATTCTACTCTTGTTTTTTTTCTAACTTGAAACAGACATTGAAATCTATATGTTTTTACCAACTGTACTTCTTACAGACCTTATTTTCGGGGAAGTAAGAATTCTAACAAGAAAAAGGTGTATTTTTTAATATACAAGTTTTATTTTTAGACATTTAGGCCTAGTGTATTTTTAGATATTAAAACAATAAAAAAAACAGTGCTTGAAATAAACAGTTTATATTGCCCTTTTTAATGTAATAAAATCAAGAAACCAATATGCCTGAAGATTGCTTATATTTTCTACATCCACTGATACACCACATAGATCAAGAGGGTCTGATAAAACTGGCCACCTGCCTTGCCACCATATTTGCATGACTAATTTTTTTGACTGGTCATTCCTACAAATCAGACTGTTCCATGTGATTATTTTGGGGAAAGATAACATTTCCTATCCTGATTTGTAAAAAAAGGACATTGCATTTTTCTTTTTCAAAAATGTATAATGATTTTTTTAAACTTTAACATATCTATTAGTTATTTGATTTTTTTTTTTCACATTCAATGATTGTAAGATAGAAACTGATGAGTGCTTTGATTTTTGGATTTACCCTGTTTTACATAACATTGGACCTGCCCAGGCACACAGTTGTAAGTCTGAAACATTTAGGTTAGCAAGCTGGTGGAAATCACAGAGAATCTACTTGATGTTTTAGGAATTTTAGAGATATTGTTTTGTTTAAGATGTTTAAGTATAGTTATTGTAAATAAGAATGACAAGAAGAATCACCTTGGACAAGAAGATATACAACAAAATCAGGTAAATACCTTTGAGTTACATTTATGCAGAATTGATACAGGTTATATATTAAACAATCAAAGTAAGAAGGCAGCAAACTAAAATTTGAAACTTGAGAGATCAAGGCTGTTTTTATTTCTATGCTTCATACATTAGATTTACTAATACATGTAATTGATTTTTTAAATCTAGATTTAATAGTCAAATTAATTGAATTTTTAGAACTAAATAGTACAATCAGTTCGTAGTTTTATGCAGCTGAATAAGACATGGTCATCATAATCATTTATCATTTTATTGTTGTTTTCAATGGGTATCTGATATTACATTTTACATACATTGCAGGCTAGTAGTGGGACCAGTTCTTACTTTGAGATGCCAGGTGAATAATGATATGCAGTATTGAGCCTGAAAAGGTATATTTTTTAATCTCTATACTTACTGCTCTAAATCTTTCACAGAAAAGAGCATAATAAATGTTGTTGCAAATAGTGCAGTTAATCAATTCTTATAGAGACTTTTAGCAATTCTTAAACAATACTGTTGACTTGTGCACTAAAATGAGATACTGTGTAACTTAGTATATTTGTATATGCATAAGCATTAATAGCTAATATAGTTTGATGATTTTAGAAATATGAAATATAACTGCATATACAATAGTACACAATTTATTCCACATCTTTTTAAATTAATTATGAATTTTTATCTTTAAAAGGTGAACACAGCCACATGAAGTTTCTCCGAGGAAATAGAAGCAGAGCACTGAAACAGACATCAATAAAAGAAATAGTAGTTTGAATAATCAGAAACATTTGATCAAATTTATGATTTGAACAGTTCCTCACCGACAGACTTCCAGCAAAATAATTGTATAAATAAAGTGTTTGATTCAAGAAAAACCAGTAAAAAACAAAAACTTGCTGCTAGAAATGAATATTGTTTTTGTTATAGTGAATGTAAGATGATTGAACTGAAGGATATGTATGTTGAATTTTGTATTTTGCTCATTTATATGACTATGAAATATAAATTATTAAACATTTTTGAAATTAAATTACTAAACTTTTATTTTATTTCAAGCTTTTTTGACATCAAGCAACATATATGCGACTTACATGTGACTTATATGTTACTTATAAGTGACTTATATTAAGTCACTTATATGTAACATATAAGTTACATATATGTAACATATAAGTCACTTATATGTTACTTATAAGTTGAGCATATCTTTGACTTACATGTCACATATTTGTGACTTATATATAACTTATACTTCACTTATATGTCAAAATGCCAGACATATACTGCACTTACATCTAATTTGCATTTAAAATACATATACTTGACTTATAGGTGAATTGACTAAGTGAAGTATAATCTACATATAAAATAGCCTATAAGTGACTTATAAGTGAATTCCGTAAGGGAGTCATGGGAATTAAACAATTTTACTATGACGGATGGACAGAATGATGCCAGGGATGTAACATAATACATGTATAAGCAAAATTTTTAGGGCATATAATTAATGTACTCAATATATGTGACTATCCCATGAAGTTTGACAGTTGTAAAAATTTTAACAATATTTAGGTCATTTGATATTGACCTTTGACCTTGTGACCCCAATATAGATATGGATCTTTTATTCAATATAGGCCATCATCCTATGAAATTTGAACACTGAAAGCCGAATAGAACTTGTGTTCTGGAAAGCACAATTTTCAGTGTTAAGGTCATTGTGACCCTAATCTTTGATCTTGTGAGACTTAAATCAATAGGGGTCATGTATTGGACATGGCTGTTCATCATATAAAATTTTACAGCTGAAGGTTGATTCATACTTAAGTTATTGAGCAAAAATCGTTTTCAGTTTTAAGTAAATAATGACCTTGACCTTGTGACCCAAAAATTAATAGAGGTCTTCTACTCAATATTGACAATCATCCTATGAAGTTTGAACACTGTGGGCCGAATGGAACTTAAGTTATGCTCCAGAAACCACAATTTTCAGTGTAAAGATCATTGTGATCCTAACCTTTGACCTTATCACCAAAAAATCAATAGGGGTCTTCTACCAAATATGGACAATCATCCTATGAAGATTGAATATTGTGGGCAAATGGAACTTAAGTTATGCTCCGGAAACTGTTTTCACTTTTAAGGGAATAGTGACCTTGACCTTTGGCCTGGTGACCCCAAAATCAATAGGGGTCTTCTACCCATTATGAACAATCATCCTATGAAGTTTGAATAATGTGGGCAAAATGGAACTTAAGTTATGCTCCTGAAATTTTTTTTCAGTTTTAAGGAAATAGTAACCTTGACCTTTGACCCAAAAATCAATAGGGGTCTTCTGCCCAATATGAACAATCACCAGATGAAGTTTGAATATTGTGGGCCATATGGAACTTAAGTTATGCTCCGGAAACTGTTTCCATTTTTCAGGTAAAAGTAACCTTGACCTTTGACATTGTGACCCAAAAAACAATAGGGGTCTTCTACCCAATATGAACAATCATCCTTTGAAGTTTGAAACCAAATTGCTATTGGACGGATGGACAGACGGACGGATGTTCTCACAGGACAGTAATTATGTGGCTACTCTATTGTTCTCTCTATTGTTCTATTTAGCCACACAAAAGAAAATAGCCACATAAAAGCATTACGGAATGAATGACATCAAAGAGAAAGAACAGTTACCTATTGTCCCTCTAACTACATAATTACTGTCCTGTGAGTGCGGACGGACAGACTGATGGACACCAGGGGGTATAACATTATATGCCTGAAATTCTTTTGGCATATAAAAAAACCTAAAGAAGAATAACACAATGTGTGTGTGTTTTAAAAAAACATCAATGAGTGTTCTTCCTTTTACTGCACAAGCCTGCTAAAAGTGACTTATAATCTCTTTTGAGAAAAGGCCAATGATGTCTAATAAGTGAAACCTATACCCAATATATGATCTGATGGCATAAATGTGCCAGTGAAAATATCTTGGTCTACCCTGGTTCCATGGGTAGAATAAGCTGCTGTCAACAGGCAAAGGTTTAAAGATACATGTAACAGCAGTATACTCACTCTGACACTGCTTGCTGTCAGGCTTTCCAGTAAAAACATTGAATCCTGGAGCATCACGGTTAAGTTCCCCGGCACACCATTCACAATATGTGTTATCATAGTCAGTACAAGATGGTATGTTACAGTTGTCTATTTGTTTACAAGCTGAAATGGCCAGAAAAATATGAAATGAATAATCTGAATGACAACAGACTAGTATATCATATAAACTCTTATACTTAGGGCATTTTAACCTGAAAGCAAGGTAATAACCCCCCCCCCCCCCATGTTATGGGTTACCCAACTGCTTTTATCTTTATATTTCTTTCTGACAGGTACTTATATACTGTAATGACCCAGATTATTTATCAAAGTTTTGGCACTATCGTTTAAAAGAGCTTTGTTAAACAGTGCACAAGTATTGCACTTTATCAATAGGCAAAGGCTGCATATAAAAAAATATCAATAGATTTATATTTCAATTTAGAACAAAGTAGTACTGCACTTAAAATAATGCAAAACAATTAAAATATTTTAAATCTAGATAAGAATTTATCTAATTCAGTGTAGTATTGCAGTCCTATATTGTTTTTTTTTCTTGCAGAAATGTAAACCAAATGAATACATTGAATTTTAAAAAAGACAGATAATATAAATTATATAAATGTATTTAACCCTTATCTTGCTAAATGTGTGAACTAAATTTGCAGCACAGCTTTGAAATTGTGACATTTCATTTGAAGTTTTAAAGATTTAGATAACAAAATGCAAAAGTTAAGCTACCAACAGTATAGAGTCAGGCCAGACTACAAGGAGCTGCATGCTAGACTGGTTTTAAACTGGAGGCATGAGGCTTATATCTGTTGAATCAAGCAGGCAAAGAGTTAAAAAAAAAAAAGATCAATAATACCAGAACAGGTTCCATTATTTGCCGTTGAGAAATAATACCCTGTGTTACAGTTGCTGCAAGTGAACCGTTCTGAACATGTTCCTCCACTGTTTGTAATGATGGTGTTATCTTGCAACTTTACCCAACCTTCATTAACATTACACGAGTTCTCAACTGCACCTCCGCTACATATAGCTGTCATAGAAATAAATCTTTGCTTATTCTATTCAATGTTTTATCAAAATATAGGCATGTGTGTGATAACATAACATATATGGTAGGGGTGTGGATCGTCGGATTAGTGACGATCCCATCCGAACCACGATTCAGCACTTACGATTCACAAATCGAACCACAAATCTTTTGTTATCAAGACACCCATAAAAACATGTACATTAGTTATAAAAACATGTTTATTTAAAAAAAAGAAAAAGAAAAAACAACAACAACAATATACTAAACATTAAACATATAAAATATACACTAGGTTTATGTTTTTATTCTTTGGATGAGTATTTTTGTTTTGTTTTTTGAAACCAATTACTTCCTAGCTCAGCATCATGTTACATGGTCTTTAACCGGCAAATTGTATTTAGGTAAACTTCATATAATTAATACTCAAATCGTATTTTTCTCGATTTTAAGAGTGTGAGAAACAGTGAATGTATATAAAAAGATTAAATCGCGATCTACGATCTCTGGGCTTACGAATATTCAAACTCGATTTTTCACTTTGATTCGTGATTATCCGAGTACTCGGATACTCGCCCCAGCCCTAATATATGGACGATATGAAAAAAGAATTAATATTTTAAAGGTCTCCACTGATGTTTTTTGACATGTAGGTCTGGAGACATTTTTTGAGAATAGTATACTCTTTAATGCATACATGTGAACTTTTTTCAATGATCAAGTGGGAGATTTTTCTTCAAAAAGAGGGAGATTTTAGAATTTGCAATAAACAAAGAAGGAAGTTCTGACATCAAAAAATAGGGAGATTTCTTTAATTTGTGAAAATACTCCTTATTTTAAGAAAAATCTTTGAAAATATGGCTGAAGAAAGTGGTAGTCTCCCGCCTAAAGTGGGAGAGTTCACATGTATGTTAATGTGTGTCTGCACCAATATCTTCAGTACCAAATTTTCAGATTTTCGCACTCAGCTTTTTTCCTGAAAAATTATTTTAAATTTAAAAATGACCTTTAAATGAAAAAAATTCATATGCTTTTAACTCAAAATGGGTTAAGAATCACACAAAAATATGACTTTTTATTGAATAAAAGTTGAGTATATTTCTTTATCATTTTATCATTAACATCTTATCATATTAAGTACACTAGTTGATCTATTTGAGAAATTCAAATTTTATGTAAAAGGCTTTTGGGCCTCAGTGGATTTCCTTTAAGGAGACCAAAGATTTAAGTATTCCATTTATTTGTGAAATAACTGTGCTGAAAAGATTACAGCATGAAATGAAATGACAGTGAAACTTATAAGAAACTGCTCATGTTTTGTATATTTTATTACTTTCTGCCCAGCAATATTTGAGTCTATGTTTTTCATCATACAAATTTAAGGCTCCTAACATTATAGTTAATTCATATAAATATTTCAATTCAAACTGAGAAGATAAATGAATGCTGTAAATCATGCATAATTTGTTAATTATGTTCTAAAATCTCTCCTTTTTGATTGGTTATGGCAACTTTCCAGCTTTAATGGTAAGGTGTCCCAACTGTGCATTATTTCAGGCACAATTTGGCACCTAAAAGGATGCTATCTGTAGTAACAAGTTTAAAATATAGTTTATATACAAAAAGACTTACGTATGTCACATGACACACCCGCATAACCATAACAACACTGTTCATGTCTTTGTAAACTGAAAATTAAATATAGAATAATTATACAGAACACTTACAATTTTGATCTTTGTACATATAATATACATGTATGATATCCAATTATTTATAGTGAATGAAATGACTGCTGCATTTATGCTTTATATCTTATATCATATTTATACTTTTAAAACCATAAAAACATCTTTTCAATTTCCATCAGTCATGTTAGTAGTGTTGTTGTTTTTTTATCTCAATATGCGCTTGAATGATTTACCAACAATCGAAGTATCTTATTAATTAACAACAAAAAAACATAAATGTATATGTTAACATTCAACCACAAATTTAATTTAATACATGCATTTCAATTGGTGCATTTAACAGTCGTGTTCCATCAATCAGTGGGAGAGATAAGACAATGGTAAAGTAAAAATACTCACTAATAAGTACAAACACGCCTAAACCATTTCCAACGACATCTGGCCTCAGGTGTAAAGAATTCCTCAATGCAAGGAGTTTGTGTCACATAACTGAAAATAAAAAGAGAAACATACAAACATGGAGCTTGTGTCACATAACTGGAGCTTGTGTCACATAACTGAAAATAATAAGAGAAAAATACAAACCTGGAGCTTGCGTCACATAACTGAAAATAAAAAGAGAAACATACAAACCTGGAGCTTGCGTCACATAACTGAAAATAAAAAGAGAAACATACAAACCTGGAGCTTGCGTCACATAACTGAAAATAAAAAGAGAAACATACAAACATGGAGCTTGTATCACATAACTGAAAGTAAAAAGAGAAACATACAAACATGGAGCTTGTGTCACATAACTGAAAATTAAAAGAGAAACATACAAATATTGAGGTTGTGTTACATAACTGAAAGTAAAAAGAGGAACATACAAACATGGAGCTCCTATCACATAACTGAAAATAAAAAGAGAAACATACAAACATGGAGCTTGCGTCACATAACTGAAAATAAAAAGAGAAACATACAAACATGGAGCTTGTGTCACACAACTGAAAATAAAAAGAGAAATATACAAACATGGAGCTCCTATCACATAACTGAAAATAAAAAGAGAAACATACAAACATGGAGCTTGTGTCACATAACTGAAAATAAAAAGAGAAACATACAAACATGGAGCTTGTGTCACATAACTGAAAATAAAAAGAGAAACATACAAACATGGAGCTTGTGTCACATAACTGAAAATAAAAAGAGAAACATACAAACATGGAGCTTGTGTCACATAACTGAAAATAAAAAGAGAAACATACAAACATGGAGCTTGTGTCACATAACTGAAAATAAAAAGAGAAACATACAAACATGGAGCTCCTGTCACATAACTGAAAATAAAAAGAGAAACATACAAATATGGAGCTTGTGTCACATAACTGAAAATAAAAAGAGAAACATGCAAATATGATCCCATACACATCATTGTTAACATTCTTTTGACATTTATCATAATGGACCTATTCTCAGAAATTACAATAAAAAATATGACAAAATAAGTTTAGAATTAAAATTCTTGCAGTTGTTTTGACTTATTTTTATACCAATTTACCTATTAGTCATTTCAATAGTTTTACTTGTAATTTCCATTTTTTGTATGCACCATGACCTGTTTGAAAATGGTGAAACCACTGTTAAAATTACATTATAATGATATTATGAATAAACTGCCACACTTACACTTAAGTGATAGAATATAAATATAGTATTAATAATAAAGACTTTATTTAAAGAGGCAGTTATATATAACTATCATCCTTGTGTGCAGTTAATGGTATACATGTATACAATCAGGTGACCAAGATTCAACACTTTCATTATTTCTAAACCCTTACCACACTAAATATCTTAAATGGACTTGTCTTTATTACATGCTTTTCGGTGGTTTATAGAAATATATCAGTGATATAAAACTGGTAATTTCACTGTTTCAAACAGTGAAATTACCACTTTGATAATTTCACTGTTTTGAGTTTAAGCCCCTCACGTTGTTTCAGTGAAATACCAGCGTGCACAGTACTGGGTACCAACTTAATGACGTGACGTCGTAAATGACGTCACGTTGTATTATTATTTGGCGCGCTTTTCATTCAGTATTAGGTTTAATGTCTTTTTAAAACGTTTCTTTGCATGTAATAAAAAGAAAATTTGTTTAGTTTAGTGTAAGATCGAAATATATTTCACCTTGTGAACACCAAAAGTTCATATTTCACTCGTGGCTGCGCCACTCGTGAAATATACCTTTTGGTGCTCACTCGGTGAAATATATTCCGATCTTACACTGAACTAAACAAATATCCTCTATATCTTTCAATCTGGACAAAACCATTCACAATTTTTAGGGAAAATTACAAAATATGTACTGATTCAATAGCAAACAGTGCAGACTGACCATGATTAGAAGGCTTTTATTACATGCTTTTCGGTGGTTTATAGAAATATATCAGTGATATAAAACTGGTAATTTCACTGTTTGAAACAGTGAAATTACCACTTTGATAATTTCACTGTTTTGAATTTAAACCCCTTACGTTGTTTTAGTGAAATACCAGCGTGCACAATACTGGGTACCAACTTAATGACGTGACGTCGTAAATGACGTCACGTTGTATTATTAGTTGGCGCGCTTTTCATTCACTATTAGGTTTAATGTCTTTTTAAAACGTTTCTTTGCATGTAATAAAAAGAAAATTTGTTTAGTTTAGTGTAAGATTGAAATATATTTCACCTTGTGAACACCAAAAGTTCATATTTCACTCGTGGCTGCGCCACTCGTGAAATATACCTTTTGGTGCTCACTTGGTGAAATATATTCCGATCTTACACTGAACTAAACAAATATCCTCTATATCCTGGTCTGCACTGGTCACATTGGTAAACTCTGTTGCTGACAACAGGAAAATGGTTAAAGTGTTAGATTTATACACTGTTTTCTTAATTGTTCAAACTGAGCCTATGCTGACAGAAAATATTCCAAACACATAGAATTTACTTTGTTGTGATACAAGTTCTATTTTATTTTTATTTTTACAGGCTTTATTTATGACATACGATACATTAAAATGAAGTAAATTCATGGAAGACATGAGGAGTGAAGGCATGGAATCTAGCACACATGATGATACATAAAATAGTTGGGTTTTTCTACCATAAAATTATATTAATTTAGATAAAAAATATGTACATGTGGACACAAATTTCCATTTTTTCAAGTACATATGAACTATTAAATATATCTATATCCAATCTGCGACTTCCGATGCCATTTTAAGTCCCAAATTCAATTCACTTTTATAGTATACAACTTTGTTAACACTCTCATATTACAAAGACTTTCAATAACAAAAATGACTGAACAAACTTAACCACAATTAATATTTTTCAAAACGAAACCTTGAATTTAAGAAATAATTTCTGACTAGACTGGTACTGTACAGTACTAAATAAACATATGAACAAATAACATTAGAAATTCCAAAATCTCAACGTGATAAAATCCATTGATTGAGCACATCTCTTTCATTTCTTTTATTCTATGTATATTTATACAGTTTTAAGTTTAAGACATTAATTAACAGTTAAAAAGAGAAGACATCAATGGATGCTCAATGTTAAATGGTCGATCGAGTAGTAGGATTTTTAATTTTTTAAGACAAATTATAATCCTAGCATGCTAGCTATCTATAATCTAACAATAACCAGAAAAGTTGTATTTTGTATTGAAAGATATTTACTTAAAATAGAGATAGGTTCATTCTAGTCTATAATAAAATAGAAATGTTAAACCTCACATTTTTATTTGTGTGAAATATTTATCTTTTCAAAGCGTAATTATAAACAATTTCAGGGAATTACAGCAAATAAATTTTATCTTTCTTGCCAATACAAATGGCGTAAACTTAATAAAGGGAAATAACTGCACTATCTCTTTTGCAGAACACAATCTACTGTTACATGTACACTCAGCAAAAATAAAAACCTGACAGTGTACTGGTATTTTATTATTATTTTCAGGAAATCGATGACGGAAATGTTAAAACGACTGTCGGGCATGAAAAGGAGATGCATGCACAACATAGATATGCATTTTATTGTTTATTAATTATGTTAAAGTTTGTTAAATTACGCTACAGTAGTTCTATGGAAAGGGTAAAATTCAATATATGTAAATAACGTGCAGATAGGTTTTAATCATTTCAGTTTTAAAATGCATGGGATTTTTTCATTTTTAATTCAAAATTTGTTATGGCCACCTCTGGCTCTAAGTAGTGCGTCATAGAATTTTGACGAAACGTTTGAAAGATTGTTCCATTCCGCTATCAATGCATTTGTCAGTTGGAGGATTTTCTGAGCACAGACGCTTGGGGATCAGATCTTGCCCCCTCCCCCCAAACGTGATACGCCCCTGTAAACACTCTATCAAACCTATTTTAATATTTTTAAACACGAATTGGACATCTTTTACAACGATACTGGTTTTCGAACAATGTTTATATATATGAAAAAAATACCATATACTATCAAGTTCTGGCATATATTAATCAATTTCGAGTCCGTTTCCTGGAACCAACCAGTACTGGTGTCATGTGAAGAAACATGGTCGTGACCCGAGTTGGGCTCGAACCCATGATATCTGGGCTGAGAGGCAGTCACCTTAACTAGGCCTATGGAAATTCAGATGACAGTGTTTTTGTTGGAAAAGTATCTTTCGAGCAAACTGTTTATTTCAATAAATTCGACACAACTAAAGATAACTACAGAAAAATTTAAATACCGTAAGTTCAACCATATCAAGGATCACGGACAGTAAAGCAGAGGCGGCAATACCAAACAACGTGCATATTACTTGCTTCTAAAGTTATAAGTAACATAATTACACAACAATGTCAAATAACCTGAAACAACACATTTTTGCCGCCATGATGTCAGTATGCCTAATCACATGACTTATAACTAATGCAGAAAAAAAGCTATTTACGTGCTGCACGTGCAATTTACGCCAGCAATAACTGAGCTAAACTGAAGAAAGTCTTGGGAATCACAATTAAATACGTAAGTTACGTTCAAACTTGAATTACGACAACGTAAGTAGTAGTACCGTTAGTGAAACACTATCCTTTAACATCGTAAAATCTTAACATGATATTTTTTTCTCTAAAATTACAAAAGCTAAAGCTGATGCTATGGAAAGACTTTTTTCCCAGTTTACATCATGAATAAAACCTATATAGAGGATATTGAATGAGTGTAAGTTCAATACTGAATTTATTGCACGAGTTGAATAAAATTATATTATGCGAGCCTCTGGCGAGCATAATATTATTTTATTCAACGAGTGCAATAAATTCAGTAATGAACTTACACGAATTTAATATTCTATTTATCACATACCTAAAATAAATACCGTTTAAAGTGAAATAAGAGTCATTTTTCATTGACGCGCCTATAGTATAACGCTAACATTTAGCGCGTCTTTACACTATGTTTGTATAACGCTAATGACGTCACGTCAAAATATATGCACGGCCGTGCAATACCATTTTTACGGAGTCGCAAAATCGGCACGGGTGTGTGATAAAAGAATTTATCACATAAACCGCGGCGCAGGAGTGTAATAAAGCCATTTAATAAAAACGGTATTACACTAGACGATATTACACTAGTGTAATAACACTTTGACGTCACGTCATTTGCGCTATAAACATAGCGTTAAAGCGCGCTAATGTTAGCGTTACACTATAGGCGCGTCAAAGAAAAATGACTCTTGATAACAGTTTACCGTTCTTATTTTATATATGTGATAAATAGAATATTATATTCGTGTAGATTCAATACTAAATTTATTGAACTCGTTGAATAAAACAATATTATGCTCGCCAGAGGCTCGCATAATATGATTTTATTCAACTCGTTCAATAAATTTAGTATTAAACCTACACTCATTCAATATCCTCTATTTATTAACTATATACCAGTCTTAAATAGACGTATAAATTTTGGTCTTGATCTGTCGTAAAATAACTTGAATTTGAGACAATTTAGAACAAGTTCAATATAGTAAACATTTTGAAAAATATTCAATTACAATGTAATTAAAAGTACACTTATGCGGATATAAAGCCAGTTTAATAGTATTTCAATAATATATCTGCGGATAGATACGATTGACCCTGGACTAAATTAATTTTTTTTCCCAAATGGTAGTTAAGAATTTCTCCTCATTATGCTCTAAACTCATTGTTGTCAACTAAATCTTTAATGATAACAACAACAAAACAACATTTATTCGTTGAGGATTCGCACTTGTGAACGCGAGGACAGACGACTTAATTAATACAATTCAAAAGTGCTAAGAGGACTAGTGGATATCGTGCAGAAGAGCGATACATTGTATAATCATTTAATAAGATTTTGGTAAATTATCAAAACCATAATTATAAATTCATAAACCGTTTAAAACAAACGGACCGAGTTCATCTATGTTCAACAGAGATATCAATATCGTGAAAATTATTGTTACAGTAAAGAAAACGGTACGTAAAAACGTATAAAGCAAAATACCATACCTTGAATGTACAGTCGGAAAAACAGACACCAATAGTAATATCTCAATGAAAAATAGAGTCATCCTAACACCACATTTGCAAATATTTCGGTGAATAAATCAAAAATAAGAAATCGCTATCATACTTAATCAGTTCAAAATATTTGGTAAAAAGCCCACACCTCTTGGTAGCTTTTATTTGATTGGACGACTACTGCAGACATATGTATAATTAGTCTCTCTATTTCCTTATTTTGGAAAAAAAAGTAGAGATTTAAATGCATTCGGATAGTTTAGGCGCAGAAGAGGTAATCTTTTATAATTTATAGTTTACTTTAAAACTAGTAAGAAAGAATTGAAATAAATATATTTTCAGATATTTTTTTTTTCGTTTGTCGCTTTTTTACAGATGTGACATTATCCGTTATCATAGATTTTGAATTGATTAAGCTTAATCCAATTTTTTGTACAACATTGAGTGTTTTATTAAATTTGTTTATTTATTTAAAATGCCCACACGCTACATGTTACGATGTGTTATTTTCGAAATTAAACATCCACTACTGTGTAAGCAGATAAACACTGAGGATAATTAGAAATATAGCGAACATTTCGAGGAAGTTGAGTTGGGATGATCACAATATAGACCTTGAGGTTATAAAACATTTTATGTGCATGCCGTGCCTCAAATTTCATTAATTTCGTTTGTCAGTGCACGTGTTCATTATGTGCCGTGCTTTGTGACTAATCAAATACCCGAGATCTGAGTTTTAGCTTACAAAAACTTCTCTGTAACCTCGAACCTTTGGGATTCTAGAGTAGTGACCATGGTTGGAAATTATGACAATTATGTTTCTGTTCAGCCAACCAAACGTTAGCCATGTCGAAAACAAAAAGGTCGTAAACCTTTGGTAAACTAATCTAAATTATCATATTAAATCCGTTGTTTGTTAACGTTTCGTTATTCGGTTTATTTACAGATATTTGTACAAGACAGATCACAGTAGTCTATCATACAGATGAGAACGAGAGTATAGAAACATCATGCTGGATGTATGGTTCAGCAAGGGGGCAGTTTTCTGCTTCCTTGTCTTGTATCTCACTGGGTCCAACTCCGCGTCGTTCATCAATTACGAAAAAGGACATGAATACCTATATTGTCTGAATTCGTCAGTCGAACTGAAAAATGTTCAACGTTTTATAATCACAGCAGAGGTAGGAAATTTAAAATTTCTTCCTTTCTTTTTATACTGTTGGTGGTGGTGGTGCCATTGTTTGTTTGGTTTTTGTTTTTTGTTTGTTTTTTTGCTTTTTTGTTTTGGTTGTTTTTCCCCAAAAAAGATCTTCAGAGTATGCTTTTGTCTTGTAATTATTTTAATGTCGAGGCTTATATTTAACGATTTTGTCTTTTGAAATGCTCATCTCAATTTGTGTGTTTTTTTTTAATCCTGCAAATTAATTTGTCAAACAAAGTATGTCATAACTGTAATAAGAAACAGAGAGAGAGGAAATACACAATTTCAGTATTTATTTATTTATTTATTTATTTATTTATTTATTTATTTATTTATTTATTTATTTATTTATTTATTTATTTATCTATCTATTTATTTATTTATTCATTTATTTATTTATTTATTTATTTTTATTTATTTATTTATTTATTTATTTATTTATTTATTTATTTATTTATTTATTTATTTATTTATTTATTTATTTATTTATTTATTCATTTATTTATTTATTCATATATTTATTTATATGTATAATAAAAATAGAAATGTTTATATTATATTAGTAAGTATGCAAAAAAAAATGCATCCACATGTGTCACTTTGTGACATAAGCCCATATACACGTACATCAATATTACATACGTTTCGATTTTGACATTTTCTTTTCATAAAATGTTTGTCTTATCTATTTATATAAAAATGAATTATTGAAAGATTTGTATAGGCAAATGATGTAATTTATGCGTATGGATAGGAAACGTTCCTTTTGATCAGGATCTTTTAAATAGAATCTCTATTTGAAATACCCTGTTTTGATTTACTTTATATTTAATTTGTTCAAGCAATGTTATAATTTCCCTAAATTGCATACAAACTTTGCCATATTTGACCATGCATGTTACAATATCTTCAAGCTTGCTTATTTCGCATTTGCGATCTAATGGTTTTCTTACAGACTGTTTTAATATAAAATCTTTTCAAACTGTGTACCTACAGATTCCATTATTGAGTACCGGCCATCCGAAAAATAATCCACATACTTAGCCGTAGTATTATATATCCATAGTTATTTATGACTTTAGGCGAAAACATTTCCGTATTTTCTAATTAATCCTGAATCCGTGAAAAATGTTTCCTGGTAGCTGTGAACATGGTTATATTTATCAAATCAGAGAAAAACTCCTTATAAATACTTTCTTTTTTTCTTTACTTTTTAATCTTTGAGATACTGGACATACGCGGTATTCGAGATTAATATAATATGCCGTACCTACATAACTGTACAATCTGAGAACCATAAACGTACGTAAAAAACCATTATTATAATTTCATGTACAAAATCAAAGCACAGAAGGCGCTGAATTTGTTTGGGTCTCAGATTATTAACCAATTTGTTTTTGTATAGTGCCACCAATACTTTCCAGTGTTTTAACTGTAGTAAATTGGCTATAAGACTAATTGCAACACTGATATTCAATTCAATGTTTATTTGACTTAAAATTTTTTAAAAAAAAATGGGTTGCCTCAACTGGGATTTTAACTCCAGACCTCTCGATTCCTAAGCGAGCGTGCAAACCCCTCGGCCACGGTAAAGTTATATACGGCCTGAAGAAAACCATATTATTCTAAATTAGGGTTTGTAACTCTTATTATTTCGACGCTAAACCTGTTGTTTAACACAGATGTAAATAATCATGGAGCTTACTATAAGCATGTATATCTATAAAGAATAAAAAAAAATATTAGAAATCTTCGACCATTCGGGAACTATTTTGCTTGAAAATTAATGCGCCTGTCATTTGACAATCTTTACGCAGTGATCTCCTCTGAATTTTTCGGCGTTAGTGTACATATAAAGGGAAGTAACCGCTTCAAAAAGTGGACTACTTTCGGCATTTGCAATTAACAGCATCAGGGTCTGAAATTTTGCTACCATTATTTGTTTTGTCTGACGACCCAAACAAATAAAAACTGCACTTGCTGTGCATACCTATAGTTCCATACACACATATGTATGTAGAAAAAAAACTTACTAAACAAAAGGGCAAGCTGTTTCGTAGACTTCTGTAAAATATACGATGGTGTTAACGTTGGAAGTATCAGATCAATTTATTTTTCATTACTTTTTATTCTTTATTACTTTTTTCGTTTGTTAATTTATTATACCGCACAGAATAATTAATGTATTTTTATAGTACATTTTCTACTTACATTTATAAGTGTCAATTTCATTTTAAAATCGCCTTCTCATGGAACGATGGTGTAAAAATACGCTATTACTGTATTATCTAAATACTCAAACATTCGATTATATAAACATGCAGGTGCACATGAATATGATATAGGTTTCAGTAGTAGTGTTACAATAAAATGCATGCTGTCACGAGATTTACAGACCTTTCTTCTCTCAGTTATGCCACAGAAAAGCTTTTATTGTTATTTCTCAAAAGTCTATTATATTTGGTGTACTATTTTTGTTTCCAAAGATTTACTCATTGGCAAATTACCTGAATCATGTTTTACTTTTGTATCTTTCTGGGAATTATTTCATGTGGATTTATTGTTTTGTACGGAAGTAAAAAACCCACTTTGAATACATGCGCATACTATCATGACAAATAATTTCACATTCGGCACTAATTTTCTTCAGGTAATAAACCTCTAATGTCACCATTAATTTTAAACATTATTTAACTCATGTTTGCTCTTTCTAATCCAAGGCAACATGTGCCTTGAAGATGATTTTTGCACGTACATTTTTGAAACCTCTATCTCTATCGTGTAGATATATATACAGATTTTGCGTTATAAAAAAGTTAAATATTAAAACAGTGAAAGAGATTTTACGTACGGAGTTTTTGACCTATTATAACGTGCGTACTCTTGCACTTGAACTAAAGTAGGCGAGTGTTCTCATTATTGCAATCGGGTAACAAATATTTTTCTCGTACTTGAACTTATCATTTTTTCATCTATTCAAATGTATTGTATTTGAAGCACACCCGGCGCGATCAAAAGACAACCAATTAAAAAGTCGTACTTGTACCGTTATTCCTATTGACAGATCCTTACAAAATAATTATGTAATATTGTATTTAAAAGAATTTTAAATGTAAAAGAAGCGATACGTGGTCCGATAGGTTTCATCTAAAATTGTTTATAAGTTAATCGTTTTTACTAAATTATTTCAAATTTTGGCTGCATTTTTTCTCCTTTTTTTCTTTTTCATTTATTCCGGCAGTATTTGTATAAATGTTATTTGTTGTTAAACAATCATGTAACCACAAATCGCGCCTACAGATAACTGTATATTATGTAAATAATGCCTTTATTCAAACATGACAATCAGAACTTAAATAATGTCCGCTTTTTTTAAATAATTATTCATAACAATAGCGCACATGTTTGACCTTATTTTGTATCAATAAACAAAATATATCGAACACATAAATACATATTACAATGCATTGTCAGAACAGAACAGAATTCTATTTACAGATTTATACATATGTACATCGTCTTGTATTAAACATAGTCACATGACTGTATAGTATTGTATTGTATTTTATTGTGAAAAAGTATGACAATTTCTTTGTAAAACAACACAAGTAAAGTCGCTATGATACTTTTGCATTGCATTGTATTGTGAATAAAGTATGACAATTACATGCAAGTTTATCTGCTGTAAAACAACACAAGTAATGTCGCTTTGATACTTTTGTTTTGTATTGTATTGTATTGTATTGCATTTTATTGTGAATAAAGTATGACTATTACATGCAAGTGTATCTGCTATAAAACAACACAAGTAAAGTCGCTATTATACTTTTGCATAGTATTGTATTGTGAATAAAGTATGACAATTACATGCAAGTTTATCTGCTGTAAAACAACACAAGTAATGTCGCTATGATACTTTTGTATTGTATAGTATTGTATTGTATTGTGAATAAAGTATGGTTATTGCAAGTTTATCTCCTAGGAGTAAAACAACACAAGTAATGTCGCTATGATACTATTGTATTGTATTGTATTGTAAATAAAGTTTGACAATTATTTGCAAGTTATTCTGTTGTAAAACAACACAAGTTATGTCGATAAAATACTTTTGTATTGTATTTTATTGTATTGTATTGTGAAAAAGTATGACAATGATTTGCAAGTTTTTCTGATGTATTTAAACAACACAAGTATAAATATTGTTGTTATGATACCATTGGTACTATCATTTTTTTCACATTTGCACTTTTTTCTAATACATAATTATTTTTCTAATACATAAATATCTGGCTATTAATTTGTTTTTTACAATATTTTCATTTAGATCGGATTTGTCAATATTGCGCCCAACAAATTCCATCAGGAGCTTCTATTGGTTGTCCATAAATCACGATTTAGCCCTCAAGATAGACCAGGCAAGTGTTTAACATACATCTCAATACATTGTAGTTTGAGCTTTAAAATTACGTTTTTTTGTAGTATGTACGAATATATACCGTGGGTTACCGACTGTACTGGACATGGACTGTTGTGAATATGGAGTTGTCCATTTAACAATTACTGTTATATTGGTACTAAGTTAACAAACCTTACACATGCAACCGATGCAGACCAAGACCAACCGGCACATCGGTGCCGTCTGATCAGATCATGTGGTCTGTACTGGTCTGCATTGTTCATTATTCAGTAACAATACTTCGTGTATTTTTTCCCTAAAAACAATGACGGTTAGGTCGATATTGAATGATGGCCAAGTCCATTTCAGACACTTACCATGGTAAGGATTAATTAAAGCCTTTTTGGATTCCAGTAGCGGATATAAAGCCATGTTTACTCAGTTTGCTAAAAAAACAACACAGTCTTAACGTTCATGTACCACATTGTGTTGAGTATCGTCTACGAGATTTTAACAGTTTTTAAATTGAATGTTATATCATTGATTGTTTTATTTATATTTCAGACATAAATGGTTTGAGCCATAACATGTCGCATTGGTATGAATTTTGTTGTTTTAAACACAATTATTTCTACTGGAAATTAAAATGCATTGGACATTTAATTTCATTTAGATAATTTAAAACTAAATCATAATTGTTTGGTAATGAATGTTTTGCTAAACATAAGTCATACTTTATTTCGGTATAGTCATCAAAACTGACATGGGGACTGCTTTATATGGATAATATATATGCATGCACCTTCTGGTTGTATTTTACATCGCACGGACACAGTGGATGTCATAGGGCGGCTTTTAAGCTTTGATAGTGAAGGAAGACTTCAAGTACCTTCCGGCATTATTTCAGGCACGAACGTGCACATGTGTAGAACCACCGACGTTTCGTAAGCTGGTTGGATAGCTTCTTCAAATTAAATAATTCAAAGGCCCAGGCGTAATTCGGACCCACAGCTGTAGGGTCAAATGGTTATGAGTCAACGTCATTAACCAATTGGTAACCTCTTTGAGTGTAAGAGAAAATAACTTAAGCAACGTGTCATGTATATAAATTAATATAGCTTCATATGCTTAAAGATCCATAGCCCTTTATCAAACTCCTTTGATTTGTAAAAATGTGGACATAAAGCCTATTTGTTTCATAAACGTTAAGATCATATATGCGCGCAGTATCTTATATACAAAGTTCACTTTAACATAATTTTTTGTTGATTTTATATAAAACTACATCTGCTATTCACTTATCAAAGGTTTTCATTCGAGATAAGTCGTAGAGGAGAAATTGGCAATGTCTATTACCCTGCCGACGACAACGCGGAGGCCATCAATATAAAGAAGGGTTTTGCTGGTATGTTGTCTGCCCGGCTACATCATAGAGATGAGGTAAATGATGCAAAGAAATACAGGCATTTCATTCTAATTATCATGCACCTGAAACATATAAGTTATATTTTAAACGCATATGGGCCTTGCACGAACAGATATATTCAGTAGGGTCTTATGCCATGTTGTCAGTACGCGTTATCAATAGGACGATACTGGCATAATACTATTTTCACATCTTGTTGAAAACAAAGAGCGTCATCATATGCATTAAAATTTAACCTTTATTTTTTTGAAAGGATCGTTGGAAAATATTAATTGGGTTTCCTTTTTAAATAGCTCATTGCCTCTTATATCAGAATTTTATCTTAGTTCTTGCAATGATTTTTCCTATTAACTACCAACCTTACAGTATCATTTTATTTTTTCAGGTCGACAAGGAAAAATACTATGGAGAATGGACATACCACACTAGGGAAACAGGGAAAGAAGGTTTTATATTATTTAATTGATAAATTAGTAATGTCAAGTTCGTTTTTTTTCTCTCTTTTGATAGATACTTGACAATATTTGAACTACAAGGAAAGTATTTTACAGAGTTTATCTTAAGTTTCCGCCATTACAGGAGTAATTGACAATTACGGAACAATACCGTTACAACAGGTTTTAGCTCTGTACCTGAAGCGTCTGCTTTGTAAGATTTGGACGATAGTCTTAGATCTAGATCTACTTTGTTTGCATCGAACATGGCGTTAGTTCTGGTAACTATAAATCAAAATTACCGTAATCGTTTGTTATAAGTTAAAAGTATCCGCAAACTTGTTTAGAAGTAGAATAAATGCTAGGAAGGTAGGCACAAATGGCGGCGTCTCGACAGAGAGTTTTTCTGAAGAAACAACAGTGACTCTAATATTAGGATTGACCAAGAAAATTAAGGAGAGGTGTTTGTTTCACTGCGCTTCAGCGACTCAAAAACCTTTTTTTTGTTTTCCCGCCAAATTTCTTTGTGTAACACCGGATAACCTTTAGCATGGTCTTTCAAATAAAATTAATTTGAAAGACCCTGCCTTTAGTATAATATCGGTAATTGTAGTGCTATTTCCTGGTGTTTTTCATGACGTATTTACCATCTTTTATAAAGATTTTTAATTTTGTTTTGTGTTTGTCTTTAACACATTGTCAGGAAACCATACTGCCACTTACAAAGCAAGGAAAACGGCACAAGGTTATGAGTTCAGGAAGAATAAGACTTCTGCCAATCAGCCTGTCAATGGAGTGTCTGATTATGAAAAGGTTGTAGATCTATCTTGTTATGATATGCTGAAACACATGAATCTGTTGTAAATGTTGCATAAAAAATTACAATCTCAGAAACTTTGGTTAATTGATTGTTTCCATTTCTGTGAAAGGATTCTACAATTTTCAAATTTATCCAAATACCATGAATCCCTTTAATAATAGATCATGAAGTAAAGAAAGTATATTTTTACAGCAATTTTTTCATTTTCTTGAACCTTATAGATCTAATGATATATCAAGGATTCCTGAATTCTAAACATATTCTGATATTTAGGTAGATCTAGGTGCAGTGAATAAGACTATAAAAATAGTGTGTTTACTAACTCTAATAATAATATTTGACCTTGAAGCTTTAATCTTATTTTCAGACTATTCACATACATGATGACCTTGCAACATTGAATAATGTCACAATCAAAGAGACATTCACAGTTGACTCCTCTGCAAAATCTGGGTATTGTATAATTTATATATATATCTTGTTTCAGGGTTAAAACACATGATTGACCTATTTTTTTCTTAAATTCATTGTTTGTCCTATTTTTCTATTTTCATCTTAAATTTATTGTACAAACTGGGAGCAGAAAATCCTGAAGAATACCTTCACGGTTATAAATTACCAGCAGGAATGTGTGTGAAATGCATACAAGATCATTTTTAAACTTATAACTATAGATTGTAAGTGTACACCAACATGTATATGATTTATATATATGTATATTTCCTGAATCTTACTATACAGATAATGGAAAGAAAAATACCAAGAGTTTCCATTAAATATTGTTTTAAGGAACACAGACCCTAATAAGGATGAATTGAAGCTGCCTGACTGATATATTTTTCAAATATTTACATCACATCGGAAATTGTGTTCTTATCTGACAAAAATACAGTACTGGACACGCGAAACCCGCAAAAGTCGCGTTATGCCGCGAGTGTAGTCTATGTCGCGACGGGACACTTCGCGGTAAAACATCGCCGCGTGCAAGTTCGCCGAATTTCGTGGCGGGTCACGAAAAATCGCCGCGATGTATCGCCGTAATTTACGGCGAATCTTCAGCAATAATTGTATTAATAAATAATTTGTAAACAATAAAACGAGATTGAAATTACAAAAGGTAATTGGTACTACATCAAAGAACGCACGATAACAAATTGTCCAATTGTTATTTTGATAATAATACAAATGTAATTAAAATCCATTGTTTACTTTCGCACATATTCTATTTTTAGAACAATGCAAAGCGACATTTAGCACCGATTCACAGGTGTAACTAATTATTACGTCTAATACGCTAATTATGATTGTTGAAAATTGTAAAAGTTTTATCACTTAAATTGACATTCTTTTACCTTCAATTTCACGAGTAAAAAATGCCAGGTGCATGAGTAGGTGATGATCGAGTAGCAAGATGCAAATCAGATTTTTTTTTATTCCCGCCAAATCAGCCAGGGCATTTGACCCAAAAAATTCCCTCGAAAACAAAAATAAAATCGGAGTTAAATCATACATTTAATATGTAAAGTAACGAGTGATCATTCATGAGGGCATTCTGTGCATAAAATTAGGGTGTTACTATTTAAAGTATTTACATAAATAGCGACCAACCAGGGAAGGATAATAACCTTACGTCACGCAGTACTGCATGCGCGCGGCAATTAAGTTGAATTAACTAATAATAGCACGTATCAAATTAAGGTGTGGAAACGGGATTAATATTTTTTTTTCAAATTAATGAATATTTGTAAAGCATTTATATGGTCACTAGTTTACCATGTGGTAATTTTAATGTGCTTTGGGGTACATGTTCGTTTGTTTATGACTGACGACACTGATTAAATACTATAAGCCCATGCAATAAAACATTTCTGGTAGAAGCGTGGTCATAAAATTGACCGAAAAAAATATCCTTTCATATGCATTATTGTTTTTGATAGCAGACACAAGTATTGCACAATATCTTCAAGATCATTAAAATGTAAATAAAATATCACAATCAAAATGCACTTACGATTAATAATATGTCAATAATTGACACAATCAATATCCAACATTTTTTTTACTTGAGCAATAATTAAACATGTGTAATCATTCCTTGACAAAAAGAAAATGACAGTTTTTTTTCTGATATATAAAAAAAGAGGTGAAAGTCAATCGAGTGTCGGCATTTCTTTGATGATTCGGCAACAAACTACAGGTGTGTAAACATCAAAGATTCACAGATTCTTCAGAAGAGCCGACCAGTCATTTGTCAGAGGTCATTTCGTGTGTAAATTTTGTATTTATTATTTAACAATGGAAACATTATATTCCTTTTATTTATGGATGCTTCTTTTTGCGCGAGTGTTTTTGTGTCTTTTAGCGCTATGGAATTTCAACAATCGGCGATAATTTTCGGTAACTAACAATTAAATATTTTAACATTTTTAAAAACAGGGGTGCAAATATCCGCCATTCAGAAATTATAGCAGACAAATCTTGCGTGTGTTATTTTTTACAAACGTGTAATAAATTGAGTAATGATCACCCGAGAGAACGAAATGTCCCGGTGATCAACTACATTTAGAAATGAACAAGTTTAATGTCGTATCAATTATGTATCTTTTTATGTAACTAAATATCTTTTTACACATATATTATATTTATATCTCTACTTTAAACTCAATATGTACCCCCCCCCTAAAAATAGTTTTTACACGTGTACATTCACACTATTTACCTGCAGATGGAGCCGCATACTTGTACTGCGTCGCATTATATACATTGAGGTCATGATTCCGCCATTCACGGAAAGTTTTTAACGGTGCTATTTGATTTCGCCGTGGTTATTTATATTTGCTGTTGGCATCAAAGATAAATAGAGAAAGGCATTTTAGCAAATTACAAGATTTTCTTGATACAACTTCATGTAGATCTACTAATTAATTTTCGTACTTGTACATGTATATCTGGTTTCAAGTTCACAGACTACACTTATAAATAGATCTACATTTATTATACAAATGAACATGTATTATTCCCCGCGAATCGCGGCAAATGTTCACGGCAAAATCGCCGCGAGTTGAATTCGCGGCGATTGTCTCAAGTTGCCGCGAATTCGCTCGCGTTATAAAGCATGAGAGTTCGCCGCGAATACGCGAATTGTGCGGGTTTCGCGTGTCCAGTACTGTAATCTAAGATAGGTAATAGATTTGTTTGGGTTTTACCTCTCACCGACACAATATAGGTCATATGGCGACGTCCCAGCTTTACTGGTAAAGGAAGACCTCAGCTGGTGCCCTTCTGTGCATTATTTCAGGCACAAATTAGCACCTGAGTAGAACCACAGACGTTCTGTAAGCTAGCTGGATAGCTTCCTCACATGAAAGAATCCAAAGTCCCTGTCAGGATTCAAACCCACAGTGGTGAGGGGCAAGTGGTTTGAAGCCAATGACCTTAACCACTTGCCCACTGACGCCTCATATAGGTAATAGGAAAGAGCAGGTTGAGATTGAATACAAAATTACCCTGAATAAGTTGATATTTATTGATTCATTCATTTCCACAGTCCTTAAGACAATGTTAAGAAATACATGTATATACATGTCACAATTGATGTTGCTAAGCATTACAAAGATATTCTTGTAAGATTGTGGTGTATTGTCTGAAATTACCTTTTTTAGGCCTGATCCATTATATGGTTCAAAGTATGCAATGGCAGACCCAGAATTCAGTGATACTGGTAAGAATATTACATGTATATAGTATAGGCAAGAATGGGCTTTATATATTTTCATACTGTGATTATTACTTACCAGGACTAAACATTCAAAACATTAAAAGTTTTGAACAAACATATATACAAATGTCTTATTCATTCAATGAACACATTTGTATAATGTAGAAGAAAGTGGCCTGTTATAATGAAAAAAAAAAAATAATTAACCCAACTCAGCCATTCTTAATTATGGTTAGTTTCACCTAAATGATATTTAATATTTTAAGATATTGTCAAAAATAATTATCAAGTGGCATGAAATGAAAATGATAATTGCTACTTGTAAGAAGAGAAAACATGGATATAAAATTTTTCACAGTTGAATAAAGGATGTACATTGGTATTTTATATGATTAAAATACAGATGTTTTCCTTTATTTTATTTTAACAGACATGCCAACAATTCAGGCAACATCACATGATGTCCTTCAGTTTACTGGTAAACAGGTATTTGATAAAAAGTTACAGAAACCAACAAATCTTCTCAAGGGATCCATTGAACCTGTTTATCAGGTATGATTTACATCATTGCATATGAAAGTTTGTATAACCTATAAAAAAAGCAATGGCAAATTTGATATTCCCTATCTAATCATTAGTACACGTAAATTTATTATTATTAAGTCCTGTCTTTTATATCCTTTGCTAACAAGTGACTTTAATATCTAAACGTGTTAGTTTTAACGTAGATAGTTCAAATGAAATACTCATTTATTGGTCTTTAAAGACAGATATTTCTATATTTGTGGTCTTTTTTCAGAGGGTGTTTTAGTAGCAGGGCAAATGTATTTTCTAGTTTAGATAAGTTTACTTATGTAGGTATTTCTGTTTGTTTGCAAGTACAATTTGGCTAAAATTAACGAAAATACAGGTATTAATTGTGGGTAAAGTGATAGTAACAATATCTGTTCATTACTTTCATTTGTTATTAATGTGTGGCCATGTTTGGAAGCAAGTTTTAAAGATTTTCTTTTGTTTTTTTAAGCCAATTTCTGACCCCCAATACACAAGAGAAGAAGACATTCAAATGGCGATGACATTTATCCAAGGGAACATGACCTGTATCAGAAATGCTCCTCCAGAAGGTAAATGGTCTATATCAGGGTTCGTACAGTCTTAAAAAGTGCTTAAATTTGAGTCCCTTTCTTAAAAAGTGCTTAAAAGTCCTTGAATTTGATTACTCTCTTGAAAAGTGCTTAAAAAGTGCTTAAATATGCTGAAAATGTGCTTGAAAATTTGAAACACAGAATAACATAGTTTCGATAAAAATTAACAAAGTAAAAAGAAAATGATCCAATTTAGTATCAAAATCAATAAAATGTTTACTCAAGGTAAGTGGGCAAATTGCAGTTGTTTTGAACTAATCTGTATTTGATGACCCTTTCTTGTTCTTCTATAAATTACTTAAAATTGTGGTCAGAAAATGTGTATTCAACAAAAAATGGGAAATAAACAACCCATCTTCGATTGAAAATTGTGTCGGTATATGTGCAACAAATGTGCTTGAAAAATGGGAAAACATGCTTAAATAGTGCTTAAAAAGTCCTTGAATTTTGGCATTGGAGATCTGTATGAACCCTGTATAATATTGACTACAATGGATTTTGAGTAATCATCTATGAAAAGAAGAGTAACTGTTGTAAATAATAAGATTTAGTAGTTTGATTATAAATGTTTAATTATTCAGTCTGGTTATATATTCCTAGTTGATTGAAACCAATAGATAAATAAACTATTTTGAACCATGCTGAAGACTATTTAATGTTTATTAATATCTTTATCAACTTTTAATGTTTTTCCTGCTGAATTAATGTTATTCACTTGCTCTACTTAGAATTTGGACCAGCTTTATTGCTACTTTACAAGATTTCAATATCAACCTTATGAATTTTTGCCACTTTCAATATGAAGTTTGTCAGTGTGCTCAGAGGGAGAAAACCCCCTTTTTTATCTACATTCCTTCCAAATCTATGTCATCAATGTAGTATCTCAAAGATGCCATAAAATTTAAAATGTTGTATATGATGTTCAGGGCCCTCGATCAACCAAATCTGCGGCCGATATTCGGCCGCAGTCCCCCACCAAAATAGTATGTTTTTTTCCCCCTAACAGAGGTAAAAATTCCCCCTCAAAACATATAAAGTGTTAAAGAGATAAATGAAAACTAATGTTGTTTTTGAAAATTAAAATCAATCTATTTGACGTCTATTTTGTAAGCGGAATATCGTACAGTACATGTCTGCACGTTTCCGTTTGTTTTTCCCCTCAAAATCTACGGTCACATATTGGCCTTTCATCCTGTAAAAATGCTAAAATTTCAACAGAAATATGCAGAAAAAAATCACAATTCCCGTCAACAATTTATTTCAAAATTGTTTATTCATGAAATCATTTTTTTGTCTTCAAAATGTTACATCAACCAGGGTAATTTTGCCGTAAATTACAAACTTGTAAGTTTTTTTTTCATGATACTTTATTAAATAACTGATGAAAAAACAATCTTATAATAAACAATCAATTTAATTTTATATAAATTTACATCGGAAACAACTAGAATTGTGGATGTGTAAACAGAAAACAAACAAATTTTCATTTGTCACATATTTTCGCGATGCCGATTTTTACGAATGTTATACAAAGTCAAGAAAAGGAAGCTTTGTCTTAGTAAAAGGTGTGTTAGAACACTAAAAATGTTGTTTATGAATAGAATTTACTTTAGGTTTATGTATTGTTCATATTAGTGGAAATGGAGACATTTGTCTGAATGTGTTTCACAATGCTTATTTTTATTTTATTTTTTATTTTTTTATTGGGGGGGGGGGGGGGTGAATCATAAAGAAAGCTAAGCAGCATAAAGATCTGATGGTGTAAGGTGTTAAAAAAACTTTTCTTCAAATCTTATCAATCACTTCTGAACAGTTTAGTGTAACCTATTTGGGATTTTTAAAAAAATAGTATGCGTGTAAATAAAAAAACAGCTGATATTTAAATAAGTTTATTTGTTATTTGATCATGAAAAAAAGAGGAAAATTCCCCCCATACACTAAAATTCCCCCTGCTGAGGGTAGCGACCCGCTTCCCCCAAATTGGATTGAGGGCCCTGGATGTTGCTGTTTCAATGCTTAGATTGTTTGTGACCCTTCTAATTCTAATTATGAGATTGATGATACGATAAGCATTTCAGCACACAACCTATTTGTTAACAAAAGTGCACATGTCCATGTTTGTGGTTAAATCTATTGTTATTCAAATAAAAGGTCACTGCAGGGGTCTGTCAGTTATCAATTATCATATTATTATTTTTTCTTAGGGTCAACTGAACTGATAGCATGCTTTCAACAGCTAGTCTATAACCTTAAAAGACTCCCTGATCAGACACTTGAGACTCTGGCAAAAGTCTACCTTGTACAAGACGGGTAAGAAAATTTTGCATTTCTTTTGTATTGTCAAAAAACATAACATTACTTTGTTCTTTATTTTAATGAAATAGTGGATGTTTTGGTGTCAAGTTTGTTGTACATTCTAATGCATGAATTATTCTATCCATGAAAAGTCTCAGTAGGTTTAATGAAATTTGATGTTTGATGTTTCAGAATCAACCTGAAGCACTTTTGTTAAAATTTCATATGTAGCTTCTAGCTGTACAAGTACACATGTTGAACTTGGCATCTTCAAACAGTTAATTTGGAACCTTTAAAAAAATCTTTTTATTAAAAGTGATAACACTGAAGGTTATTTTTTTACTTAAAAAGTTCCAGTCATTCCTGTTTAATTTTTGAAGGGTAGAATGTTTGAAAAACAACTTGTTACAATGAACTATACCATCTTATTTTCAGTAAAAAAGTTCACTTTAGTGATAGATTGAATTTCATAGATGCATTAGGAGCTGTACAAAGTCACAAAGCTCAAAGCCTTCTCTTGAACAATGTCATAAGAAATCCATCAAAGAAAGGTCAACTTTATCAAAGGGCATTGTTAGCAATTGTTGCCATGGATATGGAACCGTTACAAGTAAGACAATATATTTTGTTTTATATTTATGATATATATGATCTAGGTTTTTACAAGATGCTTAATATGTAATGCAAAGTATAAAACTAGATTCTTCACTCTCAAATGATTTTAACAGCCTTATAAACAATTTGTACCATAGTAGATTTGTTTTTAATCTGTAACATGCTGCCTTACTGTTTTAAGTCCTTGACACCAGTATAGAGTCCGGTCAGCCTGCGTATCTAACGGTGAAGTCTGAACAGGCTCTATAAATATTGTTAGTAGATCAATTTTTGTATATATTTAAGAAATGAAAGTCCCCCTTAAACTGAAAATTGGTTGTCCAGATTAAAAAATAGGGGGCAATAATGCCTTAATTTAAAGAGGCAACATGGTTAGGCGATTAGCCCAGTCTTCCATATCAAAATGTACATATATATATAGTTACAAGCAAAGATTTTATATATAACAAAATATTAACAGATTGTACATTGAACAAAATTAGCAGGTTTAAGGGTTAAAAAAATTATTGAATTGATTTACTACCTACCACAAGATGATATGAATAGCAATATAATAACAAATAAGGAATTACAATGCGGTCAGATTTTGTGCAAATAAAATACACCTACACATTAACCTGTCAATGTCTCCATGATGAAAGAGATATTACAGTCTGGTATTATTCATACAGATTTTAATTTCTTGCATTAAAAATATAAATCAGAATGCTTTTGTTCCCTTATTTTGATGGTTGTTTGTTAACTTATATTCATTATGAACAATTATACAAAGTTGTCATCGACTAATTATATCAAAGAATTTTAAGTTAAAGATAATTCAAATTTATATATCAGATATGTGTATATATTTTTGTAAAGACTTCCTTGTGGTGAACAGAATTATCCAAAAAAGACTTAAAGATAATGGCATACAATTATAACTTTCTTTTCACTCTCTGGTTACATTTTGAAATGTTAATTAGTATATATTTTGTTAAATACTTCCGTGTTTTTAAATAGAAAAACATTGCCTTTTTAAAGTAATGATTCATAATTAGCTTTTTTTAAAGTTGTTTAAGTAATTATTACGTCTACTTAAGTTCAATACTAGATTATACCAGACAGTCCATTGTTTTTTAAATCTGATAGTTCTTTTGAGACATTCTTTCCCTTTATTCTCATTATAATGGTAATTACTTTTACTTGTCTGACTTGATTTAGTAATTCGCGTGCTGGTTAAAAGACACAAGAATATTCAGGACAAAGTAATTTAGGGGAATGCAATCACATATGCATTTTTTTTGGACACTTATTGCTTATAATTATAAAATGAAGACATTGAAAGCAATTCAATATTGCAGAATTTATCTCCCCTTTTTTTACTTCATCATAAAGAAAAACACTGAAGGAAAAGTTTATATCCCACCAAAAGAATTATTTTTTTTTTGCACATATTATACTGTTATTTTGACTAAGAATCCATCAAAACAAACACAAAAATTAACAACAAAAAACAATGGCTTAATTTTCAACTGGTGATTACATTTTAAAGTAAATGGTACTATAAATGAGTCGCACCACGCCAAAACCAACATAATGAGTTTGCGGTCAGCATGGATGCAGACCAGCCTGCGTATCCATGCAGTCTGATCAGGATCGATGATGTTCTCTTACAATCACAATTACAAGTAGAGAAAGTAATAGCAAGCATCATAGATCCTGATCAGACTGCACGGATGGGCAGGCTAAGGTCTGGATCCATACTGGTCACAAACACACTATATTGGTTTTGTCATGGCGCGGCTCATATATTGTTTAAATGCTACAGCCTTAATATATTCAGTATTAAAACAAAAAAAGATTATTAGGTTTGCTCAGTTCCTATATTTTTTAGATTTATTGCTGCCTTATGAATTAATCTCTGTTTAGTATCATTGTAAAATTTCATTACTAAACTTCAATAAACCTGTAGTGTTTTAATTTTGTGCTCATTTTGTAAATGTTAATAAATTTTATTTCCAGGATTTAGTGGAAACGTTGCGCGACTTGTGTATTACTGGAACATATAAAGGACAAGTTCTCTCTGAGGCTGCCAGACATAGTACATGCCTCACATATGGAAGCCAAATTAAACTTCTCAACAAACATGGTGAAGAGGAAAAGGCAGAAAAACATATCAACACTCTTCACATGGAATTAGGAATTCATGGTATGTTGACTTGGATACCAAAAACTGAAGAAAAAAATGAAAATTATGTTTTAAATATGTAAATTTTAATAATGTGTGTTTACTTCAGCTTAAACAGATTTAATATCAATATTTTAATAATTTTGGTTCTTGTCAATGTGTTTCAGAGGAAGGAAAGAAAAGATAATTTCTTTAACATTTTTCAGATCCTTGGTTATTCAGACAGACAAGATCTTTAATGACAGAACAAGAAATTCTAGAACATGATTTGAGCAAAGTAGTTCTCCTTGATTCCATTGGGAATGCTGGACTGAGGTCAAGCTCTGAGTATATTATTTCTCACATAAATTCGAGTAACTCCCAGTGGGTTAAGCGAACTGGAATTCATGCTTTACGAAGTTTTCATGAAGAAAGTGTAAGTACTTGACATAGTGTGTTACACTCAATTTTGATGTCAGTGAATGCTTGATATCAGTTATGAAGAAATACCAGAGTCAATCTAGTTTCTATTGGTCAGACTTGTGGTACATATGATTTGCATATACAGGCATGAACCAATTAATTATTTTCATTATTATTTGCAAACAAGAAAGCACTTAACCCTTGTTAAGTAACTGTCTTCTAATATATAAACTATAGTAATAAAGTTGATTTAAACCAGTCTTTCTGTTACATGGTTATTAAATTAATTTTTCCAACCTTTCTCTAACACTAGGTATTGCATGAACTTGAGAAGGTAGCACTAAATGATGAAGAAGAAAGTGTTAGATATGAAGCTATGCTGCAGTATTTAGCCCATCCCCTTGCCAAAAGAGACAGGTTGTTATTATATTGTATCAAATTATATTAAAACACAATGTATGTGACTGTTAGATTGTAAAATTATTTAGATAAATATTATCAGCAGTTTTATCCAATAACAGGGCACACGTTTGGTAGTTTTTGGGGCGAGTATGGGTACTATTCCCCTCTCAAAGCCATAAGTATTTTTCCCCTATCTCAGAAAAAATTATCTCCAAATTCTAAAATATATTAACTTAAAGTAATTTGTTTGATTTGTTAGTCTAAATTAAAAAAAACATTCTAGCTCAGGGCTGTCGTTTGATAAAATTTGGGGCCGAATATCAGACCCATTCCACCACCAAAAAAGTATGTTTTTTCCCCTAAAACCGAAAAAAAATCCCCCTTGAAATCCCTGGAAATTAATATTTAACAGGCATAGAAAATGCCGATCAGCGAATATATATTTTGCGAACAGCAACCGGAAATAGGTACGTATTTTGCGGACGGCAATCAGAAATTAGTATGTATTCCATGACTGGCAACCAGACATTAGTACGTATTCTGGGAACGGCTATCGAAAATTAGTATGTATATATAAATAAAATGTTCCGGACAGTTTTTAGCATTCCAACATGTCGCACTATTTCAAGTCTTACCGAAAAAATAAAAAATTCCCTTTAAATGAAAAATATTTGAAAATCATGCAAAATTCCCCCTCTGCATGGACCCTGGCCCCAGTCTCAAAATGCTAACGAGAGCCCTGTAGCTATAATTGATTTCAATGGTAGGAAAATTACAAACTATTGAAACCAATGGTAGGAAATATTGAAATGACTAAATGTGATAAAAATACACTAAATACATGTACATCATAACATAAAGTTTCGAATTTTGCCTTAAAACGATGCAAAATTCCCCTTTCTTAGGGTTTGGGTACCTGTCCCCAAAAGGTGTCTAGTGCCCTGAATAAATACATTGATTACTGTAAATCTTTTAGTTTCCCATCCTGCCCCACAGGCCACAGTGCGTTGTAATTCTGGCATCGAAATAAAATGCATATTAAATAATTTATTGATTCATTTCAACCCTTAGTCAGCTGGTGGCAACTGAATATACCCATGCAGATCAAGATTAATTTATGATTATGGTCTGCTCTGTTCTCTTTTCAATCAGTCAGCACAAGTAAAATGGTTTCCTGCATGAAACATTTTTAATGATTTAAAGATATTTTGTTTAACTATTTTCTACATTGTTTGGGAAAGAAAAGAAAAAGAAATAAGCATTTGTATTAGGAATATAGTTGACAATAATCGATCAATATAAGAAGGTCTTTGGAGACTGGTGACCGTTGAAGACCTGAGACAGGAGAAGGTCGAAAATAAAACAATTATTTCTGTTTAAGAAAATGATTAGATACCAGTGTATGAATAATTCGGTGCAAAAAAAAGTAAACACACAAGTTTACGAAGAAAATAATTCTATTTATTATGGCAGATGCCACTACAAATGTTTTAATTTTGTAGGTTTTCACTATAAACAAGTGATTGTTTGTAAAATTTTCAAACACATCATGCAAGTTTTACCACCTTAAACGGTAAAACTATTTTAGAAAATAAGAAATATCACGTAATAGTGTTACTTTCTTGATTAGGTGTAATTCAGATTAATTTCTTAGAGGTAAATCTGTAGAGTACCGACAAATGGTAGTTGGCTAGGTTTTCGAAAAGGTCAATTAACCAATCATGTACTGGTTACAGATCACATGCTCCTCCATGTACCAAAAACAGGTCATGTGCTCCTCCATGCCTCAAAAATTAAACCCGTACCAATACCCTGCGGGCTCCGTCCCGCAGGGAATAAATATTTCTCTCTAATTCATAATAGTTATGTCCGTTTGAAAGATGGAAAAGTCCATTTACTATAATAAGGATGGGAAGTATTAAGTACATTTAGAGCTTTAATTATAAATAAATGATGCTTGTGATAGTAATTGCAGACACTTAAAAAATCTTCTTTTTTTTAAAAAAAACTACCCTCCTATATTTATTTAGTGGAAGCAAAGAACTTGACGGAAGTGAAAACAGCAATATTCAGAAACGATCAATTTTCGACAAGAAGTTCAAGTTTAAGCTTCAAGCACCTGGTGTAGACTGGATGAAACAAGTTGGCTCGAGGAGCATTGGCGCATCATTTGGTGTATTGATGGAAAACATGTTAGACATGGAGTTGTGTATGTATATGAAAAAGAGATTTATCAGTTATATCTTTTTTGCAAGTATTTGGGAACAAAGAAATAAATATTTGATGCTTGCTGGTTGGTTAATCAGGGAGAACATTATGGATGTTGTTTGAAACAATATATTTAGTTAATTATTTTGTCATCGGCCACTGTTTCAAATGATGTGAAAAATTAAGCTTTTTCCTAGTGTTCCTCAGAATAGCAGATTTTGTACTGGTCTATAGGCATTATAATTAAATGTATTTGTGCTGGTATGTTACAGAAACAAACTGAGCATTTTGTCCATACTTTTTTACTCTATTTAGGAAAAGCTTTTTTATTTAATGTTTTTTCTTGTTGTTTTTCTTCAAAGTAGAAAAATGATTTTTTTTTCTATTTTACAGCATTATTGAAAGGTAGAGTTGATATAAGAGTACATGATGAGGTCTACTCTAAAATTCACTTCGGATTAATCAATATAAATCTAGATTTCTACTCTGCCAGATTGTGTTTTAAAGGGAGTGCAAATTATGGAATCAATATTGTTCAGGTATACAGATTTACAAAATTTCTATGTGGCAAGCATTTCATTACCAGATCATGATATTTGAATAGCTTTGTTAAAAAATAATACTGCACAATGAAATTCATAGTCTTTTGCTGAAAAAAAACTATCATACTGGTATAACTTTTTAGTAATGATGGAGTGAGTTGAAATTTGCAATCAAAGGGTATTTTTGCATGCTCACTTGATGGAAGTGCTTGACTCTTATGATCATGAAATGCACTGTTTGCTATTCAATCAGCACATATTTTGAAATTTTCCTGAAAATGATGAATGATATAGGCCAGACTGGTCTACCTTTTTTTAAAAAAAAAGCAGTATGGAAATTTGCAAACTGTCCTGTAAACAGCCACTCACTCTTTTCTTGACCATTATTTTATTCTGGTGGGAAATCATTTTATCTAAATAATACCAATTTTATCTTTTAAGGAGGGAGACTTACAGCGTCTGATCAGAATTGTCAGAGATTTCAGGACCATTGTTCGTAAAATAGTCCAGAGTGTAAAAGACGGTGTAGAAGCATTTAAGGCTATTTTAGATGATGATTTCTCACTTAAAGATATAGTTGATGAGTTTGTTACATCTGTGGAAGAACTGCCAGAGAAGGTGGGTTTTCATGTCTTGTATTTGTTGTTGTTTTTTTCTCCAGATATATGCAACACCTTAAGTCGACCTGTCATTTCAAAGTCATTTCAATATATTTGTATGAATTAGTTTGAGTAATTGTATGAATGAGTTAAGAAAGTATATTAAAATTCCATTCATTCAGTACTTAGTTTTGTTAAGATGAGTAAATATATGTTTGATTCAATATTTTATGCTCATTATGTACATCAAACTTTCCTTAGAAGGTTTATGCTTTCATTTAGCTTTCTTGTTTGTGTTCTTCAAATAATACAGAGAGGGGCATTCTACTGTGTTCTCCCACTAGTGAAAGCTTCAAGCATGCTGTATCTTCTGAGCAGTATCAGAAAAATTGCTATGTTGATGCAAATAATTATGAAACAAACTAGAATTATATCAAGATATTTATAATATATAAAATGTCAAACTAAGTTGTTCATAATTATGTAACATTTACATACACACACCATTGTTTTGCAGGTTAAAGCTCTTGGTAGTAGAATCAGAGAGATTTTTGAAACGATAGAGAGTATCGCACTGGAAAATCTTCCTCCATTTGTCAAGAAAGTGAAAAGATTTATGGACGCAGTTACCAACCTTTATGAAGAAGTTGAAGAGGATGTTATGACATTTTACAATGTTGGTTTTTTTATTTTTATCTATACATGTATTTATTTTAGTATTTCTTTACATCTGTTTAGATTTAAAGTTCAATTTTTGAGACTGAAAATGATAAATCTTTATATTAGTTCTTGTGTACACCCAATCTTTAAGGTCATCCATGTCTGAAATACGTTTTTTTCTGAGCTAGAAATTTATGTAGTTCATTGGAACATTAAGTGGTTATTCTGTAGCAAATCAAAAATCAACTTTTTTCAAAATGCACATGTTAATTATATAAAAACGTTTGTTATAAATATGTAAGTGATTTTAGTTCATTATTGAAATAAATTTTCAGTAACCTATTTCTTTTTTGTTGACAATGGTTAGATATCGCCCATTAACTCTATGGAAATATACCTCAACAAGGACAATGGGTCTCTTCATTCTTCAGAAATTTTTTGTTCTAAAACCTAGGTCACAAATAAGAAAATGACGCTGGGCGGCGTCTGTTTCTCCAAAAAATCGCAATATCGGCCGGCGTCCGTCCGGCGGCAGTGACTATCGGACGGCAGCAGCTGAAAATTTTGCTCATCTGGCGCCTTAGAGTTTTAAGTAATACTTAAAAGCTAACGGCGGCCGGACGATAATTTTTGGGGTCACTGAGTATAAATATCATCGAGCGGACATCGCGATGATTTTTTGATCGGGCGATTTCTTTTTCTACTAAAACACCGTCTGATTTAAAAGGCGTCCGGGCGGACATCGGCCGGGCCCCGCCCGGTGCCTGAATAGAGACAAGTAGTCAAACGATTATCGCGCGGTACCCGGACGATTCATGTACAGGCACCTAGCGGTCATCGTTTTGTCATCCGGCGACCGGGCTGCTTATGTTTGTTGTAATTTCAGCTTGAAGAAGTTGTAATTGCCTCAAAATTATATTTGTGAATTCTTTTGAATACTAGTAAACATGATTTTTTTCTTCAATGTCCATGCGAATGTCTGATTGATTTTCGCCTTCTACGGCCTCGATACTGGCCGTGGTGACTCGGTGTCAACAACACGGACCATCTCCTTGGCCTTCCCCTTGGCTTTGGCAGCTGACTTCTTTGCTGGCATAATTACAACTGGCTGAAGTATGTCATTAAATGTAAAGTCATTGTCGCCCGGCGCCCGCGCGGCAACCGTCCGATTCACTTTTAAATCGCAAAGGCGCCGTACAGACATCGGGCGGCGACCGCCCGATCCGTTCAATTCTTTCTGTAAAATCCATTCGCCAAAAATCGCCCGACGACTGTTTCATTCATGACCACGCAAGGTATCAGATTTAAAATCGCCCGGCGTCCACGACATCAAAAAATCTGCCGATTTTATAAAAATCGTTTAATCTGACGGCGCCTGTTTTATTTGTGACCTAGGCATAACCAGTGACTGAAAAGTGTTGTTCAGTGTCTTTTACCACCAGTTATAGTCACACAAATCTTATATCTGATTAAATTTTTAATGTAACAGTAGCTAATACATGTCGGCTAACACACACACATTTTCTTGCAGTCAATTGTAGAAGGAGTTAAGATAATCATTCCACAAGCTGCTGAGATGATATTTGAATCGGCACAGATGATACTCCGGGCGTTTATGAAAATCTTTAAAGATCCAAAAACAGCATTGGCAGATATTGGCAAAGGTGTATTAGTGTAAGTTTGAGCTCTAATGGAAAATAATTACAGGTCTTAAACCAGGCTAGCTTGCACATTTATGTGGACTGTATAAACAAACTATTGTCAGAAGCTCAATTTTGATATTAATATGAATGCAATCTTAATGTGCAGATCAAATCAAATTAAAACCGTTTCAAATCCATTTTACAAAATTAATTCAGTAGTAACATCATTTAAATTTCTATATTTTGTATTTTGATGTAAGGCAGCCATACTGTTCATCCTAACACTGTTTATTTCTCAAATTTATTTTATTTTTTTCACAGAATTTATACAAGTGTGAAACAAGTGGAAACATTAAAAGAAAATATAATGAAACATACATTTGTTACTGATGGTAAGTCAAGGCTCACTTAACTTCTCTTTCTTCTTTGAAAACAGGTAATAGATACTCATCTTTGAATGAAGATACAAAATTACTAAACTTTTGTCTAAAAGAGGTAATGATTTATATACTCTTCTTCCCCTTGCACTAAAATAACTACCATCAAGGAGAGTAGTGGCCTAGATGGTAAGGTGCCTGCTTGGCCCTCTTAGCATTCAAGCCAAACTGGGGTAGAGACTTTGTTTTCTAATATGAGACCAGTACTGATTAGTTCCAGGAAGTGGACTTCATAGTGGTTCAAATAAGCTGCAAGCTTTCACAATAGTCAAGCTTAAATGATAATGTTTTAATCGATAGTCTTGGGCATGTAAAACATCATTTAATTAATCAAATATTAAAAGAATTTAGAAAAAAACATACAAATAAATTCTCTTAAAATAACAGTTCTTACCAACACGTAGTTATATATTAAGTACACCATTATATACTTTGAAATTGATAAATCTTCAGGATTAGAGCCCTATTGGATGAATCTACAAGATAAGACAATTTATATTCAACAGCTGTATGAAGATGCACTTGTGGCAGTGCAAACTGAAGGCAGGGAGTGGGTAACTGAAGTTTTAGAAAATGATCCAATTGACAAACTCACTGGTGGTAAAATGACTATAGTATGTATACACTTTCTGTTATTACAGTTAATCCTGTGTAAAAAGACCACGTCCGAATAAAGACCATCTTTTAAATAACACCCACTCTTCATAGAAACCGCTTGTCTATAAAGTTCATGTTTGTTCTTTGCTTTGGGAGGCTTTTGTTTACAGGTTTGACTGTATTAAAATTAATGTATATTTAAGTAACTAGTACAATTAATTTGAATTGCCATTACCATAGTGCTTAGTTTTTTCAATATAAATTTTTGAGTTCAGAGATAGGATATAGAAGTGTTTGTGGATGAAATAGATAATAAATTACTCTATTACAGAACACAGTTAAAGAGAATATCAAATCTCAAATAGAGGCTGAAATTCAAGAACTTTTAAATCCTCTGCACCAATTGAAAGAGCTAGAAGGAAGATACATGGAAGCCTTTGTTAACATCATTGAGGTGTTTGATGATATAAAAAAGGCATACGCTCTCTTAAAGTCTGGGTTTGTATTTTACATTTTAAGATCACAGAAAATGCAAGCATATACACATTTGTGTCATTTATACATCTGTATTTAATAACGTTTGTCAAGTAACTTTTAAAGTGTAAACTTCAGATTTAGACATAAATAGGTCAGTTCCATTACCTATACCTCTCTGGTATCAACTTTAAGTTTCTAATCAAACTATGAAAATGTATAATGTTCAGATATATTAGCAAATGTGCATCCATATAAAAATTATTTCTCACTTAACATAAAATGGCTAAATGAGTGTTCAGCATTTTAATTTCAAGCATGTAAAGTTTGGACTTCTCATGTTAATGATGATATGCCCTGTGTATAGCTTTTAGTATGTTGTTAGCATGATGATTTGTTTATATTGTTTCATAAAGCCATTTATATTATAACTATTGTAACTTATGAATAGGAAATAAAGATCAGTATGATGTTGAAAAAGATGATCATCAAGTTATTTTGATTCAATTTCAAAATGTCTAGCAATAGGTTGCAAAGAAATATTTTTGTATTCTGATGTGTATGAAACATTTGGCTAGTTAACCTTAAATTAAGACTTTTAACCATAAAAAAATACAGAAACACTGTACAAAGTCATTTGTTATTGTAGGTTTAAAATTGGCAAATCGCTCGTTAATTCCATGTTTGGGCACAAGTTTGATAGAGACTTTCCTCAAATAAGAAGAGAAAGTGGAGCTGATTGCACTGGGAATGGATTTTACCAATCGTCTCTTGGTGGAGGCAATGTAGAATATGACCAACCGGGGATTGATATTTTAGCTGCTGAAGGACAAGAGGTGAGACTTGCCATGTATAATGCTAAGAATGAATTATTGAAGTTAAATTTGTAGTAGACGGTAGAAGAAGAAACCTTTTCTACAAGTATTATTTTGCTAGCTCAGCTAGCTGAAATGGGGTACTGTGAATTCACGTAATTTTGAGGGCATTTTTTGGATCTGTCAAAAAATGTTAATTTCAAGGTTTCTTAAATTTGTGGATTGTCTGTTTTTGCAAACAAATTCATGTACAATGTAATAAAATATTCATACAACAGACAAAATCATATTTTGTTGGCTCTTGAATTTGTGAATTGATCTATCCCCCAAAACCACAAAAAAAAAGTGCTCCACGAATGATGATGATTTTGCAGTATCTGATGTATTTGAGATCTTTTTTAATATACATTTTATTTTGTCATTTCCAGTTTAAAGATTGTGGCAGTTTACAAAATGATAATATATGTATGTAACCATTGACAAAATTGACTTGAATATATTCAAATTATATCTAAATTATATTGATTCAGATAGGCCGCAGATATAATATTTCTTTTCTTTATTCATGGTGACTGATGACATATTTTTATTGTAATAAAATTAATTTTATTCATAGTGATGAATGGAAATGTTAATTTATTTTTCATCAAAATAAAGCTGGTATCTCCTGTTGCTGGAACTGTGAAGATATCTGGCAGGAGCAATGAGATAACCATTATTGACAGTGACGATTTACCTGAAGGATCTGAGCTCACTATAACAAATTTAAGGCTATCAGACCATGTCCAAGATATGACACAGGTATATCTCTAAATATTTATGGTGATATATTTAATTTGTCAAATATTAGGTGTAAATTATTTTGAACATATTAAAAGGAAACAGTAGAACTATGATAAAAGTTAACCTGTCAACCTAGAGATCGTTTGTTTCAGTAGTATAGTTACTCGGCTCACAATTATGTTTTTTCCATGTAACAACAGCATTGGTAAACTCAAAAGAATTTGAGCAACTTTTATAGGTAGAATCTAGTTTCTCCATTAAGGAGCTTCAAATAAATTGTAAATGAATGAAAATGATTATTTTAAAGAGTAAAATTTACAATATCAACATGATACGTTTATCATAGATTTTACGTACAGTCGACTCTCGTTATCTCGAAGTCATGGGGACTGTCCAAAAATATCGAGATAATGAAATGTTGAGATAAACGTATAAGGTTTGAACAAGGCAGTAGCTGATTTTTACAAAGGCATGTGCATACCTTAAGTCAAACAAATTAAAAGTATGATATCTCCATGTCTTGTTTTCTTGAGCTTAATATTCCAAAGTCGATATATACATTTGTATTTAACAAAGTTAAATTAGCGGATGTTTACCAGCCGAAATACGGGAGTCTGATAAAAACACATAGTGAGGTTTACTCAGTACTACACCACTATAATGAATACGTTTTCAGCGTGGGTTGATCCAGATATCCTCCAGGTTGGTTATCGGACCATTCTCGAGATAAATCTACCCCTGTTTGATATTTTTTCGACGTTGTAAAAAAATATTGCAACGATAATGTTTCTATACTGAACACTTTTTCATTTACACCTAAAGTCATAATGAATTTAATACAGTGTTCGAATATTTTATAAATAGCTGAAGATTTACACATTTATGACATAAGTCAATCAATACGTTAATTAGGTAAACTTTCATAAACAAAGCTCGACTTGTTACAAACATAGTCATCATTATGACACATGCTTCTAAGTGATTGTCGTCTGGTTTGTGTTTTGAACACTTCTGTGGGGTAGAGACGAAAAATTATCAGTGGAGATAAAGAAAGGATAATAGCGTGAAAATTACTGTCGGGCTTCGAGATACTGAAAATATTGAAATAAAAATATTGAGATACACAAATACTTCCAATATAGATCTAGATAAAGAAGGAAGAAAATCGGGACTTTCAAAATTTCATCGAGATAACCAAATATCGAGAAAAGCGATGTCGAGATAACGATAGTGGACTGTAATCAGAGATGAATCTTGCTTTTTTATCAGGTTAATTTATGTTTGTTTGATGGTTGTTTCCAGAATATATTGTGTCTTTAAAATACAAGTAATGCATTGACCATTAGTTACCATGTGTCGTCCATCCTCTTGTAAAGCTTAAAGACAATGCCCAGTAATAACAGATCATAAAAAATGGAATCTCACAATTTGTTTAATAAGTTATGCAATTTGATATTGTTTTCCAGGTTGCAGCTGGTGAAGTTATAGGTCATGTTACACAATCCCCTTGCACTGGAGCAAACCATATCCATGTTTCCTTGAAGAGAAATGGTGGCATTGTTGATCCCAGCAGCTATCTCAAGGATCGGCAATTTGACTCGCCTGGATGGAATCAGATTTGCGATGACTACAAAGTTGTTTATAAAGTATGTACATTGTATTTGTTCTTAATGATTTGTAAATATATTTAGTAATTTGGTGACACAAATGAGTTAAACATTTTCTTAGATAAATGATCATAAAATCATGTAAAGAAATATTGCTTAAGACAAAATATTTGTCATTTATATTCTAATTTAGAGTGTTCAAAATGGACAAATTCACTTGATGCTCATTGCTAGGGACTTACCTGCCAATACTATTTTATACTGTTTCAAGTTTGAAGTTCATTTAGCGAATTGACAGAAGTTTGTAATTGAATTGTGCCAATGAAAATTTTTGAACCTTGTGCCGAAAAACATGAATATTTTAAATTTTGATTATGACCCACTGAGATCATAATATTATAATTAGCACATCCTTCTGAGGTCCATCACAATCCATCCTCACAACTTGCTTTCTGTGTAAAATAAACAATATTCATATATCAAAATCTTGATTTGCAAATATCCACAAACTATAAAATTAACAATTCTATGTCATTTATAATTAGTTTCAAACGGTTGCCGTTGGTTACGTTGTTGGTATAGATGGTAAGAAAGAGGAGGACACAACAGATTATATTGAGACTGATGAATCACTGGCATCGGATGAAATGGATGAATCAAAGAGACCTGCCCAGGATGTACAAGCTATTAAAGGTACAGGAAATGTGATTTCAGTGTTGTCCCATTGGGATTGAGTGTTTTAATGAATATTTGTTATGACTATTGATTTTAAATAGAAGCTACATAAGAACAAGATAAACATATCAATCTGTACTTTGTACAAGATAAAACCAGTCTGTGGCCTATGTACAATATAAAGCCAATCTGTGTGCAAGATAAAACTATCTGTGTGTACTATGTACAAGATAAAGCCAATCTGTGTGCACTATGCACAAGATGAAACCAATCTGTGTACACTGTTTACTAGATAAAACTTATCTATGTCTACTATGTATGGGATAAATTAAAAAAGTGTGCAATATGTACAAGATAAAACAAAAAGGTGTGGACTATGTACAAGATATTAAAAAAAATAATCTGTGTTCGTAATGTACAAGAGAAAATCATCTGTGTACACTATGGACAAGACAAAACCAATCTGTGTGCATTTATAATGTAAAAGATAGACACAATCTGTGTGCACTATGTACTATATATTACTCTTTCTTTGTGCCCTAATTACAAGATAAAGTTCATATTTGTGCATTAAAAGCGTGAGAATAAATAAAGGTAAAATAATTGCACACCTATGACAATGATTGGGATAGCATTGCTTGCTACTAGTTAAAAATGTGGCAGTTTCTCATGAATTGAAGTTTTGCTAGTGGCTTTAAAAATGATTTTTCTTGAATACTTGAATTTTATATCAATTTTATTATTATTTTATAAATTGAATAGGATACATTTAAATTTCCAGTGAAAGAGTATATTATGAATTATTATATAATCTATAAATAGCTTTGAAATGCCTTTCCCTGATTGGCTAACAAGCAGGTTTTTGGAAAAAATAACAGGTCAATATATATATATTCATTCTTTTTCCCTAAAAATAGATTTCTTGAAATCCCCCAAAGATGCGAGACTCTGATGTGACGTCACGCAAATTTTGTTGTTATTATTCTGAAAAAACGTTGAGAGATGTGTATTAGTCTATTTTAGTTATATTCTATTTTTGCTCTTTACATTTTGGAAAAGTAGACAAGCTGAAAAATAATGATTTCCGTCGTATGCAATGGCAGATTTGAAAAGCCATATAAAAGCTATCTATAAATTATATAATAAAAAAGATATGTACTTTTTAGCTGTTGAATATGATGTGATATGTACTGAAAAATTAATATTGACCTGGGCTATTGCCTCGGTCCATATTGATTTTTTTCAGTACATATCACATCATATTCAACAGCTAAAAAGTCCATATTTGTATAATATAGATGGACATATTTTCTGTTCTAAACAGAATGTGTCAGTTTGTAAGAATAGTAGTGGTATATCTAACTGGCTCTTCTATTTATTCTAGATAATGAAAATGGAATCTACAGTCATATGTCTACAACACCTGTGAGAAAGAAAAGATTAATTAGTGCAGAAAGTTTCAGTAAGTGTTAGATATGAAATTTAGCAATAGGAACTTAGAAACACTTTTTGAATCAAGTTGCTTTAACAAGATGCTTTGTATGGGTAAGAGTTCGTATTAAGACAACCGTAGGGAGTCTTATCGAACTCTTACCCATATAACTGCAAATCGGCTCTTACAACTCGATATCAGATAAAGATATAGAAAGTGTCACCTCTTTAATTAAGCATAACATTATTTTTCCCCAGCAGTCACGTACAAACAAGGATGGGGTCCAATTACTTAATCTGGCATGTAAAACAATGAGTTTTCAACAATACCTAGGATTGTTAATGCAATACATTCCTGTCATATGAAACAAAATAATGTTTTGCTTACTTTTTCTAGAAAATATAAAACAGTCAGCAATTAATAATTGACATTTTTCATAGAGTTTAAAGGATATCAAAAAGTTACTGTGTTCACATTTGTCTCTGCGAGCTGAGCTCCACGAGCTGAGCTCCACGTGCATTATCTATGTAATAAATTTGAATGTATCCTCACATTGCTACACTCTTATCAGCCTTTTTAGAAACACCTGACCTGGCTAATTAAAATATGCCAATCACAATTTTCAATATCAGCACTGGTTTCTTCATGAAATAGCGGCTACACTAATTACTGCCGAGTAAGAGCCGATTTGCAGTTATGTGAGAATAATGTTTCAATATGATGTTTTGTCTGAAGTATTTAATATTTATCAGATCTTTTTAGCAAAGGATTAATGCAGAACATGGGGGAAAAATGGTTATTTCCAGTTTAAAAATTGTGTTTTGTGTTGATATGTTGTATGAAAAATTTTCCTCGAGTGTTTCACTGTTGACTATACATATATATAAGTTTAATTGGCTGATTAAACTTTACAAAACATACTGATATTTTGTACATTTATATTTGATTTCATTCTTTAGAATGACATATGACTGTTAGGATTGGTGCCCTTGTCTGTTTCCTTATTGCTTTAGATTTTACCTATTAAATGAGTAAAAAAAAAAAATCTTTTTTCTTCTTCAGATACCACATTGAACATACTTGTGACAAATATTAAAGAATTTCTGAAAAGGTTTTCTATCCGAAGGATAAAGTTGGGTACAATAGTTCAGCTGCTAGATGAACTTAAGCTACAAGACACTACAGAGAAAATGACAAAATTGATTAAAGATATTACAGTAAGATTATTTGTTAAAGTTTTTTTTCACTTTAATAGTTGAGTCAATCAAGCAAAGCATATTTCTTTACAACATGCAATTAAGAATATTTACTATTAATTTTTTATTCACTTTAAGTATGTTTGGCAATGTAGTAATTGACATAATATATTACATCAGAAGAGCAGGTTTAAATTCTTCATTAAATCTTTGATATTTTGGATTGAAAAAAGAATCATTTTATCAAAGTGTTGAAAATTGTATTGCAAAAATCAAACTTTTATACCCTAAATTTGGTTTTGCATATATTATTCAACTTGTGAAACACAATACGAAATATTTGAATACTTTTATAACATATTTAAAAACATTTTTTATTTCAAAGGATGCAGTGAGGCTAGTGCATTGCAGGAATCCCTATCATATGACCAAACAAGAACTTGAACATGAGTTACAGAGTAGAGGGAAAAAATCTCAGGCAACTAATGAAGATATGATCAAACAACTTATGACTGCTGATTTAAGTAATCTTCTTTGCTTTATATATCTTCTTTATTTTCTCTACTGTATTAAGTTAAAGGCGTTACTGTAAAATCATATAATTATTGTGAAATTAATGTTACAGACAAATTATTGAGGTGAACTACTTTACAATTTTTACTTTCAGATCTTTTGAATTAATATGATATCATCAACCATTAATATTTTACCAAAGAATTCCAATTTTGCTAATTTGCAAAATTAGCAAAATATAATCCCTCACTAAAATTATTAAAAAAATACAATGAAATAAATTATTATTGGTAACATTAACATATTCATTTCAAGAGATGATTTCATTTTGCAATTATATATTTAATGACAGGTTGTCCATTGATCACATGGGCATTACCACAAGATGAGATATTGTACTGCTCACATGATGAAAAGTGCCTAGGACTGGAGTGCTGCCTTACCATGGATATATATAAACTACTTCAGAAGTCGGTGAAAATATTTGTGCGACTTGATGTTGAGCCGTTTAGAATGACATTTGGAGTGAACGATTGGATGGATACTTTCAACATTAATGATTATGATGATGGTATGAATTATGTATTTCTGAAATGAACTTGGCAAGCTCCCATTTTCCAAGCTGTCCTTTATCACTTTTGAGAATATTGAGAAATTTAAAAAGAAATTAAAGTCAGTAAATGAACGTCTCATAAGAGTGCAAGATTGGCAGGCTGGTCTGGCTCTATCCTGTTGCCAAAGGCTAATTTATTTTGGTTCCATGAGGGTAAAGGTTAAACTAATTTATTAACAGTTTACCTTTTATCTAACCAGTTAGTGCAAAAAGTACAATTTTTTGAAAAATGGAAAAAATGCAGCTGATAGATGAAGTAACTAAAAAGTAGGAGCTAGGGTGCTTTGACATTGAAAGTTTGGTTTTATTTGACGAAAAAAAATCATCAAATTCATATAAAGCATATAAGCTACATTAAGACCAGAAAGTAACCATTATGTTACATAAGATAAATAATTATGTTTTAAACTACAGAGAGAGATGAGTTTGAGGATACTGGTATTGACATAGAATTTCTAGATGGACAAACTGTCATTGTGAGGTATGATTATTTTTGTGACTTTTGTGTTATATTTCATTTTCAAATCTAATCATTTTTAGCTCGACTATTCGATAAGAATAAGTAGAGCTATTGCAGTCACCCGAGCGTCGGCGTCGGCGTAACCACTTATGTTAAAGTTTTTGTAATAGTTCAAATATTTTCAAAGTCCATTGACATATGGCTTTGAAACTTTGCACACTTGTTCACCATCATGACCCCAACCTGTAGACAGGAGGAGGTAACTCTATCAAGCATTTTGACAGAATTATGCCCCTTTTTCGACTTAGAATTTACGTAAAGTTATTGTAATAGTTCAAATATTTTCAAAGTCCATTGACATATGGCTTTGAAACTTTGCATTCTTGTTCACCATCATGACCCCAATCTGTAGACAGGAGGAGGTAACTCTATCAAGCATTTTGACAGAATTATGCCCCTTTTTCGACTTAGAATTTACGTTAAAGTTTTTTGTAATAGTTCAAATATTTTCCAAGTCCATTGACATATGGCTTTGAAACTTTGCACACTTGTTCACCATCATGACCCCAATCTGTAGACAGGAGGAGGTAACTCTATCAAGCATTTTTGACAGAATTATGCCCCTTTTTCGACTTAGAATTTACGTTAAAGTTTTTGTAATAGTTAAAATATTTTCCAAGTCCATTGACATATGGCTTTGAAACTTTGCACACTTGTTCACCATCATGACCCCAACCTGTAGACAGGAGGAGGTAACTCTATCAAGCATTTTGACAGAATTATGCCCCTTTTTCGACTTAGAATTTACGTTAAAGTTTTTGTAATAGTTAAAATATTTTCCAAGTCCATTGACATATGGCTTTGAAACTTTGCACACTTGTTCACCATCATGACCCCAACCTGTAAACAGGAGGAGGTAACTGTATCAAGCATTTTTTTTACTATCAAGCACTAAGAATAGTCGAGCTTTGCTGTCCTACCGACAGCTCTTGTTCTGTTTGTGATTCATATTGAGTTCAGTTAGACATTTGCATGTAGATTTTGAATTAACTCAGATGTACACACATCTTTTTCATAAACCGATAACATAACTGTAAGAGGTTTAGGAATGGCCTCGACAAGATACTTATGGTTGTTGGCTTCGAAGAACACATTTCTCTTGATAAGAATCCGTCTATAAACATTAAATTCTGTATGAAAGCTTCTTATTAAGCTGCAAATGTCTGACATATTCTTCATATGTTAGATATTCAGGAAATTCCTATACTATTAAAGCTGAAAATTAATGCATGATCAGGTCATAATGACCTTCTACCTTGAAATTCTACCTTGAAAAGGAATTGTATATAGATGAAAATGAGATAAAAGTAAAGTTAAATAATATATCTTAAGCAACAATGATTATATTTACATATTTGTAGTATAAATGTGGTTTGTTATTTTACAGGTATTCCTACAAGAAGACAAACGTTGACATAACTTTCTCATTTGGTATTGGTATATGTAACCTTGAGAATCTTGATGAATGCTTTGTGTATATACCACTTCTTGAAAATGCAGTGTTTGTGTTCCCAACCATAGGCCCAAAATGGGAAGTTGGAATTTAAAACCCATGAAAATACTTTATACTTTGTTATGAATTATTTTTAAAAAAATTTTGGGAGAGCATTTTATAAAATAATGTTTACCCGTAGTTTTTCTTTAAAAATCATTGACATACATATATAACTAAATTATACAATGATACCTGTAAATCAAACAATAAAAAAATCTCTTGGATTTAAATCAGAATTTTTCTTTTTAGATTATTTAGATTTAAAATATATCACCTGTAAGGTATACAGATTTCACAACTTGAATTTATTCTGCTTTAAAGGAAAAGTGATTTTCTTTCAAATTATTCAGTTAGTTTTTATACCGAAGTGAAACTGTAAAGAAAAATTGATTAATTGACAATAATGGCAAATCACTGAGTATTGAAATATTTTTCCTCTCTCTCACTCTCTCAGTTGATGCAGCAGAATATTATGAGCAGATACAGGATAATTTAGCCGATGCTCCTATAGATATAGCAGCAGCAGCTGTGAATAAAACCATTGATGACTTACTGCTCTCTCTTGGAATTACAAAGGTAGATATGATATACAAGAAATAGTTTATTGCATATGCAACAATGCAATAAAGCATAAAAAATCATTTTAATCGATCTTTCGATTTGTTTTATGTACAATGTATCTGATACATAAAGTTTCCTCAACTTTATTGATGGTACATTATTTGAATTGATTGTTCATGAATGAAATCTATAACATTGTCCGTAAGAACTACAATACTGTTTTTTTACTTCAGTGCCAGATAATTACCTGAGCAATAACAACAATTATGTATATAACTGGGTTTTCATTTTATCTGAGCTGTGTCAGATGTGTCAAGAAAACAACTGATCTGCCCAAGGGTCAAGGAGGATATTTTAATCAACAGGCTGAAAATACAACCAATTTTATCAGCATTTCAACTGATGATATGGGTTTCCTATCTGTTATTGATACTGAAAACCCTGTGTAAAATATCAACTGGTTTTTCTCACTTAAATAGGAAAAGGCCTTAGCCTTTTGATTTTGAAGAATTATCGCTAAATTTTTGCTAAGTCAGGTAGTGATAAAGCTTGATGTGTAAGTTCAGATTTTTAGGAAAACTGCATGATTTTAAAGGAAATTCCTATAAGGAATAGACCTTTTATAGGCCTTTGTTATATTAGGGGAAAAAAATCATTGTATATGTGCAGTAAACCGAGATGTGATCATGCATTTCAGAATTAGCATGATATTAATAATTGATTTATAATTGATTTGCTATTTAGGATTTGTTGTTGGATAATCCTTCATGCCCTAGACCACAAACTTTTGATGAGACAACATTAAAGGAACTTTTGGAGAAAAAAGGATTATCAACAACTGGGACAAAAGAGGAGCTAAATGAGAGATATCTACTTAGTGACCTAAGTAAATGACATTTCTTCTATATATAAATGCTAACCAAAATATAGTCCGAGAAGAACTCATTATTGAAATATGTCTTATACATGTCAAATACATTTATATTTATGATACTGCATGTTTGTAAAGGTGCTTTTCATTGAATAATTGTGACATTTATAAATTATATACACAACTGCTGTCATTTTTTGAAGACATCTCTTTTCATACGCCCATTTGAAAAACTGTGGATAAGGTCAAGGTCAAACATAGGGTCAAAGTTCAGATAAAAATATGAAAATGTGTATTTAGACCATTTAGTAATCATTTATGTAAGGATTGAAACACAAAATGGTCATTATCATGACTACTTATGTGAACCATGTAATTTAGGTTAATATATGCAAGGTCAAGGTCATTAAAGACAGTGATTTTTTCTCTACTTTGGGAATGGTGCCGGTACCAGAGTGATTGGGAAAAAATGTGTTATTTTGACTTAAATTGGGAATTTTTCTTATGCCTTTTTACAGCAACAAATAAGATTAGTCATCATGAATAAAGATAGCTAACAGCTTCCACTGTCCAGGTAGAACTATTGAGAGATGATTTATTGGATTTAAATGATTTAAGAGAAATCACTTGGCCTTGTGGAAATTTTGAACAGCCATTTTGGGAATTTAAACATTGGAAATTCTAATTTTGATATCTATTTTCTAGTGGGAACAGTACTGTTTAAGGGTAGTAGTTATATAAAGAAAAAAAAACACTGAAAGATGATAAAATATAGAAAGTTTGTCCAGAGCAAATGTCCTACACGCATTGAAGGATTCTAATGAAACTTCATAGAAATGTTTACAACTATTAGAAGCAGTGTCATAAGCATTAACTAGGTCTGCAGGTCAAAAGTCAAGATTACACTTGGAAGTTATTGAGAAACTCTTTGTCAGGAACGAAACTTCCACATTCATTGGGGATTTTAATGCAAGTTGGCACAAATGTTCAACATTTTGAGGCTAAGTATTAATCCAGGTCCCTGCTACCAATGTCACATAGTGAGGTCAAAGTTAACATAAAACAGAAGATGTGTTAGGGACCATTTAGTCATAATTTATTGATGGATGTAACACAAATAATAACTATCATGACTAGAGTCAATGTACTAGTGCTCAACCAGTTTTTCACAAAATCACATAAAAACTCTTTCAGAACAAAAAGTTTGCTGGGAAACTTATTTTTGTTACAAAGCTGGCCCTTTCAAACTCACATTATAAGCTAAAGCTTTTTAATTACACAGATCAGGATTCAATTTATCTAGGAGTTGTATATAGGGTATAAAACCACTATATTTTTCAGGCAACCAAACCAGTGCTCGACCAGGTGGTTCTATCTCTATAAGAACTTTTATTTTTTAAAACAATATGGCATTTTATGTTCAACAATTCTATTTCAAAAATATTTCGAAACATTTATATTTTAGTGTCTATAGATGTAAATAGGAGAGTAAATATGATACGAAAGCAATGCTATACATTGACAAATAAAGTGTTTATAAGAGTTTTGGAATTTACATATCCTGGGGTGTATGAGATAATTTCAACTCTCATATTTTTTTTACTAAAATCACTCTGCAAACATATTTAAGTGTGATATTTGGTGTTATATACAAATGGTCTACGCTTTTAGTGGTGTGTTTCTGATTTGTTTCCGTACAGCTGCCATATTTGTTTACATGCTCATAGCCCCTGCCTTTTATGGAAAGCTGGGTTTTGATGATTTTTGGGCCCTTTTCTTATGAAAATCAATTGGAATTGGCAACTCAACAAAGTATTGTCAACATTTGCCCTAAATTGTTATTATTTCTGTGTTTTAAATAGCTTTTACTGCTACTTTAATTATAGAAATGTATTTTTGTACTGTTTAATATTGTCTGCGAAATGGCCAATCTTCTACCAAACTTGGAGTACTTGTACATGGTGTAGAGCTTACAGGTCAGGTACAAATAGCACACTCAAACTTCCAGGGTTTTCCACTTTAATGCATAAATCATACCAAAATAGAAGTATCGGTTGAGCACTGGGCTGGTCGAGCACAGGTACTGTGACTCTACAAGTTTGACACATGTAATTTAGGTTAATATTTGCATATATGTACTAGTTGAGTAAGTAACATACTGTAGCAGAGCGAGTGAAAATTGTAACCTGCTTTTAGAATTTAGCAGCTACTTGCCCTGCAGGATTGTCTGTAAAAAATCATTTTAGGACCCTGATTCATTAAAAATAGAAACATAGCCAGAAGTGTAAAGAAACTTTAAATTGATACTTGACTGGTTAAAAAGGGTTTTTTAAATTCTATTATCCTATTAATATTCTGTTTCTAATAATTTTGTTTTATGTTTTATGTATCCTAAAAATTGTCCGATTCTAATGATTTTGTTTGAAATTTGTTTGCAGGTTGTACCTCACATGGTGAAACAATCGAGATACGTAGACCGCAGAATGACTTGTTGTATTATTACATACGAGATGACTGCATGAAAATAAGTGTGTGCCTAGACTTCAAGATACCAGAGCTTAAAATTTACAGATCGTTTACAGCTTATCTGGAACTTGATCCATGCAATTTCATTCTAACAAAGGCATTTGAGCGGAAAGTTAAACAAATATTTATATTTGACTATGCTTGGGGTAAATATGCTTCAAGATTTTTTTAGAAGTATTGAATATGTCCTGTCTTACTTGTGATTAGTAATCAAAGGATTGCAAGTCGCATGATTTTAGGGGCAAGCCATTGTTTCCTTGATTAATGCTTGGTTGTTTAAAGCTGCACGCCTCCAGATTAGCAAAAATAGTTCAATAAAATCAAACCGGAGAAAAATTTACTTAGATTTTAGGAAATGTATAAAGATACAAAGTTCTAGTAAAAATTTACATGTTATGTGCAATCAATGACCGCTTTTTCAGTATTTAAAACTATATTTCTACTGTGTTACTGAAACGCATTAAGGGCTATTTTTTCATATTTTGACCTCTTTATGGTAATTTACATGGGTTATAAGTGCCATTGATAATGTGTAAATTGCATTCTTTTGATAACTTCACAATATTATACTGTTTAAATACCTTTTTAAATTTTCATGAAAATTAGCATGAATCTGGAGGTGTGCTGCTTTAAGGAACAGATTTTAGAATGTTTCTTAAAGCTTATAGCTTCTGTAATATCCCCTATATTATAGTTACTGGATACAGAGATTAAACAATGAAGCTGTTGGTTTCTAAATTTCATGATTTACTAATGATCCTACAGAGAGGTGATGCCAGGTAAATTAAGGCCAGGCTTATCAGCTAGTGGTTAATATTAGCTGATCAATAGCGAGTCAAAATATTACAGCTTCCTACACAAAATTAAATGAATAACATAGAAATTGAAATTGTTAATTGACTCCTCAGATAAGGAAAGCCATTTATGTAGGAACTGTTCATAATATATGAGTTACCTGTTCTTACAGTCTATGGTCAGATACATCACCTGGGATCTGACAGCCAATGATGGTCTAAATAGACATGCTTGACTGGTTTTCTTTCTATAAATTTTATCATTAGGACAAAGCATGCTACTTGTCCATTACATTAACAAGATTTATGTCTGAAGAAGTGTAGGATAACTTTTCAGAGTCTATTATAAGATTCAAAATTTGTGCTAAAATACCGATATGAGGGTTTTAAAATAAGCACAGGATTAGGATTTATTCTGGGATTCTAAAAAAAGGTAATAAGAACATACAATTTAAAGATCCCCAAATTTAGGTCAAAAAAATTTTCCCTAACAAATGATTTTGAGAATCGGATGAACGAAACAAGGGGTGGGTGATGAAATATACAAAGAGACCATAATCATAATTGATGTCGGACCTTAATTTCAAACTTTCAAAAAATTAGTTGAAGCAGCAATAGTGTGGATGAGTATTGTGATATAACTTTGTTAACCCTATAAAACACGACAGTATGTAGTAGGTCCGTACAAAAATTTGAAGTGGCTCTTACATTGACAGCAATCATATGTATTTCTGTGTATCTGATTTAGCATTTTCTTAGTATGGTCACTTTGTACTCCATTCTTTCACAGCTGCCATGTCAAGCTTGTATGTAAAAAATTCATTAACTAATATTTGGATTACATTAATTTTGTACTATATTAATGTATTGCAATTAGAGGCATTATAATATCTTAAGTTTTACTATGGTCTTGAAAGGTGCATAAAAAGACTGAGCTCAGGAAGAGCTATCCCTGCTCCAACACTTACAATACTAATCCCATGCATTCAGTGGTCTACAACAGGCAAGTAAGAGAATCAAAGTAGCTGTATTTGTGTATTACCTAAAAGATAACTACCTTTTTGGTGGTATCTAAGAAATTGGCAACAAAAATTCGACATTAAATACATGCGAACTGAGTCTGAGCTTTCCATGACACTGTTGGCCTTCTTGCTAGCACAAAAACTGGATGAATGAAGCAATTAGAAACACATTATCTTGTTTGTCTTGGGCTTCATGTTCACTCGTTGAAGTATTTTGATTTAATGGCTAGAATTTCTTAAGGGATTTTCTTGCACAAATGTGCTTCAATTTAGTTCTCTGGTATCCCTGTTTCATCTATATGATAAGGAATACATAATAATATGAAAAACACATCAGATATGCATAGAACATGAATAATATGATAGATATCATCAGGATGTGCATCACTGAAAGCTTCTGTTTACCTTGGTGGGATCCACTTACTTCTTCACTCTAATGGGTTGTCATTGATACCTGCATTTACTTTGAGGAAACTTACAAAATACACCAAAATGCCCAAATGCCCATAGCCATAATATGGGACTGTCATTGCCACCATGGAGATAAGTTATAGCATTCCTTTATTAGAAAATAAAACTTTTGCGAGATGAATATTTCATTATATAATATTGTATTGTTGATAATATATAAACTAATTATTAGTTAAAAAGGATTTGTTGTTTTGGATTTTACACAACTAACTTTATTATATTTTCAGGCAAAGAAGAAGTTGTAGAACTTACAGATGATATTAGTATTATGTAAGCTGATATATTTTAGTTATTTAAAAAGATATCTTTTAAGATTTATAAATTAACAATAGAGTATCTTTTGTAAAATCTCTGGAATTGCCAGCCAAACAAATTATTATGATGTATAATTTTTGCATTCTTGGATAAAGTTTATAGTTAATTTTAAGAAATTACTAATTTTTAGCTATCTTTAAAACAATCTGGGATTCTACCTTGGTTTCTGCTAAATGCGGGATGTCTCTTGTTTGGTTCTCTTCATCTCATAAAGATTATGAATAGGAAGATTTAACATAACCTTTATAGTGTTGGTGTAATCAGTTCCTGAAAACTTCTATGATATCTTACCTGACTTTGAAAGAATGTAATGTTAACTCTTACCCTTCTGATTTTTATTGTAATGCATGTGTCAGGCTTTGAATATGGAACAATCCTTTCAATGTTTCACAGATTTTGATATTAGAATACAAAAATAAGCTACCTACAGACTGGCAGAGTTGGCTGGCTTTAGAGTGGTCACAAAGACTCTTCACTTCTGGTTTACTCTGCTTAAATAAAAAACCAACATTTTTTTATTAAAACATTAAAGAAAAATATGCATGTTCTATTTAAATAGGTTAGACTGCTTGAATACTGGCATTGGCAAGTTATAACTGCAAATCAGTAAATTTCAAACAGTAAATTAATTCTATTGTTATTTGTGTTTTTTTCTTTTAAGATTGCGAGTACGTCAAGATGAATCCAAAACAAACTTTGAGATTGACTTTGACCTAAAATTTGAAGAATTATCAGAAGAGGTACTAAAAGATCATCTGATACCAATACCTATTTGTAATGAAGATTTCTCATTAGAAGGTAAAAACTTTCTTTGATAAGTATGTCATAATAAAATCAAAGTGCATCCTATCAGGACTGTTAATACAGTCTGCATGCACTGCTTAAGGGAAATGCCCGATGGTAAAATGAAAAAAAAAAATTCAGGTGAACGGTAAGTACTGGTTTGGTTCAATGTTAAGATTCTCTATTATTTACCTCTTGAGTAATTAAAAGATGTTCATAAAATTTTTTTTGCATAATTATTGTTTTTCTTAGCATAATCTACTGCATTATTAAAGCTAATATAAATAGAAAGGATAATTTATTCAATATTGTCATTTTTCACAACATTTGTTCTGGAAATCCTGGCATCCAGGATTTCTCAACCACTATCATAGAAATAACCAAGATGAAAGAATTCTGTATTATATATTTAAGGAAGGAACAACCTTAAATATAGTGTTTAAACAGACTGTTTGTTTTCGGACATTTTAAGCAATATTTAGATTTCTGTTAATTATTTTTATATAATTTTTAGAGACGTTTGGAAATATGTGTTATATAGTATGAAGTATGATTACATTAAATATGCCAGGCACATTGATAATTAGACCACACATATTCAATTAAAGTATTACAAATTATGTAGTAGCTCAGAGTTCTGTCCAGGTGAGAAAATGTACAAAAATGTATAACAAAGGTGATACTAAACACCACTAGCAGTCCACTTTATGCTTGCTACTCTCTGTGATGTGGTAGTTCTGTACTGTAAAAATAGTCCTATTAGAATTATTCGCATATGCATACGCTTTGATAAAAAGGCGTTTTTTTCTGTGTGTTGCCAGATACACAAAAGCTTGTCCGGACTACTCCTCATAAACTACTGGTGCAATTTCATCCAAACTTTACAGGAATGATCAGTACCAAGTCTAGTTGTGCATATTGTCAGCATTTTTCCGGTTTAACACTTTTTGTTAGAGTTATGGCCCTTTATATTTTTATTTTTAAATTTGTCCGGACTACTTCTCTATACTAACTATGCAATTTCAATGAAACTTTACAGGATTGATCTGTAGCTCAAGTCCTTGCGCATTATTGCACAGGTTTTTTGTTTGAATGATTTTTTGGCCGAGTTATGGCCTTTGGATAAAAAGGTGTTTTTTTTTTTCTGTGTGTTGCCAGATACACAAAAGCTTGTCCGGACTACTCCTCATAACTACTGTGCAATTTTATCCTAATTTTACAGGAATGATCAGTACCAAGTCTATTTGTATGCACTGTCCATCTGTCTGTCCGTCTGTCACAAAACTTGTCCCAACAGAAATGGCCATCATGAGGCGAAACATTGTGATTACTGATCACTGTTGTTCAAAATATTTGGAGAATTCATTTCAATTAATATCGTATTTTTTTTTAAGTAATATTTTAATCAGTTAAATTGTATCAAATATTTCAGGAAGTATCGAAGAGTTAGCTCAAGCTCTAGGAGGTGAAATAAGCGAAGCTGTTTTCAATTTGATTCTCAGAAAACTCGACATATATGACATTATAAATCATGGTGAATGTACATTGCCACAGGCACCAACAGGTAAAAGAAAGTGTTGAAAAGGGAGTTTTGTTGTGTTTATCCCAATACAGTGTAGCTGAAAAAAGAACATTTGATTAAGATAAAGGAAATAATTTTGGTTTTGAATTTTTGAAGCTGAACCAAATAAATAACTGACATGTAAACCCTCAATCAAGCCGGCGAGCCTGCAATTTTCATGTAATTTTGTTGTAATATTTTAATGCTTCCGAGGGATCACCTTTTTTCCAATTTTTTGTTTTTTTTTCACAATATATATTTTTTCATAACATTTATACAAATTGTTTTTGCCTAATTTTGATTTATAAAGTATTTATATTATGAAATATATTCTTTTTGTGATATTAGAAATGGATTATTTTCAGGCTGCCCAGAATATTTAGATGTAGTGAAAATGATGCCAGAGGAAATGAAAGGTGTACTTCAGTGTGTTCTTGCTGACAACTGCTTTGGGATAGTATGTTGTGCTGAATTTGAATTACCGATCCCGTTTTCCTCGAAAATTATAGATGTAAAGTTTCCTGTATGGTTTAAAATGGATCCATGTGGTTTTAGTGCAGAATATGGTATTGCTAAAAATGAGGAGAAAGAATACTTGTTGAAGTATCAGTGGAGTAATTATATTTTTGTTATTTTGAAAAAAATTATGAAATTATCCTTTCCTAATGATAATTCAAACTGTATATCCTTGACACTTTGGGATAAAAATATCTTAAGTTTTATTGATTCCAATGAAATGAAATAAGATATTACAAGTTTTTATACATTTAAATGTTTTTATTTTTAAAAATAATCTCTATATGTTTTACAAAATATGTTATTTATACTTTTTTATATTTATGACAATTTAGATATAAATACTAATATTCAACCATAATAAATCTAAACAGTATCAAAGCATTTATTATTTAAACATTAATATTCATACAAATTGTAAAATCAAAGACTTTTTGTTTTAATTTTTTTTATTGTTTTTTTTGTTTTGTTGTTTGTTTTTTTTTGTTTCTTTTGTTGTTTTTTTTGGTACAGATAGCAATTGACAGTCATCATTCTTGGAAATTAATTAGTCAGTTTCTTAGGGCTAATTGAACAGATTTTAACTTGTGCATGATTTTTCCAATATAAATTTTTTTTTCAACTTCACATTTTAATTGTATACTGGTCGGGGACCATCAACCGGACACTTTTTGAACATTTTTCCGTACAGATTTCATAATTTTTAACCTAGAGCCCAGCAAATTTGACACAGTTCAGCTAGGTTCTTCTCCTAACTAACAAACTAGTTTGTTTATTTCTAATTGTATAGACACTTATCTCTGAGGCTCGACAAGGAGGGTATCAAAATTACCTAAATTGTCTGCACTACAGTACCATGAGTCCGGACAGATATGTACATGACGTGATTTAATTCAGATAAAAGCTTGGGTGTTTTGATTTTTGATTTTTAACATGATATACAATATTTCAGCAACAAATGCTGAAGTTTTGGATATGCTATTGTTTACTCTGCAAATAATTATAGCTGGTATATGAGGTCAGGCATTGCTTTCTTGACCCCCAAATCTCAACGTTAACATTCTTGAAATAGACATCAAAATATTACCATTTACGGAGGTTGAAATAAATTTATTTACTTAATTTTAGAAGAAACATTCATTTACTGTTCAGAAAAAAGTGACTGACATCCACTGAACAAAATAATTACTAAATTAAGCATTTTCGGGGCCGTCCGGGTTTGGTGGTTGTCCGGTTATGGTGGTCCCCAACCAGTAGCCTCTACAAAGAATACTTGGTAACTTCAGATGAAAGTAAAGGACATTGAAAACTGCTTATAATGTAATCTTTAAAGCAATATAGAAAAATATTTAAAAAAAAACAAAACAAATGTTATATGTTGTTACACTGATGTAATTTCAGATAAACAAGTAAATGTACCATTTGGTTCAAAAGAAGACCCTCCAGTAATTCTAACGTATGTTTGCTTTATCAATTATAACAGATCAGAATTAACATAGTTTAGAGGAAAGTCTAATTTGTTTTTAATTGTGATATTAGTTCTTTCAGCTCTTTTCTAGATTCTTTTTTAAGATTGTTTCCAGTTCTTAAAGCTAGTAATGTCTTGTATCGAAGAGACTATGGTCATTCAGTCCAAGATCAATGAGTTTAGAGGCCAAGTCTGCATTTAGAGGCCACTTTCGCACACATATAAATATATAAGCTAGTCTGGGTTTGTACTGGTAGCAAAGTTTCAGCATACACCTTCATAGGACTGTTTGTTGAAAGTTTAGATTTCAACATTGTTACATAGATTAATAGTTATACTTGCTTGTGGAGGTTATGTAAACTATTTAGCCATGAGGGGGCGTCCTTGGCTGAGTGTTTAAGGTTGTTGACTTCAAACCACTACTGTAGGTTCGAATCCTGTCAGGGACTTTGGATTCTTTCATGTGAGGAAGCTATCCAGCTACTTTATGGAACATCTGTGGTTCTACTCAGGTGCGCCTTTGTGCCTGAAATAATGCATGGCGGGGCACTTGATGTCTTCCTCCACCAGTAAAAGCTGGAAAATGACAATATGACCTCCTCTGTGTTGGTGCCACATGAATTTCCCAACCAAAGAAAAAAAAGGAAAAATTAATCATGACGTAACTGGCTATTATTTTGAGCGTTTTATACACTAATATCATTTAAAAAAACGTGTAAGTTTCCACATTGCCTGTTCTATGTTTTTGCAACATAAAACCTAACAGAATAGAAATGATAATAAGAAGTTTCAGGCATAGATACATGCAAAATTAAGATATGGTTTATATTTAACACATATTTAGGTATACAATTTTCAAGACTGACGTAGGATACAAAGTTGATATGAGAGTTGATATTGCTATACCTGTTGACGATCAGAAGCTGCGTATCCCAAGAAATGGTCTCATTCTTCTTGATAAGCAAGAAATCCCTCTATGTGATGCAAGGAAATGGGCTGATTTTGAAGGTATTATGATGCAAATGTAATTGTTGAATTTTGAGCATGCATGTTGGCCAAAATGCCTTCCTATTTGTCTATTGATGTATAGGTTGACTGTATTAAGGTTGACTGTATTAACTTTCTTAACATGTGAAATACAATGTGGAAGGGTAGTATTTTACTTGTCTATCTATTTATAGATAATGCAACAGACTTCTTTGAGTATATTGTCCAATAGCATTACATGCTTCAAAAAACTTAAACAAAAGTTTTAAGTTGTATAGATGTATTGTTTAAATATGATTTTATCTATAGCATTCTGATCTAACTCGTTTCCTTCAAATAAGACTTCTTCTAGTATTGTATTATGGAAGCTTTATTGTGATAAATGAGAGATACAAGCCTTGTTAGTTATACCATATCTTTTGTCTAGATTTCTCACTGGAGGCATGGTTACAGGAAAGAGGAGAGTCTGTGAATGCCCAGTTGTCAAATGCTGGCCGTGAAGCTCTTGAAGATTTTCTTGGAATAAAAGGATTTTTACAAAAGCCCCCATGTGACCGAAAGAGAGATCCATATAACCCATCAGTGACTGGATGGAATAATTGTAAGTGATATTGTTTCTTCACTATTGTTTACATCTAGATTTTGTATATGATAATGATTTTTATTGATGTTTTGAGCTTATCCCGGGCTCAACTGGCAATGTGTAGAGCACTTGTTGTCGTTGTGCAACCTCCAGGTGAAGCTAACACTTGAAAGTTACATGTCAGATAATTTTGTGTCCACTTTACCCTTAGGCTCATGTTCACATCAACATCATGTGTGTAAGACCCATGCAACAGCTGTGCTGCATAAAGATCAAGGTCACATTTGAATGTCAGATGTTAGATAATTGTTTGTCTTCACTATTAAACCCCTTTTTTTATCAGTTTTAACTAAGATATTCAAATGTGTGTAACTTATGCAAACACTGTGCCAGGTCAAGGTGATGTGTTAACTGTACTATCTCAAAGTAAAGGACATACTTGCTTGAAGGTCAAATGTTAGACAATTTTGTAGCCACTCTATAAATGCTTTACTCTTTGGCTCAAATATTCAATTCAACATCACCAGCACATGCCACTTCTGTACAACCTCACAGTCAAGTTCATACTTAGAGGTTAAATGTACAAAAAAAATTTTGTCCGCTCTATTTAGCCTATATTCCTATATTGGATATTTAGCCTATACTACTTGGAGGATTTTTTTTTCAACTTATTTAGAATAAAAGTGAATGGAACTCAATATAAAATCCTGTGATACAGAATTGGTGAGGTTTACTGTAATTTTTCACACATGTGACAGCTTAAGTTTGTATAATATTAAGATTATGCATAATCACTAATAATTCTGATTTGTTTTCAGTGTGTCCTTTAAGTTTTGTCCGGCTTCCTGAATTAAAGAGTAGCAGTGAAATCTCATGCTATGTTCCTGATTATTGTACTGCAATTGACTGTTGTGTAGATATAGAAAATCTAGGGTTGTCAATACGTGCCTACCTGGACATCAACCTGTGCACATATATAGTGTCTGGTGGAATAGAAACACAGGGCTTCTCATTTCCCTTGTTCAACTATGAATGGGGTATTTAGAATTTTATTATTTTCAATATGCAGTATGTGGGTTTAGCCATTTTTTCATATGTCTGTAAACAATTTTGGGGTATATTGTTTTGCACTTGTGTCTGTCTGTCTTATAGCAATTCTTTGTTTGCTTTGTATCATTTGAAGCAGAAGAAGACTAAAACTACTCAGCAGGAATGTTTATCATAATCATAATAAGCTGATGCACAGAGAGCAGATTTGACCTTCCTCAGGTCAAGGTCACTCAAAGTCATTTTGTTTGAATTACGAAATTTGGTGGCTACTCTGTATCTTTTAAACCAGTAGGAGGAAGTTAAATCTATTTGATTAAATGCAACTTATAATGAGACTGTACATATCACAAGTTTCAGTTTCCTTAGATCAAAATCAACCCTGCCCCTAGGGTCACTTGATTTATATAGACTTATATAGGAAAACACATGTAAGTCTTACTATGTGACACGTTAAACAATGCCCAAAGCTTAGATGCATTGTAGAAATTTGTTGTATTCATGCCCTTTGGGTCAATATTGGCCACAACCCAGGGTCACTTGATTGATAGAGATTTGTATAGGAAAACTTATTAAAGTTTTACTGTGTGAAACTACCATGCTAAAGGCTTGGATATTTGGCATATAACATTTCCCTGTGTACCTCCACAAAACTGATATTTATCATGCCCAATTATTCAATATTGGCCCTGCCCCAGGGGTTCACTTGATTAATATAGACTTATATATACATTAAAGTCTAATTATGTGTAAAACTACAGTGCCAAGAGCTTAGATATTTTATATGTAGCATTACATAGTGGACCTCTTCAAAAGTTATATTGAATTGATCCTGGGGTGAAAAATAGCCCTACTTATTTTGGATATGTGATAAATAGAAAATTATATTCACATAGGTTCAGTAGTTTAGTGTTTGCAAGAGGCTGGCAACATTAGTTTTATTTGACTGGTTCAATAAATATAGTATTAAACCTACATAATCATTCAATATCCTCCATTTTTGAAATGAATAATCCCAATTTTGATGACACATATATTTTTCCCCCAATTTGAACATGTTTATGTTTCTTGTTTTATGGTAATCAATATTATATTTTATCTTTAACTTAAAGGTAAAACAGAGAGCATCACTATTAGAGACTTCCTTCGCCTTACGTGAGTGTTATGTTTTTACCTTTATCTTTTAATACATTAATTTGACTTTCATTAGCGCTGAGTATCAGACCTTCTTTCATTCAGAAGTTGTGTCTTTATTTTCTGATGTCAGTTTACATAAACCTAAAACAGGGGATCAGTTGCTAAGTGGTTATGGTGTTTGCCCCTCCACCAAGGGATCATGAGTTCGAGCCGGGCTAATTGGGTCATGGCTATGTTTCTTCATATGATGCCAGTACTGGTTGGTTTTTATATGTTTATATCAACTCTGAAACAGCTATATTGATAGGTCATGGAAGAGAAACATTCAATATAAATAAAACCATTTGACAATAATCATTATTTTTAACTAGATTTTCCTTAAATGAAAAACACTAGATATTAGACTTGTAAATGTCAGGTGCAACCTCTCTAAAAAACTTCTTAAGGGATTTTAACCAAAGACTTGAAGTCAGTAAGTCTAGAGATGCTATTAAACTAGTGAATGAGTTAATTAAGCAATTGTTAATGATGGACACACACCACTTCTAAATAGATGCAATTGTTATTATAAGTGTTATTGTGGTCATCCATATAAACTGGCTAATACTCTAATGGATACCATTAAATACCACAAATGAAAAAATATGCATAACTTCCCTTGTATTTATAATGTACAGGTAGGTATGAATATTCTGAATAAAGAGTCAAACAATGTGACGATTTGGTATCATAGATAATGTCCTCTGTTATAAGAAAACATTAAGATTTAATGTGAGATGCAATCATTACACAATTTCTTTCATATTTAAATGTATTAAGCCATTTAATACATGTAGACAAAAATACAAAAAATGTTACTGCCTGTTTCAGATATTCCATCAAGAAACCAGATAATGAGAAGATATTTATTATAACATTAGAAGTTGCTATATGTTTTGAGCATGATGGACCTTGCCTGTTTACAAAGAAAGTACTAGACAACACTGAAGTACCACAGATTGGATGTGATATGACCATTGACTTCTCAAGTATTATTTTATTTCTATTCCTTCTTTAAACCTTTCATAGCCAGAATAGGAATATGTATTTGCTTGTGACATTTCTTTGAATGACATTTTACTGTTGTATATGAATGCTTATACTTATCACTTTTTGCTATGGAAAACCTATACTTCTATACTTTAATGAAAGAAAATGAAAGAAAATGAACATAGAAAATAGACCAAATAAAGATTTGATTTTCTTTAAATTGTTCCCTTTTTAAGGCTACTGGTTTCCTAGCAGTTTCCGTCCCCTAGCAGTTTTCGGGCCGTTAATCATTTTTGTCCAGTGCAGTCTTTTTTTTTCCAGAAAGGCATCCACATTACTTCATCAATCAGAGAGACATTTGTTTTCCATGCTTAACAGCATTTGAAATAGTACAACGATTTATATGTTTGAAGTTTTGCCTGTTATTGAAAGTTTCATAAGAACACTTGCGACTTTCAAAAATAAGCAACACCTGGGGAATTTTAGTTTGAATATCCTTGCGCAATATTATAACTAAGACCCCATTTAAGTAAATCAATACTTTGGAAAATATTTTTGCGACGACACGGAAAAGGTTGGGAAGTTCTGTTTGTCTGATAAAATTATCATAACATTGCTTTATGGTACTGAATTATATTCCAAATAAAAAGGTCCGGAAAACTGCTATGAATTTTTGAATAAAGGTGAAAAAAGGTGTTACGTTTCAGGTCTATATTCAAATTGAAAAGTAAAAAGAAAGTAAAACATTAAGCACATGGCAATATTGGACAGGTACCTAACTTTGTCCTGTCAAAGTTTTGTACCCCTCCGTAGACTGATGTTTATTTTATTTGTTAAAAAGTGCGATTTGTGGCCGGAAACTGCTATGAAACCAGTACCCTTTTACATTATTCTAGCTTTGCAGGTTTAGCTTTATATGTAACAGAAATTGAAACAGGAACTAAAGGCTAAATGCTGATTGTATGTATAAATGATTTAAATCTATCAATCTTATTTAATGACACTAATTTTATGATGTTTCAGAATTTTCTATGTCAGCATGGTTGAAAAATAATGGCCTTGATACAATTGAACCAATTCATGTGAGATGGGAAGATGCTGTGAAGTTTGTTCTGGCAGCAACTGGAGTTGACAAGTACCTTTTAGAAGAACCTTGTTCAGTTGATGAAGCTATCTATCAAGATGCAGTTGATGGTTGGAACAATGGTAACATACTTGACTTTGTTAATTTGATACAGTGTTTGCCTTTTTTCAAGTAACACCAGATGATTATTCAATGTTCATTTGTTAACTATTCAGCTTTTACTGATGGATTATGATATTAAGTACCCATCCATGCTTTACTGTAATTGAGTGACCAAACCTTGTGACAGCTTACTTGATAGTTTTCATGTTACTTGTTGAGAATCAAGTTAAAGAGCATTGGGTTTGGGTTAAGAATTAAGAAGTCACTTTTTGGTTAACATATTGAAAGTATGGTATTGTTTAAGAAAGTGCATTTAAAACGAGTTTTTTTTTAATAATGTTTAGAAATATATTGATTTCATTATACTTGCTTCATGTTTTTAACTTAAGTTTGCTTAACAGATATTGAATCTTGTTTTGTAGTGAGTATATAATTATAGTCCCATATGGATATATTCTTTTTTTTTTAATAATATTTATTACCTTTTCTATTTTTAGAGTGTGGATTGATCACTTTAGAATTACCAGGATTGCTGGAATCTTCTGTGTGTCACATTTCTTCATCCTGTTCAGCTATAGAATGTTGTATTGGTATAGATTATCTAAAAATAGCTTTGCATGCATCGCTGGAAATAGACTTTTGTGAATTTGTCATCAAAGGAAGTTTGGAAAAACTGTCTTTTGAGAAGAAAATTATAAATTATGATTGGGGTAGGTGTCCAATTTATATTATAACCATCATCTTCAGAGATACTTTTAATTATTAGTCTTTCTTAATAAGACTTTTCTGATTTTTTTTAACAAAAAAAAGTTTTTTTTTAACTCAGATATATGGCATTTCTCTATCACACTAGATCATGTTATACCATATATCAATTGTGTGAATGTCAAATTTTATGATTATAGTTATGTAAAGCATTGTTATGAAAGATATTGTGACATCAATGCTGAAAATTATTTCATGATGCAGCACACCATCTACAGAGCAACACCTTATGTGAGACCAAGAATTTGGTTGCTAAGAGGTGTTGCTCCAGGGACATTAAAAGTATTGTGAAGTCTTTATTTTGTGAAGAATTAATGTTTTTGTTGTGAAAGTATTATCATTGTACAAAGAGTTGTTCTACAAAGGTTGTACTTTATATTTAAATGAAATCATTTGAACTCTTACAGGTAAAGAGGATGAGGAATCTATATTTGGTTTGATCAAAATTAAGTAAGTTTGTTCTCATTAAATCAAAGTAAGTTTATTGCAATGGAATATTAAAGATTTTTCAAGAAAATTGGTTATAAATGAACACATTTGATTTGGTATGATTTTTTCTTGTAAATAAATGAAAGAGAACAGTGAATTATCAAACATATTTACTATCAGCTTATGGCTTTCTATACAATAGAACTAAAATAAATTTTGTATAAGTTAAATATATCAGAAACAGATATGATAATAAAACGAGGAAATATAATTATCATTTCAATGTTTTTCAACATAGGTTCAAGATTGATAAGACAGAGAAGAATTTTGTGGTTGATTTATCAATGTCTGTGTGTATGGAAGCAGGGCAAGACTGCCAGTTTAGTCATGACTTCTACAAGAACACACTTATTCCAATACCAATCTGTAACTTAGATATGGACTTCAGTTTTAAAGGTATTAGTTAGTTTTTTATCCAACATAAATGTGGTAACAGATTTGTGCTGTTATAAGTTTGGAAACAGTCTTGTTGTTTGTTTAAGAGAATTTAATATGGAAAAGGTGAATATAGAACTTTACTTGGCTTAAAAAATGATATAGGTTAACCCTATTTGAATTTCCAAATGCCAGTTGCTATAATAAAGCAAAGGGAATACAGTATCAATTTATTAATATTTCTTTATTTTGTCCAGTGTTGGGACACAATATCAAGGATCTCCAGGTAGCTTAGTCTTAGTTTGTTATTGCCTCATTGTTGGAGGTACAGGATCGGATTTAAGGGACCGCTGGTTTGATCAGTGGGCAAAACAATTTCTCAGTTGATCTCAGACATTGAGTCTTATGTGGTCAGTCATTTCTCTCTCACAATTGAACCAGAAATACTATAGAATTAGTAGTCAGTCATTTGCTGAGAAATGGTAATTAGTTAACCATAAAATGTGCACATAGCATACTATAAAGTAACCAAATGTTTGAAAATCTGAGTAAAATTCAGATAAAACAAACAAAATTATTATTAGTTTTAGAATTTTAGATAGGTAAAAATATATAATTAATCAATACAATGACTGTATATATAATTTGACTTACAAACTTTCAGATTTTTCACTGAAAACATGGCTGAAGGATGTTGGTCATTCTTCGGAGGAATCTCTACCAATGTCCGTTGTTGCATTACTTCTTAGTCAGCTGAACCTTGACAGATTTCTACAGACACCACCTTGTACTGCAAGTGACACTCTATATGCTAATTCAGTAAATGGTTGGAGTTCAGGTAGAATATTTTATACTACATACTATCATTATGTCTGGCTTATCTACCCACTCAATGTAAAACATGGAAAAAAAAACATTTTTCAGATCTTTAAATAATTTGGCATATTTTGACTTTTTTTGTCTTAAAAGCACCAAAAGTGTAAGTATGGCCAGTTAGAACTTAAGTATCGTCAACTGTTTGCTCTCTCAATAAAAGTTAAATTAGAACAGAGCAGAAACTTTTTCAACTTTGTAATAGTTTAACAACTGAAAAAGAGGTTTCAGTTGTAGTAGTTGCTTTCCAAACAGATTTAAAGTGCCATGCTCTATGGTGTTGTATTATTGTCTATAATTAAAAGGTACATTTTAGATTGCAGTTCAGCTCTGGCACTTCCTACATTGCCTGACAATATAGTTTGTCACATACCAGACTATTGCACGGGATTCGACTGTTGTGTTAACATTGATTTCCTGCGAACATCCATACATGTCAAGTTTCTGTTGGATGCCTGCAATTACAAATTAACAGTTGGCATTGAAGAACTTGAGCATGAATTTGTACTATTTGATTATGTATGGGGTAAGAGGTTTATTTTAGTTGTTGTTTTATCCATATTTTATAAAACAATATAATGTATAAGAATTTTCCACATTATCATGTTGTTGTAAAAACAATGAAATTTTTAATGAGGTAAGTAAATTTAGCTTTCTCATGAGCCAAGGGTGAGACACTTTCATAATTATATCTTTATGTTCTTTGTGAAGTCTGCTCTCTTCCGATTTATCTGTTTTGTTTTTACAATAATAATCTTGTTTTCACTACGTTTGTGTAGAAAGTCCCAGACATGATTCGAAACACAAGCAATGGTAAGGCAAGTGATTTGAAGGTCACCAACTTTAACCACTGGGCAGCAGAAGCCCTAGTGCTTAGAATTTTAAGCAGGATTTGCAAACCTTTATTTCAATTTTGATATGTTCTTTGTTTCTAGGTGAAACTAAGTACTTCAATCTAGGAGGAGCAGTGAGAATAGAGTATGTATAAAATATGATACAGTTATAAAAATGATGCAGTTCTATAAATGATACAGTTTGATAAATGATACAGTTCTATAAATGATACATTTCTATAAATGATATAGCTCTATAAAGTATACAGTTCTATAAATGATACAGTTCGATAAATGATACATTTCTAGGTATAGTTCTATAAATGATACAGTTTGATAAATGATACATTTCGAGATATTGTTCTATAAATGATACAGTTCTATAAATGATACATTCTGTATCTGTATAATAAAGTATGATACAGTTTGATAAATGATACAGTTCTATAAATGATACAGTTCTGTATCTGTATATGATACAGTTTTATAAATGAGACAGTTTTATAAATGATGCAGTTTTATAAATGATACAGTTTTATAAATGATACAGTTCTAGATATAGTTCTATAAATGATACAGTTTTTTAAATGATACAGTTCTAAAAATGATACAGTTTTATTAAATGAAACAGTTTTATAAAATGATATAGTTCTATAAATGATAATTTCTATAAATGGTTCAATTCCATAAATGATACTGTTCTCTATAAATGATACATTTCTATAAATGGTTCAGTTCCATAAATGATACAGTTCTGTAAATAGTTGAGTGACTAGTACAAATTTACAAGAAATAAATGGTATGAATTAGGGTAGCTTTCATGACATAATAGTAGCCTTAATGTGACTTAAGACTGGAACTTAAATGAGGAACCTTTGGAATCTATGTCATCTGTGTAAAATGTTTTCTGCAAAATGCCACATGATTGGAAAAAGTATAACCGAAACAGCACTTTAAGCAGGGGCCACACTATTGTGTTGCTCTACTGACCAATCTTCCCTTCTCATATTTTCTCTTCAGTTACATTTACACATTTCTCCTGTACACTTCAGGTACACCATTGATGACATTCCAAGTGAAGCAAAATTCATTGTCAATGCAAAACTAGGCATCTGTTTTGAGCAAACTCAATGTATATTTAAAACAGACATACTAAAGGATGTTTTCCTAGCTAAGCCATTCTGTAACTGGGATGCCGGATATTTAATAGAAGGTACTAAAAATCTAGTTTGGTATTTAAAAATCTTTCTTTTGTTTTAATATTTAAACATTTCAAGAATCAAAATACTAAAGAAATTTTTCTTTTATGAAATTCAAATTGTCAGTTGTGTCTTTCCGCCTGTAGATATAAATGCCCTGAATATAGAACAACATTAATGTTTTCATTTTGTTTTGTTGTGATTTGATATTTAATTAAACATAAAGTTGAATTGAAACTACTTTTAAAAGTAAACTTCTGCTTTAAATATAATCATTATAGGATTTTCAAAGTAAACAGAATAGCAAGTATATATAAAAGGCTGAATTTCTAAGTTTAAATTTTTGATGAATTTGTTTCTTGGTGGTTTTATTGGCAAAGTTTGGCCACTTTATTAAAATTTTAATTTTAGGGTTTGAGCTTCCAAACTGGTTAAATGACTTCAATTTTGAGCTTGATGGAGACACATTGAAGGATTATATGATTGAGGTGTTGTTTCGTGAACTTGGAATAGCCCCTTATTTACAGGAAGAGCAGTGTGACAAGGCGCTCGCTCCTTATGTTGATGCAACAGAAGGGGTAGCTTCAGGTAAGCATGAAACAAATTTATGAAAATGAAATTAACCTATCACATTGTGCAAGAAAGACAAAGTAATGCTAAAGATTATAGTTTGATTATGAATTATATTGTTGAAGGAAAAGTTTTACATAAGTTCTGCAATGACCACTGATGTAGTATGGTAAACTTTACAATAAGGATTTACGCATATAACCAGCTAAATGGTAGGGCTGTTGGGATATGGTGTATACAGGACAGACTGTGTACTGGAGGTTCTAATTCAGTTTTAGTACTTTGATAACAAGATAACTTCAAAATGTCACAAAACATGATATTTAATAGGCTCAATCTTAAGAACAATAATTATTGCTATTATGAACAATCTTTTTGCTATTCCTTACACAGAATATACTCCTTTTTTACAGCATTTCACTTTACCATTTATCATAATGTTACTTAAAAGATAACAATTTCTTTATTTAGACTGTACTCAGCTGCTTGATTTGGGCACCATACCAGATTTCATGACTTGCTACATTTCTGAATCTTGTAAAAGTTTTAACTGCTGTGTAGATGTCGACTTTGTGAAGAGATCGTTTAGTCTGTATGCACATATTGATGAATGCACACAAACTGTAACAATTGGAATAGAGAAGTTTCGTTTACGAGTGTCCTTGCTCAATTACAACTGGGGATCAGAGGAAGAATTCTCTTTATTTGGAGCCATTAAAATCAGGTATTATAATGTTTCTACAGTAATTATCTCATAATGATCAAAAGAGATGTAGATTTTTTATTTTTAAATAGCATTTTTAACAATGAAAATTATTCAGACTTTCAACTAGTCCCAGAATAATTTAATTTATGGACACAATACATATCATGTCCTATGCTTTTTTGAGGTAAGGCCTTAAATTTAACTTTATCTCAGTGGAATAGCTTTCTTCTTCAGTCAAAATATATGCCTGGATATTCATTTAAACAATTAGATGTCATGCATTGTAAAAGTGAAGTTTCGATTCCAAAAAATTGTAAAGTTTGGTATCATATGTCTATTGTATCAGGTGGGTCTTAGCTGTGTATTTTATGATATACAGTGGAACCTGTCTAATCCGAACTCGTCCGGACCAGAAGAAAAGTTCGGATAAGAAAGGTTTCCGGATTAGAAAGGTTTCCGAATTAGAAGGTTTTTTTTACATGTTTTTTCATGTTATTTGCAAAATAGTTTAAGGAAAGAAAACGGGAATGCATTTGAAATTGCAATTTAGATATTTTATTTTTGCAGTCTTTTATCGTTCATTTTAATACATGTGAATACAAAAATAAAGAAATAAAAATAAATAAATAAGCAAAAATATTATGTCCTCAAGCGTAAGTTAACCTACGATGTTAAACAGGAGGCCGAGACATGATTGAATATTCGTACCAGCATTTGTCAATTGTTGTTTACTCATATCCGAATCAGCGACTATCCGAATTCACTGACAGTTTCCATTAATTTTCATTACTTAATCACGTATCATTGAATCCATTACAAAGGATTAAAAGATATTTCTTTTGAATTATATCAAAATATTTATAGAAGCTGACGAAAAACAATCAATTAAGCAATTATAGAAGATATCAAGGCAATATAAGTGTAATTTTCACACCTTCACAGATCATACGTTTCACCCATTAATCAAGCGAAATAACACTTATCAGTTTGGTGTATGTTTACACCTGCAAGATGTGCGATTATTTGTTATTTTGAATGAAGGTGTGACATTTGGCAAAATCTGTTCGGATCCGAGAGGTAAATTTTATAGTAAAATAAGAACAAAAATTTAAAAAATCGTCCGGAATTCGGAGTAGACAGGTTCCGGATCCGAAAGGTTTTTTACTATTGAAAATAGAACGAATAAAATCGGGACCGGCCACTTCGTTCGGATTAGAAAGGATTCCGGATTAGAAGGGTTCGGATTAGCAAGGCTCCACTGTATTTGTACTCTAGTTTAAAGGGACTCTACTGAGGTTTTTTGACATGATGGGACTGGAAATATTTTTTGAGATTAATGTTCTATTTGATGTAGGTCTAGAATTATAACTTGTATGCAAAATTTCAGATAAGTCGCTTGCTCAGTTTTAAAAAATAACCCCAAATTAAAAAGGGTTGCTTTTCTACTCAAATGGCGCGATAGCTCAGTTGGTTAGACCACTGACTGTCACTCCTGAGGTTCCATGTTCGATCCTGGATAACACCCTTGGGATTTTTCAGAGACACTTTCAGTGTTTCCCACCTACCTAGAGGTTTACTGGTATTAGAAACCCAGATTACCTCGCATGTATCAGTGCTATACACAGGGCATGTAAAAGAACCAAGGGGTCTTTTCAATAAGAGCTAGGGACTGGTTCCGGGACTCACTTGTATCTCATAACTGTCTCTAGAGTCTGGTGAGGTAAGGACTCTACTGGATATAAGTGCTTGCACTTTCGTAGGTTATCCTTGACCACCCGGTCAAAAGAAAATCTATCAATCAAATCAGGCTTAAATAGCACAAAAATATGATTTTCAATTTATTCCGAGTTTATTTCTTAAAATGTCTTTTTCACATCTTCCTGTTAAAAGTGCCCTAGTTGATCGATGTAAGGAATTCAAATTTTATGCTTTTAGGTTTTTGACCTTAATTATTGGAGTTCCTTCAATAAATTCATGTTTCATACATTTCAGTGGGTCTGTAGTTGATTTAGAGACAGAAAACGTGTACATTGTAAACTTACGAATCAGTATTTGTATGAAATCAGCAACTTGTGACGAGGAAGTTGATTTGCTAAAGGATGCTCGATTACCAAAACTTGGATGTCAGCAGAATGAAAATATTGATGGTAATTTAATAGTACAACACAGTTTAACTACAGTTTTGACAAAGTTGACAGACTTAGTAATGCTTTATTTCAGAAAGCAAGGCTTATTGTAATTGTTGTTTCCAGAATTGTTTCAAAAAGCAAATATAGCTTTTATTATTGAAGTTGTACTAATATTATGATCAGTGTTAAAAAAGTTGTAAATGGTTTATGTCAGAATAAAGATGGATGTTTATAGTTTTTTCTAAAACATTTATTTGATTTATTTCATTTTAGATGCAGAACAAAAACTATTACATGTGTACTTCTTATAATGAAGTCTTCACAATATCACATGCACACCTGGATTTCAATTTTCACAAGTACAAGTTTTGAATTTAAGGAACACTTGGATTTTTTATTTCTAATGGAAACTTATTTATTTAGATTTCAGTTTAACTCAATACCTAGAGAGTCAAGGATACAGTCTGGGAGACATAAATCAGCAGCTGCCAGAAAAATTAGCAGACAAGCTGTTAGAAAAACTGGATGTGCTTTCATTTCTTGATGGAAATGATTGTACCTATATCTCCCAATATACAGAGAACACCATAAGTGGTAAAATCTTACCTATTTTAATTTTGTTATTCTTTTGTTGCATTTTAATTACAAAAAAACCATGTAAGTAACATATCACTACAATATAGCTTTTTTATTGAAAGAGTCTCCAATTTTAGTTCTGTCCATGAATTATAGTTTAAAGGGACTCCACTGAGGTTTTTTGACATGACGGCACTGGAAATACTTTTTTAGTTTAATGTTCCATTTGATATAGGTCTTGACCAATATCTTGTGTGCAAATTTTAGATCAGTTGCTCACTCCGTTTTTGCAGAACAATTACTATAATCTAAGTCATGAAAAATGTAACACTCAAATCATGCTAAGTATAGACAAACATGATATTTTAATTTATTTGTGAGTATATTTCTTAATGATCTTTTGAATATCTTTCTGTTATAAGTACCCTAGCTGATCTATGTAAGAAAATCAAATTAAAAATTTTCAACCTCAGTGGAGTTCCTTTAAACAAATAGGTACCCTTAAAACATCTTCTTTGAGTTACATGTTCATGTAGATAGCCGGATACCAACTTATAACAGTTCTAAATCTTCAACAGGATTTGAATCCAAATATTTTCAAAGTCATTCCTATTATTACTCAACATTGAGTTTTCAAATTTTATGATATACTTTAAATCAGCATGTATTTTATATTGTTGCTAATTACACTTTTTCTGTACAGCTAAAAGTGCCTATTATTTGATATAATATTGTTCTATCTCCAGAATGTGAAGGTTTTCAGTTTAAAACGCAGATACCGGATACAATGACTTGTAAAATACCATCAAAATGTACTGCACTCACCTGTTGTGTTGATGTTCCCCTCATCAGGCGCTCGGTGAATATGAGTGTTGATTTAGATGCCTGCAAGTACAGCTTGGTAATCTCTATTGGAAAGTTAACCTCTCATGTATCACTTGTGGACTACACCTTTAATGAGTGGAAGACTTTCAGTTCTGTTGGAGTTTTCAAAATTCAGTAAGTATACAATTAAAGTTAGAGAAATTTCCCAGTATTTTGAAAGAAAGTTATTGAATATAGCAAGAATTATACACCAGTATTTGCAGCTAATATGACAAGAGTCATTATTGGATATGTATGCAATACTGATTGTCACTATAAAGATATATGCAATGTTTTGTATAAGAGGCACATTTAATCAGCTCTTAATCATGTTTATTGATAATCAACAGTTTTATGTACTTACTAAAGAAACTGCACTGAGCATACTTTGAAACATGCAAAAATTGTGTACTCTATTTGTGTGTATAGGATAATGGATGATTTGATCTTTGTTTTAAGTGTTGTGTGGGTAATAGTTAATAGTGTGTACTTTCCTCTTTCTATCACAGTTGTTTCTTTTATCGACACTCATTAATTTTTATTGACTGATTCTTAATATTTGAAGTGGCTGCAAGGCTGAGTAGTTAACGCGTCGGATTAGTAATCTATTAGGATTGCTGACCGCATGGATTCAAACCCTGTCAGGGGCAAGCAGTTGTTTCCTTGAGCAAGAAACTTTACATTCAATGCTTAGTACTGGTTGGTTCCAGGAACGAATTCGAGAGTGTTTCAATAAGCTTATAGCCTCCAACACAATCAAACTAAAATAAATTTGTATAAACTAATATTTGGTAATGTTTGTAACTTACACAGACCTGTACTTTTGTATGAAGTTTCAGGTGTTTTGTGTCAATAGTCACTAAATAAAATTCCTTTAAACTTCTGCTCATATAAAGGTTATATGTTATTAGCTTTACTGACCATGAGTCAACCCAATTAGATCAAATGGTAGAGCATCAGGTTAGTAATCCAAGAGTCTCTGGTTCTGTCTTCGGACAGGGCAAAATCTGTATGTGACAACGTATCACTAACATCAAGTCTAATGGTTATTGTCTGTCACTGAAAATTGGAGCCTAGTGGTCACTTGAAGAGATGTTGGTAATTACTGGTTAGTTACCCAGGAAAGCTGGTTAGGTGGATCATCTAATGAGGTTTGACCGAAACATGTGTTCAAAAATCCAGATATACAAAATGTGACCACAATGGCATCCTTTGGTGTTATATTATTCTTGATTGAATTATATTAAAAAGAAAAGCTAAACTCCAAAAATATCTTGTAGTGATTAACTTAATTTTAGAAATGTTTATATTTTGTGATGTTTGCTGCAGGTACTATATTGAAGATTTGAAATCTGTGAAGAAGTATGTACTGTCAGTAAAGATGTCGGTGTGTTTTGATTCGTCCACCTGTGTATTAGAGACTACAGTGCTGAATGAGGCTGTGCTGCCTCAAAAAGCATGTGAATTTAATGGAGATTATCAAATACCTGGTTAGTATATATACTTTAAAAAATTAAAAAAACTCTTTTTTATAGTCACAAAAGTTTTTTCATGCAAAAGGAGTATAAAAATACTGAAAATCACTTAAAAAGCATGAAATAATAAAAAGAAAATTTATTTGTTTTACATATAAGATTGAAATATATTTCATTCTTGAACACCAGCTATTCTATTTTCACTGCATCTGGTGTTAACTCAGTGAAATCAATTTCAATCTTACATGCAAAACAAACAAATATCCTCTATTTAATACAGTCTTTAAAATGAAAATTATAAATTTTAAAATTTATCTTAGAAAAACCTAATTTTCTCCTATTTTTTTTGTAGGCTTTTCCAAGAGTAAATGGATGGAAGAAAATACAGAAGTGAACCAATATATATCTAAATTACAAGAAGATGCTGGTATTAAAGCTTTACTACGTTCAACACAATGTGTGGTTACTGGAACAGGATGGACGTCTGGTAGATTTTTTTCAACACTTCCTAATCTTTATGAAAATGAAATGATTTCATGTGCTGAACACAATTTTAATGTTATTTAATATGAAAATAATTGTTAAAAAATCATTCTTGAATAATTATAAATAATGAATTTAACCTCGATATTAGCAGTTTTCTTTCCAAAGAAAGTCAGAAACCAAATTGATAGCACTTTGAGAGTTTATTTGTGATGGTGTGAAAGAAAAATGTAATGAAGATTAAAAAGCACTATAAGAAATTTAAAAACAAACACCATAGATTAGACTTAGTAGCACTTTATCTATCTCTTGTCTTTCAGATTGTCAGGATGAGCCAACTTTACCAAGTTTACCTGCCGGAATAAGTTGCCATCTTTCTGAACATTGCTCTAGTTTTGAATGTTGTCTGAATGTTCCTGAGCTTGACAGAACTGTTGCCTTCTATATTGATATTGATGTTTGTAACAATAATTTATCCGTTGGTATTGACAACTTAGGGCATAACCAACCACTGGTGGAATACCCATATGGTAAGCCAACTGTAATTATGCCCCCGCCATGTAATGGCCGGGGCATATAGTGTTACCCTGTTCCTTCCTTCCGTCCTTCTGTCATTCCGTCATCATCAGTTTCCGTTCATTATCTTAAGAACGGTTGCACACATTCAACTCAAATTTGACATATGGATATGTCATGACAAAATACAGGTCAAGTTCGAATTTGGTCATGGTTCGATGATTTTTGGCAGAGTTATGCCCCTTTTACTTTGAAAATAATATGAAATTTCAGTTTCCGTTCATTATCTCCCCAAGGGTACAACACATTCAACTCAAACTTGACATATGGATATGTCATGAGAAAAAAAAGGTCAAGTTCGAATTTGGTTATGGTTCGATGATTTTTGGCAGAGTTATGCCCCTTTTACTTTGAAAAATAATATGAAATTTTCAGTTTCCGTTCATTATCTCCCCAACGGTACAACACATTCAACTCAAACTTGACATATGGATATGTCATGAGAAAATACAGGTCAAGTTCGAATTTGGTCATGGTTCGATGATTTTTGGCAGAGTTATGCCCCTTTTACTTTGAAAATAATATGAAATTTTCAGTTTCCGTTCATTATCTCCCCAACGGTACTACACATTCAACTCAAACTTGACATATGGATATGTCATGAGAAAATACAGGTCAAGTTCGAATTTGGTCATGGTTCGATGATTTTTGGCAGAGTTATGCCCCTTTTACTTTGAAAGTAATATGAAATTTTCAGTTTCCGTTTATTATCTCCCCAATGGTACAACACATTCAACTCAAACTTGACATATGGATATGTTTTTGGAATGCCCAGGCCAAGTTCGAATTTGGTCTTGGTTCAATGATTTTTGGCAGAGTAATGCCCCTTTCACTTTGAAAATAATATGAAATTTACAGTTTCTGTTCATTATCTACCCAACAGTGTTACATATTCAACTTAAATTTGACATATGGATATGTCAAAGGAATGGGCAGGTCAGGTTGGAATTTGGTCATGGTTTGATGATTTTTTTGCAGAGTTATGTCCCTTTCACTTTGAAAATAATATAGATACATCTTAGGAATAAGCAGTTTAAGTTTGAATTTGGTTGTGGTTCAATGATTTTAGACAAACTTATCTTCCTGAATGTTGGAAAAATTTTGAACTTTCAGTTTCAGCACTCATACTTTTAGCCATTATTTTTGAAAGGTTAAGACTGAATAATTTCAGTGCCTTGAACATTGTATGAAAATGGTTTGTGTTAACATTGAAAAGTTTTAAGGGCTTTGAACTTAAAATGAAAATAATAATTAATGCACCATCTGAAATTTTGGCTGCATGCGGGGGCATCCGTGGCATGATGACACATTTCTAGTTTTCTAATATATTTCAAGAAAATAAGTTAAGGCAAAAAATATAAATCTGCATGCAGTTTTTATGAAGTAACACTTAGTTACAAAATACTTATAATTAGATATCCATTGTTTTCATTTGACAGTAGCAGACATGTTTGTCAGAAACTTAGCATTTTTGAATCCATATGTTGATGACTTCATTGGTGCTACTAGTGGAATAAAAACAGTTCATGTATGAAAAGTTGTATATTATATTAAAGGTTTTATTGTATAAATAATTTTAGTTAGTTCTTCTACTAAAAATTATTAATTCATTAATTGATTTATACAGGTAAACAAAAGCAAGTTGATTTGAAGGGAATATTAAACATGAAGTAAGTGTTGTTGTTCTTCTTAATTTTTTTTAATAACTTATGTGATGAATAGATTTTTACAAAATCTTTGCACCATTTGACAATGACTTTGTAATTTGATGTGTATAAAAATATAAAAAGATCATTCACTTGCAAGCTAGTGCTGATACTTTGCTGTTAACTTGATTTGAGAAATTGTCAGATATATTTATTGTTAATGAAAAATTTTTGCAGTGTTTTTTTTTTTTGTTATGCAGTTGTAAAAACATGTCCAAATGATGCAATGTTGAGGCAAATTTGGAAATGAAACATTTTAACTGTGTATTTTTTTAGGTACTTGATCACTGACTCAACAGATACCCAGTATATGCAGGTTTCAGCCGAGATCAATAAGTGTTTTGAACAACCATGTGATGAAACTGTTGTTTTATTGGACAATTTCAATATGGAGAAACCTGTGTGTGATCTGAACTTGGATTTTGAGACACAAGGTATTATTAAAAATATAAAACATTTAAAATGGGTAGCAGTGGTCAGTTGGTCACTTGCTTTTTTATTAGGAGGTCCCATCCCTCGCTTGAGTTCTATTGAGAATGCTGCTAATTACCTTGAAGATAGAGGATTTTATATAATATAAGTCACCATATTATCAGCTCCCATAAACAGAGTAGATAAGAAGTTAATGATTGTTGCCTTCTGACCAAGGGTAAAACTAAATATAAAATAATGTTGAAATGGAAACTTAGAATATAAGGTGTCTTTACTTTACTTCTTTATCTAAATGCTGGACAAAAATTGAAATGAAAAAATAAAAAGTTTAACTGTCTAAAATTATCAAATAATTATTAAAAATATTATTTCCCGCTTTTTTTGATGGGGGTATTTTAAATAAGACCAAACTGCTGATGGTTACATTACCTGCTTTGTTACTAGTGGTTGAAGGCCTGTAAAGAACAAACTAGTTGGATTGTTTTTCTCTGATTTATTACAGTGATTTTTATACCACTTTAAATAGACTTCTTGCAACAAAGATTACTAGTTACAAGAGGGGAGATTTCAAACTTTCAAGAATTAAGATCAGAGGTTAGAATTTTATTATTTAGATTTAATATATTAAGTAAACAAGATTAAGGTTTCAATATTTCAGGTTTCCAGTTGGAAGAGTGGTTAGATAATAAAGGTTTAGCACAGACTGATGTTTTATCTGATAAACAGCTAGCAGAACTTATAGATACACTAGGACTAGGTCCATACTTAATGGAAGACTCCTGTAGTCATTCAGATGATCCCTTTAGCAGAAGTATGAAAGGATGGACTCAAGGTTATTTATAGCTTTTTAAGTTTTAATAAGAATTGGAAATTTACATGTACATGTATATGGAAACTATTAACTAACCATACATGGCATCTTATTATATTCCATGTTTTGCAGTAAGGAAAAATTTGTGCTTATGATTATGAGTAACATGTTTTCCAGAATTAAGTTCTAAATAGTTCTCGTTTAAATTTTTTGTCTTATCTTCCATGTATTTTTTAGCTGTAGGATCTGAAAATATTTTATACCAATGATCTGATATATTAGAATTATCTTTTAGAATGTATTGTAAGCATTTTTGATGCCAGATTATTTAACTTATTTTGGTATGTCAGTTAAGTATGTATGCATCATTAAATCAGCTCTTTCTAAGTCTTATGATTATTATACAAAATTCAAAGAAATTTTCATTTAAAAAAGCTGCTATTAAACACCTTCGCAGCATATGAACTTCTAAAAAATATTTAAAAAATGTTCCATTTTGTTTCAGATTGCTCTCTAGATGTCAAGTTAGAAGACCTTCCAAGAGAATTGAAATGTTATATACCAAACTATTGTACTGCCATAGAATGCTGTATGACTGTGGGTGTTCTACATAAGAACTTTAAACTGGCTCTTGATCTAGATGCCTGTAATAACAGGCTATTGGCCAGTATAGAGAATCTTAAAATGAATATATCCCTTGGTGATTATGAATGGGGTATGTATTGAAAAAAGAGATATTAGTTTCAATTTGAAACATATATTACTCACCAAAAAACCTAAGATATCAATCCATTGATAAATACAGAAAGTAATGACTTATAAACATTTGTTTTGGAAAATAAGTTGAAGCAAAAATCAGGTATCATATTTAATAAATTTCAATCATTAAAAATTCAATCTTTTTTTACAAAAGGAAATTTATTCTTTGACATGGAAAGGATGGTAAAATTATAACTTGATATAGACTTTGATGATTTCATTCATTCCTTATTAATCTACACCAGTGACCAGTCTGACAAAAAGTTTCTGACTTCTGATGGAGAACATAATTTTCTACTATCAGTCTCAGATAATTTATATTTATATTTTCAATACAGGAACTCAACAAACTATAACTTTGAAAGGACTTCTAAAAATCAGGCAAGTATATAGTTGTATAATATATCTCACTACAATTACTGTTTATGTCTTACAAACTTAATATAATATTGTGATATTATTTCTTTATTCAATTTTATAATAGTTCAGACTTTAATTATTTGGGTTTTTTCTCGGTTAACACTGATTTTAACATATTTTTGGTCAATATCTAGGTGGTTGATCCACCAATTATGTTTCCCGGGATAACTAACCAGTAAATACCAATTTCTCTACAAGTCACCGACTACTAACCCACATGATTCTGTATTAATTGGTGACCTGAATAGACTCCATGTTCAAAACCAGTTGTCATAGTGAAACTTTTGCCTCGCCCAATGATCAAACCAGGAACTCCTGGATTACTAATCAGATACTCTCCCTATTATGCCAAGATTTAGGCTTAATATAACCAATCTTTAGCAATGGTGTCACTTTTGTACAGGTTGAACCCACCACTTTTTCATACGCTATTTTCAGATATCTTGTAAGGAATTTTGAAGACACAAGGCAGTATGGGATAGACTTCAGTATTAGTGTTTGTCACAGTTCAGAAACTTGTGTTTTTGAGATGGATCTGTTCAAAAATGTAACATTCACTAAACCATTGTGCAAATTGGATTCAGATTTCTTAATACCCAGTAAGTCTTATATTCAGTAGGATAGAATTACTAAATTGTAATTAAAAGTTTTACATTAAACTTATTGAAGATAAACTGAATGATGTTCCCTTTATATATTTTGATAGAATTTCTCACACTCCATTCTTATGAAATTTTCTTTGTTAAGATATTCTGATATCCGTAATTTAGATTATATCCTTGTTTAAACTTGATAACATGTGAATAATTGATAACTTGTGGTTTTATGTAAGCGATGATTATTACATAGTGATTATGCATTTAGGAATGAGTAAACTTCTTTGCAAAGAATGAAGAAAGCCAGTATCTTTTCTCTAATTTTTCTGAATTTAACACAAAATTTATCATTTTTAATTCATCAAACTTTAAATCAGGTATTTTTGGGGGGTAGCCATTTGTTGTATGATATCTTGATGACTTAATTTATGACATGTCTTTTTTTTTGTTACAGACTTTTCATTTGAAACATGGCTTCAAGCTCAGGACATTGATGATGTTAATGATATACCAGTAGATATTCTTAATAAACTGATGAGAGAAACTGGCCTCCAGGGGTTTTTGAAAGCAGAGTCCTGTAATCGTTTAGTAGAGCCATATTATCCAGCAATAGATGGTTGGAACTCTGGTAAGTTAATTTGATGGCTTGTTTGGCAATTTCTTAGGAATTAAGATTGATCTTCATGGTTTCTTATTACAGTTTATGTACCTACATTATGACTATAATTGTTTAAATTGCATCTTATTTAACAGATATGTTAGATTTATGATTTATACACTTACTTGATCATATGATTGCAAATGGTTGTTGGTAATGTTGGTGTGTCTGAACATGCCTAAAATACTGACAAGGAAAACATCTTGGCAGTTTTAAATCACAAGTAAAAACTTGAGTGTTTGTTGCCTTATGACTTGATCAGTTTTGTTGTGTCCTAAAGCAGCATGACTACAGTTCATGCTTATTTTCATGAAAATTTAAAAAAAAGAATGTATTTAAAACTACAATTATATATGTTGTGAAGTGGACTGTCACTTATAATCCATGTTAATCACCAAAAAGAGATCAAAATACAGTTGACTCTCGGTAACTCGAAATCCAAGGGACTGGGCATTTTTCTTCGAGAGAAACGGAATTCGAGTAACGTGGAACTGCCGCCATTACGTTGACATTCGTACATGTATATACATGTGCCTGAATAAATGTGTAAATAAGTAGGTTTGTTATTGTTGTTAGTGGCGATGCTGCAATATTTAACCGTTGAAATGACGGTAAATCACTTACAACTACAAATTATAAATGAACAAAAATATATCATTTAAAATTTAATACATGTATATTAATGGTGAAACATAAACACACAATTATATTTGATTCGATTGATCATCGGACGAAAACGAAAGTAGTAACTATCGTGAACCGGAAGTACAAATTAATGTATGTAAAATGACGGAACATTAATTATACAAATGTCATTTACGTTGATAACACACATCAATGCCTAGGCTGTTATTTGACTAACACCCGTCAGACTTGCACGAGTCAACTTTCTTAAAGAAATATAATTAAATTTTAATTTAGATATCTAACTGTTGCTGAAACGGAGTAAAGCCACTTATACGACGTGTTAATAATACGTGATGACCGGCAATTAAAAATTACTATTAAACATGTAAATTACAAGTGACAACATCTCACCTTGATATCGCCGACCTTTGATCAGTCGGCTGTTTTCACACTTCGACTAATTGAGATGAAAATATGCTGGGATTTAATTGACGGGACCAAATTTTCTTTTCGACTAAACAGGAGTCTCGGTAAGTCAAAATTTGACCTAAGCGGAGTTAAAATACAAAGATAAAGAAGGAAATTTGACGGGACTTTAGAAATTCTTCGACTAACGCGGAATTTTGAGTAAAGCGATTTTACTTATTGAGAGTCAACTGTATGCAAAAATATCCCTTACTGCATTAGTCACGCAGTAGAAATAGGGTTTTGAAAAGTGTGATACTGCAAAATCAGTCAGTTACATTTATAGAAATTATTTTGTGTAATATTAAGTAGTTTACTTGTAAATCACAGCCATGCCCTTTGTAGGTTATTATCTTATTAAATCCTTTTCAGAGTGTGCTTCAGATATAGATGTGCCCACATTATCTTCACCAATATCCTGTGCTATACCAGACATTTGCACCGGATTTCAGTGCTGTGTGGACATTGCTATATTAAAACGCTCTTTTGAAGTAAAAGTTGAGCTGGATGTTTGTCAATATCAGATTGAAATCGGACTGGAGAAAATGTATATAAGTGTACCATTAAATGAGTTTAAATATGGTAGGTATTGAAGGTGCCTTTTATGTTTAACATGAAGTTAATGACACATAGCAAAACTTAAAACAGAAATAAACAGAAAAAAGAAAATTATGAAGATTTAATTTATAGATCTGTCCTCATGTTGATGCTATTACTATTACAGTTCTCTTATCCCAATCTCATTTGTCATTTAAAACAAGCAGTATATAAACATACTTGATACTTGTTATATCTTTTACCATTGAAGCTGTTGATAAAAAGATGGGGTCATTTGATTGTTAGTATGGTAAAATTGTGTTTCTGAATTTGATAAAATCTTATAAATAGCAGTAATTATGAAAGGCTATAGAAGGAAAGATATGACAAGACTATGGCGAGTTTTATAACTGATCAGTTTCTTATAAGAAGAAATCAATTTGATAATTAGTTACAATACATGTATTTGTTAGACTTGAGTTTATATTTAAAATTTTTGTGATAATTATTTAATGTTCTTTGATTTTCTAACAATATTCACATAATAAATATTTTTCTGTGTAAAATTACAGGAACAGAATACAAGGTGTACCTGTTTGGAATTTTACGTTTACAGTAAGATTTTATCATGAAAATTTTTCTTAATATCACATGCTTTGTTAATATGAAAAAGATGAAATCAAAGGTGGTACTACTCAGGTGCTAGTTTGTGCCTGAAATAATGCATGGAAGTGCACCTAAGAAAAAACTGGAAAGTCTGAAAGTCGCCATATTACCTTGACACTGCACCAAAACTGTAGACTGTCACTCTGGCATGAAATAATACACAAAGGGGCCCTTGATATCTTCTTCAACTTGGTACTTTAGTAGTATAAATAGCCTTTAAATAACTATAAATAAAACAATTATAAAAATTCTGTCATGAGAATTAGTCCTACATACTTTCTTTCTGCAGGTTTACGATAAATGAAATGGAAGATTCAGCATTTCGAATGACAGCTATTATAAGTGTATGTTTAGAGCAGTCAGAAGCTTGTCTATTTAGTGCAACAGTCCTCGATGAAACAGTTTTACCCAGTACCCAGTGTGACCATGGTACAGGTTTTCAAATACCAGGTAAGTGTAAAATTCAAAATGGCAAAATGTAGTTTAATTCAAGCAGTTTTGCATGATGGTATTATAAAATAAGTCATAGTAGTCTGTAACTAGAAAAACTAGCAGTTGTAATGACAAGTTTATGTCATTGGAGTAGTGTCAAGTCAGTCTATACTTATGTAAATTCTAACCAGACTATTATGTTTGGCTGCATGATTTTAACATTTTGAACATGACCTATTACTTTAATGTCAACCAAGAACAAGAAGCATGACATTAATTCATTAAATGAAATTAAAATTGTAACAGTTTTTGGTATTATAAATTCAATACATCATTTAACATTGATATTTTTAATTTCAGGGTTTTCATTTGACAACTGGCTGGTTCAGAATAGCTTGGATTCAGCAGTTCCACTGGCAGATACTTCTTTAACAGAACTCCTAACAACATATGGTCTGGTAGACCTCTTGTTGTTAGAGCAGTGCAGTCATGATGACAATATTTACCAACCATCAGAAAATCAGTTGAAAACTAGTGGTAATAAGTTTAAATTGATATTTTACTAACTTTTCAATCTTTTGTAATCCTTATTTAAATAAAAGAGGATATGGTCCTTTACTTGTATGTTTAAATGTCTGCATTGCCCTGGGTGCTTTGCCTTTTAGACATTTAACATTTAAAGCGAAAGTACCAGTGTAATTCATTGTTATTTCCAAATAATTGAAGTCATCAACAATTTCCAACCGTTCATCATTATAAGCGAAATGTTCATTTCTTTTTACTGGCCCTCGTTTCCTAAAAACAACAACTTTGGTTTAAAGAATTCAGTCTCGAATGTAAATCTTCTACAGACTTGCCACTATGTTTGCCACAAATTGTTCATATGCCTTGAAATATTTTAATTCCAGGTTGTCCTAACTTACTATCAAGCATTTCTCCAACTATTCCTAGCTGGGCTAACTGTGTATTGCTAGATTCTTGTCTAGGAATAAAATGTTGTTCTGAAACTCCAAGTTTGGATAGGTCATTCGAGTTCTACTTTGACATTGACATCTGCAGATATATGATAACATTCAAGATAGAAAACTACATATCATCTTTCTTACTTACTGAAAATGAACTTAGTGAATGGAAAACAGTAGAGTTACAAGGAGTTCTACAAATAAAGTAAGAAGTACAAATTAATAATTTGATTTAAGTAATAAACTTGAGAAATATGTAAAGAACCACATAGATCTATTTGATTTCTTACAGGATGGATTTGTATAGCTTCAAATACATACAGAAAATTTAGTGTCCTTATTTATTTTAAGGGAGTTTATCAAAATCCTATAACTGGGAAGACAAAAAGCCAGAAAGAGCTTGGTCAGATTGCAGGTGCCTCATTGTATATAGTTTTTATTGTAAATTTTTGTTGTCAAATTTATCATTTATATATTACTCATGTATATAGGTACAGAATATTTGACATTGTTGGAGAGGCAGAGGTAGTGATGGACTTGCAGATAAAGATATGTCTATCTGATACAGTAAAGTGTGAGACAGATTTCATAGTGATGGACAAACAGAGAATACAGAGGCCCCTCTGCCAGGGACATCTTGGGTTTAATGATCCTGGTAAGGGTGTAAGAAAATGTAACACTATACTAAATGGCCTTTAATCACCATAGAAAATATTCTAGTCTTGGCAAAATGTAAACCTGTAATTATTATGAAGAGACATCATTTTGATTTTATTCCATGTGAATACACAGATTTTAAAATTTTCAACTTTATTATTTCAGTATTGCACTTTAATGCAGATTTCTTAAGTCAACATGACTTTTTACTGTCTAATTCTTTTTGTGAGAACTATTTCCTACTGTGGTAAAATTTTTTACAGATGTTGTAATGGTGTGGTAGATCAAATTTATTGACATGTTTCTAATTATTTTTCAAGACTTTAGTTTCTCCACTTGGCTATCTGACAATGGCCTAAACAGTGATGCAACAAGCCTATCACAGAGTCAAGCACATAGCTATTTTGAAAGTCAAGGTGTTGTGAAATACTTACAGACAGACTCCTGCCAGGTGCAGTCAACCTTCCTGACAAATGGTTTGTAATATACATGTGCATTCCAGTTGTAAATAACGGTTTTAGTCAAATGATTAACTAGATAAATGAAAAAAATAATTATGGTTAATATGTATATTATAGATTCTCTGGGACTGACTTTTCTAAATCTTAAAATTATTATATGATTATTTAAGCTTTGCATGTGTTTGGATAGATACCTTTATTGTTAAATATAATTATGATAAAAAGAAGTAAATTGTGTGGATACTGTAAAAAAAATAAGTAGAAAATAAATACATGTATTGTTCTTACCCTCCTTTAATACTGATAATCAAACTATTTATTTACTTAATGTTTTTAGTAATCAATATATTTTTGTATTTTCTGATCGCAAGATCAGTAAATACAAAGCTAACATCCACGGTCTAACACAAAATTTCCTTACAGACCTAACAACGCAAAGTAGTTCTCACTCAAAACTGCTTAAAAACCAGCAATTTAAAAGAAAGAATAATTTTCAATGTAGGCATTTAACGAATTACAGTGCATTAAAAGTTTAGATTAGTCAATAGAAATATGAGGTTACAATCACAAATTTCGCGGATGAATATCTTTTTTTACCCAATGAAAAATGTTCGGCGATTTCCCTAAAGCTTAATCAATGAAAATGCTATTTTTAGCTATGTCGATTACCGAATACTCCAGAGCGTAGTACACAAATAAATCTGACTGTCGAGAAGTGGAATATATCCATGCCGGACTGTTTCTGCGAGAAGATTTTCGCTAAATTATTTTCATCAGTGTTAAACAACAGGTTTATTGTGAACAAAATACCTCGAAATTGATAAGGATTACAAGCACGAAATGGAAATTCTCAATTTAGAATTACAATTTATTTGTTTTTATTCAAGCTACATATGTATTACTTCACCGTGGTGCAGAGGTAGTGCGCTCGTTTAGGGTGTGAGAGGCATAATGTTCAAATCCTAGTCGAGGCAACTTTTTTTTTGAAGTGTCTTTTTTAAGGAAGTAGCCACGATATGCAAGGATAAAGTGTGGCTGTCATAAAAAATGAAAAATGATTTTTTGATGCAACTCTAGTCATGCAAAATTCCATATGTATCAATCTCAAACTGTTATAGAAAAAAATCTAAACGCAGTCGCTGCGTAAGATGAATTATAGTATATAAAAATAAACTTATACAGGAAAATACATACAGATAGTCAGTATGATTTAGATTGCAAAGATCAGAAAATACCACAGAGCTTGCAGCCCTTTGATTTTATGATGTAAATTTTGTTCCATGGAATTTTACGTTTAAAGAAAGCTTATATTTAAAATAGTTGTACTTAATACTTTTCATTTTTTTTATTATTTCGTTTAGACTGTACTGATGAAGCACCAAATCCTATTTTACCAGAAGGGGTTTCATGTGAAGTTGACTCAGAATGCCGTTCATTAGCAGTCTGTGTAGAGTCTGAAATGTTCACGAGAAATTTTCAAATAAATTTCAACTTTGATGCATGTGAAATGCAACTTACTATCAGCATTGAGAAATTTTCTCGGAAATATTCACTGACCAACTTCATGTTTGAAGAAGAGCACCAATTTGATATGTTTGGTGTACTGAAAATAAGGTAACAACACAAATAAAGTATTCTGAAACTTCTTCTTTTATTCTTATTCAAGATTAAAAAAAACTTCTCAAAAATCACAGTTATTTTCTTTTTATAGAAATTATTGTTTTTAATAATTTTGATTAATATGTTAAACATAAAGAAGCAGTGCATTATTTAATTAAAAATGAACTATTAGCATCAGTAAAGATGTGTTGTTAAACTAAAGAAGTTGGAAATTTTATGCTATATTTTAGCAAATGTATAGCATTTTCAATACTTTTAAGAAAAGGAATTCTATGAAACTGTATGTGAAACATTAGATAAATAAGGATTGTTTTATTTTTATTTGCAGCTTCATCTTGACAAGAATGTTGGGATCTTCCATGTTTGCTCTGAACTTAGACTACAGCCTTTGTTATGATGAATCAACCTGCACAACAAATAAAAATATTCTAGATCATTACATGTTTCTCATGCATGTTTGTAATTACAATACTGGTGAGTTAAGTTCATTTAACTCATGAAAGTTTTTCCAGATTTGTATGGGAGGCAATATGGTCTATTCATTTTGGAAACTGAAATATAAATCAAATCAAATCTTTTTTTCTCTGAAGCGAAATTTTCTTTTGAGTTTGATCAATTTATCTACAGTCATACACAAGATACTTATTTAACCAATATTAGAATGACAAAGTGACTACAAAATTTAATATCTCTTAAAATTTCAGTAATAAGTTTTAACTTTTGTAAAGAAAGAAAACTATAATTTTCCAGGGTTTGACTTGGAACGTTTTGTTGAATCAATGGGTACTGATATTGACAGTACATTGGATACGGAATATATTCCAATGTTTCTCCATCAATCAAAACTCTCAAGCTTCCTCAATGAGGTACAATGTGATCGGTTTGATGACCTGTTCCAAGCTCGCCAGTGGACTAGTGGTAAATATATTACTTTAACAGATACAAGTGCATAATTTCCCTATTATTATATATATATACAGAATATATAAGCATATTAAAGCAATGCATTATTGGTTTAAAAAATATAACTCATCATAGATGTTTCTCATTGCACTTTTTATCTATTGGTACCCACCTTTGACCCGACCCCTCTTTGTTGAGTTTCAGGTCAATTGGGTCAAGGCCACTGAACCTATAAATAGAAATATTTAGCCTATGAAAGTACAGGGTTTAAAGGTTGATCTGGTGTTTAAAGAAATCAACGGCAAACGTTACTTTTGATCTTTAGAAAGACTGTGTGTAATTGTCAATTTACTTAAAATCCATGAATATTGCATACATTATGGAAATTGTGAACAAAACAGTTGTTTTGAATAGTACTTTAAATTTTGTGTCAGGTGTTTAAAAATAAAGAGCAAGCAGTATATAGTATACCATTCTTATCAACTCAAACCTTGTTCTTAATGATGTATAGATCTGTTTTGCAAGAATTTATTATTTCAGAGTGTTCAGTTCTTGAACCTGTTGGAGAACTTCCAAATAGTGTTTCATGTCACATCAATAATGACTGCAATGAATTGAAGTGTTGTATGGATGCATACTTTATCCAAAGAACTATTTCATTTGAATTGAGAATCGACTCTTGCTTCATGACTCTGCATATTGGAATTGAGAACTTTAATCATACCATTCCACTATTGGAAGAGACCTTTGGAATCCAGCAAACAGTTACGCTTGCTGGCATCGCCACAGTGAGGTTTGTATATTTGTTATGTTATGAAAGAGGAAACATAGTATTTGTGTAGACTTTCATAAGTAACATGGACATTTTTAGTGTGATATTACATTTTTACCAGCCTTATACATAGTTTGAAGAGGAGGACCTCAAGTACCCTTTTATTTGTGAATTAATTTATGCACACAATGACAACTCAGAGGCAAAACTACCTTAAAAAATGGCTTCCTCACATAAAATAATTCATTTTACTTGGCAAAATTCCTTGGTCAGGTATGGTAGGTGTATCAAAGTCTGTCATCTTAGCCACTTACATGTAGTATCTGAGCTCCTTCACCTCTTTCCATAATAAAGAATTGATTAAAAACAGAAATGTAAACTGCCGCTGCTATTTTTGCGACGGACGCGCCCTCAGGCGCGTTCAGAGCTAAGTCATCTACACATGGGATTTCGTTGGCTACACTCGCGCAATGTGTCCTAAACCGATTAACATCCCAAGAAATAGTACATGAATTTGATCCTTCAAAACTCCCATACTTTGTCTGGATATCTTAATGTCTTCCATATTTAGCCTTTTCAATTTCAAATTAAGTTATCAAAGTTAAAATATGAACGTATATTATTGATAATAACGTTGTAGTCCCGTAGTATTATTGCGCAATATGCAAATTACTGCTGAAACGATTTACCGCTGTCGAAAAAGTAGGACAGCAAATTATACTACAATAAAGGTGTAACCTCTGAGTTCCAAGACATTATTAGTAGGAAATAAATATTTCTACATTATACAAAACATTATTATTAACAAATCAAAAGTTTTTCGTGACTCTAGGATAACTCACGCATTAATAAAAGAAGAACTATTTTCGTGACTCATACCGCGGGTTTAGCTGAATATTCAGCAGTTATTAATATATTAGATTCAGTACAATAGTTAGTATAAATATCTATTTTTGAAAATGCATGTAAGAAGAGAGTTTTTCAACACTTTACCGCCATGTAGTCTTTCATGGTAAGGAAGTTATAATATCAGTTCTACCTCCGATTCTTGTGGTTTGTTTACATATTTTTCTAGGTTATGATATGAATTAACCTTCGCTATTCTAAAAATAGATTCTGCTTCACCTGTACTGATTTTTGGACAGGCGATTAGGGAGTACACATTATACATGTAATTAATAAACCAGCGGATTACATGCAATACTTTTAGAAATTCTATACAATTGTAAGAAGCAAACAAGTTGAAAATGGAATTTAGTGTGAAATTGAAAAGGACAACTAAACACTGTAGTGCTTAAGTGACATTTAAATTAAAATAAAAACGATGTGCTCTGGCCTCTACATCTTTACCTTGTAAATAAAAAAAATCTAAAAAATACACTATTAATTGCTGATGATTTTAACCAAATTTTTTTTAATGAGACATATGATTATCCAAGAGAAATAAAAATACAAATGACTTATATTTTATTGTCTATATGCCCACTATGATATAACACGAAGCAATTCTAAATAGCATTCTCAAATGTATAATGTAATATGTTTGAAGTTTATTTGCCTGGATTTATTTTAGAAATATTTCGTTGACAGTTCTTTTTATACGCCCGTTTGAAAAACGGGACGTATTATGGGAACGCCCCTGGCGGGCGGGCGGGCGGCGTCCAATTTTGTCCGGAGCATATCTCCTACATGTATGGAGGGATTTTAATGAAACTTCATATAAATGTTCACCACTATGAGGAGCAGTGTCGCGCACATGAACCAGGTCTCTAGGTCAAAGGTCAAGGTCACACTTAGAGCTCATTGAAAAATGCTTGTCCGGAGCAAAACTTCCACATGTATAGAGGGATTTCAATATTACTTGGCACAAATGTTCACCATTGTGAGGCGGAGTGTCGCGTGCAAGATTCAGGTCCTTGCGGCCAAGGTCAAGGTCACACTTAGAGGTCAAAGTTCAGATAAAAAATATGAAGATGTGTATATGGACCATTTAGTCATCATTTATGAGGGATTGTAACACAAATGGTCATTATCAAGACTATGGCTGTGATACATATAATTTAGGTCAATATATATACAAGGTCAAGGTCACTAAAGATGATGAAATATCCAGATTTTGTAAATAGAATTTAATCAAAGGGAGACAACAAAGTTATTACTTTGTTCATAAATGACTTACACAATTACTCCCCTTGATCTACTTTCACTTTCAATTCTAAAAATAGAATTTAATCAAAGGGCATGAAATAATCCTCTTTCTTGGACTTGAGTATGTTCTAAAGAATGTAACATTTATTTACACATGTTTCATTCATTGGTCAAGATTCTTAACTGTGATAACTATGGTGTTCTGTAGACTTGGTATTTGTTCATAAAGATCATACAGTAATTACCTTATCAAATGTAAATACTTTCTCATAGAAATTTAATTATATTTTAATTAAAAATAGAATTTAATCAAAAGGCATGAAATAATCCTCTTTCTTGGACTTGAGTATGTTGTAAAGAATGTAACATTTATTTACACATGTTTCATTCATTGGTCAAGATACTTAACTGTGATAACTATGGTGTTCTGTAGACTTGGTATTTGTTCATAAAGATCATACAGTAATTACCTTATCAAATGTAAATACTTTCTCATAGAAATTTAATTATATTTTAATTTTCAAGTAAATATCAGTTCAGCTCATTCAAAGATTAAGAATTGTAATGAAATGTATTTCCCTAGAATAAAATCTTAAATCAGAATTTTTTAGTTATTAAATTACATGTACTTTTTATACGCCCGTTTAAAAAAAGATAAAAATATGAAGATGTGTATAGGGACGATTTAATCATCATTTATTGAGGGATTGTAACACAAATGGTCATTATAATGACTACGGCTGTGACACATGTACTTTAGGTCAATATATGCAAGATCAAGGTCACTAAAGATGGTGAAATATCCAGATTTTGTCTGGAGCATATCTCCTACATGTATGGAAGAATTTTTATAATACTTTATGGAAATGCTCACCACCATGATATGTATTGCTCCATGCATGATCCAGGTCTCCAGGTCAAAGGTCAAGGTCACACTTAGAGCTCATTGAAAAACGCTTGTCCGGAGCAAAACTTCTACATTCATAGGGGGTTTTCAATATAACTTGGCACAAATGTTTTTCATTGTGAGGCTGAGTGTCGCATGCAAAATTCAGATCCCTGTGACCAAAGTCAAGGTTACACATAGAGGTCAAAGTTCAGATAAAAATTTGAAGATGGTTATAGGGACCATTTAGTCATCATTTATTGATGGATTGTAGCACAAATGGTAACTATCATGACTACAGGTGTAACACATTTAATTTAGGTTAATATTTGCAAGGTCAAGGTCACTGGAGATGATTAAATATCCAGATGTTGTCCGGAGCATATTTTCTACATGCATGGAGGAATTTTAATGTTACTTTTATAGAATTGTTCACCACCATGAGACGTAGTGCCCTGCACATAAATCAAGTCTCTAGGTCAAAGGTGAAGGTCACAGTTAGAGCTCATAGAAAAACACTTGTCTGGAGCAAAACTTCTACATGCATAGAGGGATTTCAATATAATTTGGCACAAATGTTCATCATTGTGAGGCTGAGTGCCGTGCATAGAATTCAGGTCCCTGCGACCAAGGTCAAGGTCACACATTCAGTGCATATCTTCCCTACTGATTTGTTTTAAGGTTCATTTAACAACACAGTGCCAAGAATAAAAACTTGCTTGCTAGATAACACTTATCCATAATGCCCCCATCTCCATCTAAAGCTTTTTCGTAAACGGGCGTATTTTGTGACTATGGCACCCTTGTTTCTATTTACATATCATTTCTTAAAATAAATCGATAAGGACACTGATTTACAAGTTTGACCAGAGTTTTTAGGCATGAATTTCATTCTGTATTTAAGTGCTTGAAAGTAGAAAATCTGAATTATATCAGTTTGGGACACAAAATATATTGCTTTACAAATCTCGAACTTGTATGGAACAAATTTTCTCTGTTATATATTTTGTGTTTTGTTTTTGTTTAAAAGAAGCCTTAATGTCTCTCCGGTTGCATGTCCGTCGCATTCAGTGCTGCAGCACTTTGATTTTTTTATAGTTCTTTATCCACTTTTTCTGTAAATAGTCAATTTACCAGACTGGCATATTTTTTTGTATGTTGCTATCTTGCAAAGTCTTTTATTAATCATACATTACTCTTACATATTTGCATGTACTTCATTAGCAGATGCATAAGATTTGATATAAATATTGGCAGATAATTTGGAATAACTACATTTGTATATGAATTATTTTGAAATGTGTAAAAATAATGAAAATATTTATAGCAATACTATTATTGTTTTCAGAACAACATTTGAGTTCATTTCGAGACGAAATGTATTGGTACTATCACTAGAGTTATCTCTTTGTTTTGATGAAACGAATTGTGCAATAGATGCATTTATCTTTGAGGACACTGAACTTTTATTACCAACATGTGATTTTGATAAACAGTTCTTAGTACCAGGTAATTACCAGTTGTTAAATGGTCCATTTAAATGTTTAAGGATAGTTTAAGGATTGGTTTGTTTCATTCCATATTTCTTTCAAACGAAAAAAATAAACATCCTTTTTATTTAAATTTACCATCAAGAAAAAAACAATAAAAGTTATTCTGACAATCCTAGCTACTTGTGCAGCGCACAATAATACATAACTTTTTATCAGTGAATACATGGTTCAATACTCGATCATTTTACGCTGTGTGAAGAAAAACATAACATACTTATTGCTTTAATTTGTAATAATGAAATTAATTTCTGAAATTGACTGTCAGAGAAAAAGCGTCTGAAAGTAGTCCCTAAAAATAAATATGAATTTTGACTCTTTCATATTTATTTTTCATATTTGTTAAAAATAAATATGAAGTATATTTGACTGATATAGCACCATTATTCCATGTTACATTGATAAAATTAAATAAATAAATACATGTATATTCAATGATGCGGTAAATTTAAGTGATATTTTTCTTTCATTGAAGACTTCAGTCTTATGGAATGGAAAGAAGAGCACCAATTAGAAGCTGATGAAAGACCATCGACATATTTATCAGCCTTGCTATTGGAAGAACTTGGTATTGCAGGACACCTTGTAACAGAGTGTCAAATAGATTCAGTGCCAAATCAAATCCTTAATAATGGTGTGTGACATTACTGATGAATTCAAACTTTTACTTTTAACATATGGGAACTTTAAGAAGTGTATCGGCATTTATTGTGCCATTGATTGATATATATATTTTAGTAACTTAAAGGTATTTTCTAATTCTTATTTTGAATGAATTTTGATGTTTGCGATTTAATATTTTTCTTGAAATTTGCTTGACACCACACTTAAAATGTTCATAACAAATGTAATTTCACAGGTTTTATGTACTTTGCAAGAAACCAAGTTTGAAAATATATTGTTTCAATTTACAGAATGTTTGGACACTGTACCAGCTTGGTTTGACGAGAATGAGGATATCCATTGTTACTTTATTGATACCTGCACTCATATACAGTGTTGCTTAGACACTACATCAACTCTGGGAAGAACGTTTACTATTGAATTAGATATCAGACCTTGTGACTTTGAAATAATAATGGCAATTGAGGAATTTAGCAGAAAAACATCATTGGTAGAGTTTGAATGGGGGAAACCTTATGTTATATCTTTGTTTGGATTGATATCACTGAGGTAGGATTTCTTGTTATCATATTGACGTTTTTTTTATGCCTATGATATTTATTTGTTTATAATTTTATTGAGCAATAAAATCACTGTTTGGGATATATTATTCCTTAAATAACATGTTGTCAAGTTAGTTACTGTAAGGTATTTTTTTTTATTTTATATCAGGTACAACATATATGACATTGATGATGAAGGTGTATATATAGTGGACATGCAACTCCTGTTATGTACGGACACAAATGAACAATGTGTTATTGATAAACATATTTTGAACAACCATCGCCAACCTAAAGGAACATGCGATTGGTCCATAACTGCTCAAATAAATGGTAATACTAGTTTGTTTATAGACTTTTTGTTTTATATGGAAAATAAGCAGTTGGTACATGATTTCAGCATGCCAGAATATGTCCCTTTTTGTAGCTTTAAGAATGATCTCAATGCATATTATATAGTTTGTTTGCTGTTTTTCATCATAGAATCTTAAGTAGGTTATTTCTCTTTAGTGCCTTTTTCAGACTTTGTTGTAATATACCAAAATGCGTCGATATTCATTTAAAAAACTTATTTCTAAACATAAACTACTACCTGTTAGCACATTTAACTTTAAAAAAAACAACAAAAACAAATGTCACTTACATATTTGATTTGGTTACAGAAGCTTTCAGTATTGAGACCTGGATGGAGTCAAAAGAACAGACCCTGTTTTCGTTTACACATCAAGGAAAGGAGCTGTTAATGGAAGCTCTTGGCTTAAACAAGTTTCTTTTAGAGTCTTCATGCCAAACCAGTGACTCTATTTATGACAATGGTGTGAATGATGGTTTGTATAGCTTTTGGTTTTGTCTTTAATAAAGTCATGATTTCAAAAGATTTTAAAATGAACATTTATTTTTAAAGTCCAAAGCATACAGTTTTGATGCCAGTTATATTGTGACTGCTTTTAGATTTTAAGACTATTTTAGTAAGGTACATTGTGTATGTTTAAAAAAACAAGTATAACTTGTGCAGAGATGCATCTGCAACACACACCAGGAGAAAAATCACACATTTCAACTGACAAGATTGAAGAATTAATCTACTATAATAAAAAATAATCATGCATGGCTTAGTCAGGAAAGTTATTGATGTCTTTTAAATTTGTTGTTGACTAACAACTTCTGGCAAGACTATTAGAATTAACTTATCCATCTAGACTATGCTAGATAACCCATACTTAGGCAAGTTGTTGTGACAAGACACCTGTTTTACAAAACACCCTGGAACAAAACAGCTCAAGATTTCTCAGTTAAGAGCCAAGCCCTTTTACCACTATGCAAGTACTTGATATTTTCAAGCATGTATATTTTAGCTCAGACTTTGATGACAATTTATTTTGAATTGTATCGTTAATTGATAGAACATTTCATTTAACATTTCAGCTTGTGACACTAGCACTGATATATTCAATGCCCTCCCATCAAACATCAAGTGCAGGATGTATTCTGAATGTATGATAACAGAATGCTGCTTGGGAGTTGATGAAATAGGGCAATCATTTAAAGTGAAATTGAACTTTGACCCTTGCAACTACAGGCTCACCTTGGAGATTGAAAATTTTAAACATGAAATTCCATTATTTGACTTCGAGTTTGGACAGGAGCATAGTTTATCATTGTATGGCATGATAAAAATATGGTAGGTTGCTGATTAAATCAGTGATCAACTTAATGAATGTACATACAGATTTTAATTCATATCTTCTGGTATTTTTTTACTTTCTTTCAAACATAACTAATGATATTGCTTTTATACACAATTCTGGACAGATGAGGGTGGTAAACTTTTTAAATTGATCAATAAACAATCCTCTTTAAAGTTAATTAGTTATAAAGTTTTGTTGTCGAGGTTTTTGATTTTTGTTTATTCTATAATTATGTTCATGTATGTACTAAATAACTTGCTTTGTTGTGGACTTAAATGTATATTGAAAGTAGCATAAATCTTGTCAAACTTCAGAACAGGTGACATATGTAAATCAAACTTGCACAGGCCAATCATTTTATCACATTTCTTTCAAGGTACCAGATTGATGATCTTGAGGTGGAGAATAAGTTCAGACTTGGTTTGAGTATTGAAGTATGCCTAGATATGACGACATGTCCATACAAGGTCTTGGTGCTGGACCAAGTAACTGTTCAGAAGTTGGAATGTTCAAAGGCTGTTCAACAAGTATTTTCTATCAAAGGTATGAAAGTATCAACTTGATATATCAGCATATCATGTTCTACATGTATATAAAATCATTGCATAAATATATATATTATGCTTACATTTGATATTTGAAAATACTGACAGTTGCTACACAATCTCCTTTGAAATGTAAAAATAATAACTTTTGAGTGCACATATAGAAGATATGTTACATTTTAAACTCTACATACTGTTGGTTAACACAGTATTATTACATAGTGTCATTAAAAAAACTGTTAAAAGAAAAGACAAAATCAACTTGACTTGTAATAGGAAATTTAGCTTCCTAAAGATATTTTGTGCATTTTCATATTTAAAGTAAACACATTCAGCAAGAATTTCATAGATTTATATAAATTTCTGCAATAAAAAAAGTATTTTGGTCAAAGGTGAGCATGGTATATCTATAGGCAAAATAAGTTCATCTATACACTAAATATGATTTACTCTTGGCTTCAAATATCTTCTTCAGAGATAATTTAATCAAAAATTACAATATTCCTAAAAATCAAGCTTTCTGAAATAATGTGATTATCATTTCAAACTTGCTTTTCTATCTTACAGACTTCTCAATAGTGACTTGGTTACATGAATTTGGTTTAGATGAAACTGTTACCACTATACCAGACTACATGGAGTCTATTCTTCTGAATGACCTTGACATTTTCCCTTATTTTGAATCGACAACATGCACTATTGGAGAATCACCATTTTATAACTCTGGATGGAATTATGGTAAGAGGCTTATAAAAAACTTAAAAGTTTAAAAGTGTTAAACAAAACCTTATGTTGCCAAAATGTTTTTATAAAAGCAAATTTTGGGCAAAAAATGCATGTAAATGGTAATGTCTCTTGACATTTTACAAATTTTTATTGTTATTATTGTGGCATGCTTGTTTAATTAGTTTCTAAAAATAAAAAACATACTCACAGTATATAAACAAGTCTACTTCCTTTTATTGCAAGGAAGATTAAAATTAAAATATAAAGGCTCCTGAGACAGGTACAGTGATCAGAATTCACATGTGTTGGTAATTGCAAGACAGGGTACACATTGAATTGTATCATACATGCCATATTTCCAGCCACCCAGATAGGGGGATTTGGCTTTAAAAAGCAGGGGAATTTGGACCAAAAGTAGGGGGATTTTTAAGCAAGCACAAACCAGTCATAATCTTAAAACGATGCAAACATTTAATAAAATTTCCCCCATTTTATTATGAAAATGAACATTTCTACAAGATCATTTGATATTTTCAAGTTTTAACATACATGACTGTGAAAGAATAATATGTAAACAATTGCAAATAAACATAGGTACTTAAAATATTTGATGTAAATAAAATAAGAATCCCTGTAAAACAAATATAATTAATTGCATGTTCATCATATAAAATACATTTTTATATCAGATATATATTGAATCATTTTAGTACAAATAACTTGAATTTGATGCATTCAAAATCATTAAAATAAATATACTTTTAACAGCCAACGTTTTTTCTCTTTAAATGAAAGGTAAAGATTTTTCTCTTTAAATGAAAGGTATCAACATTTTCACGGAGAATTTTTGTAGCCATAGAAAGGTGAAATAAAAAAATGTTGTCTTAAAATTTTTCCGTTGACACTTCATAAACAGTAAATTAAAAAAAAATCTGACACAAATCTTAATCCAGTTTACTCAGGTCATCCCTCAATTTGTTAACACACATCGATTGCCTTATATGGCAGTAGGGAGTCTAGACACTACGTCACTTGATACCTGTATGTACATGTAAATTGTGTAATTGATGCAGAGTTGTGTAAAGGTTTTTTGGAGTGTACTGACTACTGGATAATAATTGGACCTAATTATTTTGGCCCTTTGGGTGTTAAAACCGGTATTATTTATTATTTATCTGATTAAAACAGATTTTTACCTCTTTCAATCCCTCCTCAGTGTTTGTTGCTTACTGTGAGACAAAGCTAGTTTATATTATTTTTGCAACAACATAGATCACAGTTACATAAAAAATAATAGTTTCAAACATTGCTAATCTGTGATTTTTTGAGATTCTATTGCCTGATCATTATTTTTTTATCTGCACTTATCAACTTCAAAGACCCAATGCAATGGCGACAACAAACTCAAGCCCAACAAAAATTGATACGTCACACATTCAGTATCGGACGCTGTCATTGGTTAAGCACCTGCAATACTGACACTGATTGACAGGTTTATCAAAGGAGAATTTGTTATTCCTTGACAGCTGAAGTGTGTCGGAGTAACTAACAATACAATTATCCGTTAGACCCCTGCTGTTTAATGGGGAAATATTACTTCAGGCATATATAGTTGTAAAAGTTGTTTAAGTCTATTGTTTAATTATGTTTATTGGTAAAAATGATGCTTTAATTTTTTTGTTGGTTGAATTTTTGAAAATCGGGGGATTTCGATCCCACGGCGGGAGATCGGGAGACATGGTCGAAAATCGGGGGTTTTTGTCCCCCGGCGGGGGATATGGCATGTATGTTGTATAGGCTCGCAAGACAGGAGGGTACAGTGGTTTCGTATATCTACTGTGATATTGACACTTAGAAGGCTTGGCAACTTTATATAGTGTATGGTCTGTAGTAGGGTCCCAACCAGTGTTTGAAATACTTCACTGAGGGTTGGTCTTTGTTCTCGTCTCCTAAAAGTTGATAGTTTACATTACCTTCAAAGTCCTTAAAAAAGTAAGAAGAAATACTGGTCAAGGAAAATCAGTGAGTTTCTCCATAAATTTGTCACAGATGGGTCTTCTAATTTTTAAATCTTCTATTGAGTTCTTCTGCTGCCAAGAAGTATTGTTTTTATACTGGTCATTTTTTGGCATAATTTTTATTTTCTGTACAATACTATATTACAGAGAGTTGTGAGCTGGACACTTATCTACCAACTGATTTGAGTAACATTGCATGTGCTTTATCCTCAACATGTACTGCTATAACATGTTGCCTCCCTGTTCAATACCTGGATAGAAATATATACATTGTGGCTGATGTTAACCCTTGTACACAAGTAATGACCTTGGGTATAGAGAAACTACAGTTTTCAACAAGTTTAATAGACTATACATTTGGACAAAAGGAACAGATTTGGCTTGGAGGAGTTTTCAGACTTGAGTATATAAGTTTTTCGATTATATTTAAATCAATTTTGACATGCACATATTTCTTTCTATAAGTTTAGAACTTGCTATGTTATATTTAGGATAAGCTTAATTTATGTCATTATATAATTCATGGGAACTTTAAAATTATAATTATACCACTCCATATAATATGCTTTCAAAGCGCATACAAGCTGTCTATTTGACCCAGTGCTTGTGTTGCTGACAGCAAGAAACTAACCCTTACCATATATGTGATTATTTTGTCTGACTAGTTATGAAATGTAGGTGGTTCTGTCCACTCTTTTCTTAAAATGCATTGACTCACACCTAGGACCCTTCTCTAGAGTAGCTTAAAAGTATTATGTTTTATATCATAAAAGAATAGTATAAAACTCCCCTTTCACCAAAAAATACATTAATTTAAAATCTCAAGCTTTACAATATTTTAAAATTTTGCTTTGTTCTTGTTTAAGGTATACCATATATGATCTAACAAGCTATAATCAATATATCGTTACCATGGAAATACATGTATGCTGGGAAAAACATGCAAGCTGTGAAAGTTATTCACTTTTGGAGAACCACAAATTGCCTAAGCATGTATGCAGTCTGAAAAGTGATTTTATCATACAAGGTAATGCTACAATTTATCAAAGTCTTTTTGTTTAACCCATTACTTCATGAGCATTTTGTGAAAAATGGCTGTTTTCATCGAAAAGTCTCCCGTTACAAGTTCAAATTGCTATAATACTATAAAAACTGCTTCAACACTAATCAAACTTGGCACAAATGTTGACTGGACCATTGTCCTTGCAACAACATGCTCAGGCTTAAATTTTCTGTTACCATGGCAACGAGGGGACATCTCAAAATTGCCAAAAATCACTATTTTGCGTTGATTTTTTCCATCAAAATTTATTTCAAAGTGCTGCAACTTCTCAATGGATTGAGATAGAGTCAAATGCTTTTCAGCGTTGGTTACACGTTACCTTATGATCAATCTGGGGTCATTTACAGCCTCTCACAAGTCCAAAATTTTCTTGGCGATGAGGGGGACTCCGCCCCCTTCAAACCCCCCCAAACAGAAGTGGGCACATCCCCTTCTGGCAACCCCCTGATGTATCTTTTGGTTGGGGGGCCGCGCCGAAAAAAGGGTCACTTTTTTTAACAACATTTCTCAAACAAAAACAAATGTTTGGGGCCTAAATAAGGCATTTTTTCATCATTTGAGACAACAAAAGGGGGGGGGGGGGGAAAAAGGCGTTAAAAGGCGTGTATATGAAGTAATGGGTTAAAGTGTTGCAGCAGTTCATTTTTAGGTCATTTTGCACAATAAAAATGATTTTTCTTGAAAAACTGAGTGAGCAAAATCATTTATAATTTTACACACAAGTTATTGCAAAAGATTTTCAGTTCCATCATGTCAAAAAAGTCTTAGTGAAGTCTCTTTAATAATTATTATTCATAAACAAATTGTCATAAAATTTGATTACAAATAGAAAATTGCACTTTTATAATTCAGTTTGATCTCTTTTTGTATGTAATTTTCAAAAATGTGTAAATTTAAAAAAAGATTCACCTTTATTTATCAAAATGTAAATGTATGAAGAATATACATATAAATATTTTTGTTTATTATTTAAATAGATTTCTCAGTTACAAATTGGCTTCAAAATTACAACCTTGTCCGAGGTGACACACTTGATACAGACATTAGAAATAAATTACTAGCTGAGTTGGGACTAAAAGATTTCTTACTAGAAGAGCAGTGTAACTATGCAACCCTATCGGATGAAGTTGGGCAAAATGGTTGGATAAATGGTATTCATTTGAAGTTCTGTTGCATTTCTTGCCGCTTTACAAGCATGCTGCAAAGCTGAAATTTCCAGTTCTGTTTTAAAAGTTTGGAATATTTATGTCAGAGAAAAATACAGAAGTTAGCAATTTTTATGTGAACATGTACAATATTTTAGTTTACTGAATTTAATGCTTTGTTATTGTACACAAAAAGACATACAGTAAAAACTCGCTAATGAGACCAATGAAGGGACTTTACAAATCTGGTCTTAATAGCGGGTTGGTCTCATTAATGAGTTTGGTCAAACAGAAAACCAGGCATACCATGTACTGTAAACATGTTTAATTCTGGGCTGACCTATTTCAATTGAGAAGATATAAAGCATACACTATTATTTTTTTATTTTCATTTATTTTCTTTTACTTTTTAACATTGTAAATGTTTAAACTTCTTTAGAGGTACAAAATGTATTATGATTGTCTTTAAACACAAACATATTTTTACATTCTTGTTAAAAGAATGACATGACTTACTCAATTAAATCACCATTTTACTACAAAGCACACCGAACAATTAACCTTTAATTATTTTCACAGTTTGCATCGCCGATAACAACTTCAAAAACCTAATCGTATCATGTTTATGTTTGTTTAAAATTATGGAACGAAAGAGATAATGATAGCAGCAACACCTCTAAAAAACTTATTGAAAGTTTTCTGTTCAATATTTTGTTGTTTTAATCCTCCAGTTATGACATTAAAGGTGTGAAATTAAAAAAGTATCGACCATATTATTGATCATTTCCTCATTATTGACCTCTGCCGTAAATTGGATGTCGTTAAATATCGTAAAACTAGGACAACTGTTGTTTACACTACGTGTCAAAAAGATTTCAGCAATATACATGCATGTCAATATCAAGGTGAGAAAGTGCCCGCGGTCGTATTTATGGGTTTCCAAATGTACAGAATTTAGGAAATGGGACTGAATTTACTGGTCGTATTACGGAATAACGGGGTGGTTTCGAATTGGGGTAAGCGACCATTAAAATAAAGAATAAAAAGATCGGGTCTTTAAAAAATCGTTTGTATTAGCAGGTTGGTCTCGAAAACAGGGTGGTCGTAAAGCGGGTTTTTACTGTATATGAAAAGTGAAATTAGAAAAGTACAAGAACAAGAATTTAGATACATTCATGATCAAAATATAAACATTTCTGAAACACTTTTTTGACACTGTTTTAAAAGCAAAAAAAGATCACTTCTAGGTTCATTCCTTAATGTTGCATTGTTTGTCTATTGTTTGTCTATTGTCTCCTTTCAGAATGCCCAAGCACAGTAGAAAATTTACCAATGGTTTCAGATGGCATTGTGTGTACACTGTATGATAGCTGTACCTCTTTATCATGCTGCATGAATGTTGCTGATATTGAATACAATCTCAAAATGTCTCTATCTATAGACCCCTGTACCCAAATATTGAAAATCCAAATAGAGAAACTTGTAAATGAGATAACTCTTATTGACTATGATTTTGGCACGGTGGAGGAGTTATGGCTCTTTGGACTATGCCGAATAAGGTAAATATTTCTCTCATTATTATAATTTTGTCATTAGGAAGAGGATGTAATAAACTCAATGCATTCTTCTGAATCTTTATATTTATTTTGGGTATTTGTTGTAAACAAAGGAACTTACTCCCATTTTCTTTCTTAGTACAGTTGCATTATTTTGCTGCGGAGGAAAATCTTGCATTTAGTAATATTTTTACTTTGTTACTTGTGTTACAAGGTGAGAAAATTGTGCAGTCTTAACAGCGTTCAAATCTTATTGACGCTTGCATTAGACCAGTTAATAATTTTTTATGGTTTCAGATATGAAGTGTATGATCTTGTAGGAGAACGGAAATATTATATCAATATGAATATCAGCATTTGCTTAGAGGCTGGCATGGCATGTGATAATGTATATGTAGTACTTCATGAAACAAAACTTCCAAAAACAGATTGTGTATGGGGACCCCAGGCTTTACGAGGCAATGGTATACCAATTTTTTCTCAGAAATATCATACAAGTTTTAACAAGTTTTATAACAAGTTTATTTATCTTTTCCCAGAAGGTCATAGACCCATGTGGTATAATATGCAAAACATATAATATGGCAAACGTGCAAAACTGACATGATCTCATACATGCATTACAATAGCACATTTTACATAGGAAATGAAAACATATACAATGTATTTACCTATTAAATGATTTACATGCTTATAGTAAATCACATTTTCGTCGTATGTGTCAAAAGTATATATGCAACATAAGTTTTACGTGTGACAAAAATCAAATTGTACTGACTTTACATATTAGATTGGATCTATCGCTAGTAAAGAGGATAATTTGATAGATTAAAATCTTTCTCAATTGAATATTGAATTAAATCATGTTGATAATGAAAGTGTGAATTTTACATACATTTTATATACTGCCTATATTCATCATTGTTGTCAAAGCATTAATTGTGCACGGGAGATAATTGCTATGGTCTTATCGCTAGACCTGTACATCGAGTTATGTAACATCCACCGCACTTAAGCTTTAACAATATATTGATATACCATATAATTTCTTAGCATAATTAACTGCAGTTATCTAATAAAATGGAACAAATTTGTATATAAATGTGTACTGTCCAGACATTTTTTCTAATAAATTACTTTGTATGAAGAAAAGATTTAAAAAATTAAGGGGGATAATCTTGTCAAAAGCGAAATACAAGATTAGTCACCCGGTAAGTTGCTCTTTAGTCTTAAGATGTATGTTTACTTATGTGTTTCCTCATTCCCAGATCTTGCCATCAATGACAAGATTTGAGGAGGAACAATTAGATAACAGCAGTTTCGCTTGTAAAATATACATATATTTGAGCTATGAAACTATATTATATAGGATGAATCACACATTTATATGACTGACATAGAAGAAATATTACATATTCATATGACTAGCCTATATTGACCAACATGTCGATTGGGACAATAATATAATACGAGAAAACATACAATGTAGTACTATAAGTCTAGTTTTAACAAAAGTATAGACATAGTTGTAGATATGAAAATCATTAACATACTAATCAGCTCCATATAAAATATCTGAGCGCATCACGAATGCTTTTGAAATATATATACTCAGTTTTCTGATTAACAATTGATTTTCAGTATTCATTAATTCTATAAATTTAAACATATTTGGAGATCTCCAGTAACGAATTGGTATATATTGTGTTCTTAATTGAGAGTACATTCTACATTGTAATACAAAATGGAATTCATCTTCTAACACATTGCAGAATGTGCATTTGCGTTCATTTATAGGTACACTGACAGGTCTTGCCCATCTTCCTGTTTCAATACATAATCTATGCGAGGAGCATCGCAGTTTTGTCATACTAGTACAAAATTTTCTCACACCTATACATTTTAAATATGATTGTAGTTGAAATTGTGCAATACATCTGTAAAATAAAGCTCTAGATGAATCATTTAGTCTACCAGTCCAATTTTGAATAAATTGATCTTTAATTCTTTGTTTAACTAAACTAAGAAATACATTTACATTTCCGACATTTTGATAAAACCATGCATCATTAAGCCCAAGGTTACATAATAAATCTCTTACCAACGAACACCAGTTTTTCTTATTAGGAAATTGTTCTAAATCATTTTTCAACATTAGATATACCTTTGCTATATATTTGTTTTCATTTGTACATATAATTTTTATCCAATATTTAACAATGTTGAAATAACGTAATGACTGAAGTGAAAGTCTGCCCAGTTCACCGTATATGAAATCATTTTGTGTTGATTTTTTAACTCCAAGTAACTGTTTACAAAATGATAAATGAGTTCTTTCTATAGCATTACCGTGTATAAAACCCCACACTTCACTGCTATAATTCAAGATTGGTAATACTAATTTATCAAAAAGTTCTAAATCTATGTTGCACAGAGATATTTGTAAATTTATATAAGTACTTGTTCATTTTAAATATAGCCTTTTGTGCTTGACCCGAAAGTGTGTTTTGTGCTTCAGAAAAAGAACCTCCAGTAGTGAATACAATACCTAGGTATGTAAATTTATTTACAACTTCAACAGGACAGTTATATAATAAAACATAGTATCAGTAGACAATCGGCCGCCTTTACGAAAAATCATAATTTTAGTTTTATCAGTGTTAACAATTAATTTCCACTTATTACAATATTCATATAACATATCTAGACTATTCTGTAATTCATTTTCAGTGTTTGCAAATAAAACAATATCATCCGCATATAAAATAAGAAAAATCATATGAATCTTATATGAAATATATTCTGGAAATTTTTGAATTAAAATAAAAGCATAATGAGTTATAATAAATGTACATGTAGCTGAAAATGTTAAAGATAAAGAATTAAAATCTTTTCCAAGTCATGCTTGAATTGCTTGTGTTCATCAATATTTAAATTCACAAAAACACAAAAAAAAACAACTTTTACTACGACAATTTAATGCAATGATTAAAGGAACAAACCTAAAGACATAAAATTTGAATTTCTTACATAGATCAACTGGGGGACTTAAAACAGAAAGATATTTAAAATACAAATAACAAAATAAAATAATCTGAAATCAAAAGTCGTGTTTTGTATCATTATTTTTCCGTTATTGGTCATTTTTCCCAATTAGAATAATTTATAATTTAGGGAAAACTTGGTGACCAAATGGTTTGAAATTATATGCACAAGATATTTGTCTAAAGCTGCGTTAAATATAACATTAATCTTGAAAAAAACATTTCCAGTCATGTTTTGTCAATAAAACCAGTGGAGTTGGTTTAAAAATTAAATAACAGTAAGAATTACATTTAAAAATATATTACAATACAGATGTTATGTAAATAGCAATATTGAAGAAGAGTTGAGGAAAAGTTGAAATAAGAAATCATAATTGATATTTAGCATTGACATGAAAGTCTAGAATTCATCATAGATTTAATTGGTTGAATAAAAAGTGGTAGTCTAATACTATAATTTTTAACTCCTGCAGCATTTTCACTTGCTAAATGGCGAGAGGAGTTTACAGACCAATTACCAGATGATTTATCTAATTGGCCAGACTATGCTCAAAAACTTCTCTATGACGATATGGGAATTGCTGATTTCCTACTGGATATACCCTGTATATATGGACAAAGTCCCTATGATTATGTGAATGGCACAAAAAATGGTAAATATTTTTGGCTTATATTTTATAATACCATGGCAGCATGTATAGTTGAATAAGAATACACTTTCTTGGTAAATATTTAAGAGTTAAACAATTTTCCCTTTGATACAGAAACTTAAATACTCTTTCTTATATGTCTGATCATTCATGTTACTTAAATGTAGAAGTAGATATTTATGATGGGAAATAATTGTTTTGGTGGATTATAAGTTACTTTAGCTAATGTAATGGTCACATTGAGACCTTTAATAAGGAACAAGTGGGATACTAGGAGATACCTTCCTTTGCAAAACTAAATGTATAATGTCCTTATAAATTCATTAAATAAGAGGACAGAAGGGCAAGAAATTTAAAACTAGCATTAGTAATCACTTGAAATAAAAGTATGAAAAAAAAAGCAAAAGATCTCAAAATATTTTATTTACCTGAAATCTTACATTTTAGTTCCTTTGACCTTTAGGATTTTAATGTTTGCTATTTTCTTATTTTTCAGAATGTCCATCATATGAAGGCTCCCTGCCATCACTGGATCAGGTGGCATGCCGATTTGGGGAATCATGCTCCTCTATTGACTGTTGTCTTAACAAACCATCTATGGAAAGGCCAATTCGTATTCTCTTCAATATAAATGCATGTGAAATGTATGTCTCTATTGGAATAGAAAAGTTCACCTTTAATCTAAGTTTAATAGATTATGAATTTGGTACCGAGGAACATTTTTGGCTGCAGGATATTATAAGGATAAAGTAAGTGTACCTTTGTTTTAACATACCTTTCTAGTCTTTACTGTAATCAAGCAGAACTTGTGTGACACATTCGTCATATTTTGCAATTTTTTATCAAAGTATTCTTGTTGAAATGTCAATTATCTGTTTTAATTTTACTGATGTGCAGTCAGTAGAATGGCTATGTATACAGGTTACATAGAAATGTGATGATCATTGAGCATGTCTATACATGTTGCATAGAATTGTGATGATATGATCATATGTGCCCATGTTGCATAGAATTGTGATGATATGATCATATGTGAACATGTTGCATAGAATTGTGATGATGTGATCATGTGTGAGCATGTTGCATAGAATTGTGATGATATGATCATGTGTGAGCATGTTGCATAGAATTGTGATGATGTGATCATGTGTGAACATGTTGCATAGAATTGTGATGATATGATCATGTGTGAACATGTTGCATAGAATTGTGATGTTGTGGTGATCATGTGTGAAAATGTTGCATAGAATTGTGATGATATGATCATGTGTGAACATGTTGCATAGAATTGTGATGATGTGCTGATCATGTCTGAACATGTTGCATAGAATTGTGATGATTATTTAGTTTGTCTTTACAGGCTGCATATGTCATGCCCCATATTTTCAACAATTTTTTTTAAGTTAAGCATATTGTTAAGCACAATGTAAAATGTTTCCAAATTTTGTTTTTTTGTCATGTAAGAACAAGTTTTTTTGTTCTTTTACATGTTTTTCAATCCATGTATTGCATGTTGTTTTACTTATATTTAGAATACCAAGGTTGTATTTTCATTCAGCTTTTCAGAAAACCATTTTTTTATTTTTGCTAGTTTTCTCTCTTCCACAGCTTTCAACTTTTTGATTTACCTGAAAATGAAGCAATGGTTGTTAATATGGATGTCAGTATTTGCTTGGAGTCAGATGATGTCTGTGGATTTACTAGAAATCTTTTGTCAGGAGCAACATTTCCAATACCAATATGTAGTGTGAATGAAGGTTTCAAAGATGAAAGTAAATATCTATTCTATAGTATTTCATATTCATGTTTTTCTTTAGAAATGCCAGGTTTTCAGCAACTTGTTAAATTGAAGGATGAAGTTAATAAAGCTAGGATGTCCATAAAGGACTAGCACTGCTCTGTCTTTTGTGACTGTTCATTGTTTATGTTAAGGAGTGGATGCAATATCTGTTATCAAACTTTTAACAGGCTTGACTTGATAAACAAATAAGGATAACTAATTGCATCCAGAGTTAAACATTTTTAAAACTATTTTTAGATTTGAGAATAATGGATTTGGTGATTTGTATTATTGTAGTCAAGGTAAAATTGCATGAATTGTTGTTGTTGGGGTTTTTTTTATAACGAAAGACAAAAACAACATTTAGCTCATATTATTGCAAAGCTTTTAATGCATGCTACATATAGTATTAATTTTTATTAAAATATTGAGTGTTAATTTACCCTTAAGGTAATTTTTTGAACAATATTAAAATAACCAACCAAGGTGATTTAGGAAATTGGTGTATCAAACATTAAAAACTTCTATTTTTTTGTTTAGGTTTCTCATTAACAAGCTGGATGAGTAATCATGGATATGATGAGGGGGATGTTATAAGTATGCTGGACAAATCTATTCTGATGGATGAACTAACGATTGCCAAGTATTTGTCAGAAAACCAGTGCAATCCTCTCCAAGTTAGGAAGCGTCGAGCACTCTCATCTACATCAGGTATAGATCCTTAATATCTGTTTTCTTTTCTGTTTTATTCTGTGTAAAAGTATATAGATAAGTTTTAAAGTCATACCACTCTTTAAAGTTAGAGGGTGACTTTTGCACTTTTACTGTGAGATGAAGGCTTTAAGCCCCTTTGTGTGTAAATTTTTTACATGTAGACACTTGATCAGAATTCAGATTTACCAGTCTTGAATAAAGTAATTAAATATTGAATGAAATATCTTGTTTGTTTATAGTTACTTAATTTAAAACAGTAGCCGTAATGTAAAATTATCTGAAATGGTAATATTTTATAGTTACCAAAAGCTTTAAACAGAAACTGTAATGTGAAAGAATCAATAATTTGACATTTTTCATCATGTCCTGTATTTTATAAGGAAAAAAAGTTGATATGACCCTGTGCCACTAAATATGTCATAATTTAAGATGGAAGCTTACAAGAAATATTTTATATTGTAAATGATGAACTTGGCTGTATTGATTGATAGAATTTCTCAATTTACCTGTGTTCCTATTCATTCCAGGTTGTCCACTACAAAACAAAATGCTAGATCTTCCTGAAGAATTGGCATGCCATGTAACAGAGTGCTCTCGTGTTGATTGTTGCATGAGTGTTGATCCTCTACAACAAACATTTGGAATAAACATTGACATTGATGCTTGCAAACCTAGCATTGTTATACAAATAGAAAATTTTGTGATTAAATATTCACTTATTGACTTTGAATGGGGAACTGAGCAAGAAGTGTCTCTGAAAGGAGTGATTAGAATTGTGTAAGAATTCCTTGTTTTATATGTTTGATATGCTTTTACTCTGAATTTTTTTTTTTATTGAACATTCCCTGCTTCAAATTTTTATATGTCCATCATGTTGATTAAAGGAATTTAAATTATACTTGCAATATAAAATATGGGCTGACATTAAAATTCAGGTTTGCCTAGATCTCCTTTGTGTCATAGGGAAGTCATTATTATTGCTAGTTTTTAGACTGTTCAAGTAATTAAACATTGTATTATTTCGATTTCCATATTAAAAAGATGGATAGGAATGGCATAATTCTTTATCATTTCAAAAAATAGTTTTTTATGCACAGAATTTATTGAAGGCATGTAATCTTCATACACCAAAAAAAAAGAACTATCTAAGTGACAATTTCCTATATTTTATTTAAGCTACAATGTCTTTTTTTATTTAATTATCTTCATTATATTTGAATATTGAAACCTGTGAAAATAAATATTTTATTTCAGATTTACATTAGAGGAGTTAGATGGTCAGAATGCTTTTATCCTGACGTTAGCAACCAAGGCATGCCTGGAGTCACAGTTACCATGTTACATGGAAAATACTATTTTCAACAAAGCGATATTTCCAAAAACATTTTGTGATTTTGATGTCACAGATTCATTTGGAATACCAGGTTAACATGATTTTCTAAAAGCACAAATTAATGTATTCAGATGTTTTTAGTCATTATTGATGATTTGAATCTTCTGTAATATATATATTCAAAGATTATGTCATAAGTTCATACTATTCCTAAAGACATTTACAAAAATGTTTGCAATTTTGATTTCTATCATATTTGGAAGCAGTTCAGCTGTCTAACCTTCTTCTTGGATGTATGTGTCTAAAATAATGCATAAAGGGACATATCATTTCTTCCTTTTTCAGTAATGCTGAAAATATTTAATATAAACAGTGCTTGTGTAGCTTAAACTTTGATTTAAAGAAAAAAAAGAGACCTATAACATGATATGTCAATGAAAAAAGTGTAGACAATAAATTTTATAATTCCTAACTCAAGGTCCAATAGCAAATTTTCAAAAAAGATATCACAATACCAGATGCTTGACCATGTAACCTGATTGATGTATATAAAGAAGTAATTTTGTGTGTGTGAATATTACGATCATCTTACAATTTCAGAATTTTCCCTTTTGGAATGGAAGCTTAACCATGAAATTCCAGTGACATCTGTAATTGAGCCACCTAACACAGACATTTTGTTTCATGATCTCGGATTGGCAACATATTTACAGGACACAGAATGTCAAATTGACAGGTCAAGTTCAGAGAACGGATGGGTTAATGGTATGTTTGTGAAGGCTTGTTTAATCACTATTGTGATATATTGAGTTGAGTTAACTGCATTCAAAGTATGTACCAGTATCTGCCCTTCTTTGAAACTGGAACAATTTATTATTTAGTGCATAAAAATTTTAGCATGAAACTACTTTAATTAAGCATCCAAGGTCAGATTGCGCAAAAATTCAGCCTAGCCTACTGGATACAGATAGCATAGGCAGGTGTGTTATTGCTATAAGTATTGAATGCCTTTTCATAGTTTCTTTTGAATGAGTTATTGTTGTTTACAAAAATAATTTTAAATAAGTTAAACATGTGCAATAATCATATTAAAACAGGAATATCAGTCTTGTATAAATGGTATATTATTCATTTGCTATGTATTTTTTCATATTTTGGTAACCATTCTAAATATATCTACTTTATATGTTGAAAGGCAAACAATGTGATCTTTTTTTCCATTAATTTAAAACTTATACATTTTGTATAAAGTTTCTCCAAAAAATGCAAAACAAATAGTATAGGTCGATATGTTTTAAATATATTTCAGATTGTCCAGATCTTGATGGTCTTGCAGCATTACCTGATAGCATGTCATGTCAGTATTCCCAAAGCTGTTCAAAACTGGATTGTTGTTTGCAAGAGGTCAATACAGGGAGGAATATATCTTTTGGACTTGAGGTCGACCGTTGTGACCATTCTATTAGAAGTTACATAGATAACATGGAAATGACTAAAAGTTTCTCCAATTTTTCATGGGGTTTGTATAACTATGCTTAATTCAAGATAAATATATCTTTAAAACTGAATCTCTTATAATTGGTATATGTAAAACATGTTTAAGTGGTTTTGCTTTTTGACTTTTGAATCACTTGTCACCCACTGTAGGTTTGAATCCTAGAGTGTATTCTTTGCTTAATGAGGGTCCATCCCCCTCTTTCAGGCACTGAGAGTATTAACCCTGTTTGAATCCTACCAAGGGCACGGAAATCATTTATATGATTTATCTATCTAGCTTGTGTTGCAATATCAGTGATTGTACTATCTCACTCACATGTTCCATAAAAAATGAATAGAGGAACAAAAGAGGTCTGCAGGCATAAATTGAGCTTAAAAGTAGCCATATGGTAACATTCAAATGTTCATGTGTTTAAAGCCAAACAAAACTATGATAAATTAAGATCAAGCATTTGTTGCATTTTCCTTACATGCATTTATCCAGTTTTCAGTAGAATTTGTTATTACTGGTTAGTTATCTAGGAAAGCCAGTAAGATGGATTGACCGCCAGATTATGACCAAAAATATTTGTTAAAATTTCAAAAAAATCAAAAAACAAAAGAACAGTTTTACAAAAAAATTATTTTTGTCTTAGATGAAACAAGACAGCTGAATTTTGGAGGAATAGTTCGACTCAAGTAAGATCTTTCACATTTTTAGTTTTATTACATAAAATTCATCTTATTCAATTAATATTAACACTTATCTTTTGAGTTTAATGTTTTTATCGTTGGAAAGCCTTGTATAATACAAAAGCTTAATCTAAGACATTTTATTTAAAACTGGTTTTCAATAATTCAGTAATTTATACTAAGTCATAAAGTATTAAGATATGTTCAAAATTTATATGATTATATTTTAAACTTGTTACATTGATAATATCTCTTCTTGACTAAGACAAAAAATGGTGTTTAAAGTGTTTTGTTATTCTGATTAAAGTGTTCAGACATAATGACTTGCCTCTTTCAGTAAAACATTTTACTTTATTATAAATAATGCAATGTTTCTTGTTTTCACTGTTTTTCCCCCTAGCTTTGATGTTCATGAACTGAAAAATGAGAAGACGTTTGCGCTGTCAGCAGAACTGAAAGTTTGTTTTGAATCTTCACAACCATGTGGACTGGATGTGGAATTGTTTAGTCAGATGATTATTCCAAAAGTTCAGTGTGTGTGGAAAAGAGATTATTTTGTCCCAGGTTTGTAATATAATGTTTAAATTAATGTCTATGCCTTTGTTGATGACAAGTTTTGAATACAAAGGAATCCTGTTATCAAATTGTGGTTTGCAAAATTTAAGAAAACTAAACTTCAAATGTTGTCACTTATATTCTTTTAAAATTACCAATATCACATTAACCTGATGTGATTGAACCCTAAAAATGAGGAATCATGTCATGACTTGCTATTTTTCAACATGTTTTTTTAAAGTTTTAGAATATCATGACTTAATCTTGTTCCAGGAGTATATAAAGCTCACCAAAGGCTTCCTTTATAGAACTTTCATAGATTTGTTTTGATTGCTACAAGTCTATATATGAGTTCACTACCAATGTAAGTTTTTAAATCGTGAGATTTATATTTCAGGTTTTTCCTTACAACAATGGCTGTCAGACAAGGATCTTCAAAATGCAGATTACCCTCTGGATGAATATCATTCCTCTATATTACTGGACTTACTGAATTTGTCTCCTTTTCTGAAAGATGATGCATGTCTTCTAAACACTACTGATACAGAATCATGGACAAAAGGTAATGTGATAAAACTTAAAAGTGCACATGTTAAAGTCACAGGGAGATCTTTAACAGAGATATGAAAAAAATCATTTAGATACAGTTTTATTGAGCTTGTCATGAAAAGTGATAATTTTTTTGGCATAATTTTTATGCCATGTAAAGTTAAATGAAATACAGTCAAGTTTATTCACCCTTCTGACTGTGTTAACATAGATCAATAATTTCTAAACCTTGCATAACTTGGTCTAAGAATGGGATGTCTTGAGAGCAGCTTTTTGTCTATATCTTTTATCATTTATTTAGGTTGCCCTAGGACAATTGAAGTACCAACATTGCCTGAAAATCTGCAGTGTCGCATATCAGATAGCTGTACCCAGGTGGATTGTTGCTTATATGTTGACATTTTTGACCGCGGCTTTCAAATACATGCTAATGTTGATCCGTGCACATACCAAATGACTTTATCAATAGAAAACTTTGAATATACAACACAGCTTTTCAACTATACATGGGGTGAGATCGAGGAAGTATGGTTGTTTGGAATTCTTAGAATAAGGTATTTTTATTAAAATTTATTATTTTGAATTAAAATTATTTGAAAATTGTTTCTTTTTTCTGAGGGGATTGGTTTTTTCTGATGACTACATCTTTACCCTTCACTTATAAGTTAAAGTTTAGTTTCCATGAGGGATGTTGAATCCTAGCATGTTCCTAATGAAGATAATCGATCACTAATGAATGTAAGTGGTTCTACCCTTATGCAGCCTGAAGCAATGACTTTATGGCAAATGACATATTCTGTCACATGTAAAGTATGCAAATTAACATAGCATAATAACTTTAAAACCAAGCCCAAAATGAACAAAAAAATATCAGTATAAAGCCTATCTTTGTAATAAAACATAGTATACAGATGGATAAAATATAAGGCAGTTGTTCATTTCAATATAAACATACTTATTGTCTAATTATTATGTTAAAATATTTATTTTTCGTAATATTTTTAAACTGTGTATCAAGTAAAAGTGCAACAATTCTTTCCTATGCATCGAAAACCAGTTTTGTAAGCACCTATTTGATTTCCAGTATCAACAAACCCACGAAATTAGGTTTTAACTCTGGCAAATCATTAAACTTTTTCCTTTTTCTAAAAGGATGTCAGTCCATGACCTGGTAGGTGAAGCAGCATACCTGACCAACTTAAATGTCAGTGTTTGTTACGAGGCCAATTCTGCGTGTCACTCTGAGATTACTATATTGGACAATGCCTTGCTGCCAAAGATGACATGCCAGTGGGATAATGATTTTGTCAATGAAGGTAATATAAAATAATTGGGCAAATAATGTCAACTAAAGTAATAGTTAGGTACCTAGGCATAGATAATACCATAGAAACTTGGTACTCATATTTGATTTAATGGATAACTTGTAACTTTTGATCCTTATAATTGCAACGATAAGAGTTAGGAAACACACCTGGAAGCAGAGAAACATACTTTCATGAAATCGAGCAGATACAGTTCTTATAAAATGAATCTGTTTTGTTAAAATATATCATGACACAATACTTGTAATTATCATCTATTTTATTCAAATATATCTCGACAAAACTGCATTTCAAATGGTCTATGCTTATCTTTAGAAGAAGTGACATGTTTAATTGTAACAATATAAAAAAATATATATATATATAAATATTTTTAAATATGCTAGAGAAATTAGAAAAATCAACCAATGTTTCTATGTAAGGCATTAATACAAGGCTTGCTTATTCTTTTTCAGATTTTAGTTTGGATTCATGGTTGGAAGAAAATGGCCTCGGGAATGCTGATGACATGGATCCTAATTGGATCAGAATTCTCTCGGATGATCTTCATTTGACCCAATACTTTGATGATGAATGCAAATTTTCAGATTTCAATGCATCTCAGGACATGTGGGATAATGGTATCTTCCTTATAATTTTTTTATTGATAAGTTAATTGCAATTATGTGACCTACTCTCCAAACATCTGTAGAAATAATTTGCAAGTAATTGACAGAGGATGGTTTTAATTTGTTTCCACAAGTTTTCTTTGCCTATCGGTAAATTTTAAGTCAAGTCAAATTTCCTTTATTACACACATTTCATGTTCATGAAAAACAACTTTGTGATTTAGAATAATCACATCATCGATAGCTGATTCTTTTGCTCATGGCATTGATTTCACATTCATGTTTTTATATGAATTGCATATTGAACAAAAATCAATTTTTAATAGTTTATGAACCATATTTCTAATTCTAAAATATTTCTCATTACAGACTGTCCCTTTGACATACAAACTATTGAGCTTACTGAGTCCGTCACTTGTCACATTCCAACATTCTGTACCGGAGTTCAGTGTTGTATAAGATCGGATGTGTTTCAGAGAAATATTCAAACATTTGTCTACCTACATGCATGTACTAACATCATTGAAATAGGAATAGAGAAGATGCAGTTCTCATTAGATCTGAACAGTTATGACTGGGGAACTGAAAGAATGGTTAGTCTACAAGGGGTCTTCAAGCTAAGGTGAAAATTAATTTTTCATTGGAAAAATTATTTTGTATGAACTGATGCTATAGGCATTTACCCATATTTGATAGTTTTTATACCCTCACTATTGAATGGGGGTGCTGTCATTTAGATTGGCCCTTGTCTGTCACTCTGTCCGTCTGTAGACTTACAAAACTGTGGAATGTAACTTCCAAGTGGTGTTTCATTGTATAATATTATACCTGAATTGAGGGTTTTTTATATGATCATTTAAAAAAATCAATTTTTGTCTGATATGGAATATTTTGTTTTATTGATAATTAATTATGTTAAATTTTAATCTTACTATAGATTCATCATTGAAGACTTGAAAAATGAAGGTGTCTATCAAATGTCACTAAGCTTTAGTATGTGTTATGATTCACAAGCTGTTTGTGAGCCATTTGTAGAGATATTCAAGAACACCAAGCTACAAAAACCACTATGTGACACCAGTACTGGCTTTAAAATCAAAGGTATGTTTTGCAATATAATTATAATATGTATCTTATAACAATTGTTTAAATAAGAATCCATATCATAGACCTAAATCAATCAATTGCATATTGCTTCTGTTTTGAATTGATCCAAATTTAAGTGGTTTAAAAAGTTGATACAAATTATCATCCAGTAATACAGACCATGTCAGCTTTATAAGCTATTCTTGCTAATTATTTACCAAAAATTATCTTTTCCATTGTTGTTCTTTGGAAGGCCACAAAGTGGCACAGTAGCAATGAATGCAAAATGAACAGCAACAAAACCTTTGATACGGGAGGTTGACATTGCCAATAAGTGATGCCAACCCACAATGAAACGGAGGGCAATGTTAATAAAATTGCTGTAAAATGTTTCTGTTGAACAAAGGGTATATAAAGATGAGTGCAGAAATGTTGGTCATTGATCTGACAAAATTATTTCATTAGGTACGAAATCTGTGATCAAGACACAGTCACCATCCTTGTTTGGTTTGCCAGTCATCTGTATATTGTCTATTCTGGCTCTATGTTGGAGTATTTAGTAATTGCTGTAACAAGAACTTTGTTGATTTCAGAGTAAACTAAAGTATTCCATACTTTATAAGTCTAAAATGAATAAGTTCCTTGTTGCAGAAAGATCATATTCTTTTCAGATTTTTCTATAACAAATTGGCTAGCAGTTAGGGGACTAGAGGGAGGAAACCTTGATGCCTTAGATCTCTCACAGCTCTACAGTGACCTTGGCATATCAGTTTATATGAAGGAGGATTCCTGCTCTGTTGGGATGTCAAACTGGACTACTGGTGAGTAAGAAATATAACTCTGATAATTATGATAATTGAATACATGCTTTCTACAATGTATTCTTTTGATCTTAGCACATGTTTTACACTGTGTTATGTCAAGTTTAAACATTGGCCTTTTGTTCTTGGTCACTAGAAGACTCTATCTTTCTGATTTTGAGCAAAGCAAAATAAACTTTGATCATTAGTTCAAACTTGCCTATTAAAATTATTTTGTGAGACAAGCTTAAAGGAATTACACTGAGGTCAGAACCCCTAAAAACATAAAATTTGAATTTCTTACATAGATCAGCTTGGGAACTTAAAAGAGAAAGCTATGCAAAAGATAATGTAGAAATGTATTCAGAAATAAATTGTAAATCGTATCTTTGCATTATTCTTAGCTTGATTTGAATGAAAAGTGTTGTATCGCATATCAGTTTTGGTTTGTTTGAAAAAAAAGAAAAAGTAGCTGTTTTGGAATAATGGAGTGAGCGAATTTCGGATCTGAAATTTGCACACAAGTTATTGTCTAGACCTGCATCAAACTGAATATTGATCTCAAAAAAATATTAACAGTCCTATCATTTTACAAAACCTCTGTGGAGTCCTTATTAACCCATTACCCCATGAGCATTTTGTGAAAAATGGCCGTTTTCATTGAAAAGTCTCCCGTTACAAGTTCAAGTTCCTATAAAACTATAAAAACTGCTTCAATACTAATCAAACTTGGCACAAATGTTGACTGGACCATTGCCTTTGTAACAACATGCTCAGTCTGAAATTTCCTGTTACCATGGCAACTAGGGGACATCTCAAAATTGCCAAAAATCACTATTTTGCGTTGATTTTTTTCATCAAAATTGATTTCAAAGTGCTGCCACTTCTCAATGGATCGAGATAGAGTCAAAGGCTTTTCAGCATTGGTTACACGTTACCTTATGATCGACCTGGGGCCATTTTTAGCCTCCCACAAGTCCAAAATTTTCTTGGCGATGAGGGGGACTTCTTCAAACCCCCCAAACAGAAGGGGGCACATCCCCCTTCTGGCAACCCCCTGATGTATCTTTTGGATGGGGGGCCGCGCCGAAAAGTGGTCAATTTTTTAAACAACATTTCTCAAACAAAAACAATTGTTTTGAGGCCTAAATAAGGCATTTTTTCACCATTTGAGGAAGCAAAAAGGGGGGGGGGGGTGAAAAAGGCGTAGAAAGGCGAATATATCTGGTAATGGGTTAAGCTTATATTAAGCACTTGTAAGATGGCTTCCTACATTGAACAGTACTCATTATTTTTAGGGATAACATGATTATGTTGCAAGAATGAATGCCTTTTAACTGTCGAGCTTGTCTGGGTTTCTCCTTGATGATGTAACAAAATTTTACTTAAATACTCTTGTTTTTGTTGCACTGTATCTAGCTGCTTTCATTGATATACAGATTGTCCATTAGATGTTGATTTACCAGCATTGCCTCCTTCAATAAGCTGTCATCTACACTCAACATGTAATGCTGTCACATGCTGTATAGTATCACCATTACTTCAACGAAACTTGATAACCACATTCTCAGTAAACCAGTGTAACATGAAATTGACAGTTGCTATAGAGAAACAAGTTTTCATTGTTCCACTTCTTGATTATGAATGGGGTAAGTATACCATGTAAATAAGGAACAAAATGATAAAAGAAGAAAATTCATTTTCTCACGGAAGTATAGAAGAAATTTACCTAGATATAGGTTAGAGTTATCCATATTAAAGTATGCAATTATGACAATAATTTGTATTGTATTTACATAGGATTACATTTTTAGTTATACTTGTTTATTATAATTATTCCTTTATGGATATATCCTCAAGGTACTTTATACCGGGAGGTACTTTGTACCGGGAATGTCCAGATATTACAAACAATACTTACATAAAAAATATCTTTTGTATGCAAGTGTTTTTCACATTAATTTCATACAAAATACAGCATTTTTTGAAGAAAATTCAAAGTTTTAATAACCCTATTCACATAAATGTGTTTTACGTATAAAAACCAGTAATATTGCTAACAATTTGGACCCAACATGATATTTTAAATGTGTGTGCAAATGCTTATCAAATTGTTACCCTTTTACTGTGTGATAACTGATAAATATTGAATAGAACTTTAGTATCATTAACAGTAATGGACCATTTACATATGTTTTTAACTTTTTATTGATTGCTTAAAAGTCATTCCTGGTATTAAGTACTTAAAAACAAAGATGGCTGCCACTCATATGAGGTTATTAACAGAACTATCTTTTTGATGTATAGTTAAAATTTCTTTTGGATGATTGTTATTTTCATCAAAAAATGGTTCCTTCTACAGAAAATAACTATTTTATCCTAGATTTTTTCTGTATTATATGATGGTGGGCCTAATAAGGCTTACACTCCCGGTAGATAGTACAACCAGGATACATTTCTAAATGACTGCTTAAAACAATTCCTATATGATTATCTGTCAATATGTTTTCACAATGACAAAGAAGAACACTTTAAAGTATTTAAACGATTGCTGTATTGATGGTGTAATATAACTCGTTCTTTTAAGGTTTTCTTTACTTTAGGATCAGTGGTTCTGTCATTCAGATTTTATATAATAATTTTATGCTTTTTATTTGTTTTTCTGTGTATCATTTTATAATTCAAGAATTGAATCGATACCTGTTAAATTGTACTTACAATTAAAGCATTATTTTATATTGTATTACAGGTGTGTCAAAAGAAACAGATTTATTTGGTGTTGTTCGAGTAAGGTATTGCATTTAAATTTTATGAAACTATTATAATTTATTCATTCATGTATATGCATGAAATTGAAAAAGCATATGAAATGTAAAACTACACATCTGTGGCAGATTTCCTTCTATTGTTTTCTAGAAAATAGTAAATTGTCCTTTTCTGAAGTATGAATTTGTTTCTTGCAACTCATTGTTTTACATATTAGAATTTGATATTTTTAGCTCGACTATTTGATAAGAATAAGTAGAGCTATTGTAGTCACCCGAGCGTCGGCGTCTGCGTCGGCGTAACCACTTATGTTAAAGTTTTTGTAATAGTTCAAATATTTTCAAAGTCCATTGACATATGGCTTTGAAACTTTGCACACTTGTTTGCCATCATGACCCCAACCTGTAGACAGGAGGAGGTAACTGTATCAAGCATTTTGACAGAATTATGCCCCTTTTTCGACTTAAAATTTACGTTAAAGTTTTTGTAATAGTTCAAATGTTTTCAAAGTCCATTGACATATGGCTTTGAAACTTTGCACACTTGTTCACCATCATGACCCCAACCTGTACACAGGAGGAGGTAACTGTATCAAGCATTTTGACAGAATTATGCCCCTTTTTCGACTTAGAATTTACGTTAAAGTTTTTGTAATAGTTCAAATATTTTCAAAGTCCATTGACATATGGCTTTGAAACTTTATACTCTTCTTTGAGAGCATAATAGGACTCTCTCCAAGGCCTATAACTATAATATGGATTTAAAGAAAAAATTTGCCTTTTTCTCTACTGAAAAAAAATTTACCTTTTAATTAAAGTTTTTTTTTACTATCAAGCACTAAGAATAGTCGGGCGTTGCTGTCCTACCGACAGCTCTTGTTCTATTCCCTGTACTGACATGTACAGCAATAACAGAATGGGCATACTTGTTAAAAAGTTTCACAGTTAAAGTGCTAGAGGTTAAATACAGATTATGTTGAATTATGATTTGCATTTTGAAACTATGTTCTGAAAAATAGCTCAAGTATCATAAGCTTTTGAGTTATGCTATCAAAGATTAGTTCATGATATATCATAGTTCATATGATAATATGAAATCTTTACATTTCAGTTACAACTTAGAAAATCTCGACCTGGCAAACCAGTTTATATTCAACCTGGGAATAAAAGTGTGTTTGGAGGCAGATTCAGACTGTGAAACTGACAATGTTGTTTTAAACAATACTTTATTAAGGAAGCTGCCCTGTAACATGGATATAGGTTTCATAGAAACAGGTATATGTAAAATTGTTCTTTTTCATGATGTTGACAGCTATGTATTTGACACAATTTCTTTCATGCGAGGAAGCTTATATATATAGCAGGCTTAGAGATAAAAGGTTTGATGTTGTTTTTTCAGCCTTAGAAATCTCTTCATTCACTATATGAACTTAAATGTATCTATGTCAACTTAACCAGAAATGTTTAAAATGTAACAGGTGAATGTTTTGAAGGAGCTTTTAACTGGGAATCTTTGACCTCCAACTACTTTCCACCATGTTAGGTGCACTAGAATAACACTGATAAATAAATTCATTGATGAACAAAACTCTTGCAATGAAAAGATGCACATAAATTTCCAAGTTTTGATTAAAAAAAAAAAGAAAAAAAAACCTTATTTTAATTGTATTTATATATTAACTCTTTATTTTATGAAATTCCCAGATTTTTCTCACTTTCGCGAATGGTAGATGTCAAGGGTATAAATTGCCGTATTAGGCCGAAATTTCACTAGTTGCTAAAAATCTTGGTTGGGGATTTTTTAAATGGGGATCATGTGCAGAAATCTGGCTTATTTCCCCTGCGAAAATGGTAAAAAAAGGGTAGTGTTAACAGTTTCAAAGACTAATTTATTTACAATGAAATATATTGAATCACCTTACCCCCGGTTGAAGCTTAAAAACTATTGTTTAAATTAAAAACCCCCTTTTTGCGGGTGCTCCGGGGTTGTTCCCTTGTTTTATACTAAAAAATTTTTGTGAATAGGGTTCAAGAAATCAACTAAAAAATTTGTAAAAATATCAATTTGGTTGATGAAATACTTTTAATTTTGGTTTTATTCATAAAAAAAATTAAAATATTAAAAAACAGTTTTAAATTATTTTGAAATATCTTTCATCCATAGATTGTTTACTTGGTGTAAATCCAAATCCATTGCCGAATTCATTAACATGTTACCTAGAAGACTCGTGCACTTCATTTGATTGCTGCATTGATGTGGCATTGATTGGGAGATCTTTCCTTTTTTTTAATCGGGCCCCATGTGTCTCCCCTAAAAAATTAAAAATTGAGCGATTGCAGTTTGCCTAACCTCTTGTTTGGTTTGGAAAGTATCTAGCTAATTAAAATTTGGTTTTTTATGTAAGGAAAAATTTTTGTTAATAAAATTAAGGATAAAATTTTTTTTTGGATGGGTGTTTTTCTATATAATTAAAAAACCCCTTGTTCTATTATTTATGATTTTATGAAAATTTTGCTTTTAACTTAATTCTGAAAGGGCACATATTAATACAAGAAGGATCTTAGTTTTAAATACTTTTTATAACATAAAATTTTTGGTTTATATTTTTTTAAAATTAAAACTTCTTGGCTGTTTTGTTTTAAAATCTACTGCAGAAGCAGTGAAATTTGATTTTGTATGGCAAGTTTTTATATCAAAATATTGTTTATGAATGCCATTTGTTTTGATGAAAAGTAGCCCTACAAGCTTTATAATTTTCCTTTAAGGTACCACAGAAAGATTTTGCTTATATGGCGTACTTTGTTTAGAGTAAGTAATGTGTGCAACATATTTTTTTTTAGAAAAGCTCACATATTTATTGCTTTGCAGAAAAAGAAGCAAAACACTTTTATGTCATTAATTTATTGCTAATTGATGATCAAATGTATTTGCAATGGTGTAGAGCTAGAATACTATATCTTATTCAAATCTGCTAGAACATTTCTTAATGTATGTATGATATTTAGGTTATATTAAGTAATATTAATTTGTCGTCTCAGGTACTATTTTCTTTATATGCATCTCTCAGCTAGTCTTTGTGCTTACCTTAGTTGATAGAACAATAGATAAATAGATTTTTGAGATTTTCTGTCCTGGTCATAGTAAACATGTATACTGTACTGTTAAAGAATCTGGAAACATATCTTAGGCAGTTGCGTGCAGATGGCTGTCTATGACTTAAGTACTGCTGAACTGCCACTTAACTCATAAAAAAACAGAAGTTGTCAGTATGTAAATATATATATCTATTACAGATACAAGATTCAGGATCTTGTCTGGTCAGGTGTTTATATAGTGGACATGAAGGTCAGTGTTTGTTTTGAAACAACAGGAACTTGCTACATAGAGGCACAGTTGATGAACGCAGCAGTGTTGCCTAAACGTTTATGTAACTGGGTGGATGCAAATAATGTCAACAGTAAATCTTATTTACATTTTGTCTTTCAGATTCATGTAGACAAAATTATTAGAGACACTGTTCTAGCTTCTTAACAATTTAATGTTATTTTTTCTCTCTATAAATTGTGTTGTTAGACAACAGAAAGGGCTAAAACAAAGAAAATATATTATTTCATGATTAATATTTCCTGATTATATCCATATTAATATATATTAGTATTCAATAATGCTACTTTTTGTGTCGCCTCTACGGAGTAGTGGCGACATATAGGGATCACTTCTCCGTCGTCTGTCTGTCCGTCTGTCCGTCACAAAACTTGTCCGGACTACTCCTCATAAACTACTGGTGCAATTTCATCCAAACTTTACAGGAATGATCAGTACCAAGTCTAGTTGTGCATATTGTCAGCATTTTCTGGTTCAATGATTTTTGTCAGAGTTATGGCCCTTTAATAATTTTTATTTTTAAAGTTTGTCCGGACTACTTCTCTAATACCACTAATGCAATTTCAGTGAAACTTTACAGGATTGATCTGTACAAAAAGCTTCATACTTACATTAAAGGAAGATTTAGGCAAATTTTTACGTTCTTCTTTCTTAATATTTAACCAATATCATATTTATATATCTCGAAATGAATACACTAAACAGTCTCAAACACACAGATTTTCTTCTTGTAAGAAATAAACCGGGTGGTTTCCTAACCTGACCCACGCGGGTCGGGTTAGAAAATTTAGATTTCGCGCTCAAAATCGCTGTGTATCATGGGACCGTTGACGTAGCCGCCACGTGACCGTTTTAGCCTCGTTTCAAAATAAAGATGCCCGGACCACCAAGATCAACAACCGAGTCGGCTAAAAAAAGACAAAAAGCTGCTCAAGGAAAAAGGCGAAGGGAGCGACAAGTGAACATAGGAAACCAGATAGATGTCTGGAAAAATACTAAAGAAGAGTTAAACGTCAAAAGTGACGAGGAGTTGGCAAAAAAACTTCTAGAATGGTATGTTTAGATCGCAGGGGTTTTCTCAAGAAAGCCATTTGCTATACAAATATTTTGCGTTATCGTTTAATCAATTATATTACATCATTATCATTTTATTTTTTTCAATTTACATAGCATAATACAAACACACGTCCTTCATGTTTTGTGTTTTTTGTATACCACAGATATATAAACAATAGATATATCTAGCTCCACGGACGGAATTTTTTACGAGCTACCCGTCACTGTCTGACCGTATCAACTTCTATTTCTAAAAATCTTCTTCACTGTTATGGTGCCCATGTTTAATGTTTGAATATCATGCCATCATATACAGTGATCATTTACATTCATTTAATCACTGCACAATTTCATTCAGTTTAATTTAATTACAATTTTTTATTTGTTCATTAGAAATTTCTTGTCAGTAATATTGCTCTTTAAATTGTTTTTTTTTAGTTATAAAGATCAACAGGTAGTGAAAAGAAAAAGAAGAAAGGTCACCTCAACCCCAGCACCAGCTCATGGCAGTGAGGGATCTGGGTGGTCAAGTGCTGGCTTGTCATCTGTGAAGTCGTTCGGGTAATATTATTTAACATATAAAGCATTTAAATAATTTGCAAATATCCACTGCATGTCATCAGTGAGTGTACAATTCTATTTTTAGGGAGCTCTTGGTATAGTATGTGTAAGCCACTGTTATTATACTTTAGATGTTTATGTTTAGGATAAAATTGTAACAAGGTGAGGAAAAAAGAGCAGACTAATCAGTACTTGAACCCAAGTTTCTTTGACTGCCATTCAGCAGCCTTAATAGCAACTGAGCTATTTAGCCGCTAACACATTTAAAACCCTGACAAATACCCTGCTATATTGGAAATTTAATTAATTCTTGAATTTTCAAAGCTACAAATGAAATTATTATAATTTACTTTGTACTGTAAAATCTACAATGTTCAGTCGGGGTCCTTATTCGGTGCCAAATGGCTTAGTCTGTGTTAGAAAAATGTGCAGCCTGCATGGAACTTGAACCATAGACCCTTGAACTACTGATCTACTGTTGTAACGATTGAATTATTCAGAATATTTCAACTGTGAATAATCAAACTGATTTCTTTACATTTTCCTTTTTATACTTACAAGTATAATTTTTTATGAGTATTTATGCATGTTTATCAATACAGTTCTGGCATGATGTCTGGTGTTGAACCAATGACAGACACCTCTGAATCATCACCATCCCGTCGAACAAAAAGGTAATTAATTTTAATTTTGACTGACAAAGCTAAATTTATCAGGCATGCACTTTAAAATTATGCCTATTTCCAATTTGATTTATACATTAATTTAACTCAAATTTGGAAAAAATGTTACCGGGTCCATCACATAGGGAATAGTGGCTATTTTTTTCCTTAAATTTTGAAGGTAGAATTGTTCAGGAAAACGGTGAGTAATGTAGACCAATGTCGGCCCAAATTGGCCATAGAAAATCACCTTCATACTTCATACTTACAGAAAACACCACTTATGATCAAACTGGATGTTGATAGTTTAGTTATGACCGTGACCGTCAAGATCAAAGTTGATATGATTGATTTTTACAATCAGAACATCCTTGGCTATTATCAATAATAACCTCAGAGTTAATACAGATTGAAAGTAGTTCTACCACATGGTTTCAGATGTGAACAGAGACAGAGTGTAATCAAAACAAATGTATATATTTGATATCTAAATGAAAATATTATGTATTAAAAATGTCTGACAACCATTTGTCCACTGATGTGACCTTATAAGCAAATCTGAGTAAATGTCCATAGGTTGGCATAAAAAATCCCAATCGCAACTATTTTTTACATAAATACCATATGAATTATTAATAATGTGTTGTTTACTTTATATAGATTTATGAATTTACTTACTTTAGTAAGACTTTTATTGGAAATATTGTGAAAAAAACTTTGTTAACAACTTCCAGCTTAAATTACAATTTGTTTACATGTTAAGTATCTTTGGTTAGACTCTAATACAATATCCGTTCTGTTTATCCATACTATTGTGTCGAAGACTGACTGAAGGGGCTGAAAAGTTGCGATTGTGAATTTTATTTATTTCTTTATATTTTGTCATTTATTTATCATAAGAGTTAAGACATTCATTTCTCACAAAACAACACCTGTTACTATACCAATCTTTAATTCCTAAAGAATAAGAGTGAAACTTTATTTCAATTACATTTTAAAGATTTGTTTAAACCCTTATTTGTTTCCTCTTTGAAAACACATAAAAAGAAGTTGAGCAATTCCCAAACAAAATGGCTCATTGCATCAAATCATGTTTCTTGTATACTGACTGTCCATCCTATTTAACATAGATAATTGAGCCACGTCATGACAAAACCAACATAATGGGTTTGCGACCAGCATGGATCCAGACCAGCCTGGGCATCCGCGCGGTCTGATCAGGATCCATGCTGTTCGCTTACAAACCCTATTACAAGTAGAGAAACTGAAAGCAAACAGCATGGATCCTGATCAGACTGCTCGGATGCGCAGGCTAGTCTTGATCCATGTTGGTCGCAAACCCATTATGTTGGTTTTGTCATGACACGGCTCATATATGTTTTCTTCCTTTGGATACATAATATTATGCAAATTTTCTCCATTAGATACATTTATAATCCAGTATTTGAAATTGTATTTCAAATTTAAATACTAAATTTATTTGTTCATATTAACATTTTTCAGGCATCCTGTAGCTGGATTTAAACCACCTACAGCCACATCTACATTTGTTCAACCTGCTTTAGTGTCTAAACCAAAAAGTGCTACCATAAGGTATGATTTACTTTATTCTTTCTTATTGTTCGAACTTAAATTGTTTTCTCTTGATATAAATCTAAAATCTGTATCTTTTTTGGTCCTTTGTAGAGATTATAATTTGATGGCATTCATGTAATCAAGATCTATGAAAATTTCATTGTTGCCTTTATTAAACTAATGTACAATTATCACAAAATATTTGCATTTTTTCCCTCGGCTCCCAGTCCCTGTGACTGTAACAGTATTATCATTTGAGAAATATGACAAGATTATGAAAATATTTACTTGCATTCAATATGTCGTAGTTTGTCACAGGGAAAAGTTGGGTGATTAATGCTATGTTATCAACAAAAGCTACCCTAAAATTCCTATTAAATGCCCCCAGGGGCTATATATTAGGAATTTTACGGTAAGTTAGGTGGACTATCCATGGAGCTAGGAACAACTGTGCTTAATCTAAAACAATGATTTTAATGCTCTGAACTAATCTTACAGTAAAATGACACATTTCACATCACTTTTTTACCTTTATGGTTTCATTGACATCATACGAGAAGTAATTATTAAAAACCTTTAACTTGAAATATACTTTGACTGATTCATGACCCTTTCTTTACTGGGGCACTTTATAAATGTGTTTCTCATGTTTTTGTTGTTGTTTTTTTTTGGTGTGTGTGTGGGGGGGGGGGCATTCACAGAGTCTTCCTCATTTTAAATTGTTACATTCCTATCCAGACTCAGATTTTTTTGAAAAACCAATCACTGTCAGAATGTTGACTAGTAGGTTTTACATACAACTTGCAAAATACATGTAGTTACACTTTATATTCTTTATAATTTCTATAGTATTGAAGAAGTCAGCTATGTAGATGATGGAGCTTTATACAACGAGGATGATCAAACGTATGTGCCAAGTTTTTGGGATATGTCTATGAACATGTAAGTTTGTATATTTATTTAAAAAAGTTCTCTTTCACAGTTTGTTAATAGCATTTATTTGCTGACACATTATTTTCTACTGAAACACTATTACTATTAAAAGATATTTGTATTATGATAATAATATTTTTTCGGGCCTTAAGTCACTCAGTATTAATGAGACCCATAAAACAAAGACTTATGGTGGAAAAATAGGTGCATCTAATTAGACTTATACAGAATTGGTAGTCTGAAACTTTACAAAAATTTCACAATTAATGATATGTATGCACCGTGTTTAAGTGTTATTAGTTTAATTTTGTAACAGTTAATTTGATTGGCGAATTAATCAAGTCAAGTGCCCTCGGCCAATGAGCATTGCTGTAAGATAATTGCTTTTGTAGTATGGCAAGGATGAGAATCATTGAAACTGTCTGCCTTCATGTAGTCCCAGTGTCTTAATTGACAAAATGAAATGCAAAATGCTCTGCTTAATTTCTATCTTTGGCAGAGGTAAGTCAGTGTGATGAGTCTGGATTGAATTATATAATCAGTGATTGCATTTTGTTATCATTCACAGCTTGAGGCGTTTTCATATGATTAACTTGCTGAATATTTTATTTACAAACATGAGGCATTGTTTTAAAAAGCAAGCCAGTCAAGAATTGGCTGTTCCCAAAATGGATTTCTTTCTTCTTTTTCTAATCCTGTCATTCATTAATTATGCTGAAGATTCATAGGATCAAATATAAAAAAATTCTAAATTAATCACTGTTTATGACAACAGATATAAAACATTCTAATAATGATAATTGAATGCTATTTTCTATTTTTATTTACAAATGTTAATATATAGATTGTATATATCTACTCTGAATTATTCAGTTATTAAATTATTCAGTAATGAAGAATATCTCTCCTACAATACTTTAGGAGCCAATTTGCCTTTTAACTGAATGGAGAAAGAAAACAAATTATTTGAATATTTTTATTATTCCAAATATATTTTTGAATATAGCTTTGATGTACATGTATAACCAACAATATAGTAAATGTTTTATTAGGTATGAAAATGCAATTTCATACAAGATTGTATTTTATTTTTGTAAAGTAATGTTTTCTTATAATGCTTATCCTTGAAATTTTATGTTGTTAGTGACACTGCAAATATCCCTCCTGATCAGATGATAGAAGATGAAGGGGACATAACTGTTGCTGTGCATGACATTGAGGAGGAAATTTTGACTGTTGAAGAGGAAGACAGTTCAAGGCCAGAAGTAAAAAAACTCAGTGAAGTGAAGATGGAAGACATGCAGGACCCTTTCATTCTAGTTTCACAGTCCTGTCTACTTCAGTTAGCGTCCTCCTTTCAAATGAAAAGCTGCAATAAATGCAGCAGTATGGTGTCAATAAAAACGAAACGCAATGGAACTGGCATTATTCTAAACTGGGTAAGTATTACATTGCTGTATGCATTCATTTAGTACATCAATAATCTGAAATTACTGTATTCATTTAAAGTACTTTCAATAGTTTTTACAGTGTGTGTGCAGCATAAAAATAAACCAATGTAAGAAATAAAACAGGAATATGACTACATCTATGGGTAGTTTAATTTGTGGCAATACTTTTGTGATGATAACAGAAACATACCATTAACTCCATTAGTTTCTGAATATAGACATCCAACTGTTATAAACATAACACCTTGGATGTTCCCATTACCCAATTCAAGGAAATCACCAACATTTATTTAAATACATTATCTTTCAGGAGTGTGACAGAAAGCATGTAAGTCACAGCTGGAGAAGCCAACCAGTGATCAGAGGTGGGGCTTTGTTAGGGAACATAAAAATGGCTGGGGCTATTTTGCTGTCTGGCAACAATTACCAGAAGGTAGCTCTTCTTTGCAAGTTCTTGAATCTAGGACTTGTTTCTTCATACAGTTTTCACCAGATTCAATCACATTATGTTGTACCTTCTGTAGAGAAGTTGTGGGAGAAGGTGAAAGGAACTGCACAAGAGGAGCTTCGTGCAAATAATGTTGTAGTTGCAGGTTAGTTGTCAAACATGTAATTTAATTTGTGTTGGCTAGTGAAACAGTTACTGATGAAAAACAAACAAAAGATAATGTCAGTTTTACAAAAAATGTAAATGTCATAATCCTGTTTAATGTTAATTAGCTCCATTTTTCAAAGGAAAAAAGTATTCTCATGACCCTCTCGGCTGAGATGGTGTTGGCATTGGTGCTGGTTAATCTTTTTTTGGTTTAATGCACATAAAGTCCTAAAAACCTCTGAAAAATCTTAATTTTGTTGCCCTGTTATAGTTTCCATAACAGATGTCAGTGTCTAAATATGTTATCTTTTGCTTACTTTGCTTGTTTAACACAAGCAAACTGTAACTGTAGTTACAGTGGATTAGTATTTAAGTGGATGTCAAAAAAGCACTCTGTTTACACTTTGTCAAATTTAAGCATATTGTGTCACTTCCAGCACTTCTCCTTTCCAGTTATAAGTTGTTTACATGCTTTGAATCAATTCTTACAACACTACAGAACAAATTTCACCCTTTTTAGAGAAAAAAATATTTTTATTATTTGAGGAATATATTGCCTTTAAGTTTATTTTTTATTGTCACATACATGTATTTCAATACCTTTGTGTGTAGATATACCTTGATTTGTTCCACCTACCACACTCATTTTCAGGGTCAAATGTCAAGGTCACTGGGACGTGATATATTAAAAGTTAAATGGGCTATAAAATGAATGTGCATTATTTATCTAATGACTTCAATAATTGTATGTGCCGTTTTGATGCATTTTGATAAGTTCTACCTCCAACACCCGAAAATATTTTCAGGTAAAAAGGTAAAGATCAATAGTGTTAATTAAGTGGTTATAACTATCAAGCACTGAGTAACTTTGATTGTGCTACTACTTGTTTCTTTCTGAAATTTGCTTGTAGATTTTAGATGATCTGCTAAAGCAGCATGCCTCAAGATGAGCACAAATATCTCAATAAATTGAAACTGTACCTAGAAATTTTAGAAATTCAAGTAATAATTTACACGTTATGACTGATTAATGGTTAATGTTTCATTATGTATTACTATTGCAGTGAGGTTTTTTTTGCATATTTTGAAACATTTTTGTGCAAGTGCCTTTGATAACGTGAAATTTGCTTCAGTTTGGTTACTATACAAGTACATTTTCAAAATTTTCATGAAAATAAGCATTTATCCGGAGGAGGGGATGCTTTAAGTGGTTTTCCATGGCAACAAGGTTGGAGCAAATAAACAGTTATATTAGAAGTTTTATTAAATATTCTAAGATATTATAATATATGATATATTATCTTTTATACATTTTAATTTTTTGAAAAGAATAAAAAAGAATGGCTTGTTGATTATGTTACAGGTGATGGACGTATGGACAGTCCTGGCCATTGTGCAAAATATTGTACCTACACTGTCATGGACCAAGCCAGTAAAAAGATCATTGCGATGGAAATAGTAGACAAAAGGGAATGTGAGCTTCATTCTGGAAGAATGGAAGCAGCAGCTTTTGAAAGAGTACTGGCAGACATTCAGAATGCTGGTTTACATGTTTCAGAATTTGTTACAGATGCACACCCACAAATTGCAGCTATCATGAGTAAGATTTTACAGTGATATACTCAAAGTCTTGTATGTAAATAAAATGGCTTATTGTTTAATGTTATACACATTGTATTTTTTTGCAAGAAGTTAAAGTAAGACTGGTAGCAGTGTTTTGAGAGGCAAAAAAGGAAAGGCAAAGCTGGTCCAGAAATAATGATTGTTGAATCATAATTTAATCATTTCAGTGCAACATTTTATTCCCTCAAACATCTTTCACTAAGTCTTAATAGATTTTTAAGTTTCTTTAAAACCTAATTAAAGCCAAAAACGACATTGCTACTTATCAATTCTGTGAAATGATTCACCTTGTACAAGATAAATAATTTGTTATGTACTTAAAGCCCCAAAAAATGTAAGTAGACTGAAGTACAAAAAATCTTTGATAGGAAGGTATTTACAAAGTTGATCTTGTGTTACAGGAAAGAAATTTCAACATATCAGGCACAGTTGGGATATGTGGCATGGTGCGAAAAATCTTGGTAAAAAATTATGTGCTGTAAGTTAATTTTGACTACATGTAAATCTAAAATTTGTTTTCTTTCTAATCCATCATGAAGTATGTTTTACAAGGATTACATCATGTAAGATTTTATATATGCACATTTCATTTACCCTATTTAATTAACTGTGTTGAAAATAATCACTGAAGACAGATCTTGGAATTATAACCTATTGACAGACATCATAGATATTGGTATCAGAAACCTGTTTTTCATGTAATTTTTAGCCACAAGGATCATAGAGATTAGGCCAAGAATATATTTTAATAATTATTAGTTTTTCTGTTATCATTGCTGACTTTATCCTCTTCTGAAATTTTGATGCATTATACTATATATGTCTTACAGGTTTCACAGGAGAAGGGAAATGCTGCACTAAAGCCATGGATATCATCAGTGACTAATCACTTCTACTATGCTGCAGAAAATTGTGAATCAAGTGAAATGAGACTGAAGGTTTGTTTTTAATATATAAACACTATGTAAGCTACATGTAAATGTAAACATATATAATGATCCATGACTTTTTTTATACATGTTAAACTAAAATAACGAAGCCAAACATTTTTTCTGTGTAATAAGTAATATGGAACAAGTATTTTTTCTGGATAGGAAGCAGAATTCTTACATGATATATTCCTCGACTTTTATTGAAGAATTAGTTATAAATAAATTCCCTGATTATTACCCCCCCCCCCCGACCCAACACACACACACACAAAAGGTATAAGGGGGTGTACTGGAGTCAGTTGGTGGTTGGTTGGTCTGTTGCACATTTTTTGTCTGGGACATAACTGGGAATGTACAAGAGATAACAAATTCATATTTTGTAGGTACATATATCTGAATGGGCAAAAGTTTATTATTATTTTAGAATACTATTACAGACGTTGATTTGAAACTTCACAAGTTGATAGATCTCATTGTGGTAGAGTGCAATGTACAAGAACCATGATTTTCCAATTCATTGTTCTGCAATCATTGACTTTTGTTATTTTTTTATCCTTTTTTCCTCTTTATAGCACAATTACTATTCAAGCTACTGACTTATAACTTCACAGATTAAAACTATCATATTATTGTAGTGCACACTATTTAAACATATGCACACTCTCCTTTTGTTACTTTCTGACAAGCATGTGTCTGGGATATTTGGCACTTGTGACAAGCTCTAGTTTTCATACTTATCATATTTAATATTGTAGATTAAACTAGCACAAATATTGAATCACTGTGCAGATAAACACAAATGGATGCTTGGCCAGTGTGATCATGGAGAACTTGATGAAGCAAGTAGGAATAAAGAATGGTTAAACCCAGGTGGTCCAGAGTTGCTGGCTCTTGAAAGGGTGTTGTTCAATGCCAGATTCCTGTCAACAATGAGATATTATGTGACCTGCCAGTATGTAGTGGTTTTATTTTATGAATTTTTTATTTACTTCACTGAGAAATAACTTACTCTTTGAAATATTTGTTTCCCAATTCATTTGATTATAGTATTTATTGAAATGAAAACTTATACAACTGGGTTGTCTATTGCGTAATGAAGACTTGCATGAAAAAAGAACAATTTTGATACTTCAATTTCTTATGTATCCCTCAGCGTTCAGAAAGTTAGTTACATTTGAAGGAATTTTGTTTTATTTTACTACATTTTTCACATTTTAGGACAACTTCTGAGCTGGAGTCATTCAACAGTCATTTATTGATGTATGCTGCTAAAAGACAGTCCTTCACGTAAGTTTATTTGCCAAAAGGATATTGTTATTGGCCTACAACTTCTCATATATTGAATGGAAATATGACAAGATGTTTATATTTTGAATATTAGATCACATTTTTTTGTCATCAGAAATATCCTCTTTAATTTACAATAACCACAAGGCTAACATAAATTATTTAGTAACATGGTTGCATATGCCATTTCAGTTCCTTATAACCTTAGAAGGAAGGTGAACATATAACTTAATAAGCATTCCTTCATTTGCAGTTATGGTGTTTACAAGGCCAGATGTCAGTTGGCTGCTATTGATTATATGATGCATTTAGAGAGACCTTACAAAACCAACAAAAAAGGCGAACAATAGTAAGTGTGTAGTTGAGTTCCTTCAATATTTTTTCTCTATATACAATTGTATTAATCAATGTTCATTCATGAAAGCTTGAATTGAGACAATTTTTCTGGCCTATCTGACTGGTGTTTCTGTAGTCTTACCTATGCTGGAAAAGTCATCTGGAAATAGTCAGATTGAAATGTTATGTCAAATAAATTGATACAATAACCACATTATTATTTGAGAGATGGCATGACTTTGTATAGAAAAATTATTTCAAAGCAGAGCTCAAATACTGCATATAATGTGAATTACAAGTGTATCCAATGTAAGAGAAGTTACGAACCTGTTATAGAAGTTGCTAACATATTCATTGAAATCTAATATATTTCACTCAAGGCCAGAGGTAAAACAACACTTAATATATGTAATTTATTCATACATGGAATCATATTAAAAAAGATAAATTTGAAAGAAATGATGTGGTAGCTCTGGCTTGAGTGAACATGTTCTAATAAACTAACATGTATACTGATTATTTGAGAAAAAGGATGTCATATTCATCATTTCATATTATTCTTTCCAGCTATAACAGAGCATTTTCAAAAGCCACCAACCAGTGGGTTGTTAAGCCAGTTAAGGAGAAGAAGCAATATTCGTATATACCGGAATTATTACTTGATGTGATTGTGTCGTATTGTGCCGGTTCCAAGAAACTCAGGGATCCAGTAGAGAAAGCCCCTTCTGACCCAATACATGTAGCTCAAACAATTGCTCCTAAACAACCCCCACAAACTAAGGAGCTTGTAGAGAAACAGGAACCAAGACTTAGATTGAAGGCAGGGACCAGCAAGGAAACTCTTGATTAGATGGAAATATGCATAGTTTCCTTTCAAAGGATAAGAAGTGACAGAACATAGTTTCCTTTCAAAGGATTAGAAGTGACAGAACTTTAGTATATCACCTGGTCACAGAAAATTTAACATTAGCAAAATCCTGGTGAAAAGGGGGAAACCTCATTAAGCTGTTTTGCTTATGATAGCTTTTAAACTTTTATTAATATGTAGAAGTATTATCTATTTCACTGAAATACACAAAACGTTGACATAGAAATAAAGATGAACATGCTGAAATTGTTTCTATTCATTTTTTTGTTATTTCAATTTCAAAACTCATTTTGAGTCTGCAGTTTAGACTAAGAGTAATCAAACTGACTTGTCCAAATACAAAGGGAAGAAGGAATTGAGGGATATATGCCCAAATAAAGGATTTAGTTAGGGTAAATAGGATTGTATTTCTGTCCATCATTCAATTTCATGGTTGTGTACTGATATTAACTCCAATGAGGATTTATTGTTAGTATAAAATGCTTGTCAAAATTAAATGTATGTTCAGACCATTGTAAAAACTTCAAGTGGCATTATGCTTATCCAAGGTTTAATAATGAGTGATCAAAATAAGTATACATTTTACTGTAATTGCTTTTGATTTTAAAACTTGTATCCGGCGCATAAATGATAAATAACTAATATGATCCAGTCGAAAATGTTTTAAGCACATAAGAAATTTTTTCTTAATCATTTTCCAGTATCAAATATTGGTCAATCAACGTTATTTCAGCTAATCTTTGGAAAAATAAAGTTCCTTTAGCTGAACTTGACTTTTACACTGAAAAAATGATCATAATGACACTTAACTGCACTGAACATGTATTTGTAAATATTTAAGTTACGGCTCCTTATCTTTTTCCTATGAAAAAATTTTTCGCAGTAAATTTCTGAAAAAGTTAGTTTTGCAGAGCAAACTAATGTTTGCTCATAGCATTTTCCGGTTCAATGATTTTTATGCTCCACGAAAAATTTTGAGGGGAGCATATACTATAGACGCCGCCTTGTCCGTCGGTCCGCTGTTCTTGTCCGGGACATAACTTTGAAACAACAAGAGGTATCAACATGAAACTTTGTAGGTAGATATATCTCATTTGTTAGGTGTGCAGTGCACAAGAACCGTAACTCTGCCTTGCCTTATTTTTAAATTATTCCCCTTTGTTTATTTTTTATACTGAACTTTGTCCAGGACATAACTCTTAAACTATAAGCGGTATCAACATGAAACTTTGTAGGTAGAAAGATCTCATTAAGTAGGTTTGCAGTGCACAATAACTGTTACACTGTCTTGCCTACTTTTGGAGTTATTGCCCTTTGCTCATTTTGACACTTTGAACTTTGTCCGGGACATTACTCTAAATGTGTAAGAGATATCAACATGAAACTTTGTAGATAGATTGGTCTCGTTGGGTAGAAGTGCAGTGCTTAAGAATCATTACTTTGCTTTGCCTTATTTTGAAGATATTGCCCTTTGTTTATTTTGACTAAACTAAGACTATTAGAGATATCAACATGAATCTTTGTAGGTAGCTAGATATCATTGAATAGAACTGCAGTGCGTAAAGAACCTAAACAAAGCCTGCTCTAATTTTAGAGTTATTGCCCTTTGTTCATTTTTACACTTTGAATTTTACCCGGGACATAACTCTGAAACAATAAGAGATATCATCAGGAAACTTTTTGCATAGATAGATCTCATTGAATAGAAGTGCATTGCAAAAACAACATAACTCCGCCTTGCCTTATTTTGGAGTTTTTGCCCTTTTGCATGTAGTGTCGGCTTACACAGATTTAGGTTTACAATGCTGAACAAACACATCAAAAGAGAACTAGATCAGAAAATTAAATCTATCAGATCAGCACAAAAAGAACAATCATTTTCATACTTTTATTTTTTACAAAAAAAAAGGTTGGACAGAACAAAAAACTAAAAATATATACAAAGAGTAAATGTATCAGATCAGCACAAAAAGAACAATCATTTTCATACTTTTATTTTTTACAAAAAAAAAAGGTTGGACAGAACAAAAAACTAAAAATATATACAAAGAGTAAATGCATAAGTATAAAATGACTGCATGTTCATTTCACTTAATATACTAAACATTTTGTGTATGTGGAAATAAAACCAGGCTTTCATTTGCACAACTAACAATTGGAATTGCATAGGATCATTAATAATGTTTCTAGACAGAACCTTCAATACATTTGAACATTTTTGATGCACATACACTTGAAAATGTAATTTTGTTATTTCTACAATTATGTAATTTATAAAATATACATGCTAGAGTTATGTGTCTACAATAGTGACCAACCATGACCTAATTGGTTGATGACAAACTTGTAACTTTATATTATGCCAAAACTGAAGTCTGCATCTGGATTAGAATAGTCAATGTAAAAAAAACATGTAAAATAACTTCAAATAAGGTAGCAAACTAAAACCAATAATAACTCTTCTATGATTTGCATATTGAACAGACATAAATAATATACGTGACAAGAGGACCGTGAGGGCCTTTGATCGCTCACCTCAGAAAAAGGTCAAAGGTTTAAGTGGAGCCCCTTTCACCCCAGAAGAAATATTGAAAATTAAAACATTGTGATTTACAGTACATATAAGGAAAATCAATGACCCCTGGGGACGGGCCAGATTTGGCCTAGGGCTTTCATTTGAACAAACTTGGTAGATATCCACTAGATGATGTTTCATGCTTGCTTAATATCTAGGCCTTTGCTCTTTGGGTTTTTTTAAGAAGATTTTTTTACGTTTTTACTATAGACATGTAAGGCAAATCAGACCCTCGGGCAGGGCCAATTAAACCCTGGGGATTTTATTTGAAAAAATTTGGTAGACACTCAGTAGAATATGCTTCATGCTTAATATTAAAGCTCTAGCTCTATGGGTTGTTAAAAGAAGAATTTTTAAGTTTTCAGCGAGAAAAAACATTTTGTAAGGATGCCGCACGAAAAGTGATCACAAAAGCTCCCCATGTCACCTTGTGACAGGTGAGCTAAAAAAAAACAAATAGAAGTGAAAATGTGCAATGAAAAATAATTAACACGTAAAACAGCTTTTGCATAAGCGCACCACATTTTAACTTGGGCTAATGTTTATATTTGTTAAGATAACTATTTGAAGACATCTGCACTATCAACATAATTACATGAAATATTCACAAACTAATCCAGCTATATTCATGAAATATAGCAAAAGTTCTGCAAATAATAAGTGAAACACTAATATTTTCTTACACATTTGCTTTTTGAACACTTTTGACCATTTAAGGTGTGCAGCTTATGTCAAATGTGAAGTTACCATGAGGGAACATACTCGATGTAATAATTGTTTGGATCCGGGTATTTGTCTCTAATGACCCATGTGGCACATGATGGTACTGGCCTTCTTTCCCCTTGTCCCAACTTTCCATGGTGGAAAAGAACATACTGCCTATAGGCAGCATGTCTCATGCTGGCATTTACATCTTCCTCTAATACAGCGAGGCGTGCAAAGACATCATTTCTGTACAGCTGTTGCAACTGAAGCACACCTGGATCGGTTATAGTCAAGTCCATTTCCTATAATTTAGAATCAAACACTGATAACAAGCAAGGTATCAACAATGAATTTTGTTTATATTTACATACATTAAATGTATTCTAAATGGGGTTTAGAATAACTGGCATCACTTATTGTAAGTACAATTTAAAAATAAAAATGACAAAGCATTTTCAGGAAAAAGATATATTACACTCCAATTCATAATAGCATCATAAGTGTTATAAGATTAAATGAATTAAAGCACTTACAGGCATAATACTATGGCAGAGTTCAGGTCTCATGCCACAGCAAACACGTGACGAATCTGTAGGCATTTCCCGACATCTACCACAAATACACCAATGAGGCTGATTTGGTTGATCTGGCTCATCTGGACCTGGGGAAGAAGGACCCTCTTCTCTCTGTAACTGTTCTGCTAAATCAATAACTAAAGATGGCATCTTTTCAGCCACTGCCTTCAGAATCTTCCTTGCTCCTTCTTCTGACAGTCTGTCAACAAGGTCCTGTTGATATAATTGTTATTTTTAATTTGTATCTTTATTTTCTATTTCACATAGTGACATACAAGAATTATAACAAATCTTGAAATTTACAGACATACAATATAGTATTTTGTAAATTCATATAAACAAGCCGTTTGACATTTTCAAAAATTATTTTATAGGGGTAAATATTTGAGCTAAAATATATAGAAATATAATAATGGATTTTGTCTTAATATGGCTTATTACACTTCATATTGTCTTAGGTTTTAAAAGATTTACAATTGAAAACTTTGTTTGACTACATCAATGTGATAAAGGCAACTTACATCAGCTTTCCTCTTCCTTTCTTCCTTTAGGTGATTCAACCTGCTGACTTCGTCACTGCCTAAATGAAATGTTCCTGTCTGCTTTCGCTTTCCTCTTGTACCTCCCCTTCCACGAGCACTACCCTTGCCTCTAGCACTTGTTGATTTCCCTCTGCCACGTCCTTTTCCCCTCCCTCTCTGACTAACTACTGGCTCGTAATCAATTGTTGTGTCAGAACTTGTTGAAGCTGAACTCTGTGAAAAACAAAATTAAAAGATGATGTTTCACACTGATGCACTAAACAGTAGAAAGACTAGCACACACATTGATCTGGGGGAAAATAGTGATTATTCAATATTATTTATTATTTAACTAATTATTATAAATTAATATTATTATCATGTTTGGGTCTTATCCCGAACATACAATGTTATCACTGAACAGATAAAGAATAAAACACTCTTAAAAGTGCTTCGACTACACAGAATTGTATCTCAGTCATGTATCTATATTTGTAGGCCATTTGTGTAAAGTTTTTTTAGGTTCAATGTCACTTCATATTTATGCAATGATAACAGTCTGTAAATTATACAGGTCTCATCCTTTCATGACAACTTATTGTTGTAAAATGAGAAACTGAAAGCCAGTTAATACGTCTTCATCTATGCATTATATGATCATATGCGGTTTTCAATCTAAACATAACATCTACCATTTTCATAAATTTACAGATTGAAAAATCTTTACTGGTTGGGGACCACCAAAACCGGACAACCACCAAACCCGGACGGCCCCGAAAATGCTTAATTTAGTATTTTCTTTGTTCAGTGGTTGTCAGTCACTTTTTGTTTTAACAATAAATGCATGTTTCTTCTATAATTTAGTAAATAAATTTATTTCAACCTCCGTAAGTAGTTATATTTTATTGTCTATTTTAAGAATGTTGCCGTTGAAATTTGGGGCGTCAAGAAAGAAATGCCTGATCTCATATACCAGCTATAATCATTTGCAAAGTAAACAATAGAATTTCCAAAACTTCAGCATTTGTTGCTGATATATTGTATATCATGTTAAAAGTAAAAAATTAAAACAACCAAGCTTTTATATGAATTAAATCACGCCATGTACATATCTGTCCGGACACATGGTACTGTAGTGTAGACAATTTAGGTAATTTGGATACCCTCCTTGACGAGACTCGGATATAAGTGTAATACAATCAGAAATAAACAAACTAGTTTGTCAGTTAGGAGAAGAACCTAGCTGTACTGTGTCAATTTTTTAGGTCTCTGAGTTGGAAAGTATGAAATCTATATGGAAAAATGTTAAAAAAGTGTCCGGTTGATGGTCCCCGACCAGTAACATTAAGGATGTTCCATACATTATCCTGTTTTCTGGCTAAGGCCTAACCTGGCATATATATGAACTTTACATAACATTAAACGTACTAAACAGTCTGATCACATATGTGCATTTATTGATAAGTCTCTGGCTTGATTTAGGGAGGAAATCGTTGTAAGAGAATTATCAGAAACACTTTCTTATTTAATAACAATTCAAACGTACAAACATGACAATTTATATCATAATATTTACAACCCTGTTTAACGCATTAATTAAATGGTAATTATGAGACGACCCCTGCAGCTCTTTTCGAAAAAGAATACGTTTATCGATGCTTCTTTACATGTTTTCTCGTAAAAATAGCCTTAAAAGTATAACATATAAAAGTCTTTGTGTGTAAGTATGTAAGATCTTATGAATGCATCTCAAATTATCTTTGTACTAGCAAAATAAAAAATAATCAAGGAAATTTTCTTACACTATCCGCCATATTTGTTGTTGTAAGTTCCGGGGCGTGTTATTGTCACGTGATTCGTTTAAAAATAACTCGGTGATTCCGTCGGCGTTCTAGTTTCACTTTACAAACGTTTATTTATTTCCGTTCAAAACCGCGTTTAATATTGTTTTATAATACAAATATGCCGTGAAATAAAACAAAGTTCACTTTTGACATGATTTATGTTAATAAGACCATTTTAATGTTCCATGTCATTGATTTGCCTAACTCTCCCTTTAATAGTTAGGACAAAAACCAATTAACATTTTTTCACTTTTATTTTTATGTCCATTAAAAAGATGGAGATGAAAAATGATCTTTTCAATGACACAAAACTTTACTTGCAGACTTTACCCTTTCCAAATGGTTTGATGATCGGGGTATGGCACCAATGACAACATTACCATCTTACATAGCAACACAACTAATGAATGATATAGGACTGGCAACATATTTGTCTGCTGAGAGTTGTGATACAAATGACAAAATGTTCAATGAATCATCTTTCTGTTTGTCAGGTTGGTAATAACTCTCTTTACAATTTTTTATGTTTACCCATTTAAGGTGAGAGAATCTTAACACTTCTAATAAATATGTCTGATTCATATATATTTATTTAAAAGTATACTGAGAAAGATCAACTTAAGTTAATAAAGTTGTATGACCACCATTTTGTGATAAGTGAACAATTATAATGCCTTCAAATTTTAGACTGAAAAAGGTTATTTTAGAAGGTTATGTTTGTTACCAGTGTATTGTATTTATTATTTTTCAGATTGTAAATTGACATTTGACAACATCAGTACATCTGATGGCATGTCATGTTTTATTCCTGGGTCATGTACAGGTGTGGAATTATGTGTGTATATTCCACTCATTGGTAGATACATTAATGCATATATGCATCTACATACATGTAATTTCACTATTGACATTGGAATTGAACAGTTCAGATTCTCTGTTGGATTCTTCGATTATGAATGGGGTATGTATATTATCTATATATTTTTCAAAAAAAGAAATTTTCTTGACATTTTATTTTAGATATCTTAATTTTACCAAAAAAAATGTAGTCATTAAATTCTCACTTTGTATTGCCTTTAGAAGTTGGTATATTCCATTATTAAATTTTTGAAATCTTTTTATGATTTTTTATTGAAGGAGAAACAAAAGAGTTCATACTGAAAGATGTACTCCAGTTGAGGTAGGTAACACTTTTTGAAATGGGTCCACAATTAATTAAAAAACAAAACAAAAAACATTTTAAATTATGGAATGTTCATGATTTTAAATAATGAGCTTTTAAGCTTTCATCTTGTTAAAGCAGTTGGAAAAGTAAAGTATATGCATTGTTAGTATATATGCTATTTATTAAAAAAAAATTATTTGGAACTATGATTTATAAAAGAAGTATTTTACTAAAAAAAAAAATAACACAACTGTTTACATTATAGTCAAAGTATTCAGGTTCATTATACTTTAATAGATACTGAAAATTTCGTATTTGGTAATTTTAACCATTGTTTTTATTATTGATGGAAGAATGAGCATTTCCTTAGAAATCTGTATTTAAAATGCTTTATTAGTTCTGAAAACCTATATTAATTGTTTGATTTAGATTGAGAGTTTGGGAATTACAATACAAATATGTTGCTGACCTTGAACTGAAAGTTTGCTTTACTGACCAGACTTGTGAGAAGATCTACACAATATTTAGACATACTGAACTCCCAAAATTACAGTGCCAATGGGATGCAGGCTTTGGGAATGAGTGTATGAGCTATTTTATTTGATATTTAAACCATATTTTACATTGACTATGATGGAAGCTTGAATGTCTGCCTTCTAGAATCACCCAGGACTAATGGTATGGGACACTTGAGGTGACCATCACAAGTTGAACTACAGCAAAAGCATTTGCGGAGCTTGTTTTAATTAACCAAGAATGAAAGTCAAGAGGTTCAAAACGACCAGAACATGGTTGTGTTTTGTGTAGTGTGCAAGTTGAGGGGCTGATACCTCAACCACTTTACTATTGCTCCTGTTTCATGTTTTTTCAATGTTTAAAAATTTATGTCTTCAGAAACTAGTATGAAAACTAAAATTTTTGCTGAATGAAAGATGTGAGAACTTGTTTCCCAGTCAAGTCAAGTAAAGATAAACATTTTTTAATTAACCCATTACTTCATGAGCATTTTGTGTAAAATGGCTGTTTTCATTGAAAAGTCTCCCGTTACAAGTTCAAATTGCTATTATACTATAAAAACTGCTTCAACACTAATCAAACTTGGCACAAATGTTGACTGGACCATTGCCCTTGCAACAACATGCTCAGGCTTAAATTTTCTGTTACCATGGCAACGAGGGGACATCTCAAAATTGCCAAAAATCACTATTTTGTGTTGATTTTTTCCATCAAAATTGATTTCAAAATGCTGCAACTTCTCAATGGATTGAGATAGAGTCAAATGCTTTTCAGCGTTGGTTACACGTTACCTTATGATCAATCTGGGGTCATTTACAGCCTCTCACAAGTCCAAAATTTTCTTGGCGATGAGGGGGACTCCGCCCCCTTCAGACCCCCCAAACAGAAGGGGGCACATCCCCCTTCTGGCAACCCTCTGATGTATCTTTTGGTTGGGGGGCCGCGCCGATAAAGAGGTCACTTTTTTTAACAACATTTCTCAAACAAAAACAAGTGTTTGGGGCCTAAATAAGGCATTTTTTCATCATTTGAGACAACAAAAAGGGGGGGGGGGGCGTTAAAAGGCGTGTATATGAAGTAATGGGTTAAATGCTTTTTAAAATGGTAATGCAAACACATTCATTGTACCAGTATAATTTGTGAATGATTTTTATTAATAAAAACATATCGTATCAACTATTTCTTTAAATATTCATCTATTTTTCTTTGATTTTTCACTTTTTGTTTCACATACAGCATTTTCACTATCTGAATGGATGGAGGAGAGGAACATATTTCCGGGATCAATTACTGATACTGGACGTAAAGAACTGAATGAAGCTGTTGGTCTAGCAGCATATGTACAGGATCTAACATGCAGTGTTAACAACTACCCATATACACCTGCAGTAGATGGATGGAGCTCAGGTTATACTGTGCCATATTTCATTCTAAATATTGTTCATTGTTTTGTACACACAAATTAAAAACATGTTTTCTTGTATCAATGTAAATATTTTTTTTCATCTGAAAAGTATGTAAATAAATTTACAGTAATTTTTATGAGCTTAAACTTTTATTGATTGACTTATGAATAAATTGTTCGTTGTGTTTCAAAATCAACTGACTTATTATGAATTTCAAAGCTCTTATAATTTAGAATAACTCGAAATGAAAAAAAGGCCAAAAAAACAGCATCTTGGGATACCTAGAACATATTCTTTGTTTATGTATTTTTCACAATACCTAATGTGCTTTGTCTTGAATTTATCATTTCCTATGTTTTTTTAATGGCAAATAAGAGAGGTATACACATAAATAAGGAAATGCACATATGTCATCAAATTATCACATTCTTGAACTTTATCTTTTTGTTTCAGAATGCAGTGCTGACATTGCCCTATCACCACTTCCAGAATATATTTCTTGTTACATATCAGATGTATGTACATCTGTCCAGTGCTGTCTTGAAGTTGATATAATCCAAACATCTGTGCAGTTCTCATTAACTATTGATGCATGTAACAATAAACTGCATGTAGGAATTGAAAATATGGTAATTGAGAAAGAACTAGGCAGTTATGAATATGGTGAGTATTGTTTTCAGCTTTATTTCAGTGAGGTCCTTTGATAGTCACACAAATTGATATAAGCTCTTTTACTTATATCATCAATAATTAGAGATACATACCTCAAGTATGGAGACTAAATTAGTTTTATTGTGTAGGAAGCTATATGATTAAAGTGGCGTTCTCAAATCTGTTCCTGTAACAACCTTAACCACTCGGCCATGGACGGCGGCTAAAAAAAAAATTCAGATGAAGTCAATTACGTAGATTAAGTCATGCAAGGCTAGTAAAGTATTTGAGTTATTTGTCTATAAGATAATGAGAATTTAGTTGATAATAAAGTGTACAATTTTAAGCATGTTAACTTGTGTAAAGACAGAGTCTATATGGATATAGGACTGTATCATGTATTATGATGAGATACATAATAATAGGGTAGATTATCAGCTTAAGATAAATTTAATAGTGCATAATATGGAAGAAATGAGAAATGTGTCGTTTGAGTATATAGAATTTATAAATAATATAGATGTGTTTGATATTCTTGAGAATATATATATATATATAATATATGAGATATTGTATGTATGTAGGTCATGATAAAGATTGAAATATGTCAATACAGAATTCTGTCTGAGTATTTGTTACTTTGGCTGTTGTAATGATATTATATATATAGTTTTGAAGAGTATGTAGTTGACGTTTAGACTTGGCATGTATTTAGTTTGTGTTATATTATAATAGTTTATTTTTTTCAAGGTTTTGATATTCTGAAAGATATTGAATTTATTTATTAACAGTCACACACAGACTTTATTGAGGGCCATAAAAATTTAAGGTAAATCATGGTAGATCATGAAGTATGTATCTCGATTGTTCTAAAGTATAAGAATTTAAAACCACTTTGTGAAACTTTTACATTTCGTTGCCATAGAAAAATCAGAGAAACACTGAAGGTTGAGTATAGGACTTATGTTTTTTATATGCTATTACCATTTAATTGCAGCTTCATAATTGACTATTTTCATGGAGGTAGAATCTTTGCCTTGGATTTAAATATCAGTGCCTGTTTTGAGAGTAACAACGAATGTGAACATACTGTACCAATCTTCACACAAACTGTCTTACCAAAAGTCTCATGTAGCTGGCTCAATGGCTTTAACCAAAATGGTAAAATATTTTTGACTAATTTATTGATCTATATCAATTCCCAGGGTATATTCAACACAACATTACATTGTTGTTCAAAATTTAATACATGTTATAAACTATATACATTTTAACAGAATTCTAATAAAAATTTGACAGGTGAATATCAAAAAAAAAGTGAAACAATTTGTAGTCTGCAATGAACAAAAGAAATTGCAAGTTAAAACCATTGTATAGATTACATGCAAAGATTATCAAATTTGTAGCTGTTTTTGTTATAGGTCAGAAGTTGAGAATATATTCAAATACAAGCAATTACTATAAAAACAGTAACTCCGGTTCTTAATAATTTTAAAGCAATGTCAAATTATCGCTATATGTTATTTATCTGTACATATACTTATTAGTCCCCTACCGGTTTACCGGAGGGGACTTTAGGTTTACCCTCCGTCCGTCTGTCCGTCTGTCCGTCCGTCAGTCCGTCCGTCTGTCCGTCCGTCAGTCCGTCCGTCCACAAAACTGGATCCCGCGATAAACGCAAAAAGTACTGAAAATATTTTAATGAAACTTGATATATGGATAGATGGCGGTATGGAGATTATGCACGTCTTTTTCTTTCTTCCTATGTTGAAAATTCTTGTTGCTATGGCAAACAAATAGACTGAAAATATGGCAAATTTTACACATAACCTGGATCCCGCGATACGCAAAAAGTACTGAAAATATTTTTATGAAACTTGATATATGGATAGATGGCGGTATGGAGATTGTGCACGTCTTTTTCTTTACTTCCTATGTTGAAAATTCTGGTTGCTATGGCAACAAATAGACTGAAAAATATGGCAAATTTTACACATAACCTGGATCCCACGATAACGCAAAAAGTACTGAAAATATTTTTATGAAACTTGATATATGGATAGATGGCAGTATGGAGATCATGCACGTCTTTTTCTTTACTTCCTATGTTGAAAATTCTGGTTGCTATGGCAACAAATAGACTGAAAATATGGCAAATTTTACACATAACCTGGATCCAGTGATAACACAAAAAGTACTGAAAATATGTTTATGAAACTTGACATATGGGTAGATGGCAGTATGGAAATTATGCACATCCTTTTTTATCTTCCTATGTTGAAAATTCTGGTTGCTATGGCAACAAATAGACTGAATTTCAAGATTTCTGATTCTAGTTTTTTCGCTATAAGTTTTTTATTTCTTAAGGTATTTTCTTCAAAACTTTAAATATAAAGTTGCTTGTCATCAACCACATCATATGTGACAAGGTTTACAACTCTAGCACAAAATTTATCAGAATTACCTCCCTTGAACTTAAAATTTGTGAAAAACCATTGTTTTTTTTTAATAACTTCTTTTTTCTGAATGTATCTACTTCAAACTTCATATAAATGTTTCTTATTGTCACTCAACATTTGTGAGTGTTCAATACTCTAGCAAGACTATTTCCAGAATTATGCCCCTTTTGAACTTAGACTTTTTTTTTGAGAAATTGGTAATTTTTACTCCAACTTCTTCAATCATGAAAGGATTTTAAAAATGTTATATTTTGATAACAGGGATGTTTAAAAAATAACATTAGAGTGTCCTTCAGTCCGTCTGTCTGTACATAAAAACTGTTTCCTGTGATCACTTTTAAAGAACTTTTTTAACAAATTTACATAAAATAGGAACCTAGGTGAATGGCCAATGGCCCTTCAGAATGTTGCTTGGGCCCTTACCGGTAGGAGACTTATGGATTGCTTGCAATACTATGATAATTGCTTGTTTCTAATACCTTGCCATTTTCCTTGTCAGACTTTGATCTTGACTCCTGGATGGTGAGCAATGATGTAGATCCAGGTAGCCCACTTTCTCCAACATATTTTGAAATGTTAATGGCAGACTTGGACATAAATCAGTACATAACACCAGACAATTGCTGGGGATCATTCAATGATTCCATGTGGATCAATGGTAAATATTTTAATTCTAATCTTGAGTAACTACTGTTCATGATTGAAATATCTGTAAGCCTCCTGAGAATTGAAAGCTAACACAGAAAGAAACACACTAACTACAAGAGTTTAAAGATAAGAATGGTTGAAGAAAAATTGAAATGTAATAGTTTTCATTACAAGTAACTGTATGAAATAGATATTAATCTTGATTTTGTTACCTCGGATATCTTTCAGTTTTGTTTTTGTCTCTTATTGTTTCATGTTTGTCTTTTTGTGAAAAAAAAACATCAACCTTGGACAGGACATTTTCATTCTATAAGCTAGAACTTGCATACTTTTAACAAAACATACGTCTGGGCAAGAGCTTTGCTTTGAAATAATGAAATATTACTTTGATCCCTTCAACAACAAAAAAATCCATATTTCAGCATAACTTAGTTATTATAAAGACATTAATTTGGAATGGAAGCATACATTTTGTGATGTACAAGCATATCTTATCTATCTATAAAACTTTTTTTAATTCATTGTTTTTGTGGGTTTTTCTTTTTTTTGGTTGAATACTGGTAGATAATTCCTTTGCCATTATATTGCAGATTGCCCTCTCAGATTGAGTCTTCCAGAGCTACCGGACAACGTAGGGTGTTATATTGACTCGAGTTGTTTACATATAGAATGTTGCTACCTTGTTCCAGAACTAAACCATGCATTTAGTTTGTCTCTGAGGGTAGATGACTGCAACTATGATATTACAACAAGTATTGAACAATTGCAGATGCAAAGAAAACTTTCCTTATTTGAATTTGGTAAGTTAACCATGAGTACAACTTTCATAAGTTTTAGACTTACAACAACCTATAAATAATTATAGCAGAGTAACTGTTATTTAAGATCAATTTTTTACTTTTTAATTAGAACAATGTGAAGTAATATTTTTTTGTTTAAAAGGTAACCTGTTCACAAATGACATAACATTAGACCTGGTCTTTAGTAACAGATAAAAAGGTAGTCATACTTTTTGTCTAGTTTGTTAAAAATGCTTATTTGGGAATTATCGTCCATGGATGGTTACTTTTTTGATATTTTAATTTCTATGTTAAGTTTTATATGACCTTGTCACTGATAAGTTTTTATGAATACTGCTGAGTTTTTCTTGAGAATGAATACTTATACATGTTATTAATATTTTTTTATAATCATTATCTGTATACTTAATATTGTCTTTGTTATTTTTCTCAGGAAAACAAATCACATTTGATCTGGATGGGTTGCTTGTTTTAAGGTAAGATATCCATTTTGCAGTGAAGTATGTTGATTTTTCTTAAAGTACATTCTTATGCTTGACTTAATGGATGGTGATGATCTTCCTGACAAGTAAAAGCTAAAGGACTGCTTATTATGTGATGAGCATTTACTGTGTTGATATGAATATCAGTCAAACCCAATTTTAAAATTGAGAACATTTCATGTTTAAATCTTCACTAATATCTTTATTTAATACAGTATTACTAATCTCAAAAATACAAATTCTTGTATCTAGACTTTGAATATTTGATATGGATAAGATTAAAAATACTGCAATCGGTATTAAGATAATAAAAATTATACAGTAATAAATTGTTTTTTTCCTTCAGGTTTATGGTGGCATATCTGGATATCAAGGATAGCTATGTTATAGACCTGGAAATACAGCTATATCTGCAAGCAAATAGTTCAGCAACAGAAGAACTGAGAATTCTTGAGGACATTTCAATTCCACGCATACCATGCAATGCGGATAGCACCTTTAAAGATTCAAGTAATTACGTTATTTGTGAAGTTCACTTCAAGGAAAATTTTTTCTTTCAATCTTGTACATTAGTTTGTGCCCACTATGACAGAGTTAGGCAACTTCGTGCTTACTATTTGCTCCTGTTCATATCAAGCAATATGAACCATCTTAAAAAACTAAACTGAAATTTGTGTAAAATGCCATTTTATTCTTTTCAAATTTTTCTTTTATATCATATTGTTGCAAGTTTGTCCTTCCTTCATTTGATGAATTATTTCTTATAGCATCTTCATTTATTTGTATATTGGTATTTTCCATGGAATCCTTGTTTGTATTTTCCATGGACTTCTTGTTTGTATCCATGTACTTGCTGCTGGTATTTTCAATGGACTTCTACCCTTGGGTACGGTTTGTGGACAATAGGTTAGAATATTTTTTAATTAGATCTAATGCAATATGTAATTTTCTTTCTTGACTTAGAATAGCATAAGAAAAAGTTGTTCCAGGGGTCTCATATAGTACATATATTTAGATTATATATTATATGACCATTTTTTTTTTAGATTTTTCACTCTCAGAATGGAAGACAAAGATGAATGTTGTCAATATGGTGGACATTACAGAATACCAGGTGGCAGTTCTGCTAGAGAATATAGGCATATCAGAATTTATGTTACCATCCGAATGCTCTGTTGACACTAATGGTATCATAATTTTGTCACTTTTATTTGAAATTGATACATGTGTATATAAGTAAGTAAGTAAGTAAGTAAAGGCTACACATTTGGTCACCCAATCTTTCATGTGGGCCTCAATCTTCCATGTCTTATTTGTGACATGTCAAGAATTTCCTTTCTTTTGAATAAAAGATGCATGTAAATAGAAATAAGCTTTTGCAATATGAAATGCATGAAAAGAATAACATGTGTACATGGTGTAGTAATTTTAAGATTTTAAAATGGTTTAAGAGTTTTTAAATGGACATTTTTATTTAAATACTGAGATAGACCATTGGCCATAGTTTTTAGTTATCTAGCGTTTGTACATGTACCTTCTTAACATTATAAAAGTTGCATTAAAGTAATAAGATTTAAAAAATGATTGCTGAGAACTATCACTTTTACTGTTTTTAATTTGTATTTCTCTGTTGTTGTTTTTTCAGAAGTTGATAAATGCACAGTAGAAGCTCATTTGCCAGAATTAGAGGACTCCATTACCTGTAGATTTATAGAACAGTGTACTGGTGTTCAGTGTTGCCTTCAGTCAGCGGATGTTCCAGAAAAATTTGATATAAGTTTTCATATAGATGTATGCACTGAAAAGGTTACAATCAACATAGAGAAATTACAGTTCACAGTTCCATTTCAAAATTTTACCTGGGGTACGTAACTTTTCACAGTTTTTGACTGTTTAACTTGGTGAATGAATAAACAAATTACGATATACAGCTTTAATAATAAAATACAAATAACTGAACTTGTGCATGTACTTTTCTTTTCAAAATTGACCAAATTTTCATAGAGATTTATATTGAGATATTGACATTGAGATATTGTCAATCTCTTATATTTAATTATATATTCTTCCATGGTCAAAAACTTTTTTATTATGAGGTATTGTTGCAGTTAAACATTATATTTATATATGTGTGTGTAGGAAAGGATTATGCTGGGAAATGTTTTCATTCTATTTTCGCCAACTGTAACAAAATTGTGTGTGTAATTTCATTACAGGGTCTGTTCAGCATTTCAGTTTATTTGGAGTGATTCGATTAGAGTAAGTAATATATTAATCTTTACTTTTGCTACAGTCATGTAAAAGATTTATTCTGCTTTTGATTTGAAACTGTCAATTGTTTAATGGAATTCAATAAGTAAGCAGTCAAAGATACGGTCTGTTTAATTACATTCCCTGAAATTCAGTCTGGCCTGGCTAAGTTCTGATGACAGTGTGACAGATCTGATATAATTGCCTTTACTAAGTATTAAATAATAAAATTTCATTGCAATACAAATTCATAAAATGAGTCATGTCACGACAAACCAACATCAGTTTCTCTACTTGTAATAGGGTTGGTAAGCGAACAGCATGGATCATGATCAGACTGCGCGGATGTGCAGGCTGGTCTGGATCAATGCTGGTCGCAAACCCATTATGTTGGTTTTGTCGTGACGAGGCTCAGTGCTTCTTGCAATAATATTTATGTTTTGAAGATGTATCTCTGTTCACCCTTTACCAACAATTTTCAGGTTAGAAATATCAGAACTGGTGGAGAGGCAACTTTATAGTGTTTCATTGAATGCAAGCATCTGTTTTAATGCAATAGAGCCTTGTGGTAGGAATATCAATGTGCTTCAAAATCTAGACTTCATTTTTCCACCCTGTGATTGGACTACAGATTTTATTGATGAAGGTAGTTTTCTCTTAACAATTGTTAATCATAATCATCTTTAATCTTTACCTCTATGAATTATTGAAATGAACTTTCCCTGCTGTGCATGGTATATGATATTATGAGAGACTTCAGTATAAAACATGTTAAAATGAAGCAGAGTTTGGTCAGACTATATCTTTGTTCAGGGTCTTTGCTTAGTTCTGGTGACATAGGCAAATCAGGTCAATAATATCTAACATATGTTGCGATTAGGATCAGAACCGGATGGTTGTAATGTTGGGTAGTAATGAGGCTTGCTGAGTCTCATATGTAAGAAAAGCTGTTATTATACAGAAAGCAAAAGAAATGGTGCTACGAATGACCACTTGAGCAATTTTATTCTGTCCACAAGATTGTGATCTATTTCATAAATATGTAGTCAATTTAGTGCTAATGATAATTTTTATAACCACATCTTTTTATGGACCATATAAAGAAAACCTGTAACCTTTTCATTCTTACATTTGAAGAAAAAATATTCAAAAAAAATCCATTACCAGAGAGTACTTGTCAATACCTACATTTTATTTTTGAAGTTTGATTACACATCTGTATAAAATTAAACAGAATGTTTTAAATAAGTAATAAAGATATTTCCTATACAACATGAGAAAGCCAAATCATGTGAAAACTGTAAGATCAAATATATTTTGCAAATATAAATTTTGAGTTTGTTTGTTTGGTTTTTTAATCTTAAAATGTTATTTTCTTCAGATTTTACATTTGATTTATGGGCAAGTGAGAATGGCTACAATTCAACAAGTTTATCAGAGACTGGTACAGGTCTGTTTTTGTCATATGTTGGGGTATCAGAGTACATCCAGGCAAGAATGTGTGATATCTCCACCTACCCTTACATACCTACAGATATGAGTGGATGGAACAATGGTATGATATAGTTTATTACAGTGATAGATTTTCGTGCATTTTTAGCAATGCTGAACTCTCCCTCACTCTTCTCTTTTATTTAAATGTTATTAAAATTCAGTTCCCTTATTTCATTGTAGTATTCCTAATAATTTGAAATCATTGTCCATCTATAATCTGAGATGTAATAATCTTGGGTTAGAATTATCACTTATTAAGTACATTTCATGACGACTTTTACTGTTTGCAATTTGATATTAAAGTACAGCAAAGATGATCTTTAACAACAGCATTCTGGACAGTTCTTAAAAAGGAATATCCATGCAGAGCAATAAAAGCTAAAACAAATTATTGAATATTCACAGAGCTGACTTGGTTAAATTGAGTACATTCATGACATAAAACATTTCAAAGGACTTAAGCACCAGCTTTAGCATTATTAAGTTCTGAATGTATGGGAACCAATGATCTGGATGGACAAGATAAAATATAACAAGTTTAAGATGAAATTTTCGGGGATCTTTTTATAGCTGGCATACAGCACTTAAAATTAATTTCTTTTTCTTTTATATAGACATATTATTAATAACTTGACATTGATACTAAAAAATTTTTGTTTTATTTTTAACAGAATGTTTAGTGACGGATGTTGACCTTGAGCCAGTAACGGAAGACACACATTGTCATTTAGATGATTCATGTTCAGGATTTGATTGCTGTACCTATGTCTCGACACTAAGTCGCTCATTCCATACAAGTTACCAACTGGATCACTGTAAAAGAGTTTTGTCTATCACAATTGAGAAAATGACACATCAAATTATTCTTACAACTTTTGAGTTTGGTAAGTGATATGCATGTCTAGTATATTTTTATTTAGCTACAACAATTCAACATCACATTTAATAACTAAATGCAACAATTGCATGAAATAAAAAAAACATAGTAAGGCTTTTCAATAACTGTCATTAATGGTAAAATCCACTGCATCATATTATTGGCTACACAGCAACGATGGGTAATTTCCTATAATTATATATATGTTTTGTGGCTTTACCCACTCACTTTGGAAATGACCCAGTTTTTTTTGGGTTTTTTTTCCAAACAAAATGAAAACTGCACTTACTTCATATATTGGCCATATGTTGTACATGTATTTCTTATATTACATGTTTATATACTTGATGCAAAACAGAATCATATCAATATTATTTTCTTTGAAATATTTAAATGATGAATATGCAAACATTTATCCTGATGAACTTCTTTGTTTTCTTATTTTTCTAATTTTATTTTTGTGTATATCAAATTATTTATATGACACTATAATATGAAAAATTATATATTCATCTTTTGCATTCAAACTGATTGTTTCAGATGTTTGGCATCATCACAGCCTGAATGGTTTCATTCAAATTGAGTAAGTTCACTTTCCCTTGCTTATAAAAAAAATCACTTTAAAGATATTTTATTATCTGAATTAAATGCATGTAGTCCCTGTGCATAAGCTGTCTGTTTTATTTGTTGGTTTAAACATATTTATTTTAGCTTGATTGCGAAACAAGTTCTTGCAACTATTAATAATCACTCCCTGGAACTAACCAGTACTAGTGTTATATGAGGAATCAAGGCTGTGACCTGGTTAGGGCTCGAACCCATGATCCCTGGGTTGAGAGGCAGACACTTTAACCACTTTGCCAGACCTCTTCCCTCATTCAATTAGCTTTACAGTATCTATAATCTGTATATTTACATGTTAAGAAGGTAATTGTGTGTTGTTAATGATAATTATTAGTACATGTATTTAAATGTTGTATCTTCATCAAATTAATTTTGTATTTACACAGTAAATATTCTATTCATTACATTAAAGCAAAATCATATTATTGTGGTGTTTTGGTTCACCTTATTAATTTACAGATTGATAAGAATTTCATACTTCCCTCATAGCATTGATCGATGGAATAAGCTACCTAACAACATTGTCATCCTGCCCAACTTAAGGTATTACCACCCAAATGGGCACCATAAGGAACTAAAAAATTGACATCATCTAAGGTCTAAAGTACACCTGTATGCAAAATTTAAACAAAGTTTACCTACAGAAATCAAGTTATGGCCACTTTTCTGAACTCCAGCTAGGATGTTATGAGGGCCTTATTTTAGAAATGAGGGATCTTTAAATAATCTGCAATAACATGCTAATGAAAAATGTTTTCCCATTATTTTTTGGTAAGAAACAAAAAGTACCATTCAGCTAACAAGCCACATAAGCAAAATTATGGTTTCTACTTTAAATTTATGAAATCTGTATAAAAATGTTACCCTACCCCACACATTTTTACCACATGTCTGACCATTTTCCTACTTAGGGAGCCTAATTTAAAAAATCCTTACAATTTACCCAAATGAGTGCCTGTTTTTAAAGTTTCCCTAAATTTTTTGGTTGATCTTGTAAAATATGAAATACTTTTACCATCTAGTTTTGATTTTATTACACTTTAAAAGTATCAGGTACCATATTTATTACTAGATTTAGCATAATTTAGCCAATAAATACCTATATAAATTTAAAAATCAAAATTAAACACTTTTCTTTCCAAATGGGACATGAGAGATACATAAATAATGGTAAAAGAAAAAAAGAAAGAAAAAAAAAGTTGACCCTTCTGGGGATTGAACCCATGGCCCTCATTTTCAATGTAGTTAACAGTAGTTCTAGCCTATTTGAATACTCTTCAAAGCGGAGGTAATACATTAGGATGGTAATACCTTAAGTCTGTTCAAACGGGTAGGTTAGTAGGGTCGCAGTATTAGTCTTGCTCCCAGTGTTTTTAACTAAAACTCGTGTGTGCACTTAATGCCTGCCCATATCACTCGGGAGAGGGGTTGGCAGTATTCAGAGATAAAATTGAATATACTACATAATAAGCCTTGCATTATATTATGTCTTCATCACCTACTTCAAGTTGTTACCATCTTTTTTAACTTTTCTCTCTCTACATATATATTTCAGTTATTTAGTGAGACATCTCCCAGCTAAGCAGCTCTTTATCTTATCCATTCACCTGGCTATATGTTTGGACAAAACCAATTGTGCTGTGAGAACATCAATACTGAAAGAAGCTGTCGTGCCTAATATACCCTGTGAATGGAATCCAGATTTGACTGATACAGGTATTGCTTTTACAACACTTGATAATGATGTCTTTAATATTAGGAAAAGTTGAGCTTATTTAAATGAATTCTGAAACTGAACTCATTCCCATCTAAAGAAGTGATAATTTTTCTTATTTATGAACCAATACAACAGTGTTGTTTTGCTTGATTTATTGTAGTATTCCATTGAATCACATAGCACAAACACAGATACAAAATAATTGATAAGATAATATTATATGTTAAGGACTATAAGAAATAAAAAGTAAACACAAAGCCTTATTTCCATTGTGGTCCTTAATATATAGTATTTTATGACATAGAAAAATATTGATTATGACAAATTTAAAAAAAATATTTTATTGCTAATTTGGACAAAAATGACTAGAAGAAAAAGATTGTTGTAACAATTAGCTTTTAAGTTCTTTTTACATTGATAATTTTTATGCCCCCACAATGTGGGAGCATATAGCGTTGCACTTGTCCATCCGTCCGTCCGTCCGTCAGTCCGTCCGTCCGTACGTCCCGAAATCTTGTGAACGCAACTCCTCTTAAACCGGTTGGCAGATTTTGCTTAAACTTACAGGGATAAACAACCTTAATGTGTAGATGGTAGTAAAGGAAGGAATTTTTGCTGCGACCAAATTTAACAGAATTATGGCCCTTTGTTTATTTTTTCACTAGATACTATGTAGAAATTTTGTGAACGCAACTCCTCTTAAACCGGATGGCAGATTTTGCTTAAACTTACAGGGATGAACAACCTTAATGTGTAGATGGTAGTAAAGGAAGGAATTTTTGCTGCGACCAAATTTAACAGAATTATGGCCCTTTGTTGATTTTTTCACTATATACTATGTAGAAATTTTGTGAACGCAACTCCTCTTAAACTGGATGGCAGATTTTGCTTAAACTTACAGGGATGAACAACCTTCAGGTGTAGATGGTAGTAAAGGAAGGAATTTTTGCTGCGACCAAATTTTACAGAATTATGGCCCTTTGTTGATTTTTTTCACTATATACTATGTAGAAATTTTGTGAATGCAACTCCTCTTAAACCGGATGGCAGAATTTGCTTAAACTTCCAGGGATGAACAACCTTAATGTGTAGATGGTAGTAAAGAAAGGAATTTTGCTGCAACCAAATTTAACATAATTATGGCCCTTTGTTGATTTTTAGTTTTCAACTTGTGTCACATGTAGTCCAAAAATTATTTGACCTAGAGTCATAAGATTGACAGAACAGTGGCGTGTGGGGGCATCCGTGTCCTATGGACACATTTCTAGTTTTTAAAATAAAATGAATTGTGTCTCCTGTAAGTGACTAAACTTGATAAATTAAAAATATTCCAATGCAGCATTGAAGTTGGAAATAATTAGCCTCTACTAATTAAACACATAATTTGCGATAATTGATAAGTAATAGAGTGTAGTATGATGATATTAGTTTATTTGTTTGATTTTATCAGATTTCTCGTTGACTGAATGGAAATATGATAGACAAATTGGAGAGAATGATACATTAAGCATCAGTCAGCAGACAGAATTGTCAGATGATATTGGAGTGTCACATTATCTTAATGATCAGCAATGTAGTGCTGGTGTTGTAGATAATGAGGCAACAGGTGAATCATTTATCAAAATGTCCTAATGTTCATATGTTCTAAAGTTTCAAACAGTACATTTTTTTAAATATTTTCTTAAGTCAAAATAATGTTACAGAAACTGTCTTGTTGACATTAAGAAATTGTTATGACAAAATTGGCATGCATGTCTGCACTTCTGTAGAACTAAGACATGTATTTCAGTTTTGAAGACATTACATTTTTGCTTTTTTTTGCTAAACAGAAAGTATTTCTATCCTAAGATAAGCTTATAATATTATGATTAATGTTTTGGATTTGAAAATATTTAAGGAATTGACAAGTTTACAAATTTAATATTATTATGCCCCCACTTCGAAGAAGAGGGGGTATATTGCTTTGCACTTGTCGGTCCGTAGACCAAATGGTTTCCGAGTGATAACTAAAGAACCCTTAGGCCTAGGAACTTTAAACTTGGTATGGTGATTGGTCATGACAAGTAGATGACCCCTATTGATTTTGGGGTCAAGGGGTCAAAGGTCAAGGTCACATTGACCTTGTAAGCAAAAACGGTTTCCGATCACTAACTAAAGAACCCTTAGGCCTAGGAACTTCAAACTTAGTATGGTGATTAGTCATGATCAGTAAATGACCCCTATTGATTTTGGGGTCAAGGGGTCAAAGGTCAAGGTCACATTGACCTCTTAGGTAAAAACGGTTTCCGATCAATAACTAAAGTACCCTTAGGCCTAGGAACTTCAAACTTGGTATCCTGATTGGTTATGACCAGCAGATGACCCCTATTGATTTTAGGGTTAAGGGGTCAAAGGTCAAGGTCACATTGACTTTGTAGGTAAAAACGGTTTCCGATCAATAACTAAAGAACCCTTAGGCCTAGGAACTTCAAACTTGGTATGGTGATTGGTCATGACAAGTAGATGACCCCTATTGATTTTGGGGTCAAGGGGTCAAAGGTCAAGGTCACATTGACCTTGTAAGCAAAAACGGTTTCCGATCAATACCTAAAGAACCCTTAGGCCTAGGAACTTTAAACTTGGTATGGTGATTGGTCATGACCAGCAGATGACCCCTATTGATTTTGGGGTTAAGGGGTCAAAGGTCAAGGTCACATTGACCTTGTAGGTAAAAATGGTTTCCAATCAATAACTTAAGAACCCTTAGGCCTAGGAACTTCAAACTTAGCATGGTGATTGGTCATGACCAGCAGATGACCCCTATTGATTTTGGGGTCAAGGGGTCAAAGGTCAAGGTCACATTGACCTTGTAGGTAAAAACGGTTTCCGATTAATTAACTTAAAACGCCTAGGCCTAGGAACTTCAAACTTAATATGATAATTGGTCATGACCAGCAGATGACCCCTATTGGTTTTGGGATCAAGGGGTCAAAGGTCAAGGTCACATATACCTTGTAAGTAAAAACAATTTTTGATCAATAGCTAAAGAACGCTTAGGCTTAGGAACTTCAAACTTGGCATGGTGATTGGTCATGACCAGCAGATGACCCCTATTGACTTTGGGGTCAAGGGGTCAAAGGTCAAGGTCACATTGACCTTGTAGGTAAAAACGGTTTCCGATTAATAACTAAAGAACGCTTAGGCCTAGAAACTTCAAACTTGGTATGATGGTTGGTCATGACCAGCAGATGACTCCTATTGATTTTTGGGTCAAGGGGTCAAAGGTCGAGGTCACATTGACTTTGTAGGTAAAAACGGTTTCCGATCAATAACTAAAGAACGATTAGACCTAGAAACTTCAAACTTGGTATGATGATTGGTCATTGCCAGCAGATGACCCCTATTCTTTTGGGGTCAAGGGGTCAATGTCATATTGACCTTGTACTTAATGACGGTTCCTGACCAATAACTCAACAACTCAAGTTGCCTTGGTTGATATTTTTATTTTAAACTAAAAATGCTTTTGGTATACACATTTGAAGGTCTTATGTAATATAACAACTTGGCTGTCATTAATGAGGCCTACATGATTCATAAAATTTATGCATATATTATTTGGTAAGATTTGTAATAACTTAAATTGCTGCACACAACCTATGGGGTCACAATAATTATTACCTTGTGACTAGTCATGACCAGTAGATACTAGATAACCCTTACTAATTGTTTGTTCACTGGGTCAGAAGTCATGCATAATAACCTGATCACATGACTTATTGGCTGCCGATAGGGTGCATACATGTTTTACAAACATATCTTGTTAAATTGAATTTAAATTCTTAACATGTTTGATTTATCAATACTTATCTAATACATGTTTTTCACAGATTGCAACCCACCAGAATCATTTCCTTCGTCAGTTTGCAGTATGACAGATAGTTGCAGTGGTATTGAATGCTGTGTCTTCTCGGAAGTTTTACAAAGATATATTTCATATTTCTTCCATTTTGATGAATGTAACCACATGCTGTATGTTAGAATAGAAACATTCACAAAAAGCATGTCACTTTATGACTACACATATGGTAAGTAGATTGGTAGAAACAATTTTCATTTTTTGAAATCTTTTATGAAAGAAAATATTTAGGTCTTTCATTTTCATTTCATTCAATTACTCTGAAAACTGCTTCAGTTTATTCTGTCTTATCTGTATGTGAAATTTTACTGCCTTTTCTAGTTTTATGCTTTATAACCCAAGGAGTAGAAGCAATTTCTATGTATTTTGACTCATCCTGGATAGTGAATGTGCTAGGCTAGCCTTAATATCACATATTTAGAATTTGATAAAAATTTTACAACTTGAGAAACAATTTTATGAGTTTATAAAAAGTAATACTTAAAATTACCATGAATATAGAGGTATGCTGCTTGAAAGTGGAAAACTGTTGATAAATAAATAAGCTTTAAAAACAGTAAATAAATAGGTAGGTAGATAATTGAAGAAAACAACAATATATTTTTAAATTTAGTTTTGTCAAAATGTAAAAAATTAACAAACTTTAGCCTATCTTTATATATTTAATGTATCATATTTTGATTAATTACAGGATCTGCGATAACGTTTTCCCTGAATTCTATTTTCCAAATTGAGTAAGTTAAACTTTGTTTTTGACAAAAACATTTTTGATTACAATTTTTACATCCTTAAACTTTTACTTTAAATGACATCCTCTCATAAACCATTAAGCCAATTTCATCAAAACTTCACAGAAATGTTCCTTTGGTGGTCACCTTTCAAAATTGTTTATAGTAAAAACTTAAAAAATCTTTTTTTAAAGAACCCAAAGAGCTAAAGCTAAGATATTTAGCATGAAACATGTTCTAATGGATGTCTACCAAATTTGTTCAAATAAGAGCCCTTGGGTCAAAATTGGCCAAGCCCCGGGGGTCATTGATTTTCCTTATATATGTATTGCAAAAACTTCTTTGAAAAAACCCAAATAGCTAGAGTTTAGATACTAAGCATGAAACATCTTCTAGTGAGTGTCTACAAAGGTTGTTCAAATTAAAGCCCTGGGGTCAAAATTGGCCCTCACTCAGCCCGGGGGTCATTGATTTTATTTATATGTATAGCAAAAAGTCTTCTTTGAAAAATCCCAAAAAGCTAGAGTTTAGATATTAAGCATGAAACATCTTCTAGTGAGTTTGTTCAAGTAAAAGCCCTGGGGTCAAAACTGGCCCCGCCCCAGGGGTGTCATTGCTTTTAACTATATGTGTATAGTAAAAACTTAAAAAATCTTCTTTTGAAAACTCAACAAGCTAGACCTTAGATGTTTAGCATGAAACATCTTCTAGTGGGTGTCTACCAAGTTTGTTCAAATCAAAGCCCTGGGGTTTAAACTGGCCCCGCTCTGGGGGCCTATATACAGGTGAGCGACTTCAGGGCCATCATGGCTCTCTTGTTGTAATTACTACTAAAAAGTTTGTTAACAGAAATCGCTATTGTCCTTATTTGTGTACATGTATATAGAAAAATCTCTGATAGGATTAGATATTAAGCATGATGTATCTGGCAGCATAATCTGTTATATTTTTATAAGATAATTGTCCCCCGCCTTTTCGAAGAAAAAAGGGGGATATAGTAATAGGCTCCGTCCGTCCGTCCGTCCATCCGTCACACTTTCGTGTCCGGTCCATAACTTTGTCATTTATCAAAGGAATCTGAAATAACTTGGCACAAATGTTTGTTATAATAAGACGATGTGTCATGCGCAACAATCAGACCCCTAACTCCAGGGTCAAGGTCGCACGTGCTCATTCAAGGTCAACATTGTCTATTTGATGATATATGTCGTGTCCGGTCCATAACTTTCTTATCTTTGAAGGGATTTTGTAAATACTTGCCACAATTGTTCACAATAATGAGACAATGTGTCATGCGCAACAACCGGTCACCTACCTTCAAGGTCAAGGTCACACTTGGAGGTCAAAGATTAACATAGTCTATTACAGGGTATATTTTGTGTCCAGTCCATAACTTTTTCATTTATCAAAGGAATCTGAAATAACTTGGCACAAATGTTTGTTATAATAAGATGATGTGTCATGCGCAACAACCACACCCCTACCTCCAGGGTCAAGGTCGCACGTGCTCATTCAAGGTCAACATTGTCTATTTGATGATATATGTCGTGTCTGGTCAATAACTTTCTTATTTTTGAAGGGATTTTGTAAATTCTTGCCACAATTGTTCACAATAATGAGACAATGTGTCATGCGCAACAACTGTCACCTACCTCCAAGGTCAAGGTCACACTTGGAGGTCAAAGATTAACATAGTCTATTACAGGGTATATTTCGTGTCCGGTCCATAACTTTTTTATAGATTGAAGGATTTTGTAAATACTTGCCACAAATAGTAACAATAATGAGACAATGTGTCATGAGCAACAACCGGTCACCTACCTCCAAGGTCAAGGTCACACTTGGATGTCAAAGATTAACATAGTCTATTACAGGGTATATTTTGTGTCAGGTCCATAACTTTTTCATTTATCAAAGGAATCTGAAATAACTTTGCACAAATGTTTCTTATAATAAGACGATGTGTCATGCGCAACAACCAGACCCCTAACTCCAGGGTCAAGGTCGCACTTGCTCATTCAAGGTCAACATTGTCTATTTGATGATATATGTTGTGTCCAGTCCATAACTTTCTTATCTCTGAAGGGATTTTGTAAATACTTGCCACAATTGTTCACAATAATGAGACGATGTGTCATGCGCAACAACCGGTCACCTACCTCCAAGGTCAAGGTTACACTTGGAGGTCAAAGATTAACATAGTCTATTACAGGGTATATTTTGTGTCAGGTCCATAACTTTTTCATTTATCAAAGGAATCTGAAATAACTTGGCACAAATGTTTGTTATAATAAGACGATGTGTCATGCGCAACAACCAGACCCCTAACTCCAGGGTCAAGGTCGCACTTGCTCATTCAAGGTCAACATTGTCTATTTGATGATATATGTTGTGTCCAGTCCATAACTTTCTTATCTCTGAAGGGATTTTGTAAATACTTGCCACAATTGTTCACAATAATGAGACGATGTGTCATGCGCAACAACCGGTCACCTACCTCCAAGGTCAAGGTTACACTTGGAGGTCAAAGATTAACATGGTCTATTACAGGGTATATTTTGTGTCCGGTCCATATCTTTTTTATTGATGAAAGGATTTTGTAAATACTTGCCACAAATAGTCCCTATGATAAGACAATGTGTCATGCACAACACCTGCATCCCTACCTCCAGGTTCAAGGTCACACTTAGAGGTCAAAAGTTAACATAGTCTGTTTTAGGGTATATTTTGTACTTCTTCAGGATTTTGAAATTACTAGGCACAAATGGTCACAATAATAAGACAATATGTCAGGTACAACACCTGCACCCCTACCTCCAAGGTCAAGGTCACACTTACAGGTCAAAGGTTAACAGAGTCTGTTATATGGTTTATTTTGTGTCCTGTCTATAACTTCTTCATAGATCAAGGGATTTTACTGAGCACAAATAATCACCATGATAACATGATATGTCATGCGTAACACATGTGTCCCTACCTCAAAGGTGAAGGTCACACATAGAGGTCAAAGATTTACATAGTCTGTTATAGGGTATATTTTGTGCCCGGTCCATAACCTGGGATTTTAAAAATACTTTGCACAAATAATCACAATAATAAGATGATATGTCAGGCGCAAAACATGGGTCCCTACCTCCAAGGTCACACTTAGAGGTCAAAGATTGACATAGTGTGTTATAGGGTATATTTTGTGTCCGATCTATAACTTCTACATAGTTCAAGATTTTGAAAATACTTGGCACAAATAGTAATAATAATAAGACGATATGTCATGCACAACACCTGCACCCCTACCTCCAAGGTCAAGGTCCCACTTAGAGGTCAAAGGTTAACATGATAGAATTTGAAATTCTGTGTTTCATTTTACTAGTATTTCTTTAATAAATTTATTGTTACATTTGCAGATCTAGCATTGATCATAATTTTGGACTGAAAGTCCTGAAATCCATAACTAAATCTTTTGAAATAGCACAATTTTATGCTTCATTGGTAACTCTGTTACAAATTCTTGTTATTGTAAAAATCCATTGCATAATTGTAGAATTGTTTTTAAAATGAATAATATTATGTCAGAAAGATACTATAAAATAATATTGATTTTATTTATTTGTACTCAAATACTCTTAAGCAATATAATTTTATTGCAGGTTTGCTGTTGATCATCTGGACTTCTATAAAAGAAACATTATCAGTTTAACTATAAAGGAATGCTATGGACTTAATGAAACCTGTGTGTTGTCTACTGAAGTACTAAACCATGCAAGTTTTCCAAGCCAAAACTGTCCTACAGACAAAACGTATAATAACAGAGGTAAACACTGTTTTGCAAAATCATATAATTTAAACCAAAATTGATAAATTCACGATTCTGATAAATGCCATTTTGTTGTGTGGATGTCTTCACTGGATATTGAGGAAAATAATGGCCATATTTTTGTTGAATTATTGAAATAAGTGTGCACTTATGCACAATTTTAATGTGGTTAAAAGAAAAACTTGAATAAAACATTGTTGTTTATTCTCAAGCCGTTTTCTTGCCTTTGGTTAAGAAACTCTTTATTAGCAAAAAAAGCAAAATTTTCTTTGATGACAATTTTTTTTTCTTTTGTACATGAAGAAATATAGTAGGATGGTGCTATTGATAACCACAGTATATATTCATCGTTTTTGTTACAAATTGTAATAATACAGACTTATTTCATTATTTATTTTACTGATCATTAATTTAAAAGTACATAATAATGGTTATCAAAGTTTAAATCAAAGACAAATAATATTTAGGTCAGTCTGCCATGTTTTTGGGTGGCTTTATGTTTGCTAACTAGCTCATGTTCAGATTGACTCAGTGTCCATGGGGACAGGATAGTAGCTGGGAGTACCATAAACAAGTAATCTGTAAAATGTTGTATTTTCAGGCTTTTCCTTATCCACATGGTTGGATGACAACAACATCAATTCCTCACTTCTAGAAGATGTTGCATTATCTAGAATTATGAAAGATCTTGGGGCTAATCAATATTTGCTTGCCACTGAGTGCTCTGTTCAAACTGCCAATGTCACAAATGGATGGATCAATGGTTTGTTTATCATGTATCTTAATGTGTACATGTAGATAAATTAAGTTTTAGTTTACAAAGATAACAATTGTTTGCAACTCCATTAGAACAGAGTTAATTTTAAGACTGGTGAACTTTTTTCATTACAAAACTATCAACTTGTTCTTTCAAGTACAAGCAAAGAACATTCTGCACTTGACTGATTAAAAGTCTTTGCATAAGAAATATATAAAACTTTGTTGTTTGAGTGAGGTAAATTTTTTGTTCGCATAATCAAATATATGACCTGAGGATAATATTATGTATTGAAACAGTATTACTAATTGTACTATTTGACAAAGGGTCTGCTTCCATGTATATAAAGCATTTTCATATCAAATTTGTTTTATACATTTAATCCAGTCCACTTGAATTTTTAAATATCCACTATTTTCAAAGATTACCAAATATAATGCAAACAAGTTGTAAGTGACTATTGTTCTTATCTTACTTGTTTTGTCTTTTACAGATTGTCCACTGAGCATGGTGTTGCCCAATATGACCAGTGATATATCTTGTCATATGTATGATACATGTACAGCGGTGGATTGTTGTGTTATGGTGGAAGAACTTCAGAGTTCATTTAGTCTTGTATTTAGTTTACGAGAGTGTGACCTTGTTGTAGAAGTTGGTATAGAAAAACTTCATCATGAGTTATTGCTAGCTGATGTTATTGGTAAAAATGAAATGAAATTTCTTCCTTTTAGAATTATTAGCTTTAAAAAATGTTTGAAACTAAAGTATTTTTACACAGGGTCAAAGCTTAATTATGACCTTTATTTTCCTTGTCCAGAGATTAACTGAATAACTAAAACTTCAAAAAATACTATTGTGTGCTTCATGTAAAACTTCTTTTAGGCAGTGGACATTGATAAGTTTGTTACAAATCCTTGTTTCTATAGTTCCGTTCTTTCTTAAATTTATACTTTAAATTGTCATGAAAGGTTTGATATAACAAGATATTTGTAATTTCAGGAAGTCCCACCACTGTTAGTCTGAATGGCTTCCTGCAACTCCGGTAAGAATATTTGATATTAATTTATATTTCATTAAATTAAATTTTTTCACAGCTATGAAATAAAAAAGCAAATATTTGTGATTTTGAAATACTTGTTAAGTACCATTAAAAAATGTTCAATTTTTTTAATGGACTAATGTCTTTTTTTCTATTCTTCCATGGAAAATGGTTAAAGTTAGAAATCATTAGCAAAGTATGAATAGCTTCATTTCCTGATTTGATATACATCTGCTAAAAGTCTAAAATAATCCCCCTCAAAAATTATTTTATTGAATGGCTTTGCATATTCCTGCATCAGAAACCATTGTGCTGAATTGAAAATTGTGATTTATTCACAGGTTTACTATAGAAGAGTTTTCTGCTGAAGAATATATACTTGATGTGAAAGTACAGATTTGTTTAGAAAGTGGATCTGCATGCAAAGAGATCAGTGTTTTTGAAGAAACAAAACTTCAAAGATATGTGTGCGACTTTCCACCAATTTTTGATAATGAAGGTAATGACAGAGGTGTCTCAATAATGGTTTTACTTTTTAAAAATAATTTTCTTAAATTTTATTTAATTTAAACAAATGATCCCAGTTATGAAAAAATCTTTGTTTGAGCTTTTTTTTGGTAAAAAAATCCGAAATTGAGTCCTTTATGGGTTTTTGAAAAATTTAAATTTAAGATTAGGGGGAACTCAATGCCCTCTTTTTGAAATTTTGGGTTTTATTTCAGTGTGTAAAAAGAAATTGTTTTTGTTTGAAATTTTCACCCGACTGGATAGTAGAGAAGGGAAGTGTTAAAGATATTATTATTTATTTTGAGATGGAAAAAAAAACCCCTTTTAAAACAGGACCTAGCGTTACCTCACACACTGTCCAAACAACCCTGTGTTCTGGGCAACAGCTCTAAAGAAGGTAATTCATCCTTACCCTGCTGGAACCAAGATTGAATAGCCTTTGTCTATGCAAAAATAGCCCTTACTTTGTTAGTAACGCAGTAAAAATATAGTTACAAATACTGAAAAATCGGTCACTCATCGCGCATAACATATAAGTCATTACTAGAATTTTCCATCTGTTTACATTTCCTAAAATCTTAGAACATTTTTATCGGGTTTGATCTTATATATTTTTGCTCATCTGGAGGCTTGCAGCTTTAAAACAAATGATTAAATTGTCATGTGCTTGATAAACGTCGTGTATTTATTTATCATGAATAATTTCACAAATCATTTCTTATGATATCTTTAAGTAATATGGATGTCATGGTTTTCCATTGCTAGGTCTATTTGACATCGATGTAACAGCTTATTCCAATGACACAGTTTGTAAAGTTGATCAAGAGAACAGTTACCTGGAATGCTGCATGTACTCTGATGTACTTGATAGAAATCTCTGGCTGAGCTTCACTCTCAACCCTTGTAACTACATGATAGAGGTCAATGTGGAAAATATCAACAAGAAATATGAAATGCTCAACTACAACTGGGGTAATTTATATATACAATGTATTTATAAAAAAATTGCAATTTCAATATAATTCAAATAATTATGTAAGTCACTCTGATAATATCATATGGCAGCTGCCTGTGTTATCTAATGTGGTATAAAGATGATTCTAGATACATCTTTTATTATAATAGGTATGATTTATAAGTTTGGAAGAACTGTCAATATTCTGCAAGCTGGCACGATAATTTTTACTCCCTTGTAGGCTTTAAACCATTAGAAGTGAGAGCTGAGTAGTTTATGGTCTTGGACCTTAACCAACCAGCCATTGAAGCACCTTTTTTTCTGACAGTTTTGTGTCACATAATCACAGTGAAGGTCATATAGTTCCTTCCTATTTTTTCCTCAGGCACTCCTCAGTGCAATCTTTTAGACAGGAATATGCCACTGAATTACCAACCATCTATAAGTTTTCTGGATAGATTTTTGATGTTGAAAGAATCCAAAGTTCCCGCTGTAAGTGGCTTATAATTTGAAATCTATAACTAATACCAATTAGCTGGAACGCAAATTTTACTGTTATTGTCATTCATGTAATTATTTTCTAGACTATATTCAACAGTACTGTGTTTTTTTATATGATTTATATTCCACAATTTCATTAGATCAACATTTTTTTTATAGAAACAAGATATTATGTGGTGCTAAAGGGGTGTTTGGGGTGAGGGAAAATTTTTAAAATTCCCATACCATTTTATAATTTTATTTTTGTTTTTCATGTTTATTTGGTTTGCACTATGAAGGATAAAAGCCGAATCGTATTTCAATAAATATTTTCTGATTTTCGTGTGGCCCTTTTCTGTTTTTTATACCCGTTAATTATACAGTACAATAAAAATTAAAAATTTCATTGAATAAAAAAAGAAAAATGAAATTTTTTTTATGGGGTTTTTTTCATTTTTTAATACATCATGTAGTCAAAATGTATATTTTATATTAATTTGTAAATTTCAAAAAAGAAAAAATTGAGAATTTATAAAAAATGCATTTTTTTCATTTTCTGTATTTTCACTGTAAAAAGTATATTTTTCACTGCAGTGTAACATATTTTCTGTATTTTCACTGGTGTCTTGTTGGACTACTTTCTTCTAAATTCAGCCAGAATACAAAATTTAAGTAAAAGTCTTTTGCAAACTTGATTAATGAATGATATCAGAATCTTGATTTTTTTTTGCCTAAGATTTTCATATTGTATTTCAGATTCATGGTATCAAATATCCAGTCAGAACAATCATTCTCTATTGACATTGATATGCAGTATAATCTGGAATCAAATAATGGAACCAATGGGAAGACTATTGTAGTTGCTAGTGACTTGAGAATGCTTTACCCAACCTGTCCAAACATATCTACTGATGATTTCATTCCACCATACTATGGTAAGCATATCTATAAATAGAATATGATTACTTTTTATTTGTTAAAAATCTTGTATGTTGTATATACCCTTAGATCTTGTTTTCTTTAAAAAAAATTTGAGGACATTATTTTGAAAATGGCATAACTAATGTCTCATTTCAGGTATAACACTTGATTTTTGGAGATTAACTAAATGTGAGAACAAGGTCAACAGTACTAGCAATAATGACACAAATACAGTAAACGGCACTGATGCCATTAATGGCACTGATTCAATAAATGGTACAGATTCCATAAATGGCACAGATTCCATAAATGGTACAGATTCCATAAATGGCACAGACTCAATAAATGGCACAGACTCCATCAATGGTACAGACTCAATAAATGGCACAGATTCAATAAACTGCACTGATTCAACAAATGGCACAGATTCCATAAACTGCACTTTTTCAATCAATGGTACAGATTCTATAAATGGTACTGATTCCATAAATGGCACAGATTCCATAAATGGCACAGATTCTACCAATGGTACAGATGTTATTAATGGGACTGATTCTTACAATAGCACAGATTTTAACAATGGAACTGATACCTTTGATAATCAGCAAGAAATTGGTATGTTATTAACTTCTTAAAAAATTTTATGGAATTACATCCATTAATATATAAGTGATTAAAAATCAGCAACTTTTTTCTTTTTCTCGGAAGTAGAGAGATGAAAGGAGAAACTCGGAAATATTGGTGTAAGCACATCAAAACTTGGCAGTACACTAATTTGAATATAGGGGTGATTACCTTGTTGTTGTTTTGTTTTTCAGAAATATTTATTCTAAATAAACATTATCTAACCTTTGCTGTGACAGTTATTCATATCAAGTTGATCTACTCTTGATTAAGAAATGTATTTTTTTTTCAGTATGTGATGATCTACCTGATATTCTGGAAGACATTTGTCAGTATAATGAAGACTGTAGTGAGATATCTTGTTGTACTGACTTATTACTACAACAAGGCACAAATGGGGTAAAAAATGCATTAATTCATGTTCAGATATCCTGCGATGGCAAAATGCAGTATGGCATTGAAAACAAAATTTGGACAAAGACATTGTCAAACTTCCCTGGTAAGTTTAGAAGTTGTCCTTGATTCACATTTGTTTTAATTTAATTTATAAGGAGAAAGTGGTATCCAGTGCATGTTTAAAAAGTTGTTTCATGTATAAATATCTTGTTGTCAAAGTGAATGTAGAGCATCAGATTTTGTCACATCATTTTAAGTATGACTGCCTTCAAAATCATTCGAAAATGATAAATTTGTATGCTGGCACATTGGAATTTATTTGATTTTAACTGAACTCTTGCTATAAAATGCCATTCTTTCTTTCAATATAACAGTTACATCCATGAATTGATCCACTCCAGGTTCAAATTTGTTTCAAATATTTATTATACTCAATGAGATTTTTTTTTTTAAATTTCAGTGGTAATATCCCGTGGTATAGCTAATTGCATTTTCCTAGATCTTACCATAGAGGAAGGACTTTCACACTACTCAGTGACATTTAATGTTACTGTATGTACGCTGTCAGGCTGTGACCTGAACTTTTCTATGGAAAATGTGAAACTCGCAAAGATCAAATGTGCAAAAAGACGGAAAAGAAATATACTGGATTTATAGTAAGTATCCTTTCCAATCATTATATTGAGTGAATCAGTTAAAAGGTGGCATTTATAATTTCTTTAGGTAAAATGAGTTCTGCTTGTATATTTTTCTAATGAAAAATAATAAGTTTAGGCAATACCTGCTTCAGACAATGTCTGAAAGATAACTGGGAAGCTTTCCTGCATCTATAGGCATGAAAGTTACCATGTGACCTTCACAATAACACACTCAAATCATACAGAGGCAGACTCTTGGCTAGATCCTTTTACCTGCTGTAAAGTGGCTAGACACTTACCTTTCTTGGGAAAATTCTGTGTCCCAGCCAGTATTTTAGAGCAAATAATTAATGTTGATGTTGGAAGATTATGTTTACAATACCTTTTTTAACTTGTTAAATACCGTATAAGTGTTTTTTTCTGCGGTGACTTTATTTCTGCGTTTTCTGCGGTCAGTTTCATGACCGCAGAAATAAAAACCGCAGAATATTTCACTCACCTGCTACGATATGTGTCCTGCATTATGACCTGTTTCGTCTACAGTAATAACGACTAACGTATTATAACGGTAAGGGGGTTTTCAAATTGTATTGAATTGCTGTAGGCTTATTATGTAATCTTTGTTTTTAAAGGACATACTAATTGTTAATGATGCTAATTTTAGAATAAATCTATTTCAAACCATTTCAACCCTTATACTGCTAAATAATCGTTGTCTACTATAAGTGTCATCTGATTTACGGTCAACTGCTATCAACTTTTTAATTATACAATTAAAGATACTACAGGGATATATTTTTCACACGTCATTTCACGATGATCAAAAGCTGCATACCTTTCTATTGTTGCGCATTATATTTGTTTGCAAGCAAACAGTACATTTGTTTGTAATTAATTTATTGTTTTGCGGTGACGAAGCTAAACAAATGTGTACGTGCGAAAAAATAGGTTGAGAAATGTGACTTAGATTTTGATAAGACGAGTCGCAGAATTTAAATCACGTTTTGTCCAAAGAATGTGCCGCAGAAATAAAGTCCGCAGAAATAAAAACATGCCAAAATTTGGAAAAACCCCAGAATTTGGAGCCCGCAGAAAAAAACACTTATACGGTAGATCAAACCTCTATTTTCTATTTGCAAACTGATTAAGATGTTTAAAAAAAGTATTTTCCTTTAAAGCTTAAGGAAACTACTGACACATCTTTGTAAAAATTCTTTGGAAATGATTGTAAAATAACTTTATTATATGAATTTTTTTAGCAAAGATGATCCTGATTATAAGGTGCTTGTGCGGGAGCTCATGAACAAAGGTGCGACAGAGGATGAGATACAAACAATGTTTGATACAATAATAGAGGAGGAGGTATGTATTCAATGGCCTCGTCTATTTTAGGTCACAATTGCTTACTTTTCTTTACCATGCCTAAAACTTCTTTTCAGAAATGAGCCCGCAACTTTTACTTTTAATGCCTTCTGCATCCACTACTTAGGGGTGGAGGAGATATATATTTGCCCTTGTTTCTATGTCCTGTTGACGTATATTGACAGAACAGTGGAATGTCGGATCATCCATGTCCTATGGCCACATTGCTTGTTGTATCATAAATATACTTGTATCAAACTTCAGTGTAAGGTATCCTGACAAATTGTTCAATGTGCAAAAACAAGTGTATTTAAGTTGTCACCATATTAAATTTTCACTGGATGTAATAATCTTACATATACATTGTGAAAGTACATTATCAATTAGTGGTATATATAATGTTTGCTTTGTTTCATTCTGATATTCAGAATATACAGAAAGAAATTGTCTGGGAGGGAGAGCTGATAAAAGATGATGATTCCAGCTCCAGCTACTCGTTGGTTATGAAATCACTGGGACAGAACAATCCAAATACATTAAAATATCAACGTGGCTTTATTGCAAACACTAATGTTACAGTGACAGGAAGTACGAAATTTTGTGACACTTTCAGTCTTATGTTTTTATTACTTTATTTTTTAAAGAATAGAGTGTTTTTTGTGTGTTTTTTTTAAGCAGAAACAAAATTGGATTTTAATAAACATAAACTTTTTTAAAGGTTTTTGAATGGATGTTTCAAAGAATGTATTTTTTTTTTATCAAAAGTTAAACAATATAATAGCTCACCAAAATGTAACAAATTTGTAGTAAGAAATTATAACTTCTATGTAATAAAAACTTAAATTGACACTTGTAAAACATACACACTATAGTTCTGAAATTAGTTTCTTTGTCTTTTTGGCATCAGTGATACTGACATTGTTAAATTTAACTTGTATATCTGTTTTTCTAGCTTTTCCTTATGGATAAAAATAAGAGCTTTCTTTGTTCAAATTTAGCAATAATTAGGCCTATAATTATTTTTAAAGGCATTTCTTAGATATGCATGAAGTTTGATAAATATGCCATTATTGTATCAATTTAAAAAAACAAAACTTTTTTATATTTCATGTAGGTAAGGAAGTTTTATCCATTCTTGAAAATGTTGTTAACGTTGTGGACCGGTACGATCAAACATTTCTCGTCGGAGGAGATTTAACAAAAGCTGGTATCGAGTTGTTGGGAGAAAAACTGGCTAATATGACAATTGGAGATGTGGAAGCATTGTTATATAAAAATAAGATAGATCCTCTCAGGATATTTCAAATAACAAATGATTTCATTGATCTTGCAAGGGCATTGGTATGAATAATTTTATTTCACTTTTTGTGAAAGTATTGAATTTTCTCGCAAAGAAAATTGTTTAAGGAGCTCCACAAAGGTCTAAAAGCCATAAAATATGAAATTTGAATTTCTGACAAAGATCAACTGGGACACTTAGATCAGAAAGATAATTATACAAAAGATAATAAAGAAATGTACTAGAAATAAAATTGAAAATTGTATTTTTTTGCTCTTCTACGCCCAGTTTAAGTTTAAAGCTTTTACATATCTTTTCGAGAAACTGAAATGATTATTCTTACGAAAGATAATGAGGTTTAGAAAAGTTATTGATACATTTATCTGAATGATTTTTCTGCTTATATCACAAGACTCTAACATTATTTTAAACATATTAATTTGAAGAAAATTTTCATTTAGCAGGTTTACTTTATATATGATGTAAGACCATTACTGTTATCTTCTTTTTCAGTATTCTGAAGTGATAGAAAAATTAAATGACAGAGCTGTTGAGTATGCATTTAAAACATTTGAGATTACATTAGCTGGCAGTATTCCTTACCCACTAAAATCTGTGAACTTCTACCAAAGTCCAGGTTTTGATATCCCAATTGGAGGTATCCTCTCTCTGTCATTTGGTAAGCATATCGTTAAAAATTTAGTTAATTTAAGAAGAACTCATAATTTTTTAATAATTGCTTTTTTAAAAGTTTTTGATTTTCTTTTTATTTGAGCGTTTTGCTTAACTTTAATTTTGATCTTGAAAAATTGTTATTTTCAAAAATGTTATTTTTTTTTATTTTTTTAGTAAGTAAATTAAAGAAAGTAATACAAGTAACTATTCATAGCCACAAGACATTGAGATATTACTTAGTGCATTAATCATGTGTAAGATATAGAGGATATTGAATGAGTGTAGTTTAATACTAAATTTATTGAACGAGTTGAATAAAATCATATTATGCGAGCCTCTGTCGAGCATAATATTGTTTTATTCAACGAGTTCAATAAAATTAGTATTGAATCGACACGAATATAATATTCTATTTATCACATATATAAAATAAGAACGGTAAACGGTTAAAATGAGTAATTTTTCAATGACGCGCCTAAAGTGTAAAGCTTTAACGCTATGTTTATTATATATGGCACAAATGACGTCACGTCAAAGTGTTATTACACTAGTGTAATATCGTTTTTATTAAATGGCTTTATTACACTCCTGCGCCGCGGTTTATGTGATAAAAGATTATAAATACTATTGTAAAAGTAAATTACATGAAGTTAAGATGTGGTGACGGCCTCCGATTTTGAGGGTTTTAGGACAACTGGGGACATTACTTTTTTTTTCCTGATAATTGTCACTAGTATCTGGAAGCAGATTTGAATGTTAACTTTCATTTCAGCTTTTTTCAGTAGGTTAGAGATAAAATTTATCTCTGTTCGAAAATCAGTAAATAATACAGTAATGATACCTTTAAAACAGGTTTTGGAGCTGATGGTTATTATGGCGTAAAGTTGGGCTGGGAAGGAAAACTGATAGCAAGAACTGCAGCAGCTATTGTTGAACCTTTTGGAGCTCTTACTGCCTATGGTGAAGCAGGAATAGGTATTGGTCCCCTGAAGGCCAAGCTGAGACTAGAAGGAAGCATATTGAATGTTGGATTTCCTACACGGGCAGAACTACATTTTTCAAAGTTTCCTCTTGTTGTATCGTAAGTGTCAGATTTGTCTGTTAAATCATTATAAAATGTATGTTACATGTAATTAATGTATGTATAAATACATGTAAGTGTATTTCAAAAAAATTCTATTTTTATTGTTATTTTATTTTCTATTTTTTCAGTTCTTTAACTTTAAATATTTGGAAACTTGGCAATGAAAATAGAAATTAAATCTCATTTAAGAAAACACATCATTCAAATGAAATTGCAAATGAAAGATTTTAAAATGAATGACACCCAATCCTTTTCAATAACAATGTAATTTTCATTCTGACCTTTCAAACAAGCTTGGCTTATCATGAATACCAGCCTGTTTATGCTCCAATAATGTAATACTTAGGACAACTGTCTGAAAATCCGACTCAACTTAAGTGAATTGAGAATCACCAAATGACTTGTGTATGTAGGTTAAAACAATGTCAATTTTTGAATTTTGTAGGTTGGCAATGGATCTTGACTTGGTACCTGTAAGACTACAGTTGTCAGCAATAGTCACGCTTGAAGTAAAACTCTTGTTTATTAGATTCAAGGCAACTTTATTCCGTGCAAATCTCTGGCAGTACTCTGCACCACGAATAAGGAAAAGAGTGATTGACGTGTCCACTGATGAAAAAGATGAAACTCCGCCAGAAATTACTCAACCTGTTGATGTAGGGTTATAAATATATATTATATTTGTTTGTTATATATTTACATTTGATTATCAATATTATAGTAGATTTTCAATTTAAATTGTTAGCTTATTTTTGAATTACCTTTTGTATAACTTTGTGTTTTAAGCTGATCTATGTAAGAAATTCAAATTGTATGTTTTTAGGCTTTTGGAACTTAGTGGAGTTCCTTTAATAACTAAGATATCATTACCAGATTTATGTATAGTAGACTTGATATGAGAGATTCATGTTGCACTTTTACATTATCTCATGAACAGATTCAACTAAACCAAGAGCAGTTTTCATTTTATATTATCCTTTTCAACCTTTTTCTAGATTTTTTTATTTAAAATATTTTATGGTTTACTTTGCCAAATATAAATTTCAGCAGTGACATTAAAATGTATATTTATGCTAGAATATTATACATGTATATCTGATGAGTGTGCTCTTCATCAACCTGCATGCAGTGATCTCCCCTTCATTTCTTGATACTGTACTGATCAAAGGAATTTAAATGCACTTTTAAGAGTGTCTTTAGAATAATCATTTAAACAGTTAAGAATTTAGATGTAGAAAGGGATTTATCACATGCTTTTCGGTGGTTTATAGAAATATATCAGTGAAATAAAAACTGATAATTTCACTGTTTTAAACAGTGAAATTATCAATTTGATAATTTCACTGTTATGAATATTTGAGCCCGTTACGTTGTTTCAGTAAAATACAAGCGTTCACAGTACTGGAAACCAACTTAATGATGTGACGTAGTAAATGATGTTGCATTATTATTTAGCGCCCTTTTCATTTAGTACTAGGTTAAAATGTCTTTTTAAACATTTCTTTGCATATAATAAAAAGAAAATTTGTTTAGTTTAGTGTAAGATCAAAATATATTTCACTTCGTGAACACCAAAAGTTAATATTTCAATCGTGGCTATGCCACTCGTGAAATACACCTTTTGGTGCTCACTCGGTGAAATATATTCCGATCTTACACTGAACTAAACAAATATCCTCTATAAGTTCTTACTGTTGTTGTCTTTGTATATATATTTTTTGTAAATTAAGTGATATAATTGATATATCTTAATTTATACCTTGATTTAGGATCTAGATGATATACAGCTTCCAAAATGTGAAGTGTTCCAACATAAAAATCTGGATTATACTGAGCCAGTATTTTCCATCTCTGTGGAGGCTACTGAAGACAAAGGTCCTTTACGATACTTTCTGGACATCGGAACAGTTCCTGGAGCTAGTGATATTGTCAGTAACAAGGAGCTTGGAGGTCCATCAACTGTCATAGCTACTGTAAGATTGCTCTTTACATTTGTTGATCATTTGATCATCATCATACTTAAAGAAAAAAAGAAATTGAATATTAAGAATATATGTTTAGGTATTTCAAATGGCAAGTGGTACCAGGTTACATGAGTTCAATTTTTCCTTTTCCATCGTTTTTGCCATAAAATTTCAAATGTGTAAAAAATCTATATTTTTATAGCCTTTATAAAGGAAAGTGGGGTATATAGATTTGCTTTTGTCTAGCCATACAGCAGCTGTCATATTGTCCAATTTTTGACTGACAAAGCAATGGAAAGTTGGGGTATCCATTTCCTATGCACACATTTCTAGTTCATTAAAATGTATCGCATCCATAGATAGCTCATATCAATTTGACCCAACTTTTTTCAGTTTCTCTAGCTAATATTTAATTGAAGCAGTGATTTAACAGGATTGTGTTTTGTTTTTTCCTTGGTTTACAAAAGATAAAGGTTCAAGATCAGGATCTAAATTCCTTTTTTAATAAAATGCATAGATAAACAACGTATGTTTACTTTTTATAAGCTATTGTTGCATCATTGTTGTATGGTAATGTGAAGAATCTCTCATTATTTTAGACAATGGATGAATACCCATCAGGGCAACCATTGTATTTCACATTATATGTTGAAAATACAAGTGGAGCAAGAATTCAAACAACATGTATGTTACCAACATACGACACAACGCCACCTACAGGGAGAATTTATGTCGATTTTCTATCAACAAGTAATCCAGCTGTACTGAAAGCATCCTTAAAAGTTCACGATGATTCTCCTATAACTAGGGCAGTCGTTGCAGTTGGATATGCAAAAGGAATTTACGGAGATCAAATAAAACATTGGACAGAAATTGATCTAGATGAACATGACACTAGTGTTTTTGGTAATAAATCTTTATCAACTTTATAAGCTGGAAAACAATCTTTGATCCTGCCAAATTAATGCATTGGACTTGCTCTCTTTTGAAAGTTCAGATTGTTATTTCAGGAGATTTCATTGTTGAAATAGATGTACCCCAGTAACCTGAACAATATAAAAACTTGTCATCAGAATTCACAGAATATGCAGACCAGTCTTAATCTCTGTATTAAAGACATGTTGATGTTTCCATTGGTGATAAGAGAGTTTAACCATACCAAATTTTTTTTCCGTAAAACATAATTTATTAATTGATTTATATCTGATTTGTCATACAGCTACTCAGAAGAATTTTATCTATTGATCCACATTAACATCAGCAATCCTTGGTAGGGGTTTTAGGTTGAATTGGGCAGTGTCATTTAGGCTTAAAGATATAGAAACTTAAACGAATATGCAAATATAACTAATAGTACTTGAATGTTATATGTAGAATACATATCATGTTCAAGCATTGTTATTGATAAATTTATTATGAATTGGTTTCATATTTTTGCAGGCAATGATCCTTTGAGTCATTTCACCGAACACCAAGAAGGAAAACTTGTCTCACCACCAATAAAAGTCCATGAGGATATTCAGACAATTAAAGCTTGTGCTGAGTTATGTTTAGAATTAGACCATTGTGTTAGTTTCAATTACGACATTGAAGCAAGTAGACAATGTGAACTACTTCGTTCCATCAGACATTATGATGAATCCCTAGTTTCAGTGAGTATATTTAGAATAATTGCCTCTAAGCTGGTCATGTGCTTAATTGACTTTCCAAATTCATATCAATTCAATTATTATTAAGGTCAAAGAATGTTTGTCAACGGGAATTGTTGGTGTTGTAGAGAAACTCCCTCATGTGCCTCTCTACATACTTATTGGCAGCCATCTAGGCAGACTTTTAGATTTTATATAAGCTAACTAGGTACTCTCCTTACATGGAAGAATTTAACCTCAGGGTGGAGAACCAACTGTATTGAAGAACAAAAAATTCAAAGTCCGCTATCTTACTCCTTCAACTTTGGAAGCTTGTGTTAATTACATATTGTTTCCTTTGAACAAGTTAAATAAATAGATTGATTGCAAAGCGACACCAGTATCAATGTTAGTATTAATCTTTAATTATATCTTAATTCTGTTTGCATTTAATTACAAAATGTTGAATGAATTAACTGAAGTTTCTACACATGTATTTAATTTTGATAATACATTTTGAAATTGATTTAATTTTTTTAAAATACTACAGACCTATTGCATACATTCAAAGTTTTGTGTTCCTGTTCAAGTTTAAGTAAATTTTCGTTCATGAAAATTTTTAAATTATTAAAATATTCTTTGCAGTTTTTACTTGCAACTTAAACTATATCATGCAATTTGAATTTTGTATGAATGCTTAAATGTTTTTACTTCATCACAAAGACCTCGATGTTCTGTTACTTTGAGCGCATTGGAAGTGGACTTTTCAAGGAACTTCATTATGATAATTTGAACATGGCGCACAACGCTTTAATCTTCGTCAATCTGGACTTGACAAATGTTCTTGGTTATCGAACAGTGTTTGGAAGTGATGGAATTATAGCAGATTTCACCTGTCCAGATCCAGGTAATATCATCTCATTGGTTTAACTTTCATTCAATTTGACTATTTGTGTAATGGGCTTGTCCTCTTTGACATTCAGAACTGACCTTTGTTGTTAAGCTAAGGTAACATTATAATTTCAAAATCAAAATAAAGTAATTGAAGCATTGAACAATTATAATCAAGGTTCAAAGTCAGTATATCAGCCTGGCTCAGGACTGTTAATAGGCTTAGGTAATCTTTATCTGCAGTTATCATCGGAAAGGTTATTTTGTTTCATTTAATGAAAGCTTAGTTTTTAAGGCTTGGAGTTAAACAATATACTGAATCAAAAAAATGAATTGAAAAGGACAGTGACATTGCCATGATTGCATTACTATAATTATTCAGCTAGTGTATTGAGCAAGTCAATTTTTGCATGTGAATGTTCACTTTGATAGGTTATAAAAGTTGAAATATAAAAACAAATACATATATGGATTGTACTTTAAATTCATGGTAAATGGAAAGTATAACAATATCATGAAAGAATGTAAATATGAAAGAAATATAGTTCAGATATTATACAGCTTTTGTTTTAATAATTTCCAATCATACATGTTATTTTGAAATTTTCCAGGCTTCATTTCAAATGCAGTGAGTGACACGGTAGAGACTGTTGATTGTCTATCATTGATCCCAGCAGATAGACAAGACTTGATAAGATTTTGTGTTGGTGTGAATCCTGGTCAACCTAATAAAAGGCAAGCTACATAAAAACTGATTGAATTTTATTGCTATGCTGATTACAGTTATGCTAGTTTCATGAATTTAAAACTTTTCATTTTACCTTTACAGCATTGTTTACAGTTTTCATAAAAAATTGTTTCATTGTATAATGTATGTATATTTCTCTTATGTAATTTATATTGTATTAAAAGAATTTGATGGCTTTTTAAGAAATATCAAAACTTTGTTATGCATGTTCTGATATTTTTTATGTTGCTGAACATTTTAAAGTTTTCTAGTTTTCATGTAGATCAAAAAATTGAAACAGAAAGTTGTTTTCAAAAATTAAACTGAAATATACTGTAAAATATATGCCTGTTTTGTCAGTAATTGGTAACTCATCTTCTTCAGGACCATAATTGATGGAGAAGGGTCAATGACAGTTTTCAATGGTGACAAGCAAATGACTGATGTATTGTATACAAGAAGTAACAACTTCATTGCAGGTATAATATTGACACTTTTTATAGTAAAACTTTTCTATTTTGTTTCTTGTTTCTCATCAGGGATTTCAAATTATTCTTCATGACTATCTAGCTACTGAAGGTTTCCCAATCTTCGCAGTGACATTCAATCAGTGAATTCATGTTAAGCGTTCATGTTTCTACACCAATAATAGTAATATTTTCGCGCTTTTATAGAACAATGTATATCAGTGTGTTATATGCTTTCAATACGATTTTATTAAAAATGTTTACATGGGTAATTGTGTTTTGTTTTCCAAGTTTTCATCAGTTAAAATTGTATATGTTTGTGTTGTTTGTATTGTTTGTTTAGGGAAAAAAAATTGATCTGATTACATGTCGAGACGTTTATGATGCAAACTGTGAAAAATCATGCACGTTAATGGGCATTCTTTTGTTTGCCATTATCTCTCAATGTCTTTGTTCTGTACAATAGTATATTGTTTGACAACAGGTATTGAAAATAGCTGTGAACTCCCACGATGATTACAGTAATTTACCTTATTTTTTTAATCTGAGTGGTTTATGAAAATTTACTGATGCGATTATACTCTCGTGTTGAAATGTTGTACTTCTTCAGTTTCCTATTATTTTGTTTTGAAACTGTTTATTTGGCCAAAATTTAATGAACTTATTTTCATTTTAGAGAATACCATGTTTTAACTTAGCTCATATTGTAACAGGTAACTGGGATGGTTTCCATGACAACGAGACAGGTATACGGGTGTACACAATGTCTGTTGGAAGGGAAGTATGTGAAGATATGATACATCCACACCATGATCCACACAAACATTTGATGCACGAGTCAGAATGGACATACATGGCAGTAATAACACCAACAGCTGAGTACAATCCTTTCCCACTTCCTTGTAAGAATTAATTTTAGGTTAATCTCTTTTTCTTTCAAAGATCTGCCTGTAACAGATTGATCTTAAGTATCAAGTAAAACGTAACACTTCATTTGAAAATGAACATGTTTTGCTTAAAATCTGGTGCACTTGGCCAAAATCTTGATTTCCTTATGCAGTTGTCATTAATCCAATGTTTTAGGTTTTTTTTACACTGGCTTTTATTGAATTGTGTAATTTTTCTTGGAATAGCTTATTTTACATAATTACATTTCTTTTAGTTAAATTACTGGATTGCTTTCATTGTTCAATAAACAGTAAGATGTACATGTAAATTATTTTTTAAACCTCCTAATGTTTTGTAAAGAAAGCTTAAATTTCATCTGGATTTCATTTGAAAGATAATTGTTTACTTACATACATTTTTGTTCCACAGCTGGGCTGTACTATATAAGTGTAAGTGCATTAAACAAGGTAGAATATGGAGGACCTCTGTCACTCACTGTATGTCACTCGACCCCCTATGTCATAGACACAACAAAACCTTTCATTTATGAGATCTACAATGTGAAATATGATGAGGAACTTTACAAGCTGTCAGCAGAACATAATTCTAGGTACCTTTATATATATATCAGAATTTAATTCAATATTACACAAAAGGTGGTAAGATATAGACAAGTTTATTTGAATACAGAACTGTTCAATATTGATATATATTAATACTTTATATTATATACTTGTGATTTGCATTTTACAGATACATGTACCTGAAATTTACAATAATTTTGTAGTGTCAAACTTTTGTAAAGAACTGTTTTTGTCGAAAAGGAAACAAATATTTCTTTGCTGATATATAGGCTGTTTGTCAAAATGTACTTCTCTATTTATTCAGATGGAACAATTTAAAGACTGCATTTTATTGAGATGTTTTCTGTATGTTGATTTATTTGGAGTCAGTCTTAAGAGTTTTATTTATGAACTTTTTCATCATAGTTTTATATATTCAATTACAGTGACCCTGAATCTGGTATTGCATATTTTGAAATTTGTCTTGGACACAATCCTCGAAGTTGTGGTATTCTCCCGTGGACAAAGTTTTCAGACCAGCCTTATTTTGTACATACTTTTCAAATTCCTGACGGTGCTGCTGCATGGCTCAGACTTAAAGTTACAAATGGTGGTATGTATACATCTACTTTATTATTTCATTCTGAAGTCTACAAGAAAAAAAGAAATTTGCTGTCATTTTTTTATTTCTAATAAATTATTTTTGACAATGAAGAAGTCCTATAAACTATTACAATCCCTACATGTGTGTGAAATTATGGAATTATTTTTTAAAGATGATGCTTTTTGTGGGTGTTTTTAGGCCAATGTATTTTTTTTAAGCTCTGAAAATACTGTTTTATAAGCATTTCTGCTAATGATTTCAAATTTCAAGTAATATATTCTAATTGCATGCTGGGAAAATTTTCATCCCCAAAAAATACTTAGTTGCTATCTGCTTAATTTTCCAATCTAATTAAATTTTCTCCAATTATCTCCAATTATCTACAAGAATAAAATGTGAGTGAACAGCTTTGTAGGTGAAAAGACACCGAGGTTTTGTCATCTGATATGGTAACAAATTGTTTGAAAAGGCTTTTGTGATCACTCCAAGTAGACTATGTGTTGAGATTCTTCATGTTGTCTCCTTATGTTAAGCACAAATATAACAGTATTTATGTCATACTGGGTCAAGAAATGTATTATTAAGCTCTTGGTCTCTGTACGGGCCCTAAGTGGTTGACAACTTCTTTACATAAATCATTTTAAACCACCAGCAGAAAGGTCTCTAGATCCAGTTGAAAATGTAGGTAAAGGATTCATGAAACTTTTAGAAATGCTTAATATGCATATTTATTTTTATATTTTAGTTGACCTTCACATTGTAAGTCAAGCTGATAGACCAATTGTTATTGATGCAAGTGCACCATTGGCAGGAACTGTTTACGATGGCCAGTTACTGCAAGAAGATCTTCAATTCACACGATACTCAAATAAGGTTTTGATATTGTTTTTCCATTTTTATTAATTTGAGTTAATGTTTATTGCAAACATAGCAATGAAAAATATGGTGAACTCTGTGCATTAGTTTATGTCTTTATACAAATCATTTTCTTTCATCTGTTTAGCCAAGCTCATTTCAATATTTAAGATAATCTACAATTGAGTATTGGTTAACATCTAACAAAGTCTAGTAATCTGGTTCTGTACTGGTGGCAATGGAAATATCAGTCTATTAGCTAGTACCTGGAGGTTTTTCTAATTCAGGAAAATTCATTTAACATCATGTTTTGTTTTACATTAATGTTTTACTCTGCTAAATGGTGAATTCCTGTATCAAATTTTATATTTGTTATTGGAAGTGACAGTTTTCTTCTTCCAGATTTGTGCAAACTGGTTTGACTTTCACGACCCAGAATCAGGTTTGTCTTCATATGAAGTAGGTGTTGGAACGGACCCACGTTGGACAGATGTGGCTGAGCTGAAGAAACTTGATCACCAAGTGCAGGAATATTGTTTTAATCTACAAGATGACACATTACAACATAACAATGTCTACTATTTTATTGTCTGGGCAGTTAATGCAGCTAGTAATCAAAAGAATGTATCTGCAGTCTCTAATGGAGGTATGATAAAAGTGATATGAGAAACAGATAAAACTAATGTAAATGTTGTTTAGTGTGCACGTGTATGTGTATGTTCTTCAATGATATGTTATCCCTACTTTTTGTGTCGCCTTGAAAAAGGTGACATATAGGGGTTACTTTTGTTGGGTCCATGTCAGCGTCCCCTTAAGCTTGTCTGCAACATAAGTCAGTTATTATAAGTCGGATTGACTACAGACTGGGTATGCATGCTTCTTATAATGACCCAAAGTGCAGCGCACAAGAACCGGCACTCTGCACTTCTTAATTATTGAGTTATTGCCCTTTTTTAATTTTCATATTTTATTTTTGTCCGGGCCATTTCTCCTAATGTATAAAAGTTATTGAAGTGAAACTTCATAGGATGATAAATCTCAATAAGAAGAAGTGCAGTGTTAAAGAACCGGTACTCTGCATTTCTTATTTTTTGAGTTATTGCCCTTTGTTAATTTCCATACTTTATTTTTGTCCGGGCCATTTCTCCTAAAGTATAAAAGCTATGGACTTGAAACTTCGAAGGATGATAGATCTCATTAAGAAGAAGTGCAATGCACAAGGACTAGTACTCTGCATTTCTTATTTTTTGAGTTATTGCCCTTTGTCAATTTTCATACTTTATTTTTTCCTGGCCATTTCTCTTGAAGTATGAAAGCTATGGACATGAAACTTCATAGGATGATAGATCTCCTTAAGAAGAAGTACAGTGCACAAGAACCAGTACTCTGCATTTCTTATTTCATGAGTTATTGCCCTTTGTTAATTTTCATACTTTATTTTTGTCCAGGCCATTTCTCCTAAAGTATAAAAGCTATGGTCTATAAACTTCATAGGATGATAGATCTCATTAAGAAAAAGTGCAGTGTACAGGAACTGGTACTCTGCACTTCTTTCTTTTGAGTTATTACCGTTTATTAATTTTCATACTTTATTTTTGTCCAGGCCATTTCTCATAAATTATAAAAGCTATGGACTTTAAACTTCATAGGATGATAGGTCTTATTGATAACAAGTGCAGTGCACAGAAACTGCTGTTCTGCACTTCTTATTTTATGATTTATTGCCCTTTGTTAATCTTCATATTTCATTTTTGTCCTAGGAGAAACATCCGACTTGCGGAGTTCTAGTCTTGCTTATGCTTTTTAGCTCACCTGAGCTAGCTCAGGGTGAGCTTTTAGGATCGTTGAATGTCTGTCGTCCTTTGTCTGTTGTCCGTCCACACTTATTTTGTGAACAATCTAGCAATCACGTTTTTGCCTCAATCATTATCAAACTTCAGGATGCTTATCTAGTTAATAGTTCGGATAAGTTCGGACATGGGTCATCTTAGATGAAAAACTAGATCACAGGAGCCAAAAATAGAAAAAAACTCAATCATCATCAAACTTGGTCAGGATGCTTGTCTAGGTAATTGCTCAAATGAGTTTGAACATGGGTTATCTCGGATGAAAAACTAGGTCAACAGAGCTAAAAATAGATAAACCTTGTTAACACTTTAGTGGTCACATTTTTGACTCAATCATCATCAAACTTGGTCAGGCTGCTTGTCTAAGTATTTGCTCATATGACTTCGAACATGGGTCATCTCGGATGAAAAACTAGGTCACAGAAGCGTAAAATAGAAAAACCTTGTTAACACTCTAGTGGTCACATTTTTGATTCAATCATCATCAAACTTGGTCAGGATGCTTGTCTAGGTAATGAGGGACAATAGTGGATTATCTTCCCTTGATAAAAACCGAGGTTAACCAAAATGTAAGTAGGTCCAAATATTTGGAACCCTTTGCTTTTATCGTTGAGTTTTATGTAAGACAGGTTGATATGTTTTAATCAATTATTTCCACATGCATCAACAAATATGTAAACAATAAGAAAAAAATGTTTCATTTATGTCAACAGATTCTACATCTTATCGCAATATTTAATCTGAATATTACAAATGATAATAATTAGCCCTAATTAATTCAGTTTGCTACAAAGAAATACGCGATAAAGTCCGAGTAATCCAATAGCTTAGGACCTATCTATTTATAGGGAGTACTCAGGGGAGGTTATTCACTAATGTCCCCCATTGCTCAAATGAGTTTGAACATGGGTTATCTTGGATGAAAAACTAGGTCAACAGAGCTAAAAATAGATAAACCTTGTTAACACTTTAGTGGTCACATTTTTTACTCAATTATCATCAAACTTGGTCAGGATGCTTGCCTAGGTAATTGCTCAAATAAGTTTTGAACATGGGTCATCTCTGATGAAAGAAAACTAGGTCACAGGAGCTAAAAATACAGTAAAGTTCAGCTATTAAGACCACTTATGGGTCTAGCAAAAAGTGGTCTTATTATCGAGTCGGTCTCTTTATTGAGACCCTAGGTTATAGCACACCAGTAAGGCACATAAACCTTCAATATCAGTGGTTAATACATAGGAATGATAGGCAGACATGTTTTTCACTGTTTTAAACTGTTTTACTGGCAGATAAATGACACATTGTATAAACAACTAATCAAAGGTATTTGATGTATTTTAATTTTACATAAACACAATTAAAACAACATCCCAGCAGGCACATCAACGTTGTTTCAACGTTGAATTATGGTCAGATTTCAACGTTGAAATAAGGTTGGATTTATATTCGGATTTGAAAGTTGAAACAACGTTGAAATTTCAACGTTGATACAACATTGCAGCTTCAACGTTGGCACAGCGTTGAAGTTTCAATGTCATTTCAACGTTGAAAACCCACCATACTTTAATTTTTGGATATAAAGCAAAGTAACCAAGTTTAACAAAATATCAAGACAATCTTAAATACTTCAGATATTTTATTTCAAAAATTCAGTTCAAGTGCAGCTCAAATTCACTTTAATAGTTTTAACAATTAAGCTAAAATCTGTTCCAATCTTTTCTTCTAGATCTTTCTGGGTATGTCAAGTGTTCGAGTACTTCTTTGGCTGTCTCTTACTGCTTCTGCAAATAAAAATAAGAAGTTTGTAGTTAAAAGTGGCTTGGTCAATCTCAAATTATACATATAATTACTCAACTTAGTGATTTGTTTTTATCTTAAAATGCTTTTATCTAAAAATTTGCATCATAAAACAGTATAGAAATTAAAACATAGCTAAGTTTGATATTGACAGCAAATACTGTATATAAGACAACAAAATCTTTTTAAAAAGAAGCTATTTAAAAGTCTCGCCTATGATTTGTAAGAAAAACTGCTCCCCGTCAGTTCCTTGCAGCATATTCCCAAGAAATTAACATTCTAGGCTCTAGCTAAAACCATTTTATGCAGCACCCTGAAACCAACAAACATGTAAATTTTATATCAATAATGTTACAGGAATATTCCGATAGAAATATATTTTAAGACAAGATAAATATCCAGTAGTTGAAAAATTTATACTTTGTATAATGTAAAGAAATTCAAATATATAAATTAATAAGAATAAATTTCAATTTAACAAACCTGACAGTCCCTTTCATGTTGAATGTATGGTATACAGGCTACAGCTGCAATACTCTAAATTTCAGCCAGGACCAGGATCTAGAATATAAAATAATATATAATAAAATAGAAATAGATTTATTAAATTTACGACTATTAAACTTTAAAGTTTAACATTCAAATTTGTTATTTAACTTAATAATAATCACTATAATGTATTTTTATTTTTTTTCAAACTAATTAACACTGTATTATACTATCAATAAAATATAAACATAGTTATATATATTGACGAATCGTCTATGGACGTAAATTAAGTGGGCCGAACTACTTTATAGGTTTCAATTTTAAAATTGATTAAATTTTAAATAGGATATAGTACAGACAAATGTTTAATAATATGAAAACTAAATTAAAGAAAGACAAGATTTGTAAAATCATAAATTGCCAATGACATCAATAACTTCATGCTTACAAGGCCTACCGAACCCAAATCATTCAATTAGGTCGCGAAAACGTGTCAAATCAACTCAATCATGTGTTTATATCTCTCATTTATTTCATAAAGTAAATTAAAGTAGAATTTAAAGAATAAATAATAATATTTTAGAAAATAATCAGTAAACTAAAGTAAAACATAACGGTAATACCTTCGAAATCCAAATAAATTGCCAATCGTGTTCTTTTCAAATTTTCCAAACAGCGCCACCATTTGCACGAATGATAATCATAGACAATAAACAAAATCATAGACCGCAACAATTACTTCCCCTGACGAGCGTTATTTTATAAACGGGGTTTTGACTAATATCAATTTATTAATAAATATTATTCATAAAGAACTAAAAAATAAAACAACAAACAACAAAACATATTAACTAATATTTAAAGCGTTAATAGAAAGTGAAAAATTATTTCCAACTTTATTTGTTTAATATTTTTTGAATATACGGAAAAAGATTGTAATGCAAATTTTCCTGACAAAAATCACTTACAGACTAATTCAATAAAGGAATAATATCACAAAATTAGTGGTATAAAAGTTTATATAATGATTAAACTAAATGTAAAACTTCGACCATAAACAACGTTGAATCAACGTTGTATATACATTGGCAATATATCCATATGGTCGTCCATAGTTGAATATTGGTTGAACAACGTCAGGACCATATTTCAACGTTGTTTCAACGTTGAAACAACGTCGAGTGCCTGCTGGGATAACTGGTATGTACATTATTTAAAATGGTAAATATACATTTTATACATGTGAAAGTCAGAAGTCTCTTTTTATCTCATATCAGTCCTTTTACAAATCACTATACATTTCATGTGTCATAGACACATCACCTTACTTAAAAAATCTGTCAATTCTTGTTTGTTTAGAGCACCTTAAAGCTTTCACTGAATCCTTTTCGAGTCTATCCTGTGCGGAATTGAACAAGTCAACAACATCTGTAAGTCCTTTACTTAAACAGTCCATTCTAATGTTTTCAATGGATTGAATTGCTTCCCTATGAGTAAAAAGTTATCAGCTTTT